AAATAGGTGGTCTCTTGGGAAAACAGTTATCAAATCACAAGTCTGTTCTAACAGCATTTCTAAATTAGATTTTATCAAATAATCAATTAAATAAATCAATTAAATTTAATAATATTCATCTATTAATAGTACTGAGGAGTGTTGAATAATCCAAATCACAGCACTGTGATATAACACTTAAAATATCATTCACTGTTGTATCTGTATTTATTTATTTTCTGTTTTATCATAAATATAATTGTAAATTGAGAATTATTGATTTATTTAAATTTATTTACTCACCTATTTCAACCATATATATATATATATATTCTCTCTCTTCTTTTCAATTTTTTTTTCTCAGTGTTTATAAACATTACTCACACTTCTTGTTTATTTTATATGATTTGCTTGAGTATTTGTTCACAATTTAATGTGGATATATACTTGTTTACAAAACTATTTAGAACTCTATCTCATGTTAACTTACAGAATTTTCAAAAATAACTATTTTCTGATCATTTTAATTATCTTTTGTTGTAAAACTTTATTTTTTGAATAATATATTTTGTAATCTTTTTAACTTTTTTAACTTTTTATATAATATTGTAAAATATTATTTTTTACTGTAAACTCATTCATTACTTTGATAGTATAGAATTTAATATAAATAGCAAATCATATTTTCATTTTTGTATAGAAAAAACAATTTATATTAAGAATGAAGATTATAATTGATTTAACAAAGGAAAACAAGTATACAGAAGAAATCATTGATCTCACATATGAAATCAATAACAACAGCAATAACAACAACATAAACAACAACATCATCCATATAAATCAATTCCAACTTAATTTAAAGAGGAATCTTATGATTTATATCACTGATTTGGAAGATTATATTTTCAACAAAATATTAGAAAATAAAAAAAATAAATTTTCAACATTAATTACATATTTTACTTTTTCGCGTCTCACCAGCAGATTCGAATGTAATTTATGTGAATGTTTCACAATTTCATTATCAAACAAAAAGGTTGGACATTGTGCAACCTCTCATATTAATGGTATGTTAATTCTTTTTTTAATAAATATTTAAGCTAATTCGAATCTATTTTCTGTTTTTCTTTTTTCCATATTTAGCATGTTGCCAACAATACCCAAATATAAACCTTTGAGTATATTGACAACACCACAGATGTGCATGCACTGCCACTGAAAATAAACATTAAAATAAATAAATTTAGATTATTTAACAATTATTCTTTATAACTGTGTTTAAACATTTTATTTATTATTGAATTTTCTTTATTATTTATTTGATAAATGTTTTATTTATTATATTTGTTTGTAAATATTAATTAAATATTAAATATTTTTAAATTAAATATTTTAAAATTTATTATTTATATTTGAGAGAATTTGTCATATTTAGGAGTATTGATGGGAACATCATCCTCACTCAAAATGATGGCTATCTCAGCCGGCCTGTGGCTGAACTGCTCAAACAATAAATAAACACGAACTGTAGGGTAATATCAAGCTCTACACCTTGACTATCAGTAATGGTAGTACAAGGATAATTTAAAAAAAAAAAAAAAAAAAAACAAATTCCATAAGACTTGACGTGTTTGGCAAAGTGGTAGAGCAAAACACCCCCTTGTCAAGTTGGTGAGTGGTTTTTTTGTGGACCGGAATCTCAGCGTACAGTAAAAATACTATTTTTTTGCCACTTACTATCAAACTAATAGATAGATATATATTTATTTGATCATTTTATTTTATTTTTTAAATTAATGTATATTTAGAAAGATCATAATTCAAACTTTAATTTAAATTAATTGTTAATCAGTTCAAACCAAATTTGGAATTTAATAAAATGTTTTTAAAAAAAAAAAAAATTTTTGAAAGTGACAATTATTTAGTATTGTTTGAAAACAAGATAATTATTTATTTTATTTTATTCTTTAAAAATAATAAATTTAATGCAATATTATATATATATTTATTATGTAGACCAGCTTACACTACATTTTGTGGTTGTTATTGTTGTTGATTGATCGGTTGGATCTGACATTTCTTATTCAAATAATAATTAATAATAATATAAAAATAATATTTTTTAAAAAAGTCTTTATATAATTTAAATTTAATTCTTATTTTATCTTTTGTTTATTTATTAATCTTTGTTCTAATAATCTAATTATTTCTTGTAATAGATTGAATGAATTGAATAAAACTGAATGAATCTTTAACGTCGCGTTAAACTCAATATATTCAAATTTTTGAGAAGCTTGACGGCTGAGTGTTGAATACTTAAATTCAGAAACAACAGATTCTAATTTAATTATTATTTCGATCTGTTGTTTTGAACTATTACTTATTTAGTTGATTTAATTAATTTAATTAACTATAATTGACTATTACTATATGTTGGCTGGTGTATATTATTAATGTTGATTGGCATTGCCTTTGGCGGCTACCTTATTGTCCTTAGACGGACAACAATCCTTCAAACTGTTCCATTCGTCTTGGATGGAATTTAGAAACAATCACTTCTCCAGGGTCATAACGGGCAATCCCATCCTTGCTGATCATGGTAGTCTGCCTTCTCTGAAGGAAATCTATTCTGTCCTATTCAACCACAAGTACTCCCGTATCCGCCGTACTGAAGGTCAACTAACCATCCAGATTGGTCACTCTTTGGTTCTCCAATCCTGGGAAATGTTTGGTGATGGTACCCAATACAAGCTGGAAAATACAGTCAAGAGAGCAGTCAGCCATTACACCAAATTTGGTACCAATTACCACAATCTTAACTTCAGAATAGCTAATTCAATCCCCCAAGTAGTCACTGTTGATTGCTCTGCAATAACTCGTAAATTTAAATCTGATTGGAATCTAAATCCTTATTTTTATAGTTTATAATTCAAATATTATTTTATTATAATATCTTTTTTTTTTTATTTTTCAAAAACAAAAATTTAAAATATCTGTAAAAAACAATTAATATTTATTAACTTTTTTTTTTTAGATTTTTTTTTATTTAATTTTTCTCAATATTGTTGTTATAAAAAAATTTAGAGCAAGAATGGAGCAGCCAAGACTACAGAGGCAGCACCCATGGCGAAAGCTTTCATGCTATTGGAAGCAGTGCTACCAGCGTGACAAGTGAGAGTGGTACCTCCATTGCAATCACCACAGTTTTCAGAGAGTGGAATACCATTGAGTTCATTTGAACAGGCATCCATTGAAGCATAGACTGTTCCAGAGACTACACCACCATCAATTGAGTCAATGTAATAGGCTCTTACAATTGGGACACCAGCGCAAACATCATTGAAAGTGCTATAAATTAATTAAATAATTCATATTATTATTTTAATTTAATTATTTATTTTCAAACAAATTAATTTTTAATTTTCGATACTTACTAACATTTACCCAATGGGACGGTTACACATTTAACAGTACCTGATGAACCACAATCTTGGACTGAACCATTTGAACACGGAGCACATAATTCAATTGAACTGGCAGAAGCACAGGCAATGAAAGCCAAAACTAAAAGAATTGCTGAGATTTTGAACATTTTATTTTATATGTTTTATTTATATATATCTAAATATTGTTTAATATTTTTTTATAATTGATATTGAATTGTTAGATGAATAATAATCTTCCAAAGTGTGTCTATTTATATTCATTCATTTAATTGCCTCATTTGGTTGAGGGATCCTTACGAAAAAATGAGGGATAAAAAATCAATTTTGCTTTTTTTTCATTTCTAAAGAAATCTAGTCTTTTTTTTTTTGAAAACTACGATGTTTTTTTGGAATCAAGGTTGAGCATGAGGAACACAAAAAAAAAAATAAAATAAATAATTTACATTCAAAAGACACAAAAAAAATTGTCTTTTGATCACTAAAAAGAATATGCACAACAAAAATATTTCAAAACCAACGCATTTCCAAAACAAGTGATTGTATGGTTTTATTAATATCTTTTTTTTGAAAAAATTGATAACATAAATGATCATCTGATTACAAAAAAATACAAATAAACAATTTGCATAATTTATGTCGACAAATTGAATCTCTAAAATAATAATTATACAATTTAATTTAATAAATAATATGTTTTTTTTTTTTTTTTATTTTATTTTATTTTTTAAACAAAAGCAAAGTTTGTCACAATAGGTTTGGTGATGAGGGAATGGGAGGTGGTTTGGAAAGAATGGAAAAAATAAAAGAATAATTACAAGATATTACAATCAACATTAGATTGAAGGTGTGGTGATGTGGTTTGATATTATAGTTATAGTTATTATTAGTTGTTGTTGTTATTGTTACTTTCTTTTGTTGTTGCTGTTATTATTATTATTTAAAATGAATATTATCATGACTAGATACAATTTAGTTGATATATTCTTATTATTATTATTATTGATTAATTAGTTAATAGTTATTATTATTTTGTTTTGTTTTGTTTGTTAGAAAAAAATCTATAGAAAATTATTTTTGGTTATTGGTTGGTTGTTGAAGTTGATGTTGTTGATGATGATGATGGTGAAGTTGGAAAAGAAGTTAGTGAATTTGATTTACCACCAAGACTTAGACTTTGTGCTCTTTCTCTTCTGGAAATCGATGCACTGTTCCAGCCATTAGAGGTCGATGAGTTTAGAGGCGAAGGTGAAGAAGATGAAGAAGATGGTGATGATGGAGGTGACGAAGATGAAGAAGAAAAACCACCACCAGACAATGACTTTATAGGCAGAATTAAATCGTCGATCATAGTTGCTCTCTCGATATTCTCCATGTTCAACGATCGTAGCAAACTCAAAGTCGAACTGAAAACCGTCAAATAATATCCACCTTCACCTCCCAATCGATCTGGATCACAAAGTTGCCAAAGATATTGATTGATAAACTCTAAATCTTTCACTCCCGAATTTACAACTACATAAATATAAATCTAAAAAAGATAATAGATAAATAGTATTAGTTAATAACATTAATAAATTAAATTAAATTTACAAAGCAACAATTTGAACTTACAGGTAAAAAATCATCAGCACTTAAAAACATATCTTGATTGATATTATTCAATTTCCTTTCGTAGTTTATATAGTTGTATATAGATCTTGCAGATGCTAATATACAATCTAGTTTTTGGTGTGGAATTTCTACGCGATCCAGTCCGTTGAGTTCGAGGATCGCCGACTTCCAGTTGCTCGGTGTGATGTATTCGTCTTTGATGCCAAAGAAATCCTGTGGTTTCGAGACGAGCTTTGAGATGTTCTCCTGGAGTGTCTGCTCGTCTTTGGCGACCTGCACTGAGAGCACCGAGTAAACGTGTCGGTAGAGTCGTAGGATGATGGTTTTCTCGAGATTGCGCTCAACCAGCGACGTCAGTGAGATGTCTTCGTCGCGGATATTGTTGGATTCGACCAGCAACTTTGAGAGCTGCGAGTTCTTGTCCGAGAGAACCGACTGTTTGGTATTGTCGATGAAGGTACGCAGTTGCATTATACAAGTACTCGGATTGTTTTTAGAGAGTACCGGAAAGTTGTTTACAAATGTTTGGATCTGTTTGCGCTCGGCCGACTGAGGATTCAGAGCGATACGGTCGATCTCTCCCTGGAGACGCTGCTCCTCTGTAGTTCCAAGAAGTTGTGACAGTTTAGTAGCTCGTTTCTGTTGTTGTCTTCCGCCACTGTTTGGGTTGGTGTTGTCGTCGAGGTGGTCGAGGTCGATGAGTGTGGCAGGTGGAGAGGACGACGACGACGAAACCGATGAGGAATCGGAACTGTCGAATGAGAGCGATCGTGAGATGCTGCTGTGATTGGAGGGGTTGTTGGAGGAGGAGGAGATGTTGTTGGCGGTGTCGGCCACCGGGATGGAGGGCGAGTGACTGAGCAGTCGCTTCTGATACTCCAGGGCAATGTCGAATCCGTTGCGCTTCTTGTCGGTGGAACGACGCAGCGCCAGACGACTGTTGATTTCCTGCACGATTTGATAGCCAATCGAAGATTTATATACATAGTGGTGGGTGGCGCCTTTGTACTCGAGGACAAACACCTCAGAGTCGCGCAGATAGATGGCGTTGACATCGTTGTAGCTGTAGAGACTGGAGACCATCTCGTTGCAACGCACATTGGCAATGCCGCGATTGGTCAGCTTCAGAACACGACGCTGATGCTTTCCCCACTGATTGATCTTTGTAACGTTGTATTGGAGTTCGGGCAGCGTCAGAAAGAGCTGTTCCGCCTCGGTGATCTCACGCTCGCGATCCACATCACAAGTGAACACCTGTGAAGTGTTGTCCTTGGTGAACAACGATAGTTTACTGATATCAGTCGATATTCCACTGATACTCGATTTCAGTGGATTAGATGGTAATGAATGTGATAACTTTGGATTCGAATGTGATGACGATGGTGATGATGAGTGTGCTATTGATAATGATGATGACGACGATGACGATGACGATGATGAAGATCCTCTGCTGTTGCTATTACTATGATCGTTGCTGTTGCTGATGCTATTACTGTTGTGGTGTAAAAGTATGGAGCTACTTCCAATGGCTATACCAGTTCGGCTGCATCGCAGTGATGAAGATGACGATGACGATGGTGTTGAAAATGCCGATGATGTTGACGATGGTAGAGTAGCCGTTGAATTCGACAGTGGCGATGATGGTAACGATGACATCAGAGGTGAGATATGTGCCGTATTTGGCACTGATGAAGATAATATTGGTGATGTTGTAGTCATACTCCTAACTTCTCTCTCTCTCTCTATTTCTATCCTAACTTAACTAACTAACTAATTGACTAACTTAACTATCACTCTTAATATATTATTTTAATTGAAACTGTTGTTGAATGTATTGTATGTATTAACTTAAATTTATTAAATTTGTTTAACCTGTAATGTTTGTTATAAAATTATTAGTTTATGTTTTGTTTATCTTTGATTTTATTTTATTTTTAATTTCTATTTCTATATTATATTATATGTTTTGTTTTAAAAACATTTCAAAACTATCTATCTATTTACAAATATAACACATTAAAAATCTTTAAAATACAACAATGACAACAGTAACGCCACACACAATTGATCACCACCAAAATTTTTAAAAATAATCAAATTAAAAAAATAAAAAATAAAAACAGAAGATTGAAAAATCTATCTTTTTTTTTTTTTTGTTAAATATATGTTTTTTGCAAAGAGTGTGTATGAAGATTTGATTGATTATATTAACGTATTATATATAAAGTGTTATATATATAATATTAAAGGATATATCTTTATGTATGCTTAATATTGTTATTATAATTATTATTACAAAGTAAAATACATTTTTATATGTTGTTATTTGTACAGTGTGAGTAAGAGTGAGAATATGGGGTTAGCCTTTAGGCTCTCCAATGAAATGAAATATTGCATTGTTTGTTTGTAATTTTTTTGTGGTTGTTTTTTTTTAAAAAAATAAATAATTATATATTAAGTTTAATTATGATTGTCATTGTTGGGCACAAGCACAAAGGCGATTTATTTTCATCATGATAAAAAAGCGTGGTGTGTTGATTTACTGATCATTGAATTATTATTATTAATCAATGGTAGTGGTGGTGTGTGACATCTAAATTGAGAAACTTGTAAGTTGAAAAAATGTAGATCCTTTGATGGTTGTGTACCTCCTATTTTTTTTTTGTAAAACTTTTGTTTTTTTTTTTTTATCCAAATTTGAATATCTACATTGATGATAAATAAATAACAACTGACAAAACAAGCACATCACTCCAATAAAGTGTAAAGTAAAGTACTGTAACTACTAAAATAGAAATAGAAAGTTTTCAAACAAAAACAAGCAAGCATGCTAAAGACTTTACTACTTGTTTTTTTTTTTTCCTTAATCTACCTAATCAATATTAAAAACTTGATAGCTATCGAATATGATGGCTATTGCAATAGGGAATGTTATAGTATGAGTCCATTGGATGATTTGTTTTTTTTTTTTTTTTGTTTCTTGTTATTATTGTTTCTCGTTGTTATTGTTCCTTTTGTATTTGTTGTAGTTATTGTTGTGTTGAAACTAATATTTTTTTTAAATATTTATTTATTTTAAAACACAAATATTTAGACACTAATACTTATAGATCTGCTTTAATTATTATTTTATCAATAAAACATATTTTATTCTTTCTACTTTAGAAGATAAAACCGTTCAATTGTGTATTATTATTATGATGTGGGTGTTAATGCTTTATTTATTTTATTTTATTTTTCATGAGGTGTGAGTTTCGAGTTTAAACTTTTGATCTAATGCTAAATTTGAATTGATTTTGATGTTGATATTTATGAATGCAAATAGCAACAACAACAACAAACAATAACACATTATTATTTGTTTGATCAATTTAAATGTATCATAAATATTAATCAATTCACACAATAAAGGTTTATAGAGCTAGAGAAATGTTGTGTGTGGTGTATTAATGCTGCAATGATTGTTTTAAAAGGAGGAGGTCGCGTACTTTTTTTTATTTTATTTTATAACCCTTTCTTTCTGTTTGTTAAACCAAATTAAGAAGTGAATCTATCTAATTATCTTTGTAATATTACACTGTTATTAATTTCTCTACTTCTACTTTTTTTTTGTTTTCTGCTACTTCTTCTATTGTTATTGTTATTGTTTTTTATTTATTTATTATTAATTTATTTTATTTTTTTCTATTAATTTATTTTCACTTTTAAATCTAAAAATTAAAATATCAAATTAATTTAATTAAAAAAATAATAGATATAAATAAAAAGCAATTAATTCAACAGAATTCAATTCTGTGTAACAATTGAGTTGAAGGCAAAAGCTTTTTTTTTTGTTTTCGATGTCTCTGAATGGGTAAGGTTGAAAATTGGTTCATCAAATTTTTTAAAATAATTTTGCAAAAACAAAAAACAAATCATTTAAAAAATAATATCTTTTACAGATTTTTGCAAACTTTAATTTATTTTTAAACCAGTTCATCAAAAAAAAAAAAAGAAAGCTATTTTTTTCTTTTTATTTCTTTTTTCTTTCTTTTTTTTTGGTTATTTTCATTCATTTAAAAAAAAAAAAAAAAAAAAATGTTGTTTGGGATAATAGAAAATTCATATTAAAAATAACATATTACGTGAAACGTTAAAATATTTATCACATTAATTATTGTTATTGGCTACATGATGATATGGCACATGAATGACATAAATAACGAGATATATGACATATGATTAACATTAACAACACCTAATCATATTCCTTTAAAACATTTATTACGTAAATCTGAATTTAAATCGTAACGCCAATTTATCCGAAGCAACATATAAATAAATTAACACACTAAAATAAAAATTATATACATAAATTACATCAAATAAATGTGGTGAAAAATGATCACAGAGACACGACAATCATTATTTTAAGCACTCCAATCAACAATAGTTTATCGTTAATTTTTGTTTAGTGTTCGTATTAATTATTTTTATGGTGTCGTTTAAGTGTGACAGATATTGATAATGACATATGTCCATTTAAAAAGTATATATATATATAAATATTATTTTGATTGGCAATAAAATTCATTTATTTATTTAGTGTATTGTACAAAATTGATCAATATGAAATAAATCAATCCATCATTCAATTTTGATTGGAACGATAAGTTAATGTTTTGAATTTTAAGTAAAAAGGATCATTGATTATTATAATAATGAAAATAGTTTGCATATTATCTGATGCTCCTATGAGATACAGTGCTATAATCTATTGATAATTGATCAACAGCAGATTAATTTTAAATCGAATAGATACTGTAAGATGTAGTTAAGTGTTGCAAATTAATAGAATTCTTTTTTTTGAGAATACAAACTTTATATTTGGAGTTTACATTAAAACTAACTAAAATGATTTGTCAGTTAACCAGTTGACTATAAATAAGGTAGGAAAACAATCTTTCTAATCATCAAATCAACAATTCAATTTAATTCTAAACTAAATACTAAACTCAAAACTAAAATGTTATACAGTAAGTTGAATTAATTAAAAAAACAATATATTTTCAGAAAAGGAACTAATAAACTAATCAAATTTACAATCAACTAATAAACAAAATATAGAATCACTCCAAAACTTGATGTCCTCTTCCTCCTCATCAATGACCAAGTCATTCTCTACTCAAACTGGTGTAGCTTCTGCTCAATCGAGTAACAACACTGCTCTTTTACACCTTAACCTTTCAGATGTTAATGTTTTGGACATCATTTATATCGATTATTTAACAGTTGACCTTTAAAAAATTATCTTTTGGAAATTCATACAGACTGTATCAATACTATCCATTAATTCACTAATTTAATCAATTTTTGAATTCATTCTTTTAAATAAATTTAAATTTACACCATTAAAAATACTATTTTTAGTAAAATTTTTATATTTCTAAAAGCTTTGTAGGGAACATCTAAAAATTAAATAGAAAAAGATTTTAGATTGAACTTCAACAAATCATTTAATTTTAAGAACAATGTTCTATTTAACAATTTTCCTTAAAATACCAAGATTCATAATAAATTCATTTGACTTTGTATTAATATAAAGGTTTGTGAATAAATAAATAAATAAATAATAAGAAATGATTTATTTGGATGCGCAATTATGGTCATCATGATCATCAATCGCTTTCGGAATCACTGTATTCACTACTACTATCACTACTGGAATAATCTTCAGTTTCGCTATAGTTACTGGTACAATCAGTTTCACTATAGTTACTGGTGCAATCCGTCTCACTCTCACTGACCTGCGAGAGGACGCTGTCAACATTGGGAACTGTGAGGTCATCAACACCAACGATGCCAATCGATTCCAACTTTTCATTTAGATTGTTCAACTCTGAAACATCAAATGCAAACTGTCCAAGATCTGAAAAACTGCAGTCAGGTGATTCCAACAGACTCTGTAGATTATCTTTTAGATCCTGAATATTTAAAGGATCATCAACAGAAATTTCGGGATTCTCTACTATTGAAAAATGTGTAACTTCTACTACTCTTGATGCTTCCTCAATGGCTTCTACTTTTGATTCTACTATAACATCTACTAATGGTGATGGTGGTAGTTCCACCGTTGATTCTAATACAATTACAGATTGTTCTATCTCTACCTCCACAGCTACCTCTCCTTCTGTCTCTGCTTGTTTTTCTTCTTCTTTGACTACAGCTTCTTCAACTACAGCTTCTTCTTCTTCTTCTTCATTTTCTTGTTGTTCCAACATGAATGATCTATAAATATTTACTTTATCGACAATATCAATTGTCTTTTTCAGAATATACAACCTGGTTTGTGATGCGGCAGGTGTCGGTATATCTTCAACTGGCATAGCATTGACCATATCATAGTACTTCTTTGCCATATCACTCGAGAAAAACAATATCTCCAAGTGTTCCATGAAAATATCGCCACTATACAATCCGTATTTGAATCCAGACGACAGCAAGTGAAAATGATTCTGTACCAAATTGTGGAGAGATGCAGCTATATCAAAAGCGGGATCCACTCCAGTTGTTGTTGTTTCACTTTGTTGTTCCATTTGATTGATTTCACATTGATCACTATGATTTATTTTATTATTATTATTATTATTTACAGTTATTATTTTTTGTTCTACATCATCTATAAATTGTTTTTCTGATGATTGTTCAAGTTGTTGCTGTTCTTTATCATCTATTATTTGTTGAATTCCAACTTTTTCCACTTGAACTACTACCTCTACTTCCTCCGCTTCTTCATCGGTACTGTAGTCATCTGAATCATACTCTGAGGAATCATCGACTGTATAGGTATCCGTGTAAGTGTCACTCTCAGAGTATTCGGAATAGGAGGTATACTCTGAGTCTGTATATGACAAATCCTCATCGTCAGACGACGAATCTGAAGGTGGTGCAACTAACTTTGACTCTGAAAAAACATCGGCCAGTTTATCGTGTTTAATTAGAAACGATGTTGTGGTTGAAGGCGTCGATGCCGGAGTCATAGTCAATCCCGACAACAAATTTTTTTCACCACTATTTTTTTTATTTTTAATTAATTAAGTAATCAATTATTGAAAAACAAAAAAACACCAATTTGTGTTGTTTTTGTTCAAATATTCCAAAATAGGATAGTGATATTTACTTACTTTTTGATTGGTATCATATTTTTATAAAATTAGTAAAATAAATAGTAAAAATAAATAAATAGTATATAAATAGTTTTTATAAAGTTATAAATAAATATAATATTCAGTGAAGATGTTTTGGATGATGTAGTAATTAGTGTATTATTATTGTTGATCTATGAGACAACTATAATTAATAAATTTAATTAAAAATAAATAAATAAATAAATAATATTATATATATATATAAAATCGAGATTGAACAAACTGACTCTGAAAGATCACATGTGATTTAAATATGATTTTTGTAACTGGTGGGTTTCAGATTTGTGATTGTATGTATGTCTGTCTGTTTGTTGTTGTTGTATATATATGTTATATATGTAACTACTTTTATATATTTCTGATACAATGATGATGTTGTTGTTGATTGATGGTCATTGAAAAGAAATAATTCCAAATTAATCAATTGTTAAGTCTAAATATGAGTTGTGTTTTGCTTTTATTTTGATTGTTGTTTCGAAGTGGTACTGTAATAGTAGTAGATGGTTTGATTGTGTTTTTATTTTTATTTTTATTTTTAATTTTAGTTAAATTTGATTGTGTTTTGTTGTGTGTTTTAATGGTGGTAGTGGTGTTGTATTGGTGGTTTTGGTTTGATCTTTACCACCAAACAAATCCCACTGCAATTTCACAATATTTATTTTTCACACAAATTTTTATTATTGTAAAAAATACCAATGATGGGTTAAAAAAAAAATGTTTGTTTCAAACAAACAATGATTAATCATGGTTTTTTTTTTTATTTATTTTGTTTTATTTTAGAATGAAATAAACATATTCATTGTCTTTCTTTATTATATGTTTGAAAAATCAAAAAGGTTTACTATCATCTTCTGTTCAATCAATTCATTGATATTTTTAGATAAAAATACTCTATTTTTACTTTTACGTTTTTTTTTTCTTCTTTTTGAAGTTATTTAACGATGTTGACTGATTGAACATATAAATATGAACTGATCAAAGATATTTTCAAAAAGATCATTAAAATTTTAAATGAAAGGTTGGTAATTATTTGTGATCATCATTATCTGTGATTATCCGTAAAATCCCGAAACATAACTAGTAATGTTTACTACAAGCAAGCAGCAAGTTAAGTCGTCATAATATATATATTTAATCAAAGTTAAAAATTATTTTTTTTTTTTTTAAAAAAATTAAATAGTAATTAAGTAATAAAAAAAATAGAACAAATTAATACTAATTATTAGGTTTATTAAATTCTAAAAACTATATTATAAATGATTATTATTTTTACAACCAATATGTTTTGTCTTTAATTAATAATGAGACTTTTGTAATTTTTTATTAATATTTTTTTTTGAATCATTTTTTTTTTGTAATTTAATAATTATTTAATTTTAATTTTGTAAAAATTGTGAACATCACTCAAAAAAAAACAATTTTTTTATTAGATTAGAAAAAAAAAAACAAATAAGTTTAATCAATCAATCAATATATTATAATTTTTGTATAGTTTTGTTTTTTCACATTTAATTAATTATAAAGATACATATAGAAAATGAGTATTATGGAATATAATGGTGGTGCCGTCATTGTTATGACCGGTAAGGATTGTGTTGCCATCGCTACAGATCTTAGATTCGGTATTCAACACACAACCGTCTCTACAAACAACCCTAAAGTATATAGAATAAGTGATAAATGTTTCATTGGTATCTCTGGTTTAGTTACAGATGCCCAAACTTTGTATGTATTTCTATTAACATATCTCAAAGAGAGAGAGAACAGAAGTTTATCTTTTTTTTTCTTTTTTCTTTTTCTTTTCTTTGTTTTTCTTTTGTTTTTTTTTTTAATATAATTTAATTAAACACTATCATACTAACATAATCATAACATAATAATAATAATAATAATAGATATCAAAAGCTTGTATTTAGACACAACCTTTATAAATTGAAAGAAGAAAGAGATATGTCACCACAGGTATTGACTAATTTAGTTTCGAATATGTTGTATGAAAAGAGGTATGTATTGCTAGCAGAGGTGGAGATCACTAAATCATGATCGTTGAATGAATTCATAACTTATTTATTTTGTTTTGTGATTATTAATTATTAAATAAAATAATATATAGATTTGGACCATACTTTACAGAACCAGTTATTTGTGGATTGGACAGTAATAATAAACCATTTATCTCTGGTATGGATTTGATTGGTGCACCGGTACAAACTGATGACTTTTTGTTAGTCGGTACAATGACTCCTGCCATGTATGGTCTATGTGAAACTTTATACAAGAAAGATATGGTATGTTGATGATCATGATCAAAACAATACAATATCTACATGATTCTAACCTTTTAATTACTATTGCAATATAAAAGAATCCAGAGGAACTTTTTGAAACAATTTCACAGTGTATGTTGTCTTCTCTTGAGAGAGATGCCATGAGTGGTTGGGGTGCTGAAGTTACTGTTATGTAAGTGAATCATATATATTACAAATAAATGATAACATCATAGATGATAATAATAGTTACTAACATATATATATGTTTTTGCTTTGTTTTTAACTATATAGTTGTCCAGATAAGGTATTCAGAAGAAAGTTATTAGGTCGTCAAGATTAAAGATTATATTATGTTATTTGTTTTACATTCGACATCAAGTTTATTTATTTAAATATATAAACTTTTGTTAATAAAGATATCTCTTTTTCCTCCCGACATCATCATCGTCATTGTCATCATCAAATCACATTCAATTCAAATCAAATCAAAATAATATCAAATCAAACAATCAAATCTTGTAATTAAAACAAAAAAACAAATAAACAAACCAATAAATATATATAAAGTTATCATTATTAAATTTTACTAAATTAAATTAAATTAATAAAAGTGACAAATAAATAAAACTAGGTTTTATAAAGCTCTCCAACCAAGAATAATAGAACCACAACAAAGCTCTCAGCATTACTTTTAATTAATCATAATTAATCACATTGGTTATCACAAAGAAATAAAAAGTATTTAAAGGTGAGGGTGTGAGTGTTATTGGTGATTCTGTTAGATGGTGTTTTGTGGTGGTGGTCACCAACATCAAAACAAAACAACAACACAACACAACACAACACAACACAACACAACACTACAAAAACAATAATTAATTTTTACTTTTGTATAAATTAAGATATATATATATTATATTTTATATTATCTATATATATTATATTTGATAATAAATCATTTATATACAATTTGCAAATTAATATTAAATTATATTCAAACAAAAACAATAAATTAAAAAAAAAAAAAACAAAAACACGATTTTGTAAAAAATAAAATAATTTAAGTCATAAACAAGTTTCTACAACCGGCATTGGTCAATCAACAACTAATCAGTCAAACAATCAAACAATCAAACAATCAGTCAAAAAATTCATATTTTATGTTATTTTATTATTAAAATATAAGTTAATTATTTATTGTTACTTAATATTATTTTTATTAGCATTTTACAAAAGAGAGATTGTTAAATCAATAGAAGAAGAAGAAGAAGAAGGCAAAGCAGGCAGCCTATATGTTCATGAGCACCTATTCGAATACCAATGCCAGCAATCACAACAATAGCAATAACAGCAACAGCAATAGCAATAGCAATAACAATAACAGTATGACGACAATGCTGTCATTATCATCGGCATCACAGTATCAGCTAAACACCAGTGGTAGTAGCGGAAGTAACAGTAACAGTAACATCAATCTTAGTAACAGTAGTAACATTCAACACTACTCTAATATCACTACTGTTTCTTCAACCTCAACAACATTGGATGAATTGGAGATAAAGAAATGGATTCAACAAGTAGGTTTTTTTTAAAATATAGTATAGTGTTGTGATATATTATCTATAAATATTGATGATAGTTTTTTTCTTTTTTTTTATTATATTTTGTTTTGTTTCATTACAGAAATGTCCATCGTTATTATCAGTAGATTTTCTAGAGATTGATATTTTGGAATCGTTGCATTCCGGTACGCTACTGTGTAATCTTATCAATAGCATTCGACTGGGAATGATACAAAAGATACATGTGCGACCGACACAGCTACAGAAGATCGAGAACATCCGAAATTACTTGCGAGCATGCTGGTTACTCGGTGTGCACTCCAAATATCTATTTATAAGCTATACATTCCTTTATCAACCTGAAGACTGTAAAAGACAGGTATGTAGCATGTTTTACTAGGGATTGAATTTCTAATCTAGATTTATTAGTACTAACTAAAACAAAACATAAAAAAAACAAAACTCTTATAGTTAATTATAAATCTTTCGGAACTGTGTAAAATCTCATCTAAACTGAAATCGAGTGGATCGTTTCTATCTTCTCCACCGACTTTATCATCTTCTTCATCGTCACATGTCACAAATGGCAATGGTAATGGTAATGGTAATGGAAATGGATCATCATCATTGTTTATATCATCTACATCTACAACACCATCAACACCTTCAACACCACTGACTCAGTCAGCACCTTTATTAACTACAACATCAACATCGACAACAAACAACAACAATTTGATGTCTTTATCATCATCCTCAAAGAAGTCAATTCACAAGTCATCGTCGGCCTCATTATCATCGTCATCCAAACAACAACAACAGGCATCATCTGATTCCAAATTGAAATTGATATCAACTAGAAAAGATCAACAACAACAACATCAACAACCTTCAGATTCTTCATCATCATCAGATTCATCGTCAGATTCATCATCCTCATCGGATTCGTCAGACTCTGAAGATTCAACATCGATTCATAACAACTCATTCCTCAGTGATAGTTCCGGTGTTCCACTAATGTTTGGTAACAGTATCTCCTATAAATCGTTCGTAAAGGAACTGCTACATCTTAAAGACCGAATATCCAAACAGGAAAAGACAATACTCGTTCAAAAGGAAAAGATTGAATCACTTCACAAAGAATTGGATACCGAGCGACAAAAGAGTAAAAAGTTAAGTGAACCTGTAAGTTATTATTATTATTATCATTGTTATTCATTTCATTTCTCTAACATCATCATCACAATCTCATCATCATCATCATCAACACCATTCAGATTGATATTGCAAAATATATTGAATTACCATCGGATCCTAATGGCGCTATTCCTGTGTCGACACAGGCATTCACAAGACAGATACAGCAGATACAACAGCTACAGACGAGTAACACCAATCTTCAGGCGCAGCTCACTATCACCAGCGAGCAGCTGGCCGACCACATCAAGCGAAACAACAAGCTGGAGAATGAGTTGTTGAATATCGAGACGGAACTGCTCAATCTACGAATGAAATATGCCAACCAGATATCGGATCCGCCACGTTCCTCCAACTCTAGTCTATCGATCTCGAAACACCCGTTGTCTCGTACCAATTCACATCTTCCACCTCTCAGGAAATCAATCTCTCACAACAATATAACAACAACCAATATAATGAATCAACAACAACAACAACAACAACATCAATTGCAACAGAAATTAATACAACAAAATCAACAAAATCAACAACAACATCAATTTCACTTTACAAGTCCAACTGCATCTAGTAGTTTTCTAAAGTTTAGTGGACATCATACTAATTTAAGTGGCGGTGGTGGAAATAGTGGATTCCCATTGAGTGGTGGATCGTCACCAATGATGTTATCGCACCAACAGCATTCAATGGAAGTCATAGAGCTGGAAGTGGATCGTGAACTATTGGATTTCGGCAGGAAGATCGTCTCTGCTTTGATATCCTCTAGTAATCACGTGGAGATGACCGACATCTACAAGATGAACAATATATTCACCAATGACTATGCTCGTAGAAGTATATGTATGACATTGGATGAAGAAACAAAAGCAAATGTATGATATCATTAGCAGCAATGTGTTTGTTAAACAAACTACTATTTGAATTATTACTAATCATCTTGATCAAAATCATAATTATTAATATTTTCTATAGCAAATGAATCTACCAATGAATGAGAATTCATATGAAGTAACGCTGTATTTGATAAATACAATCTTACAGAATTTATATGAAGCGAAAGCTAAAGATTACTTTAGTTGTAAATTGATTATGGATTGCTCGCGTATATTGAATCGAAAGAAGATCAATGGAACCTGTGAGTTCATTCAAGAGTTTATCAAGGATCATCCGACATGGAAAGATCTAAGCTTTTGGGAGGAACTCTACTGGGATGAATTGGTAATGAAACACGAGCAGTTTGGATATGACAATTATGTTGAATTTGATATAGATTTAGTTTGTACTTTATTATTATCATTTGGTAAGTGGTTAGTTAATTAGTTAAACATTATTGTTAACAAAGTAAAGAGTATCAATTTGTTAACAAACCAATCACTAATCATCATTATAAATTTTATAGTATATAATCTACATGGTTGGGGATTAGGAAAGAATGAAGTAATTGAATTCTCCAATTCCATGGCAAAGAAATCACTGTTGAAAGGAGAGGCAATGGCTCATTTCATCGATCAGGTGCGTAGTATTACCGATCTGACATTCAAGTCGGATGGCTTCAAAGGCAAGCATTCATTCGTGCTCAAGAACTTTAAGAACATCTCAGAGTGCAACCATTGCAACCAATATATATGGGGTGTAAGAGGTATCGTCGAGAGACAGGCATTCGAGTGTGTAGGTTGTAAATATAAATCACATAAAAAGTGTTTAAAACATGCTTCTGAATCTTGTTGTAGTAAGTAAACTAAACATATTATATTTAATATCAGTCTGAAAGATATTAACGTTTAAAATCATTCATTATCATTATCATAATAATAATAATAATAATAATAATAGCTGCTCCGAATGTTGGTGCACCATTCAATGTTAAACATGAAATTCATGTTGGGTTGGCACTACAAGGTATACCTGATCAATGGAAGACATTGTTGGCACAATCTGGATTCCAAGATGGTGAGATTAATCAGCATCCAGATGATGTTTTAGATGTACTTGAATTCCATCATGTATATAATCAAAAGTATGTGTTATCTATTGTTAAAATAGCCCGAGTTTGTTAGTTATGTTAACAATTTTACTTATTATTATTATAATTATTATAGGTCAGGTACATCACACTTTGAGAGAAGTGAATCGATGACTAATATACCACCGAGACCACTCTCGCCAACCATTGATAGTAATACACAATTACTTGCACTTGAAGAACCTTCTTTTACTCTAAGTAAATATAAAACATAATTATAATAATAGATATTTTAAACTAAATAACTAACTAACTAATATTATTATTATTATTATTACAGAGGATTTAGTTTCTTCAGAAAACCCTGAAGAATTATATAAAGATATTGTAAAGATTGGTGGAGGGTATTGTATCATTTTATTAGTCAATGTTTTATTAAAACTATATCATATTAATTAATGTATTGTTACAATTTTATAGATCAACTGGTAATGTTTATTGTGGTACGAATATTCAGACTGGTGAGAAGGTTGCAATCAAAAAGATGAAGGTCGACAATAAGAATATAAAGAATGTGATCAATGAGATTTGTACAATGAAGAACTGCACACATAAGAATTTAATTAGATATATCAACTCTTATTTAGTTCTCAATCATCTTTGGGTAAGTAGCAACAACAACATAAAATATATGAAGATTGATTGTTTATCATCATTATACAATTTAACTAACTAATTAATATTTTAATAATTATAATAATAGTTAACAATGGAGTATATGTCATTTGGATCACTTACAGATATGATCGGTACAAAGAATCAGTCATTCAATGAATCACATATCGCTTACATTTGTCTACAGGTTCTTCAAGGTATCGATTATATACACAAGGGTCATCGCATTCACAGAGATATAAAATCTGATAATATACTTGTTGGTAGAGATGGTAGCATTAAGATTGGTAAGTTTAAACATCTATTATATCAGAAGATCTTCAGTTAAAAAAAACTATTATTAATGACTAACAAACAATTTTGATTATTGATCAGCTGATTTTGGATTTGTTGCTAATCTTACTAGAGCTAAACTACAAAGAAACAGTGTAGTTGGAACACCCTATTGGATGGCACCAGAACTTATCAGAGGTAACCAATACAATCATAAGATCGACATATGGAGTCTTGGTATATTAGCCAGAGAACTATCGGAAGGTGAACCACCCTATGCTAAATATCCACCTGTTAGAGTAAGTAACTTTCGACAACAACAACATGTTCATTTCATAATTATATTAATCATTTCTTTGATTGATTTTACTTTAATAATAATAGGCATTGTTTTTATTGACATTAGAAGGTGTACCTGATTTCAAAGAACCAATGAAATGGTCGAATGAATTCATAGACTTTGTAAACTTGTGTCTCAATCTTGATGATAAGAGAAGACCTGACGCGCACTATCTCTTGAGACACGTGTTCCTAAAGAAAGCTTGCTCAGCCAAAGAGTTCACCGAGAAAATCGATGAGATTGCAACCATCAAGCAAAACAATTTCTCTGATATTACTTTATAGATTAATTAATTATATAAAAAAAATAAATTATAACTATATATTATAATTTATTTGCACATTTATTTCCATTTTTTTGGTTAATAAATTTTAAATTGACATAAACAAATGATCATTTAATTTTTACCCTTTAGTCTAACTCACCATGTAGTTTAGTTTACCCTAGAAATTTATTAATATATAAAATATTTATTTTTTTGAGAATTATAATAAGTTTATTCGGTGGGTTGTTAATCATTGGAATAATCATAATAATATATAAATGTAAATTCATTAGACTTACTAAATTATTTTTTTCCTGGAATTAAATTTTGGTACTGGTTTTTAGGAAACTACAATAAACCAATTTTTTTTTTTTTTTTTTAATTTCTATTATCTATTTTATCTATTTATGACAATAAATTAAATTAATTTTATTAAATAAATGAATACAAATAATGAGCAGTATACAACCTGTTAATCCTTTCAAATCGTTGGAGAGAATTGACCAAGCAAAAATGATACCTCTATCAAGAATTAAGTGTTCTTCAAAACAATTCACTGTTAGAGTTTTTGTAAAAAGAAAGATCAATCTGAAGAAATTCCAAGGCTCAATACTTTTGGATGATAGTCTTACTGTAATTATCAATAGTTTCCTATTTAATATAAAAGTACTTTAACAACCTATCAAAGATTCTAACAAACAATACTAAATTTATATTATCTAGAGAAATCAAATAATAATCATTTACACTGAAGAAGTTTCGAGAGTGTCCTATGGTAGTAAATTCAAAGATGTAGCTGAAGGAAAGATATATTATATCACTAATGTTTGTGCGGAAATATCTTACTTTGCGGTGGATCATCCATTCGTTCTGAGGTGCACTTCATGGACTGAAGTGATTCCCTGTCCAGAGGAATTCAAATCGCTTCCCACTCTCTATCGATTTATATCGATGAGTTCATTGGAGGTCGATTACAAAGAGTTGATAGCGTATAAAAGAGTGTTTGTCGATGTAATCGGATATGTACAGAGCAAAGAATCATCAAGAGTCGGTTCGAAAATCAAAAAAAGCAAAATAGATGAAACAGCCATAGTATCTATACAAACGATTACATTGGCCGACACCGAAAACCACTCGATTTCCGTTGTTTTCTTTGGTGAATCGATAGAAAGATATCTTGCCGATATCAATGTTGGTGATATAATAGCAATCAAATCAGCCAAGATTTCGTGTTTCAACCGGTTGTCTCTCATCTACTCGAGCGTGACCTACCATGATAAAGACATTGAACACTTGAAGCAATACAGAGAATTAAAAGATTGGCTAGATAACAACTGTACTAATCATCAAAACAACAGTAACATTGTGTTGAGATCACTGACTAAACAATGCTATAGAGATAAATTGATATCAACAAACATAGCATCGATAGCATCTAAAATCTTCAAAGAGGAACATGATTATACAAATGACAATCTCTATGTGGTGGATGGTAATATCTCAAAGGAAGCGATATCACTGAATTTTGATCGTTTTGGTTGTCCAAAGTGTTATCAACTGTTTAAAGATAGATTATGCAACGTTTGTAATCTCCCACCCTGTAGGTTGTTAGAGATTACCTTTACAGTGACAGATCCAAGTGACAATGATATTAGTTCTCTGGAGGTAAATGCAAGAGATGAAATTGCAGAGCGTCTGGTCAAGATGAATCAAAATCAGTTTTCTGCAGAAACACCTTTACCGCATTGCTTAAAGATTGAAAATAATTTTTTGACCATGGGATTGAAACTACTGGAAGTCGATAGGTGGGAACTTGTATATTTTTGAGCGGTTGAAAGAATAATAAATTGAATTGCCATTTTTTATTTTTAACCGATACAATAAAATTTTTGTTTATCTTAAAATGGAAGTATTTAATTGTTTTTTTTTATGATATTCACCGGTTTGTCATCTCACCTACCAAATGGATGAGATCTTAAGTCACACTGCTTTAACCAGTTACCATTTTTAGAGGTGATAGGTTGCTGTTGTCAAGTTATCGATGATTTGTTTGATAATTTGAGTGCCAACTCTGAGTTATTTGTGTTGTACCAGAAAATTAAAAGAAAGAATAAAAGCAATTCGCGAATAATTGGTTTTTTCAACATTGACCAGGGTATGTAAGCTGGTTAAAGCAGTGTGACTTAAGATCTCATCCATTTGGTTCGTGAGTTCGAATCTCACCTCTGGTAAATCTTTTCCTGATGTCAAAAATACTGTCCGCATGCGGACAAGGTTGAGAAATGTTGAATAAAAATTATTCTCCCCTTCCGGGAATTGAACCCGGGCCTTTCGCGTGACAGGCGAAAATCCTCACCACTAGACCAAAGGGGAGTTGATGTTTTGATTTGGAGAAATTTAAATTTTTATTTTATTTTATTGCACAATACTTGAACGTTTTAAAAAAATTTAAATATGAAGAATTAATCAACAAACAACTTGAAAAAATTAATAGTTTTGCCAAAATGCACCAATTTTTTTCAATCTTAGAATTACTACTACAGATTAAACTTTATTATTTACTAACTATTAAAATTGGTAAAAATTAATTCCTTTTATTACAACAAACTAAATATATTAAACAATAATATAATCAATCAAGTAATTCGTAATTTGTTAATTCGCAAAGCAGTTACACCCAAAAAAATTAATTAATTTTTTTGAATCGTTCGTTTTTGTTTGTTTTTTTTTTAATTATCATTTTTTTTTTACAATTACATTCATTGTTTGTTAGATATCATCATATAGTTGTAAGATGCTAACTTCGTGTAGTAAGATATTGTCTAAGCAGACATTTATATCAGGTACTACCTCGAGAAGTCTATCTTCAACTCTTTTCAATTTAAAGTCATATTCTACCGCGAATGCAACGACATCACAAACCACCAATGACAATAGCTCTACCATTTTAAATAGTAACAGTAATAATAATAGTAGTAATCAAAATCAGGATGGTGTTATAGATTTCATTGTTGTTGGATCGGGAAATCAACAACTAAACAATGTCAACTACAATGATGATGATTTGGTTGTAGATGCAGCTGCTTCAGCAGCATCATCAGTAACATCTACATCGATTGCATCTTCAACCAGTACTACTTCAACTGCTACTGCTACTGCTACTAGAAAGAGAGCAAAGAAAGAGGATCTAACTGTTTTGACACTTGCACAACTCAGACAGATCTGTAAGGATATGGGTTTAAAACATTCACTATCAAAGAAAACAGAGATAGTCACCCTTATTGAATCTCACAAAGCTATTCTTGAGAAAGAGAGAAAGAAACAAGAGAGAAAAGAGAAGAAGTTGGCTTTGTCACAACAAAAACAGCAAGAACAAGAACAACAACAAAAACAAGAACAACAAGTACAAGTGAAGAAAGAGAAAAAAGAAAAGAAGGAAAGAAAGAAAAGAAAGAGAAGAAAGTAAAAGCAGAAGAAAAAGAAGAAGAAGAGGTAGAGGAGAGTGCAGAGGATTTCGATGATCTAAAGAAATACACAAAGAAAAAGTTGTACACTTTGCCATATGAGGAACTCAAGAGAATCTGTGAAGATCGTCGTTACACTTGCAGTATCAGCACACAGAGAGAGCTTGCCAAGTTTATTTATTACAAACTTCAGGAGGAAGATGCCAGAAAGAAGACCGAGAAACTGTTAAGTCAGCTACAACAAATAAAAGATGAAAACAACCAACAACCACAACAACAACCATTAATCGTTTCAGAACAACCAACACAACAACAACAACCTAATATTCCAATTGAAACAATCTCTTTAACAACAAACCCTGTTATTGTTGCTAAACAAGAAAAGAGAGATTTACCACCACCACAACAACAACAACCTATCGCTATTCCAACTGAATCAACAATCTCTTTAACAAATAAACAAGAAGCAGAAACAACCGAGCCAGTTAAGAAAGAAGAAAGAGATTTACCACAACATAAACAACACCAACACCAACAACAAGTAATAACAAATAAATATCAAAAACAACAAAGACCACAACCACAACACCAACAACAAAAACCAACATATATTAATAAGAACACTAATACTACCACCACTACAACTGAACCAAAGTTGAAACCACTTGTCAATTCTTTGAGTATTGATGAACTTTTATATGTCTGCAAGGCAAAGGAAGTTTGGGTCAAAGGCAGAGTTGTCACAAAGTCAAAGCTTCTTTCAGCGTTGTCACAAATCAACATTACGAAAACCTCTCAGGTACAAGAGTACGTTGACGAGTTCCATCGCACAAAGCAAGCTGCGAAATCAAATACCTACACACTCGCCACCACCAAATACACCAATGAATCGGCATCGTTCAAAACAGCACTCACCAACTTGCAATCTCAATTCTTTGTACTCACCGAAGATCTTAAAGCAACCATACATTCATTAGACGATCCATCCATCTCTCCAAATCATAGAATCTCTCAAACAAAGAAATTAAATAAGTAAGCAAAGAAGAGTTTATATTGTTTTGTTTTGTTTTGTTTATGTTACTAATTTGTTTTTTTAGTATATTTAAAGATGTATTATTACCTGTTCAATGTGAAAATAGTAAAGATAAAGTGGAATTGGAAAATTATTGGAATGGTCTGGTTAATCAATTCAATTCGGTGTTGCTTAGTACCATCGGTGCATTGAGTAGCAATTCACTTGCCAACGCCAATGCCAATTCGATATTCAAGTACATGTCAGAGTCAGACTATGAGTCGTTGCCACACGCCGTTGAACTCTACCTCGACAGAATGTTGTTCAACCAAGAGATACTCACATATATCAAGAACTACTTTCACAATCGAGGTACCATTCCCTATCAGATATCCGATATCAATACAGAGTTGGCTAGATTAGATAGTCAGAAGAATAGCAGCAACAACAACGACATCACACAACAACCATCCAATTTCAATCGCACGAAGAATCTCATTGAACTAAGAACATACCTAACTATTCAAATGACTAAATTCAACGAAGCATTGAAAAGTTACAATCAACTAGACAAGCAAATACGTTTCAAATGTGTATTTTCGTTCTTGGCACTGTTTGAGCGTATGGTTATTCTCGGCCGTTTCGATGACTCTCTGAATTTCCTCAGTGAGAATATCGGTCAACTTGCAAGTGAGAATGTTGTTAGCATCAGTGGTAACAACAACAACAATCATGTAGATGTCATGAAATACGTTTGTGATATCCTTGTCAATTTGAATAACAAGAGTTTGTTGGAGAAAATTGTGAAGCGATTGGACGAAGAAGCTACACTGCTCGGTTGTTTGACGGAAGCCAACATTCATCAGTTGATGCGTGCCAATCGCGAACCAATTATCAACCTCATTCCTCAGCTAGACAAACCGATGCTTATCAAGGTGCTCTCAGAGTTGAATCACTATATGAAGTCTGGAACTTTCGAGATCAACGATGCGCAAGCCGACATGGTTCGAGAGTGCGTCGAGAACATCTTGATCAAAGATGTCGACTTGCGCGATCTAGAGTCTTGGGAATCGATCGTTGCGCTTCTCCAATCAAAGTCACTGCTCTCCACACTCGACAAGGTGATTGGCAAGATTGTCCAGATCCCAGAGTTGTGTGTTCCCATCTTGATTTGCAATGAGACATTCAAGAACCAGGCTGTCGTAGACTCGTTCATCCGGTTGCTTGGACAGGTCGAAGACAACCAGAGAAGTGTTATCTTGACCTGGATTATCAAGTCGCACTTGCAGTTGGATCGCTATGACTGCGCACTCGAGTGGTACGCAAGAATGACCTTGGAGTATGGCTTGGTTCCATCGATCTACACCATCCATCTCTTCACTCTCTACCATCAGAACAACAAGTCTGCAACCGACCAGACATCGATGATCTCCTTCTGGCTCCTGAGACAAACCATCTACGCAACCAACTCATCGAAGCGTCAGTACATTACAAACTCGTGGGATCGTTCGATCATTGCCAACGTCCCATTCAGTCTTGGCAAGACAAATCGTAAGAAAGAAGCGGACATCTTCCTGGAGAAACTCTGCAAGGATAGAGATATCGAAGGTATCTACAATCAGTTGTTGATACTGCTCTCAAAGGATCAGATTCCACATGGATCGTTGCTGATCAACGCCGTCTCCATTCTCTACGAGGACGACACAGAAAAGTATCACACACTGCTCGCACAACCAATGTCCGAACGTCTGCGTTTCATTCTCTACGACTCTGGATCGATCACACGAAACTTTAAGGAGAATCTGCCGTTTGCTATTCAACAGATCCGTCAGCAACTGCCAATTGTCATCGGTAGTTCACCGAATATGTATGCCGCCACCGGCTATCACTGTATGGAGATCGACAACAAAGAGTATCTCTTAAAGATCTTCCAGGCGATGCTAGACAAGTGTATTCCATTCAACATGTATTTCATCTCAAAAGTATGCAACTACTTCAATGGCTCCAATGATATCCAATCGTTGCCAGAGCAATCGATCGTGCAGATCCGTTCGATCTACGAGAACAAGCAGTCCAACCCAGGCAAACTGATTGGCTTGACCAACGTCGTCTTCAACGACATGCTCAAGAAGAACGAGTTGGAAGCAGCCGAGAAACTGTTCAACACCACCAAAGAGTTGAAAGACGTCACCTGCTATCACCTGGCGATTCGTTTGTTCTTTGCGAAACACCGCGAACTCGACCCATTCGGACCGAGTGCCTACTGTGCATTCGACCAGCTCGAAAAGTTCCTTGGCATCGACGAGGTACACAAACAAAAGTATTTCGCAGCGCTATTTGACTATTTCCACGAGAATCAACAGTCTCACCATGTCGTGGCGATGATGAATGTCTACGAGCCATACTTTAGAACGTTCCAAGAGGTGGCGCTGCTCAACTCGATATTGAAATGCATAAAGAGTCCGATCTTGAAGATCGAAATGTTCAAACGATTCAAATTGGTCTCCTTTAAAAACTCTTTTCCCAAACAAATCAAATCCGAAATACTCAAAGCCAACGAGATCGTCATGGATCCCGAGGTGGACAGCAAGTTGAGTGAAATGACTTTCCGTGAACCACAAGCATTAAACCCAGATATCGAAGATTTAATCAATAATATTTTGGTACCAAAGTTATAAAGTAAAATAAATTAAAATTAAATTAAAACATAAATTTATATTATAATTAAATATATTTCTTTTCGATCTATTTATTTATTTCTTTTGTTTCTTTGATGTTGATGTTGGTTGTTGTTTACTTTGCACTAACTTTGATCTTAAACTTTCAGCTGATGGTTTTGATTTGTTTTAAACTATTTGGTTTGTTTGGTGGTGTTAATAAAACCATTGGTCTTTTCTTTGATTTAACTGGTTCTTCTTCTTCACTTTCTTCATCATCATCTTCACTATCATCATCATCTCCACTATCATCTTCACCAAAATCATCACTATCTCCTTCATCATCATCATCAAACTCTGCATCTTCATCGAAATCTTCATCATCTTCCTCATCATCTTCCTCTTCAACCTGTTGTTGTTGTTTCTTATTTGCTATTTTCTTATTTGCTTTTGTAACGGCAACTGCAGCGTTTGCTTCAATTTGATTCCAAATTTGCTCGTTCTCTTCGTCATCTATACCACCGTCATCATTGTATTCCTCTTCTTCTTCTTCATCGTCAAACTGCTGAGCATATCCATTGGTTGTCTCTTCTTCCTCTTCTGGTTCTGGTGGTTCCTCAGCAGAGAACAAAACAGACGACATCTTTTGCTTCAAATAAACGGTTTGCACACATTTTCTGCTATCGATATCAAACACTCTCAAATGACGATCCAAACCAACAGTCGCCAACAACGGAAGAGTTGGATGAACATCGATACATCTAACACTACCTGTATTTCCTTTGTACGATCCTATAGATTTACCATTTCTAATATCATAAGAATTAACATTACCAACTGAATCTGCAATGATAATCATACTGAACAATCAATATTTTTATGATAAATTAGTTAGTTAATCCGCTTAAAAGATAATAAAAAACTAACAATTACTAATTAGTTAGTAAATTACTACTTACTTTTCAAATTGATTACTATATTTAATTGAGAGAATTGGATGTTTCGCTAGTTTAATGTTGATGGCGGGTGGCGAACGATTCTTACGACAATCGTAGACTCTCATCTCTGCGTGACCAGTACCGGTTACGATCTTGTCGGATCCGACCAGCTCGATATCGGTGATCCAGATGAGCGGAGCAATACCGAGCATGTCGTTCGGCGCATTCTTGGCACGCCAAACCTGCTGCTTCTTCTCAATGTCGAAAACAGAGATCTCTGAATTCTTTCCACCGATCGCTATTCTGTTGGCGTCGTTCTGGTCGACCTTCAGCTGATACAACGATTTCGAGAAGCTCATTTGTTCGAGCTGCTTGGCGTCGCCCTCCTCTGTAACCTTTTGCAACGAGATCGAACCGTTCTCACAACCGACCAACAATCTTCTATCGGCGAGCGTGCGGATGGCACGCACCGCTTGAGTAGCTCCCAGCTGAATCTCACCGAGTGTTTGTCCTACACCTTCGTTTATACTCCACATCTTGACGGTACCATCTTTGTAACCCTGTAACAACTCTGACTCATTGCTATCCCAACCATAGCTCATAGTCAACAATTCCTTTTCCAATGAGCTTTGTATTTGACCATAGATACCAACTGGTTTCTTATCTTTTATATTATAAACTATAAATTTTGATAAATAGATAAATTGTTAAAATAAGACAATTCAAAAAAAAATCTTTAGTTTTTAACAAACCTTTAACAACACCACTATCTGATCCAACTGTAACATTCATTTTTAATCTAATCTAAATTTATATATAACAATATAAAATGACAAAATCAAAAAATCATTAATATTTCTTCGTTCGTTTTTTTCTTTTTTTTTTTTTTTTTTGTATCAAAAATAATTTTTAAAATTAAATTAAATTAAATGAATTTTTATTTTATTTATTTATAAAAAGATATATAGAAATATGGATAATAATAATAATGATATAATTAGTAAAATGAATACAATGTTGGCATCTGATGTCAATTTGTTAGAATATTTAGAGAAGGATACATATCAACATTTATTGAATTATTATGATGAAGAACAGCTGAGTTCTATTCAGAGAGCACAAACAACAGTACAATCATTGACATGTGTTCGTGTTAATACTTTAAAAATATCAAAGAATCAATTAATTGAGAAATTGATTGATCATTTCAATAACAATAACAATAATGGTCAACCATCAACATATAAACTTTCATTTGATGATATCATTTCATTTGATCAACTTTTAAATAAAGATAATAACAATAGTGAAGATAATCATAAAAATAATGAAGAAATATTAAATAAATTAAATAATGAAGTTATATTAATAAAAAATAGAGGTCCTTTTAAAAGAAATCCAATTTATAAACGTAATATATCAGTTTTGTTAATATTCACTTATATTTCAATCACCTGACTAATTAAAATAACTATTTATTATTACCTGTTTCCTCTAGAGGTGGTTGTTGGTGCTACATGTGGTGAATCAGTTTTAAGAGGAAGTCAAATATTTGCTGTAAGTGTATCAAATGTAAATGATATTTCCTTGCTATCAATCAAATTAATAATATTTGTTACTACTTAATATATAGCCAGGTGTAATTGGATCGGATAAAACAAGTAAGTAAGAAATAATTAATTAAAAATGGAAATTATTTAGTTAAAACTAATTGATTTTAAATTAATTTTTAATTAAAAGTTGTAAAAGGTGAAAAAGTATCTATTTTTGTAGATTTGATGGGTGATGGGAAAAAGGGATTTGTTGTTGAACAATTCTATAAAGAAAGGACTGTTTATATTGGAAATGGAATATCTCTATTGGATAGATTAGATTATTTCAGTGGTAATGGTGGTGTGGCAATCGAAATGACTGAGAGAATCTATGAATGTCCACCATTGAACGCTTTGTTCCCCGATTTACTGTTTCTTCAACATCTACCATCGATTCTCGCTGTATTCCAACTGGACGTAAAGAGTGGCCAGCGAGTACTGGACATGTGTTCTGCACCGGGCGGTAAAACCACTCTGATAGCATCGCTCATGTCCGACACCGGAACGATCATCGCCATCGATAAAAACAAGAAAAAACAACAAACCGTCCAAAAGCTATGTTTGGAGCTGGGTATCAAGTCGGTCACCTGCTTATCACGTGACTCTGCGAAACTCACAAAGCAACCGAGAGATCTACCAGAGTTTGCAGATGAGTCGTTCGACCGTATTCTACTGGACGGTCCGTGCTCAGGACTTGGTTCACGACCACGATTCATCGAGCCGAGCAAACTGATCGATTTGACAAACGCCACCGACATCCAGCGACGATTGATCGATAATGCAGTGCCGCTGTTGAAGCGCGGTGGAATATTGGTGTACTCGACATGCACTATCAATCCAGAGGAGAACGAACAGAACGTAGCATACCTACTGGCGAAACACTCCAACATGCGACTGATAGCACAGTTTCCGCATGTCGGTGATAGAGGTCTACAGAAATGCGGACTCACTCCAGAGCAACAGCATTTGGTTCAACGATTCGATCCATCCAATAAATTATCATCGATCGGTTTCTTTATTGCAAGATTCATAAAAGAATAACAACAATAAATAATATAAACAAAACAGGTTCCTACTCCATTTTTCATTCGTTTTTTTCATCATAAGCAACTCACTTCTTCACACGCAATTTGTTGCAAATCAAAATCAGTAACTTGTTTTGCATTGCTTCCATTTCCAATTTTTGATCAAATTTTTATTTTTTATTTTCTTTTGAAAGTTAATAACAAAAAAGTTAAAGTTATAATTTATACATACAATGAGTAGTAATCATCTTAACTATACTATGTCTGCTCTCACCTTTTTGGGTGGAGTAATGGGATATGCCAAGGCAAAGTCAATGCCAAGTTTGATTGCAGGTACCACCTTTGCATTGTTATATGCCGCCACTGGTGTAGCCATGGAAAAAGATCCACAAACAGGTCATGCTGCAACTGCAGGTAGAGTATCAATATTGAGAAATCAATCAATCAATCAGTATAATGTATTCACCACACCAGCATTCATTAACTCTTTACTTTTTTTTTTTGTAGTTATTTCTGTTGTCTTGACAGGAGCAATGGGTAAGCGTGCCATAAAAACAGGAAAGGTGTTTCCAGCTGGTGTCGTCGCTACTGCCGCTGGTTTAACTACACTCTACAGTGCAAAGAAGTACTATGATTGGACATATGGCGTATAAATAAAATTTGTAAAAAATAATAAATATAAAGATTTATATTGTTCTTATCCAATAATAATAATAATAATAAGTTAATCTACCAAAAGATTTAGATATTAAACATGTTTGTTGAAAAACAAGAAATTAAAAAAATATTATTTGAAATTTCAAACAATTTTGATTTTTAAAATAATTATCCTTTTTTATTTAATTTTTATTTTTTGTTGTTTTTTCATTCATTTCATTCTTTTTTTGACATTCCATTCCATTACTTTATATATTCAAGCGCAAGTGCACTACTACTAAACTATCTTTTGATAACCTAATCTATTCATATTTACTATTAGCAACAAAAACAACATTTGAATAATATAATATAGTTTAGTTTAGTTTAGTTTAGTTTAGTTTAGTTTAGTTTAGTTTAGTTTAGTTTAGTTTAGTTTAGAAATACAAATATGAATGTTAATAAATATACTGGTGTTGTTGGTAATCAACCAACCACAACATCATCACAACAACAGCAGCAACAGCAACAACAAGCAATGAAATCATCTTTAGGTATGAGTGGAGGAATAGAGAAATCACCACTTCAAATTGGAAATTATAGATTAGATAAAACTGTTGGTATAGGTTCATTCGGTAAAGTTAAAGGTAATTAACATATCAATCGGATTGTAATTGTAATAGGAACTAACCAACAAATATTGAATCGAATGCAGTTGCTGAACATATAAAGACAGGTGCAAAAGTAGCAGTGAAAATATTGAATAGAAATAAGATAAAGTTTATGAGGATGGACGAGAAGATCAGGAGAGAAATACAGAATCTAAAGTTGTTTAGACACCCTCATATCATTAAGTTGTATGAGGTCATAGAGACACCAACCGATATCTTCATGGTAATGGAATACGTTACCGGTGGCGAGTTGTTTGATTACATCGTGAAGAATGGTAAACTACCGGAAGACGAATCACGCAGACTCTTCCAACAAATGATATCGGGTATCGAGTATTGTCATCATCACATGGTGGTACATCGTGACCTGAAACCAGAGAATCTATTATTAGATCCAACTCATAAATGGTAAGTTGGAATAAACAAACAAACAAACAAACTAAACATTCAATTCATTCTTAACAAACATCTTACCAACTTTTAGTATAAAGATTGCAGATTTTGGATTATCGAATATGATGCAAGACGGTGATTTCCTAAAGACGAGTTGTGGATCACCTAATTACGCAGCACCAGAGGTAATCTCTGGAAAGTTGTATGCAGGTCCGGAAGTAGATGTGTGGTCATGTGGTGTTATTCTATATGCTTTCTTGTGTGCAAAGTTACCATTTGACGATGATCACATACCTACTTTATTTAAAAAGATTAGAGGTAAACAAATCAAAACAAAACAACAGTAGTTTAAAACTACTGATTTTGATAGCAAACTAACCAACTAACATATTTTTATTTATCTAAAGATGGTGTATTCGTTATTCCAGATTATATTTCACCTAGTTGTGCAGATTTAATAAAGCAAATGTTGATTGTAGATCCTGTTAAGCGTATTTCGATTAGTGAGATTCGAAAGCACCCTTGGTTTCAGACGAATCTACCGGCGTATTTGTCGTCACCGCAGATCTTCCTCTCGAGGAGCGCTCACCAGCTGGATCCAGAGATACTGGATGAACTCGTTGCAAAGTATGAATCGACCGGTGCGAAACGCGAGCAGATCGTTGCGGAACTCGAGAAGATGGAAGAAGGCGATGTCAACGATTACATTGTAGCGTATCATCTGCTGATCGATCAAAAGAAGAACCCATATGCCGACTCCATCATCGAATCGAAAACACAATCTTCACTGCTGACACCCGGTGCAACGACACCGATCTATCAATCACTCTCCTCATCACAATCCTCACAGGAATATGGTGGAAGTCCATCCTCGACATCACAACAACTCAGAAAATGGTATCTAGGTGCAATCTCACAACTACCACCACAAGAAATTATGAGAGAAGTTTATAGATCATTACAAATAGTTGGTTTTGTAAGTCTGTCGAATTATAGTTTAGTTTAAGAAAAGATGATATATATAATGTGTTTATTAACTCTATTTATTAATTATTGTTTAGGAATGGAAAGTAACAGGACCATATCAATTAAGATGTAGAATAATGAATGATAGACCTATAAAGATTGTATTACAGTTGTTTAGAGTTACAGAGAACCGCTATCTATTGGATATCAAAAAGATAGAAGGAGAGATCTTTATATTCTTTGATATTTGTTCAGAGCTGCTAACAGAACTTAATCTTTGAGAGAAGAAGAGGATGAAGAAAAATTTATAGCATTTCGAACGATCGACTACCATGTATTATTCTATTAAATATCATTAATAAATTAGATCTACTTTACTTTATTTTGTACAAATAATAATAATAATTGAAACAAATAAATTGTATAAAATTTAAACAACACAAATATCAAGATATTGTTGTTAAAAATAAATATTATTTATACAATTATTTAATTTTTATTTAAATCTAGATTTTTAACCTGAATGGATTGATCAGCTTATAAACATTGGTTTATCTCACTTTTTTTTTTTATTTTCTTTTTTGTCTTACTTATTTATCATTTTTATTATCTAGATAGAATGAATAAAGATATATTATTAAAAGTATTAAATAATAAAGTATTAGGACAAATTATTTTTAACAATATACCTTCAATCAATAGATTGAAATCAGAGAATGGATACACTTGGAATCAAGTTATAACAAATTCAAGATTGATGGGATTGTTTGGTTATATCGATTGCTTAGATAGTCATTTGAAATCCTTGCAAAGTGAGGAACTTCGAATGGATGTTGCTGCTGCAGTTTTTGGTGCTTCAAAGAGTGGGAGATTAGACGTCATAGAGCACCTCTTTGACAAATACAATACACTTGCCTATGTATCGAAAGAAATAGTTCGTGTTGCCATTGAAAACAATCAAATGGGAGTTATCAAATACTTTGAGAGATACAGTAACTCCAATCCCATTGACTATGACGAAGCATTTAGTTTGTCACCTTTATCTGGAAACTTGGAGTTGGTGAAATATTTCTCTGGTAAAATCAAACCAGATTCCACTGAGCTTGGCTCTCAACAATCTAATACACCCAGTGTTGTTTACGATAGCGCAGCCCACCGTGGAAGTGTAGAGATAATCGAATGGTTGGCTTTGAACAGACCTGGATATAGAGAAGGAAATCAAATGTATTTGATAGCAGTCCAACAAAACAAAATAGAAGTTCTAGATTATCTAAAGAAAGAAGGAATTGAAGATTGTGAAGGTTACCTATTTAATATTGCAGTATTAGGTGGAAGCAAGGAGGCATTGATTTGGTTGTATGACAACTGTAGTGACGATATGATTCCAAGTAATATTTTTGACACTGCAATCGATAATTGTCAGCTGGAAATCATGGATTGGTTATACCACGAAAAGGGTGCAAGTATTGATTATCGGATTTTGCAGTCTGATACCACCAATAATATCGATGTTATTAAATGGTTACACTACAATCAGATACCGTCTTTTAATACTCAGACCTTGGATCTTGCAGCCATGCATGGAAATCTTGAGGTTGTGACATTCCTCCATGAAAATCGAACTGAAGGATGTACAAAGGTTGCCATAAATCATGCTGTAAGCTATGGTCACATGGATGTTGTTGAATTTCTATTGGATAATAGGACAGAAGGATACTCAGAGAGTATTATCGATTACTACATTAAGAAAGGTGATCCAGACTCTATCAAACCTATTCTTGAACGCCGAACCAAAGGTGTTTCAGAGAAATCGATGAAACAATTGGTTAAAGATGGTAATCTGGTATTTCTAAAATGGATTCACGAGAATAATAAAACTGAAAATTGGAATCATGGATTGCTCGATCTTGCAGCCAGAAGTAATCAATTGGATGTTTTAAAATGGTTGCACGAGAACAAAACTGAAAGATGCTCTGTACAGACCATGAATGCTGCAGCTGGTTTAGGATACTTATCAATCATCGAGTTTCTTCATTTTAATAGAACTGAAGGTTGTACAACTGATGCACTTGACAATGCAGCTAGCAATCGACACTTAGATGTTGTGAAATTCCTTCATTTTAATAGGAGTGAGGGTTGTACAACGAGAGCAGTTGATTCAGCATCAAAGAAGAGGTACCTTGATGTTGTTAAATGGCTATTGGAGAACAGAACTGAAGGATATACAGCCAATGCAATGAAAAGTAGATGTAAATATGTTATAAATTGTTTGAAAAAGCATTCAAATAAAGCAATATAAATAAAGAAAGAAATTGGTACAGAATTCATGCTGAGTGGATAAATAAGTAAATTATAATAATAATAAAGCAGTTTATTTTTCTCTATTAGCTCTTGTTGTGATTACCAATTTCTTTGGGTCCATATAGGTTTCTCTTATAAATTTCATTTCCTCCGATGAAAGTGGTGGTAGAGTATTTCTCTTTTCCCATGGTTTGTTTTTGGCCAAGTATTCTGTTATCCATGGATCATTACGTGTTTTGTTGATCTCTTGAATCTCTTTGTAGATCTTTTCCTCTAAACTTGGAAGAGTCTTGAATAGCTGAACCTTTTGATCGACATCCACCAGGTCAAAGAAAATTGAAACGCACTCATAGTTGAGTTGTGATCGGATGTTGAGTAGTGGCACGTTGCTCTGGCAGTATTCTCTGACCAACTTTGAATGGCCTCGGTCTATGAGCATCTGGAAATACTGTGAGTAGAACGATACCTTCTTGGAGGTGATATTGAGGAACTTGTCGAGTGACTCAAGAGTGGAGCTGGGTTTGTTCATCAGCAGGAAGAGTTCCATACCGAAAGCGTAGGTTCGTTGTATCTTGGTAGAATCCAAATAGCATTTGTAGGCATTCTGGTAATCGCCACTAGCGATATTACAATAGATGTTGTAGCATTCTAGATTTGGGTTGGAAGGATACATCATCATAAGAGTAGACGAGAGTTGTTGATTGATGATTTTATGATCGGTCAACTTGATTGCCATGGTATCGACAGATTCTATCACCAAAAACATCTTTCTCTTGATAAAGTTCAACATCATCTCCTGTGCCATCTCCATTTCATTGTCACGGAGCAATCGGATCAAGAATGCATTGGCAAATATGTTGGAATTACAATAGATGGTTGGATGTACGTAATCACGGATGTATTGAACCATGTTTGGTTCGTTCTTTATGGCATACTCGAATGCCTGTGGCAGGAAGAGAATCTGTCTGAGAGGTGCCGGTGCAATCTTGTAGAGCTCCAAGTAGGATTGATTCGATTTACTCTGAATCATCAACATGAGAATCAAAAGAGCTTTCGGGTGATGTGTTGAGATGAGCGCAGCATTGAACAAATCAAAGTAGTGTCGAACTTGGCTGACCATTTCCTCCACAGTCTTTTCCTCCAACTTTAGCTTGCCAAGTATTGTATTGTCATCGATTTCATTGACAACCAGATTCTCGATGGTTCTTAGTAGCAGCTCGTTTTGACCCATTGCGCTTCCAACCGGCATGAGATCGGCACTCGGATTGAACGATGTCATTTCCTCTTGGAATCTCTCCTTTGCGCTGAAATCCAAATCGAAACAGGTCTTTAGCTTGATGAAATGTTGATCGAGTAGCTGTCGGTACTGCACTAGACTGTCGTATTTCGAGTGGTACTGTCTAAACAAAGTGTAAAGGAATCCATCGGGTGCAATGCGAGATTCGATTCTCTTGCTGTACCAAGTGGCTGCATGTGAATAGAGACCGAGCAAAAGGTAGGACATCACTACACGATTGTATAGAACTGATCGCTTATCGATGGATTGCAGACTTTTAAGAATCAATTGGACGAATGCTTGATTGCCCATGAGATCGTTGTAGATGACCAGTGTTGAGAGACGTCCACCGACACCATTGATCAATTGAACGGTTAGCTCCTTGCCTGTGTATTGATGTTTTTCAAACATGGTTAGAATCTCCTGTAGCAGCAAACTTGGGATCTGTTTCTTGGATTGCAGTAAGTTGGTTGCCCATAGGATAACCTGGTCCAAATTGTCTTGTGCGATATAGAAACGAATGAAATTGATATAGATGTTGACCGACGATTGTTCAGGTCGTTGCAAGAGTAACTCATAGAGGAACTTGGCACCCATGACATTGAGATTCTCCAGTAGCATCTTTATCATAAAGTCAATCATCTCCTGAGTCAGCAGATTGAGATCCTTACAACGTTCGATTATCATTGCAAAAGTCTGTGAATGGTCGATGTACAACTGGTCACACAGTGAAACAAACAGAGGATGTGTCAGGTAATTACGTTGGGTGGCGATGTGTGTCGAGAAGAATATATAGAGGTGGTCGTATCGCTGCTTCTTGAGATAGCCTTCCACCAAAAAAGTATGGAAAAATCTAACGTCCTTACTGGTGTTTCCCAAGAAGATAGACTCTGCCTCTGATAATCTGTCTTGATGCAACAATATTCGCTGTTTGAACAAATCGACCGTTGTTGAATTTAACATCGATCGGTCGATGGTCTTGTCGTTCAACATCAAATTCAACATTTTTTCGGCAGTGACAAAGTCGTTTTTCGTTTGCAAAAAGTAGTCAATCAACATCCTGTACGTATCGAAAGTGTAGTGAATCCAATGCTTATTGATAAAGTTGACCAATGACTCTAAACCTTTGATATGATTCACCTTTACATAATATGAAATGAACATATTGATAACTTTAATATCCTTGAAATATTTAAAGTCTTTCATCAAGTTATCCTGTAAAGTAATTACGCCTGTTATATAATCTCTTGTAAATGAAAAATCATCATCAAACATCTTTTGTAAACTAATAATAATATTTATATTAATATAAGTAAACTTTGTGTATATATATGTTTAATATTGATTGTTTTATAACATACACATGAAGAACACCATTTATATTAGCTTCAGATCTAAGAGTTCTTTCTATTTCTTCAAATTTGAATACAGGTTCTTTTGGTTGTATGGTTGTTGTTATTAGTTGTTGTTGAAATTGATGTTGTACATTTTTATTCTTTGAAATTGGAGATGATTGTGTTGAAGATGATTGTGATGATGATGATTGTGATGGTGTAGATACTGATGATGAAAGTGTAATATTACTAAATGATATATTTCTATTTAAAGCAAATGATGCTGATCTATATATACATAATCTATTATTTACTAAAACATTTTTAAATCTTAATAAATTGAACATGATTGATTATAAAATTATATCATCTGATATATGACAATCTTATAGATTTGATTGGTTGATCCGATTGACTGATTGATTGAATGATCACACTCACAATGACAAAATAAAGGATATGAAAAAAAAAAAAAAAAAGTTTTAAATAAAAAAATATGTTGCGAAAACGACCGAAAATTAATGATATTTATATATTAAATAAGTTTATTTCTTTGATTTCGTCATTGTTGATTTTGATGGTGATTTTGATTTGTTGTTAAAATTCTTTTTTTGTTGTGTTGTTGGTAAATTTGGTCTTTTAATATTTTTGGTTGGTTTCTCTTTTTTCGATGGTTTGGCGTCTGCTTCGTCGTCGCTGTCTTGTTTACGTTTTTGTGATTTGATTGAAACAGAGTTGGGAATCTTTCCGGATTTCAATGCTTTGTTCCACTCTTCGTCGTCACCTTGCACCAAGTACTGGGCGAGATCCTTGTCGTCCTCCAGTGCCTTGGCAGCGAGTTTCGCTTTCACCTCTTTTGCTCCCTTCTCGAGCTCGTCATCCAAGTTCTCGGCGATTGGAATCATTGAGATATCACCGTCGTCGGCAGCATCAATGTCACCCTTGAACGACGACAACTGACCGGTACGCACCGACTTGATCTTTGGCTTGGGCAGACGCTCCTCGATGGCGCGCTCACGGATGTCGCGAATTGTCTGGTGAACCTTACGAATGGTCTGAGCGAAAAGCGAGTGGATTTGATTCAGTTGGAGTCCGAGTTCCTGTGCCAACTGGTCGACGGTCTTGTGTTGGAGCGACATGGCGAGGAGCACCGCTGTCTGGAGGTTCGAGATGTTATTACGAACATCGTTGATCTGTCCACGGAACAACAGTTTTCCAATGGTGGGAAGCATATCGATAATCACATTGAAATCGACAATGTTATTGGCGAATGATTCCAAACGTTTGATATCGTAGGACGATAGGCTCAGCTCGAGTTCACTGTTGGTGAGGGTGGCTGTTGTCGGTTGAGTTTGGGACTGAACGTCCTGGAGGATTTGCAGGGCGAGTGCCGACTCGAAGCTACGGAACTCGTAGCCAAGCAAATTGATAAATCTCTTACGGAAATCTTGGTAGAAAGAGAACAGCCAGTTGTCACTTGCCGAGACATTCGATTGGTCGGATTTCAACTCACGCAACATAATGCATGTGTGTTCACCGGTGATATCGTTGGTGGTCAGTCGGATGTAGACTGGCAAGTATTTAGCACGTGACCAGAATTGATAGAGTGCCTTGGTGACTCCATAGGAAACACCCATATAATGAAGCAACTCTGGTTTACGTTCAGTCAATTTGTACAACAATGGTGGTAGATTCTTCTTTGGTCTAATAACTTCACTCTGTAAATTTCCAGAGGATTCATCTGCAGTTGGCTTGCTATCTTCTTCATCTTCGTCTCCATCATCTTCAGCATCGACAGTTGGAATCTCACCTTGATAGTACTGTGTGAGAAGCTCAAGTGTTTTGCTACCGTATCCCATCTTTTGGTAGTCGGGATGTGTGGCGATACGAACGATACGCGCACCCGACAGCCTTGGGAAATCTTCATCTTGGAATTGCTGTGTCAAAGTCCATGGAATCAAGTCGCCACTTGCTTGGTATCCCTTCTTGATGCTATTCATGATGGCTTCACGTGCAATCTCACCCTCCAAACTGACTTGGACGGCACAGAGAATCTCTGGTAGTCCATCGTCCGATTGCTGATCCATTGGGCCGAGCAGGATGAACAAATGATGATCCGGTGAATCGGCCATCAACAACAAGTCGTTCGGTGTATTCTTGTAGTGACTGGCTACGAACAGTGCAACCAGACGCTGGAGGAATGCCTCCGATGCTTTGTGATAGGAGAACAGTGTATCTCTGTTGACATAGTAGAGCTGGCAACTCGAGGGATGTGGACAACCTTTGGATCCAACTTTTTGCGATTGCGAGACAGTTGCGTCCAAACACAACAAGTTGTTCAACCACGATTCGATCGGGTCGTTCGCTGCATAACGAATCGGTTGGTTCAGTTGAATCTCACGGAGAATACGACCGGTTGAAACGGCGGTGTTATTCACTGCGTTGGTTCCCGATTGTTCACGAAGTTGACGGATCAACTTGAGCGAGAGAGAACGACCGGTTCCTTCGTAACCGTTGATCGTGGAGGAAAGGAAGACAAGGTATGGACCGAGAAGCGAACGTACATAGGGCAGTGGAATAGCGGCGGCTTCGTCAATGACTACGAGCTCGGCTTGTCCGAGTTTCTGGTGGTCGGATGGCTGGATGTATTGAATAGTTTGACGATGTGCACGGAACACATTGACACGCACGATGGCGTCGTGGAACTCGGGGTTGGTCGACTTTACCAGTTCGTAGTCGACGTGCTCCTGATAGCCAAGCGCATCGAATCCCTTGAAAACAAATTCAAAGAGAGTGACAAGATTCTCCGGTGCCGGAGAACTCACGAAAATGTTGGAATAACCAAATGCGACGGCACCGGCAATCGCCAGTCCGAGTGCAGCAAGACTTTCCACGACCACGACCCGCTGTCAGCGTAACAGTAGATCTCAGAGTTTTCTCAGAGATTGCATCGATAAACTGTAGGACTGCTTGTGCCTGGTCGAGAGAACGTGTCGCTTCGATCAACTCGCCGGCGACGTCAGTGTCGCGCACCGACTGCTTAAAGTCACGCAACTCACTCTCCTCGTTGGTCTCGGGTGCACTGACAGGCACGATGGTTCGCGAACTCGTCGAGATTGGCAGAATATTGAGTTCGTCGTCCATCACCAAACATTGGTTGCACTTGGCGAGCGACAAGAGGAAACGCTCGTTGAAACGATTGACAACATTGTTCTTCTCGTCGTCCTCACGGAAACGAGAGTGAACATCCATAGCCATTGTGTAGAGTTGTTTCAACGATGTCATTGTTCTGAGAAGTAACACTACCAATCCACCTCCCTCGACAGTCTCAATGGTTCTAGCCAACAAGTTGGGAGTGATCGCTTCAAAGTCCTGTAGAACCAACATTCCAAATGTATTACCCAGAATCTTGTGTGTCTCTGAATAGTAGCTATATCTAATGTTGGTAGTCGAAATGAATACATCGAATGGATCTTCAGAGTTGGTTGAAGATGTACCATTTGCTTTCATTCTTTCTTTCATTTTCATTTTCTTTTGTTTATATCTGTGATTGATCAATAAAGGGAATATTATTAGTATAAAGTTTCTAATCTTTAACAACTTACTTTGAAAAGTATCTAATCTTCAAAGCAACTAGTAACTTACTTTGAAAAACTTAATTCTTTTTTATAACACCATAATACAGATGGACGTGCTTTAACTACTGATTTACTTAATATATAATGAAGATTTGGTACTTGATCTTTACCATTGTCACCTACAACTACAAAGAAAGATCTATGATTGGTTGCCACTGCATTTTCAATCAGTGTTCTAATTCTATTATCAATCTTCTTTTTTACCATCTTTGCTAATATATATATATATATAGAATAAAATATCAAATCAGATTGTAAAAATGATTATAGATATAAACAATAAAAAATAAAAATAAATAAATTCTTTTTTTAAAAAAATTATAATTTCGTTCGTTTTTTTCAATTTTATTTTTTTTATTAATTTTTGTTTATTCAAAATTAATAGGTTGTCTATATTTGATTTTCAATTTATTTTTGTTTGTTTAGTTTACTTTCTTACCATAAAAATTAATGAATAATTTGAACAATAACTTACATGCAAAACCAATCTATTCAACACCCTTATTGGTTTGATTTTTATTATTATCCAATGTTATGAGAAATTTAATATTAAATGATATTTATATATATTGTGAATTTTTTTAAAAAGTTACAATCAGGTATAAGTCAATCTATATATCCACTGCCATTGAAAGAGTTTCAAAATAACAGACATCATCCCATAAAAAATTTAGGATATTCATTTTAATAAGGGTAATTCAAAAAAAAAATAAAAGGTATCGCATTTCTTGATAAGCATTCGTATATGCGAATCGCCTTTTACTATTCTAGCATTCGTGTTTATCAAGAACAAAAATGCTTTCATCATTTTTGTGAGGGTATTCGTACCCTGAAACCCCAAATTAAAGATAAAAAAAAAAAATTAAAAAAATAATAGTACTGTATCTTAGATATACCTCAAAAAATAGTTAAAAAATCCTTATTATATTTATATTCTGTATTATATTTGTTTTGTTTTCTACTAAGTAGAACAATCAACTATCATAACCGATATATCCATTTAACAATCATATGATGAAAAGTCGAACCAACACTTCGATCAAATTCAATTTTATTTGTTTTTTGAACTCTTTTTTATACCTCTTACAAAGCTATGAAAAAGATTTTATACTTAGTATAAATGAAGCAATGGTGTATTTACAAAAGTTATGAATTGACGAGATTCCCTTCATATGATAGATTTCACCTGATGATTATAGAACTGATTTGTTATAAGCATCTAATATATATTGCATAGTCAACTCATAGTCTTGAGGAGGATAAAGATGTTTTTAATAGATTATAACTCAACTATCATCATATATTACCTTATGAGATGACAAGTATTATATCGAGAACAATATTAGTGCCAGTTCCGACAACATCAACTATCCATCGTCAATCGTTCTGTATATTTACAATAACTAACTACAATAATAAGAACGATAGAACCTCTAGTCGATGATTCTATAACAATCATAGGAGTTTAAGGCGACTTAAAATAGAAAACAATTGTACAGAATATTTTATCTAATCAATAGATTGTTTTATTTGCTTTCTTTACAATCAAGTATATCCAATACAAAAAGTCAATAAACAAACAAAAATCTTTAAAATCTCTACTTTATAATTTTATCTTTAATTTAATTTGGGGTTTAAGGGTACGAATACCCTCACAAAAATGATGAAAGCATTTTTGTTCTTGATAAACACGGATGCTAGAATAGTAAAAGGCGATTCGCATATACGAATGCTTATCAAGAAATGCGATACCTTTTATTTTTTTTGAAATACCCTTATTAAAATGAATATCCTAAATTTTTTATGGGATGATGTCTGTTTTTTTCACTTTGGAAATTATCAAAATGAGAACAACCATCTAACTTCAAAAAAAAAATTGGTTTTGTTTGTTGAAAATTCATTGTGCTTTTTTTTTTTTTCTATTAATCTGATTAAATAATTACAACTACATCACCCGACAACTTATACCACTTTCTTTTTTTACAAACCACATTTACTCAATAGTCATATAGTAATAAAGTAATAGTAACAATACTGAAATATTGTGGTTATTTTTTAATCATCAAAATAGAGAGAGTATACTGGGGTTTTAATTTTTCATCACTTCATAGCACACATTATTTATTCTTCATTATTTCAAACATACACATTCTATTATCATTTTTAAAAAAATTAAAATGAAAAAACAATAGATTGATCCTATAGCTGGTGCACTATTTTCTTTTCATTACAAAATGAGTGAAAGTATTCATATTCATTTCATAATCATATGAAAATAAATGTTGTTGTGAATTTAATGATCAAACAAATATGAATTTTAATTTTATAATTATTTTATTTAATAAATAATAATATTCTTTTTTCTATTTCTATTTTTTTTATTTATATTATTTATTTATTATCTATTTTTTTTATTTATTCACCTGTGATTGATATTTATTTTTTGGATAATTTCAAGTGGAAGTTGGAAATATTTCTAAATTATCAAATATAGAGAGATAGCGAGAGAGAATAAAATTAGAAATGAAAATACTGTTATTATTATTGTTTTTCAATTTAATATTTATAACAGTAACATTGGGATCGGTCATCGAGTCAACCGCGCTGATAAACGATGAATTTGTAAAAATAAAGTGCAATTGTTCAGATGATGTCGAATATCTTGATTTCCGCTCGGTGACACCTTTCAACGGCGAATATCAATACATTCTGAATTGGCACAAAGATTCCAGCGATGTCAGAATTTCAGTGGAGAACGAGAATCTCAGACCGATGTTGGTCGGTGTTGAGATGGCCTATCATAAATTCCAGCAGTCCAATCACAAGTACTTCAATTTGACAGGTCTCCAGAATATCAAAGCACTACAACACTCTAGTTGCTCGGAATCCTCCATTCTCTTTGAGTTTGTGCAAAAGGCCGAGAAGGATTTCATGTTTGTTTTGTTTGGAATCAATCCGAGCGTCCAATTGGATATCAAAGCGTGGGATGCCTACAATACGCCACTGGATTTGGCAACATGGAAAACAGTGGACCAAGGACTGCTCTCAGAGGAGGGAATGAACTCCAATTTGCTTTCGATTACACGACCAAATGCCGAACGTTCCAAGGATTCGAAACCTCTGGGTTCGATAAAGTTGGAGGTAGACAAGAACAGCTTCCACGGCTACTTGATTCTTCGTCCGAATGTTCGCGTCGCCAAAATGAGAGTTCACGTAAAGAACAATTGTGTTCCACCCAAATGCGATATGGTAACACTCTACTATTCGTTGTTGGCATTGTCTTGTGAAGGTACATCAACAACAAAACCACCCGTCGTAACGTTCCCACCCACAAATCCACCAACAACAAACTCATCAAATGGTGGCAACAACGTAGATCCCGCCGGTAAATTCACAATCTACGGTCAAATCGTAAACGATACTTTGAGAGATGGAATTCTCGAGTTGGACAAAGATAAACCATTCGAAGGTTTGGTAGTTTCGCTATTCACTACAAAGAGTTCCCTCATTCCAGTGATGACAACACTCACCAATGCAACCGGTCAATTCCAATTCAAAGACTTGCCGTCTGAGGAATACCGTTTGTTTGTACACCGTCCCAGAGACTACATCTGGCTGTTTGTAGACGGTGGCGCCAACCACAAGCATTTCATAGCAAACAACACGTTCTACTTTGACACGGAACTCGGCATTTTCAACAAGATCGGTGAACATCAATACCTGCTGAAAGAACCGATCGTCGGTGGTTTGATCAGAACGGAGTATCAAATCAAAGGTACGGTTCTCACGAGAAACGAAACTGCTGGCGGCGAGGAAACACAGAACACCAAAGTGAAGAACGTTCAGCTGTTGCTGCCCACAGGCGACATCGTCTCGGAATTCAAACCGATCAACGGTGTTTTCTTCTTCCAGGTCTTCAGTTCCGGTCACTACACCATCCGGTACGTCACAGACTCGCCGCTAACATGGTGTCTGCGAGGTCTAACCAATCAAGTAAGGAGAGACGGTACCACATCGATCTACTTGAACCCAGAGAATCCAGCGATTCGTCGTAACAACAGAAACGCAGTGAAACCATTTATCATCTTTGAAACTGCAATTGAATGTCTACAGTAGCAATACTATCATTATCAACAACCACAACAACCACAACACCCCTTAACTTTTTGAAACCTCCCTTAAGTTTTAGATATACATAAGTAGAAAGCTGTTTCCACAACAGAAAATTAAAATTAAAATAAAAAATTAAACAATTTTTTTTTTTGTTAAATAATTTAAAAGAAAGAAATTTTACACTTTTTTAACTTTTTGCAATCAATCAATACAAATCTCTCTTTTCTCTTTATGTCCGAATGTTTATGTTTTTTAAAAGTGTTAACACTCAATCTTTTTGGATTAGTAAGAAAAATGGATAATAATATAAAAATTGAAAAAAAAAAAAAAAAAGTGAATAGAAAATTCATAAAAAAAAATATTGCAAAAACAAAAAAATTAACTTTGTTTATTTTTCATTTTATTTTTTTATCTATTGTTATTATTTATTTTATTTTATTCTATTTTATTTATCTTTTTATTTTTAAAGAAAGATATATATTTTTAATCAGTTTAGTTTAGTTTATTTATTTTGTATAGAGTTGTAATTTAGCATTAAAGATAGCAGTTAGATTAGGTAGTTGGTTAGTTAGTTAGTTATTGTGTAGTTAATATAATATATATAGATAGATCAAAAAATGGATGCTTTTGAAAGAATTGAACAAAACTATCAACAAGCATGCAATACTGTCACAAGAAGAATTAAACAATTGCCAAACTTTAATGGAGGTATGATTCATTTATATCATTCGGAATTCCTCATTTCAACATCCGATTTATATTAATATAATTATGATTTTCTAATAATAATAATAATAATAAACAACAGAGAGAAAGAAAGAAGCTGTTAGAGAGGCTGAACATGATATAGAAGAAGCATCAACATATGTAAGAATCTATTATTATTAAAATGCTAAACGACATATATTTATTTTTGTAAACTAATATCTTTTTTTTTTTCTGTTTTGTTTTATTTTATTTTAGATAAATGATATGGAGAGAGTAGCTTCCAATCATCCACAAAGAATTAGATTACAACAAAAGATTAAACAATATCAAGCTGACATTCAGCGATTCAGAAGAGAAGTAAGCAAGGCAGCGACAACCTCCAATGACTATAACAGAGACAATGGTTTTTCATCTGCACCAGAAGATTATCAGGTAGGTAGTGGTTTTAGATCTTCATTACACACGATAAACAATTAGAATAATTACTGATTCGATTCAATTCGATTTGAATACATACTTTATAGTCTCAATATGATAATCAAAGACAACATTTATTGCAAGGATACGAAACAGTGAATCAAACATCCGATAGACTTATGAGAGCATCACAAATCTCTGCACAGAGTGAGGTTATTGGTGAAGCTATCCTTACTGATTTGGGTCATCAAGGTCAACAAATTAGAGGAATGAAGAAAAAGGTAATTATTATTATTACTATCATTATTCGATTTACTTACTTTTTCATCATAATCATACTAAACAAATTAAATTTATTATTAATTAACAACAGTTGGATGAAACAGATGCGAATGTCAGTGTTGCAAATAGAGTTATCGGAAGTATGGCAAGGAGAGTTGCCACCAACAAAGTTATTTTATCATTTATCATTATATTGCTTTTAGGTATTATTGTATTAATTATCTGTTTGAAATGGTTGCGTACTAAATAAAGGATTCAACCGTATAAAAGAGAAACTCCCCAAAATTATTTTTATCAATCAACAACAACAATATCTTTACAAAAAAGCTTGTTATTCGGAATATATTTAAATGAGGAGGAAAGGGACATCACTATCCCTCTCTTTTTCCTTAATAATTTTATTTAACAATGAGAATAATTAATTGGTAAATTGAGATAAATCTAAATCTAACTTAATCTAATCTAAGAATCTAATCTAATCTAATCTTCGATTACTCTATTTCCTCTTCTTCGTTTCACTACTTTGAGTTCTTCCAAATTGAGATTTCCAATTAATTCATTTTCTTCATCTTCTTCATCTTTAGCAGTATTATTATTAACATTTGTTGATGTTGATGATGTTGTTGACGAATTTGTATCTTTGGTTGTTGTTTTAACATCATCCATTTCAATGTCAATGTCATCATCGTCTTGGTCACCATTGTCTTCATCATCTTCAATGTCATCGTCGCCATCCGCAACACAATCATCGTCATTCTCAACTGGTTTGTTTAATCTTCTGAGACTGCTATTGTTGTTGTTTCTGTTCTTTGAGCGAGAGGCACGTTCGTTTGCCACCGGCTCGTCTTTGTGGTCGTCGAGGAAAAAGTCAAGGTTAGAGTTGACTTTGAACAATGAGAATTCAAAGTGAATCAACTTTTTTCGGAATCCATCGTTGACTGTCAGCGTTCTCGGATTCAACTTGGAGACGTGTATCCAAGATTTCTCGAGAGTCCAACCGAGTATCTTCATCAGGTAGACCATGATAATCGAAGGCGATCTACTTCTTCCCTGTTGGCAATGAACAAACACGCTGGCACCAGACTTGATTGCATCGTCGATAAACTGAATGGATCGGTCAAAGTAATCTTCGATCGGTGCTTTCGAACTATCGCCAATCGGTACTCTTAGATATTCTATTTTCAAAGCTGGTTCTTCTTTTTCCTTTGATTCCTTTTCTGCTTCCTTTTCCTCTTTTTCTTCTTCTTCATCCTCCTCTCCATTACTATCTAAATCACTTCCATCGTTTACAGTGCTGGTTTTCGATGCGAAATAGCACTTCACCTCGGTGGTAACATTTACAATCCTAGTGATATTGTTCTCAGAGAGCCATTCTTGATTTTTGGCGGCGGCAAACGATCCTAGGTAGAGTTGTGGAACGATTTCGAAACCCTTGTTTCTCGACTCCATTGCCATTTTGTATTCTTGCCATTCCTCCTCCTCTCTCTGGCGTCTCTCTTTGTCTCGCTGTTTCTTCTGTTCGGCTCTCTTTTTCTTCTCTTCGGCCTTCTTTATTCTTTCCTCCTCCTCTTCCTTCTCGCGTTGTTCTCTCTCGAGTCTCTCGCGTTCGGCACGCTCCGCCGCCTCTTTCTCAAAGAGATATTTCCAAGCCGGTGCATCGCCAGCTGCGACCGGTCTAAAGAAATTGGAAACACACGTTTGTTTTAAACCCTCTGGTTTTTCAGCTTCATCGACGCTCTTCTTTGAAGTGGCTGTGGTCGCGACTGTTGTTGAGTTTTTCGTTTGTTTTTTTTCGTCTGATTTTTCATCCTTTTTCGAGGATAGTTTCGATGGAGTGGCTGTGGTTGATGATTTGACATTCTTGTCTGTTGTCTTGCTACTATCTTCCTTCTTTGATTTATTCTTCTTACTACCATTATCTGATTTTACTGAAGTTGATTGTTTACTAGTAGACTTTTCTTTAACTATCTCTTTTTCTTTTTCTTTTTCTTCATTTATTGGTTTTTTCAAATCTGTTGAAGTTGTTGGTTTATTTTCCTTTCCATTCTCAACCTTATTGGTAGTACTAGTTGATATAGTTGTTATTGGTTTAACTCCACTGTTGTTAACACCACTGTTATTATTGTTGTCGGTGAGCTTTGGCTGGGGAGCTTGTTGCTCTGTACCTGGATTGATTGATTTCTTAACCAAGAATCTATCCATTTTTTACACTTTACAATAATCTACTAAATAAACAGACTAATAGTAACTAAGGTAATAAATAAAGATAGGAATATTAATTAAATATATTGATTAATAATAAAAAAAAACAAAACAAATCAGAAATAATAATTAAAGATTTATTGGAATTTGATTTTCCCGCTTTATTTTTGATTTAACGGTTGAAAAATCAAATTTGAATTTAAGATAATTGAGTAATGATCATCACCATCTTTGTTTGATGGGTATTTATAATAGACAGAAATTGAATTGATTAATTAAAATATTGTTTTGTTTTTTTTTTTTGTTATATTATAATTTATTATTTTATTTTATTATGAGTATTATAGGCTATATTTTAGAGGAATTGAACATAATTGGTTGGGAATTGACCAGTCTTTGAACCCTCACTCCAATCACCATTGGTATTGATGATGGTAATCATTTCTCCAGCCTTGAAAGTGAGATCACCAAATTCTGTGCTGGTCATATAGTCATACAAAGCCTTTGCTTTTCTTCCGGCTGGTGGTTGAGAACTCAATTGTTGTTCCAATGTTTGAATTCTTTGATTGGCTTCTGCCAATTGTGATTCTAAATCTGCAACTTGTGCCAATGCATTTCTTAATTCTAAATAGTAAAACATCAGTAATTTGAACACTATTCAAAATTTGAACAAAAAAAAAGATAGAACAACTTACCTTCATCATTCATCGATGCTCTAACTGGTGGAGGTGGTGGTCTTGATACTGGAGCTGGTGGAGCTGGCGATCTGTTTCCTCCTGCTGGTGGTGGTGGAGTTGGTTTCATCATTGGTGGTGGTGGAGTTGGTTTCATCATAGGTGGTGGTGCTGGTTGTTTCACTGAGTTCAACAAACAAATTAGTTAGTTAGTTTAATCACTATGAATCAATTGATATATATCTCAATACTTACTCATTGGTGGTGGTGGAGTTGGCTTCATCATTGGTGGTGGTGGTTGTGAAGTTGGTGGTTTGAAAGCTGGTGGTTTCGAGACTGGAGCGCTGTGCATGGGTGGTGGTGCGGCGGCAACCGGTGACATCATGGGAGGTGGTTTCTTCATGGTTCCACCGGATGCGCTTGGTTTCAGCTTTGGCATTCCACCGGCAAACAATCCACCGAGTTGTGGACCACCTGCAGATCCGGAATCTTCGTTTCTTGGGGCACCCATACCCATTCCACCTGCTGGCTTGGCACCGCCTGGTCTTGGCATACCGCCGCCTCCCATTGGCATACCCATTGGACCACCGCCACCTCCTGGTGTTGGTTTTGGTGCTATATAGATGATAATAATAATAAGTGTTAATAATCTTGTTTGTCAATCAATCAATCAATCAATCATTTTTCTACATACCAACGGTGGCTGGAGCGGATCTATCGTTGGTAACTGTCTTTTTTAATTTAGCACCTTTGTGAATGGAGCTGAGTAGTGCATTTCTCTCACCGGTGGCCTTTGGTGGGGCGGCAGCGGGGGGAGGTGGTGCTTTGGGTGGTGGTGGTGGAGGGGGTGGCATTCTCTTTGTTTATTATATTATATGTGTTGATGATGATTTACAATCGATTTTTGGTTGGTTTTTATATCTAAAGTTTGTCTTTAACTACCTGTGTTGTTTACAATGTTTTTTTTTTTTTGCTTTCTTAAGCCTAAATTTGAATATTCAATAATCGATTAGATAATAATGTTAGTCACTATTCTATTATTTCATTCAAATATTATTGTTGTTGTTGTTTTTTGTTTGACTGATTTGTTAATATGATTATCATATGATTTAACTATTAAGCTAAATACAAATTAGGGATATTATTATTATTATATTTATTTTAAAACAGTGTCGTTTTCAGTTCTGTTGTTGCTGTTTGTTTTTTTTTTAAAAAAAAATTTATTTATTTTATTTGATGTTTGTTGTCTGTTAATTGTTGTTTTATTTTTGGTTTGTTTGTTTTTTTTTTTTTTTATTATTTGCTTTTGTTGAAGGTGAAGGTGGGTGTTACTGTTACTGTTACTGTTATTGTTTTGTTATCATTATTATTGGTTTGGTTTGACTTGTTATTGGTATGGTTATTGTTGTTACATACACTTAAATAAATACTACTCTAATGAATTAATTAGTTAGTTGTGTGATGTTTGTTTGTTTGTTTGTTTTAATACAATATTTTTATATATATTTTATACGATATATATTTATATGTTTGAATATTATATTATTAGATTGAAAATAAATTATTATTTAAAAAATACAAAATAAAAAAAAGACAATGAAAAATAAAAAACAAGAATAGATATTAAATGTGTAACCTTTTTGTTAACTTTTTGTTGACCAAAACGAGACCCATATCATATGAAGTTGTTTTTTTTGCAATTATAAAAAATTTTAAATTTTTTTTTAGATTTTTAAAAAATACTATTTTGCTGTTGATCTCATCCCACTGAAACTAGTTTTGGGTGGGGTGGCGTAACAAACACAAAACAGAATGAGAGTTTTTAAAATTCCAGATTTTTTTATTGAATTTAATTCACTGTTTTTTAATCGATCGATCTGTCACTTAGTTTTTTTTCTTCAGATATTCATCGAACATTTCAGGAATGAAATGATAGTTTGTATTGCATAAGATTAAATATTTAAAGATAATTTGTTCTTTTTTTTTTTTAATGAATGATCGTTTTTTCAAATAATGATCAAAATTTATAACTATTGTATTTTAAAATATCTCTAAAATATCGAAATTTAATTAATTAATCAATTAATTAAAAATTCAAAAAGACAATCAAGATCTCTTTTTTGATTTGTCTTAAATTTAAGACTCGTACAATAATTTTCTTCTTCGTGTTAAAAACAGTGCACTTTCTTTAATTTCTTAGAACTTGGTTTTGTTTGTTTATTGGTTTTTTTTTTTAATTATGAAAAATGTTTGTATGGTTTAATTTTTGACTGACTGATTCACGATTATAACATTATTATTGTTGTTTAAAATGTGTTGTGTTGTTAGTTGTTATTATTGTTGTTAATATTTAATTGGTTAAAGAGCAATGCAATTGGAAGAAAGAATAAACAAGATATTGAAAAAGTACTTTGGATTCAATAGTTTCCGAGAGAATCAGAGAGATATCATAACCAGTTCGGTTATTCAAGGTAGAGATGTCTATGTTTCGATGGCAACCGGTGCCGGAAAATCATTGTGTTTCCAAATGCCACCACTCGTTCTACGAAAGACTGCAATCATTATATCACCTCTCATTTCCATTATGGAAGATCAACTCTTGAAATTATCATCGTATGTCATGTTATGTTTGGAAATTGTAATAACATATATACTAGTTAGTTAGTTAATCATCATCATCATCTTATAAGATTAGGTATAAAAGTATGTCATTATTCAGCTGGAACACAAACAAATTCAGAGATACATCAGAAAGTGATTGGTGGCTACTATAGGCTGATTTATATGTCACCGGAGAAAGCTATGACTTCGTTGGATATGATACAGGAGCTGTACGAATCCGATACACTTTGCTTGTTTGGCATCGATGAAGTTCATTGTTTATCGCATTGGGGACATGACTTTAGACGTGATTTCCGTGATTTGCATCGGCTGAGACAGTTGTGTCCTGATGTACCGGTGATGGCACTAACAGCGACATCCACCTGCGAAATACAAAAAGATGTTTGTGAGCTGCTGAAACTGCGAGAGACAGCGGTCTTTGAGTCATCGAGGAACCGACCGAATATCTTTTATAAAACGATCTACAAGTCGTCGGGATCGAATGGTCAGACCAAGGATTTCAAAAGGATTATCAAAGTCATCAACGAAGTCACCAAGAGTAACAACGGCAACTCTGTATCCACTATCATCTATTGTCCAACGATTAATCTCACACATGAAATCAACAGTTATCTCAAAACCACCGGTGGATTTAAATCGGAATGTTATAATTCAAAGTTATCAAAGAACGAACGTTCAAGAATTCACAAGTAAGTTAATTGGATCCATTTTGTTGACATTTTTCATATTAATACTATGTTGTTTAATATACAACAATAGGGATTTTATAAATAGTGAAACAGATATTGTTGTTGCAACAATTGCATTTGGAATGGGAATAGACAAATCGGATACGAGGCTGGTGATACACTATGGAGCACCAAAGAATTTGGAGGAATACTACCAGGAATCTGGAAGAGCTGGAAGAGATGGCTTGCCATCGCTGTCGGTGGTGTTTTTCTCGCGACAAGACTTTGTAAAGAATCAATATAGGACATGTCTGTCCAAGACCCCGGAAGTGGCGAAACAAGATGAACAACTGAAGTCGGCTATCGATAAGCTCAACGATGTCAAGCGGTATCTGCTGAATGAACGTGAGTGCAGGAGAAAGACACTTCTTGCGGTTCTCGGTGAGAGTTTCTCAGTTCCAAATGTACAGGGTGGTTGTGAAGGTTGCGATAATTGCTTGAAGCGAGAGCAGCTACCGGACAGTATTGCTTCGGGTTTGAATTTGACGGTGGAGGTGATGGCGATGCTTGGCGCGGTGATGGACACCAAAGAGAAATTCGGGCTGACCACTGTCATAAAGGTGCTGCGTGGTTCGAACATCAGTAAAGTTGCAAAGTTCCGGACGTCCAAGTACTTCAAGAAAGGCATCCATATGTCTGAGAAATGGTGGCGTGAACTTGGTGAGGTGCTAGTTCAGGAGGGTTATCTCACTGAGAAATCGGTGAGCAAGTTTACCATTATAAAACTCGGTGCCAAAGGTTGGACAGCTGTCAAACAAGATCCAATAACTGCTAGTAGCAATGGTGGCGGTGGTAATGTGTCGATTATGATTCCTTCAACCTCTGGGCTGTTAAAAGAGTACAAGGCATCAAAATCAGCTTTGAGAGGCGAAGTACTTGCAAAAGCCGAAGCAAACCGTGCCAATCTACAACAAAAGATCAAAGACAAGGCTCCAATAGTTGATATATCACTCATCTCTGAACTGCTTACCAGGTTAATTGTATTTAGAAAACAATTGTCGTCACAACTCAATATTCCACCCTATATTGTCTTCTCTGAGAAGTCACTTCGAGGAATATCACAAACTAGACCATTGACACTGGAGCGACTACAACAAATCGATGGAATGGAAGTGAAAAAGGTAAAAGATCATGGTCAAGCAATCATTTCAATTGTTGAACAGTTTTGTAAAGAGAAATCAATATTTGATAATAATAATAATAATAACAATAATAATGGTAGTATAAGTCCAGGAAAGAAAGTGACAACTGTATCACCACCTTCTCTTAGACGACCATCAACAGGTTTGAATTTATATAATGTTGTTATCAATTTGGACGATGAAGATGAACAGGATCAGGAGCAAATTGAAATTGATAAAGATAATGATTCTGAAGATGAGGACCTGGAAGAATCAAAGTCATTGTTAAATGTGAAAAGAAAAAGGGATATAGAAGAGGAGCAAGACGATCAACCTGATGAAGATATGATTGATGATAGAGATTCTATTTTCATGGACGATATTGATTCATCTTTTCAAGAGCAATTGGATCAACATATTGAAAAGAAGAATAAATTATCAACACCAACAACATCAGCATCAACAACAACAACAACCACCACAACATCTACAACAACTACAACAAATATTTCACCATCCGTTTCTAGAAATGGATCAGGTTCACTTAAACTTCTACCACTTATTCCTAGAGCTTCTTCGAAAGATAGTATTTTATCTAGTAAAATCCCTCCAGATACATCGGATAGCACCTATTTCATCTACTCATTCAATAACAAGATCGATACACCCGATACAGCAAGACTGTTATCCATTTTTAAATCTATGAGAGCCAATTCTCTTTCTTCAAGATATAGCAATTAATAAACTTTTTGTATTTTAACTTCATTATCATGAAACAATCATATTGATTTATACAAATATATCTATAGTTTATTTATTATTTACTACTCTTATCTCTTTAAACCTTTTGCTCTTTGTACATTAACTGCCTTGTATAGTGATGTACCTTGAAGCTTAGAACCATTTAAGTTTATATCTTGAAGGTTGGCACTTTGCAGGTTGGCTCCACTCAGCAGTGAATTCTGGAAATCGGCATTCTGAAGAGACGATTCATATAGTTCTGCATCTGAGAAATTACATGAAATCGCAGTTGAGTATTGGAGTTGTGAATTTTGTAATTGAACTCTTTGTAAATTGCTATAATAATTTATTATAAAGTTAAAATAAGATCTTGGTTAATGAAATGATTTCGGAAGTTAACTGAATGATATGAAAACTATCAAGTAATACAATACCCATGTGATAAATCAGAATATCTAAGATCACATCGTTTCAAATTGGCGTCTTGTAGATTGGCTTCGGCGAGATTGCAATACTTGAGAGACGATCCTTCGAGGTTGGCAAATCGGAGATTGGCACCGCGGAAGTTCAGTCCCGACAAATCGAGACCAGAGAGATCGGCCGATGCCAGCTGTATGGGATGTGACGACTGGTTCAGCAGTGTGATGATGTCTTTCTGCGAGAATTTATTGGGATTCTCGCATGCCGGCGATGGCTGTGAGAGATGCTCGATTAGCGCTGTCACCTGGTAGTAACGTGCTTCCAGCAGCAGATACTCTTTGATCTGTTCGTCGCGGATCGTCGGGAGATAGCCATTTCTCAGCCAGTTCAATATGTAGTGGAAATGGGTGCCGTCACGATCAATAAAGATGGAGCCGTCCTCCTCCTTCTGAATGGGAAAGCGACCACTGAACATCAGTGAAAACATTGAATTCGAATCGCTACAGAGTGTCGTCATCGATGTAGAATAGAAGACTCCACCGACATTTAACTTTATCATTCCACCAAACTTTGGTATATATGAAGTTGGTGATGTAGTGATGTTGTTGTTGTTGTTGTTGCTGATGGGAGAGGTAGTGCTGTTGTTGTTGTTTACAACTAAAGTAGAATCTTGTTGTTCATTTTCGTTTTGTTGTTGTTGTTGTTGATCATTAGTATTCAACAATTGATTTTCTAAACAATCAATAGAATACTTATAGCTATTGTTATTATTATTATTTACATGATTATTATTATTATTTCTAAAACTAGTATATACATTATTATTGTTGTTATTGCTGTTTTCTGATGAATTATAGATATTTTCATCGTTTAAACAACCATGGTTGATGATTGAAGATGAAGGAGTAGAAGATACAGATGGTGATGGTTGAGGTGGTGAAGTTGAGCAATACATATTATTGATATTCTCTTCAAATGATTTCAATGATAAAATATTATTATCTTCATAAGAGCTATTATTACTGTTATTATTACAACTACTACTAATACTATTTTTATTAATATTTCTATTATTATTACTGACAATGCTATCAATGTCTATAGGTTTTGTTATATTATTTATATCATCGACAGAATTGTTGTTTGATGTTGTTGTTGTTTTAGTAGTTGTAGTTGTAGTTGTAATATTACTATTATTAATATTATTATTCATTTTAAATTTACAAAGATTCACATCATTATTGGCATTGCAATCTAAACTATCTATATTATATTAAATATTAAGATTAATTTTTTTTTGATTTTAAAAACTTTTTGGTTTGTTCATCATTCATCATCAAACAATAACAAAAATTTTGTGAAAAACAACAAACATATTTTTTTTTAATTTTGATTTTAATAAATACCTTGCAGTATGGTTGTAATAATCATTTTTTATGTTATTTTTTTATCTCTAATTTTAAAATTTATTGGCAAAATAATGAGTTATTAATTTCATTTTAAAGATGGTCGTTTAGTTAGTTAGTTTGTTTTGTCTTTTAATTGCATGACTGTTTTTGCATGCTGTTAGTTCCCCACACAAACAAAGCAAAGTCAGCAACATCAATTCAAAAAAACCACGTATTATTTATTTGATTTTTTTCATTTTTTTTTGTTAGTATTTTTTAATTTTGTTAATTAAAGTTTAAAGATTTATAAAGGGTTATTGTTTATTGTTGTCGTCGTTGTTGTTTAATGTTTAATAAATAAATAATTGCAGTATGATATTAATATTAATTTGATTGTGTTGAAAATTGAGTTAGTAATCCAACGATTGAATCGATGATTGGATTTAGACGTGTTGCGTAGTTTGCATTGTTGGCAATGATTGAGAAGAACAGAGGGTTGGCAGTGTCTGAGATACCGTGCGGTGTGATGATTCCCGATAGACTGGATACTCCGGACATTGAGCCGGTCTTGGCGTGTACTGAGCTGCTGAGTGAACGCTTCGATAGTGTTCCGCTGGCACCGCCAACCGGCAGCAGGTAGAAGTAGGTGTGTTCTGGATCGCCGGCATTCGCGTACATCGCCTCCAGTAGTGTGAGGAATGCCATCGAGGTAATCTGATTGTTTCTGGAGAGTCCGCAGCCGTCGACTTGCTGGTAGAGCAGTGGATCGACTCCCATGCCGTCTAGTATATCCTGAACGAAAAAGAGTCCGTCCTGACTCGATGGATTCGCACTGTGGTTATTAAAAGCGCCCATGATTCGCAGGAATGACTCGGCATAGAGATTGTCGCTTACTTGCAGTGTGTGGTTGATAAGATTGTCGAGGTTGTCCGACTCAATGACGTAGACTGGATACATCTCGTCGTTGCATTGACCGAATGACGTTGAGATTGGTTTGGATTGCGGTGAGTTGAGTGCAATCATCTCTGAAAAAGTATTGAGGAAATAGGTGTCGGGATCGAGAATTGGTACGGTGAAGTGTACGCCGGATGAACCTGCAGGAATCGATCCACTAACTATTGGTTGTATCGATCCAAACTTGAAAGAAACAGAGATCGAGTTCTTCGAGGTGGATGAACCGGTTACTGCGTTGTTGACAACGTTGAGGTAGGCGGAATCCGCTTGGTTGTCCAATACAATGTTTGGCAATCCACCAACTGCGCTACTCGCCACCACGGTAAATCCAACTGTATTCTCATTGACCATCAAAGTAGTTGGTAGTGCTCCATAGTTGGCTGTCAGATCCTCCCATTCCCAGCTGGGTGGAATTGCATTTCCAATGTAGTAGCTATTGTCGAACACCAGTTGATTGATTCCACTGGATTTCGCAAAGAATTGCGATGCCTGATTGAGTTGTGCCGATGTAATAGAAGGATCACCTTGTCCCTTAACACAAAGAGTTTCGATTGGCTCGCCCGAATGGAATGGCTTATCGGTGTAGAACGGTGTTTGAATGGTGTAGTGCTGACCCATCGTCAAGTACATAACGATTGTCGTCAACAGTTTGGTATTGGAAGCGGGTGTCAATGCAGATAACTCATTGAACCGATAGATCTGATCGAACTTTCCTGTTGTAGAATTGAGTTGATCTACAGCTATCGACCAACTCGTTCCAAAACAACTGTGGTTGCTCTGACATCCTGTTAATATATCATTGATCTGTATTCCTAAATCATTTATATTTGGACTAGTACTTAATGTTACAGATATAGATATTGCTACAATAGATAATACTAATAGTACATATACAAAAAATGATTGATATCTAAACATATTTTGAATAATAGAACTTAAAAAAATCAGATGAAAAATAAAACATTATTTTATCTTTCGAAAAATAAGATTTATTCAAAAAATCTTGATATTTCTCAATACCAATAGTTAGTCTGGGAGATCAATTTTTACAATTTTAAAAATAAAAAAGTAATTCTATTATTATTTATTTTAATTAAAGTTGAAAGCTATTTCATTTAAATAAAAAATAACATTTTTTGAAAGTTAGTAAGCAATTATACTGTATCATTCTAAACAAATTATAGTTTTTTTTTTTTTAGATAAAATATTTATCTTTTATAATTATTTTGATTGTTAATAAAAACAAAGTTCATTTTTTTTAAGTTTTTTCATAATCTTTTGACTATAGATATATAAGTTGAAAAGATACAAAAGAGATTTTTACTTTATTTCAAAAAAGAAATAATAAAAATAATTTTACTAATAATTTATTTATATAACGTTTTATATTATATAAAAAAAAGAGAGAGAGAATTTGTTAATTTAATCACACTCGTGGAAAAAAATGAACTTCAAGAATCTTAAAAAGTTAATTCTAGTTGACATTAATTCATTTCCGGTTTGATTGAGAAAGTGTTTCTGACCTGCTGAAGTTACAAAGTTATGTATTTCATTTTGTTGATAGATATCCAATCCATTTAAATGTTTTAAACAATCTATTTATTCAAAACAAAAAAAAAAAGTGAAATTAGTGATAAAATGGACCTTTTTATTATTTTCATTGCTCATTGGTTCAAGACAGTGGAATGAGTCTAAAAATAAAACAATTACCTATTAAAGTCATTCTATTAAATGGTTTGATTGAAAAATTATTAATTTAATATTTTAATTTTATTTTTGTACAAATAAGTAGTAATGTTATAGGGTGGGTATTTGGATAGAGTAATAAATTAATATAATTAAAACATTGAAAAAGAATAAAAAAAAAATAATCAATGATATAAATTTAGATTTTAGAATAATAATTGGCTGAAGTGGAAATAAAATTAAAAAAATAGATTTTAATTTATTTTGATCATCGTCGTCATCAACATCATCATCAGCATTCACAATCGGATCAATCTAATAATAGCACCAATGATTAAACGATTGTATTATGTTGATTAAAAGATAAAAACCTGTTTCTTTTTGTTATGATTTTCCGGTTATATAATATTTGTTGATCACAATGTTGTTTTTGATTTTATTAAAATATTGGGGATAGAAGTGTAGTGTTTAAAAAGGATATTGAAAATCCATAACACATATAATTTTATTCAGTCCTACTACTCCCGTATCTATTATAAACCCTCTATTTTTCGTTTGAAAAAGTATAATTATCTACTGAATACGAAATTTCAATATTTAAAATAAACAAACCAATATTAGTTAATCTTTTACTATTTCAATGAGGAAATAATATTGTGGGACAACACAAAGTACAATCTAAAGAGTATCCAAAATTAATTATTTACAAAGCACTGCGTGTACAATTTTTATAAAAAAAACAATTCAAAAAGTAATGATATCTATCTTCGTTGTGCCATTGTTTTTTTTATTAATAAAATTAAAAATATGATGTTCATTGTTTAAGAACTATGTATATGGGGATTTTAACTTCATAAATAATCACCCCTTTGAACATAGTTTGTCTGAAATTACATACCGCTAATAACACGCTTCAAATTTTCCAGTTCAATCATTTTTTATATATTTATTTTTTGGGCACAAATAATTATTTTTCGCACACACAAAATAAAGAAAGTACCACTCACCTCACATACATGAGAAATCGATCAATATATTTGATTAATTATGGTGTATGTTTATGAAAGGGAATAGAATTTTAAAATTTGTAGTTGATTTCTCAAATATCTTTGCTTGTAATATGATTTAAATATAGATTTTTGTATTATTTTTCAATACAATAGTTATTATGGTGTTGATAATATTCTTTTTCATAATATTAATTATATATTACTCCTTTATATATTATTTTTTAGCAAAAGAAAATGTTGATTACTTGTGCAAAATATGTTGAATATGGTTATCATTTTTTACTCCAAATATATCATCTTATACTTTGATAAATTATTATTTCGTTTTTCTAACTAATAATCAACCTATTCTAAAATCTTTTCCTACATATAACTCATTTTAATTTTGATTCCCTTTTCTGTTTGTACAATTGTTTGGGTGTATTTTATTATTTTAATAGAACAAAATATTTACATACTAAAATGATAATTATACATTATTGTGCACAGAGCACATTCATATTCATTCCATTATTGTGCACAGAGCACATTCATATTCATTCCAAGAAAATAGAGGTCTTGAATATCGACGGTGTGTGAGGTGGTTTGAAGATCATCGAGATTGGTATATACATACGGAGAGTTATTTTCTATAATCAATGTTATTATAAACCATTTTGATCAAACATGAATTGGGTCATTGCAAAGGTTTGATACCTCTTATATACACTTTCCATTGTGTTTGTACTAAAGTCTATTTATACAATTTCAAAAAAGAAAGGATCTAGATGTCAAAGATAGAGAGGACCTGGTATATTTTTGAATTTATAACAACATGTTTTCAAAGTAACTTTACCAATGTTATTTTAATTATAATGATTCAGAATATGATTTTTACAAGTCCAAACCTTTTAATATAAACATTATTTAAAATTCGACCGACAAAAATTTAATTGATCTTCTGAACTGTTTTTTTAATCACATTTTTCTAGATTTCAACTTTGATTCTTTATAATCAAGAATGTAGGAGTAATTTTTAAAGTTTATTTTTATTATTATTCATTCGTAGTATTTGAATTATTATTATTTTTATAATTAATAGGCTATTTTAATTTGAAAGATTTGAAATAATCTTGTTTTTCAGTGCTTCACATGTGTTCTTGGCATCACCAAACAACATACTGGTCTTGGGTTTGAAAAATAGTGGGTTTTGTACATCTGCATAACCAGTTGCCATAGAACGCTTCAATACTACACATTGTTTTGCTTTGTGTACTTCGATAATTGGCATACCAGCGATAATACTGTTTGGATCCTCGATAGCTGCACAATTGACTGTGTCGTTGGCACCGATTACGATGACAAGATCGGCATCTGCAATATGTGGGTTGATCTCCTCCATCTCGTGTACGATATCATAAGGTACACCGGCTTCGGAGAGCACGAGATTCAACTGACCCGGAAGTCTACCGGCGACTGGGTGAATGGCGAACTTCACATTGATACCGTGGTCAGTCAGTGCCTTGACAAATTCGGCAACGGCATACTGTGCCTTGGCCACTGCTAAACCGTAACCAGGAACAATAACAATATCTTTGGAGGTGGTTGCCATCTCTGCGACTTGCTCGACCGATGCTTCGGTGTGAGTACCAGTGATTTTCATTGCTTCACCAGTTCCAGTGGAGGAAGTACCGTATCCACCGAAAATAACGTTTGGCAGTGAACGATTCATTGCAACACACATAATATATGAAAGAATGGCACCGGATGAACCAACCAATGCACCAACAATATTCAATAGATCGTTGTTCAACATGAATCCTTCAGCGCATAATGCCCATCCAGAATAACTCTAAAGCCGAGTCAATAAAACAATACATATAGGTAAATAGTTATGAAATTTGTTTGAGCAAATAACAATCTCAACTTACATTTAATACAGTGATTACAACTGGCATGTCACCTCCACCGATGGCGGCAGTTAGGAGATGACCTTGGAGGAATGAAAGACCGGTGTTGGCAACGAGACAGAGCATTCCAACGGCTGGACTATTGGTGTTGAGGAAGAGTGCGAATGTACCGACGTTGGCTCCGGCAATGAGTGCGTTGATGAGGTTACGATTTGGAAGTAACAATGGTTTCGATGAGAACTTCCAGTTACCGATTTGTCCTTGAAGTTTGGTGAATGCAACGAGTGAACCGGTGAATGTGATACCTCCAATTACAGCACCGAGATAGATGGCACCACGATGGATCAGATCGAGTGCAGCGACATCGCCCATCGATGACATGTAGGTGGAGACCGATGTGAGTACCGCCGCCAAACCTACGAAACTGTGGAAAGCTGCAGTGAGTTGTGGAAGCTCGGTGACTCCAACACGCTTCGAGATGGCAAGTCCAATTCCACCACCGGCTGCAATCATGGCGGCAACCTGAGTGAGAAGGGGAGCGGGCAAACTAAGCGAGCCGAGTGTCGCGGCAATACCGATACCGACACCACCGATACCCAAGATGTTACCGAGTCGTGCCGATTGCTGAGACGACAATCCACCGATCGAGAGGATACACATGGTCGACGATACCAGGTATGCCATCTGGGTGAGTGATTCATTTCCAGGTGTGGCAACAGCGGCGGCAGCAGCCAAGAAACCAACCGCTGGAATTCCATAGAGATACTCGTAGGTCAGTGGATCGGTTGGACGTTTGAACATGTCCAACATTCTCTTGGTGATGGAGAAACCACCGAAAATATTGATGCTTGCAATAAACACTGAGGTTGCAGCCAAGACATTGGCAAATGTTCCTGGGAGATAGCCACCACCCATCATATGAATACCGGCGACGGCGACAATACCAGACACGGCATTGGTGACGGACATCAGTGGCGAGTGAAGCGCTGGTGTCACTCCCCATACGACTTTGTAACCGATGATACACGACAAGGCAAAGGTGGTCAACGACATCATAAATGGCAGCGGCATGTTGATGGTTGCCAACGCAGCAGCACCCAATCCAACCGTAGAAAGCAACGCTTTCTTGATGGTCGAGTTGTAGAGAGTTTCCTCGGGCTTGACGACGGCAGCGGTCGTTGCTGTGGTGGCAGCGGCAGCGGTAGCCGATGGAGCAGGTGGAGGAGTAGCAACTACCTTTCGTGGACGTGGATAAACAATGGTTCCACCTACGACCACCGACGAATTGTTGGCGACTTCATCGCGAACATCAATCATAAACTCATTGTTGGTTGGATTGCCAAGTGAGAGCAGGAACTTCACGACGTTGTTCGAGTAGAGCTGTGAAGATTGCGTTGCCATACGCGATGGCAAATCAGTGAAACCAATGATATTGACTCCACGATGATTTACTACTTCGCCCGGTGTTGTCAACTCACAGTTTCCACCAGTCTCAGCGGCGAGATCGACAATGACCGATCCCGGTTTCATCGCTTCGACCATCTCTCTGGTGATCAACTTTGGTGCTGGCTGACCTGGAATCAAAGCGGTGGTGATAACAATATCGACCTCCTTACACTGCTTCAAGAACAACGCCATTTCCGCATCGATAAACTCCTTGGACATCACCTTACCGTAACCTCCACCACCCTCTCCGGACTCCTTGATGTGGACTTCCAAGAACTCTGCACCCATCGATTTCACTTGCTCTTTTGCAGCGGCACGAGTGTCGAATGCACGCACAACCGAACCAAGTCCCTTGGCGGTACCGATCGCCGACAGACCGGCGACACCAGCACCAATAACCAGTGTCTTTGATGGTGGAATCTTTCCGGCTGCCGTGATCTGACCGGACAGGAATCTTCCGAAATGATTGGACGCTTCGATCACCGCTTTGTAACCGGCGATATTTGCCATCGAGGAGAGCGCGTCAAACACCTGCGCTCTGCTGATACGCGGAATGCAATCCATAGCCAGCGTATTAATCTTTCGCTGAGCGAGAAGTTTCAACGTCTCTGCATTCTGTCCGGGGAAGATGAAACTTATTAGGGTGGCACCCTCCTTGTAGAGCTCAATCTCGTGCTTTCCCAGAGAACTGTTGAATTGGGGTGGACGTACCTTCAAGATGATGTCGGCGCGCGACAACACCTCTTGGGCAGTGGCAATCTTTGCACCGGCAGCGATGTATGCTTGATCGGTGAATTTCGCTCCCTTACCGGCACCCTCCTCGATGAGAATCTCTTGGAATCCTTTCTTGATCAGCAGTGCCACGTTCTCTGGAGTCAAGGCAACACGCTTCTCACCGTGAAAGATCTCTGTTGGCACACCTACAACCAAGTCCTTATATTGTCTCGCTTGATTCTTCCAGTGATCTTCGATGATCACTTCCTCCGCTGTGCTAGTTACTGTGGTAGCATTGAAAATACTGTTTTTGAAAAAACTAAACTTTGAACTTGATTGAAAATTTCTTGTTTCTAAAATTTTAATAAAAAATTAAGAATATCAAAGAAATAGAATGATTAATTATTAATAAATGTATCTGATTAAATATAAATAATTATTAATGATTTTCTTTACTTACGATATGGTTTTGGTGTGAATGAAGATGTTTGGATCAATCTACTTGATGAGTTGAGTGAAAATCCACCGTTTGGGATTGGTGCAGTTTGAGTGGCAAACAATGGATTTTGGTAACATTGAAGACTACCTCTAATATTACTAACTAATGGACTTTTGCTTCCAAAAGTTTTAAAGATTGAATTCATATCTTCTTAATATTGCTTCTTATAAATAAATACAAATAAAATAAAATACAACAACAACTTTCTATAAGAAAAAAAAAATACAAATAAAAAATAAAAATAAAAAAATTAATGAATGGTTAAGAATGATAATCTTATATTTACAAATTGAAGATAAAAATGATTGGTTGGTTTGGTTATTTGATTATTTGGTTATTATATAATTTTATTATTTATTATTATTACAATTAAATAATTAGGTTATCTCTATAATACAATGAAAGTTAATAATGAAAGATATGAAATGAATTAAAAAAAAGGAAAAGAAAAGAAAATAGATTGATTGTAAATTGAATCAAGTAAGATAAAAAACAAAAAAAAAAAAGTTTGATTTACCTTTTTTTGTTATTTTTTGTATTTTGGATATTATTTTCATTCAATCAATCAGTATCTTACTTTCATTCAATATTCTTTTTCTTGTATGTGATGTTGATAGAGGTTGTGATTGTTTTGAATGGTAGGTTTATTTTGTTGGGCAGATAAATAATGAGACTTAATAGCAAAATCATAATATTTGTGTGAGGCCTTCACACACTGATCAAAAGTGTGTTTAATTTTTGAATAAAAAAAATATATTAAAAATTTAATAACCACACTTAGATATTTACTACTTTAAACCACACACTTGATCTTCATTTATTATAAAACCAAAAAATTTAACAAAAATACAAAAAAAACAACATTTTATTTTTTTCAAATTCATTTATAAATGATCATTATAACTATTTTCATTTTCCATTTCACTGCAATAAGACATTTAATAATGATTTCCTATCACAGGTGAACGAGAAAAGTTTTGTTTGTCTCTTTCCAAGTTACAAGCAACACTTTTTATGTGATCAAAATTTTCAAAACCTAAATTAAAATCGTTAGTTTTAGTGGTCTCTTGTTTGCATTAATAAATAATAAACGGTGTCGGTTGAAACTAAAAGTAATTTTATTGAACTAATAGTCGATTGAATTAAGGCTCCCCAAATGCATGCAATATAGTATTGTAAAGTTCTTTTCAATCACTTTCTGTATCTTTTTTATGAAAAAACTTTTCATAAAAGTCATATCCTTTCATTCTCCTTATTTTCTCTGTGTCTATTATGTTGTAATTAGGTTTCTATCGTTCTGCTTCGGCTAACCTGATACGTTCTTAGATCTTTGCTACGTTTAACCTTATCTGTTCTTGAAGCTCTATAAGTTTTCGCGTGCCATATTCTTTCCACAAATGATTATTATTCATAATTTTTAATAAATGGTTGTTTCGAAAAACAAAACAACTTAATTTTTTAACAAAGTTCGTTTTTATTTTGATTTAAATCTATAATAGAACCATTCATTAAAGGATCGTTTGCATATGATAAGTGATATTGATTGGGAATGATACTGTTCATGGCAAAACCAGATGCCTCCAGAAATATATCCATAATTTTCTTATGGTTGTGATTGACTTTTCCACCAATGAATAAGAACTTCTGGTTGATGAAATTGAAAGTTGCTGCATTGAACCTACTGCCAGCAGGTGATCCTCCTTTCGCCAGAGCCACCACTTTTGTTCTTTATTCCAAAAAAACGTAGGAGATCAGTCCATTGTCAAAGTCATCTCTCACAACATTTTTAAATAGTCTCATATCCGATTAGAAATCAGTTTCCAATTGGTTTTTGTCTGAGATCTGTACCTGAAGTTGATGACAATCAAAAGCTTATTGTTATTATCTTTGTGTTCTTCTACCAATCTGGTTATCTATGTGAATGAGTGTGGGGAGAGTGACCCTGTAATGTAGATGATTTGATTGGACATCAGTTTGATAGTTGTCCCTATAAACCTGTCCATTATAATACTTTGTTGGAGGTTTTCCATTGTTGGAGAGGATCTCCGTGAACTAGAGAAAGATTTATCAATATTACTGTCAACTATCAAATTTATGATACCGTTGTTCTTTGAATGTTTCGATTTTAAAAATGAGATTGCAGGAAGAATAAGAGAGCTTTGTGAATGTATTTTATCTTCCAATCTACTAATCAAAAAAGTCTATATTCAAGATAAATACTGTTAATAATAACAATTTTCAATTTCACTTCTGTTTATATGTTGTTATTATTACTTTTCCACAGTTAAAATCTCCTATTACTAAAAACTAATGGATAGCCAGTAATTCTTCGCGATATATCAATCTTAGAAGAAAAAAATACCTTTATTAGTGCAGTAATAATAATTTTCAATACCTATTAATAAATCGTCTTTGTAAATTTAATGTAGTTGGAAAATTAAAGGAAAGAACTAGAAGATTCCTTAGTCCTCATAAAACCTTGAATGTCAAGAGAAGTTCTTCATTTTTATTAAATTCACTTGAATCCGATGTTCCAACAAACGCATCACAATAATCAATTATTAACCCTCGAAGTTATATAAATTAAATTTTGGAAATAACTAAAAAATAAAATATTTATATTTATATTATATTCATTCTTCATTTGAAGATCTTTAAAGAAATAACAACAACAAATGGACTTGGAATTATTTTAAAAATTTATATTTTATTTGATTCGAATTGTTTTGTTATCCACATAGGCCATTCTTCAAATGAAAGTTTCGGTGTGTTGATAGCGGTTTCGTAGAGGTCATAGATGTTAAGATTACACTCCCAACCCAAGTTGGCAATTTGGAGTTTTATACTTCTGGCAACCGTCAGGAAGTAGAGTTCCTTAAAACGAATGAGATTCAGAGTCGTATTTCATTCGCATATCTCTGAGTTCAATCTGAGATTTGTCCATATCGAGCTGAAACTCCAAGAAATTGGCATGCAGTTGTTTCAACTTCTTTTCACCCTCTTCCTTAATGACACGAATGATTACCAATTGATCTTCCTTGTCCTCCAATAACTGTAAGAGATATGACTTTTGTTTCAACAAATTCTCACACTCCTGCTTGAATGCGTTCAACTCGGCAAGCATTAGTTCATTCTCCTTTTGATATCTATCACTGCTCTCTGCTTCTTTGAGTTGATGAGCAATGTCATCGATTGAATTTGACATGCTGATGATTTGTTTCAATCTCTCGGTGGCATGTTCGTCACCCGAGGTAACGAGTGTTGAGAACTCCTTGCCAATACTATCCTTTAGTTGTCCGTTCTCTCTGGACAATCGTTCCTTCTCTTCGGTCAGTGCTTTAATGGTTGTATTCATTGCATTGACACGACTCTTGAAATCGTCGAGCGAGTACAGCGATGTCTTTGCTTCGTCTTTGAGCGATTTCAACTCTTTGATGAGTGCAGCGTTCAACTCTGATGGAAAGAGATAGTATAGATGGAAGCAAATTAAAATTGCAATTATTAAAATGAGAGTTGAAGTAACAAAATAAAATTTAGATTGGATCTTTATGTTTTCCTTCCTCTGTCTAACTAGCTCAAGCTGTATGGCAGTGAATTGGTTATGTAAATTTTCATATGCCTTGTCTTTCGACAAGTTTTCACTGGCCATATCCTTTAATATATATTTTCTACTTAAATCTAGATAAACCAACTTAATAGTATTTAAATAAAAAAAAAAACTGTAACCACCCTTTAATAATTTAACACATTTTTTTTAAAATTAATGCTGAACTTTTTCAAAAATAAAATCAAAATATGTTAAATTTTTTGTGTTGTAATAATATTAATTTGGTCATTGATTAACCATTCACGGTTAGCCTTTTCAAGTTTTGAAATGTATTGGAAGAAATGGAAAATAAGTGATTATGTTTTAAATTAAAAGTACAAAATTAAAATCATAAAAATATTAAAGGATAATGTTTTTAGAATTTAATAAATTTATTGCAATTATTAATTTTTAAGAATAACCTATTTTTATAAACAAGAATAGAATATGACAATCATGTGTATTATAGATATATCTCTTAAATATATATATTTATCTCATCGTGATGATGTTTATCATACTTTAATGTGTGGTGTGGAGAGATTGATTATGATAAACCGATGATCTATTGCGAAGCGATCACCATTCAACAATACAAAAAAAATAAATTAAAAAAAAAAAAAAAAAAAAAACAATGTCTTGATCAGGATCCTAAACACACAATGCAAAGCTTAATAAAAGCACACATTACCAATTAAATGAAAAACAATAGTAACATCTATTCATACTAATAGTTAGTAATATAAATTAACCGTTAGTTATTATGTTCGGTCAGTCATAAGGTTCACAGTGTATTTGAAAATGGTGTTAACATAAGTTATGTTATAATCACACCATTTTTAGAGATATAATGTTCAAGCTTTTAAATATTCGTTGTCATTTAAGTGATTAAACAAACAACAATGGGTTTATTGTCGGTGACGTTTCATAAGGTAGGTAGCGCAAAGCAATCAACAATAACTATAACATCCATCTATTACATTTAAAAATCAAACAATCATTAATTGTGTTATTGTTAATGTTTATGTATATGTGTTTAGGTGTTTGTTTAAATAACTATCACAAAATAGATCAACAAACAACATTTTTAAACCAACTATGAGTACATGACCACCACTTTGATCATCAGTGAGTTTTAAGAAAGATACTGAAAAAGATATAAATAACAATCAAAACACACACAAAGATAAACTTATCATATTCGAGTGATACATCTCATCTTGATATAATGAACACTCTTAAAATCAAATCAAATCAAATGATCACTCACCAAAAACACACACAAACACACACCCAACTATAAAGAATATTAAAAATTACCACCACCACCACTACTTCTCAAACGATGAACGTATGTACACACTGCCACACTCAGCAACTATAACAACAAATTTTATATACAATAGGTTCGTTTATTGGTGATGTTATTGATAAAAATATAATATAAAATATTAGAATTAGAAAAACAAACTTAAAGTTAAAATTATAATACAAAGAGGTATAACCCACCTACTCTTCTCTTTTCTTTCATCTCTTCACCAATTTTATTAAAATGACTTCTCTTTTCTCAGAGAGTGAGTTAGTGAGTGAGTAAGTTCGTGTTATTGTTGTTGATTTTAAGAATTCAGTTTCTTCTTTTAAAAAAAAAAACAAACAAAAAAGTATGCAGCTGACAACAATAAAATTATTAATAGCATCGGGAGCAGCATGATTTTCCAATTTCTTGTTTTAATTTGATATCATACTCTGTTTGTTGAGATGATCACCAACACCCATATCACCAAAACTTACCAAACAAATATTGTGAAAATAAAATTAATATATATTAATTATAAAAGTATTAATATTAATATCAAAAACCTTCATTAAATCAAATCAAATCATCTAATCAAGTTGCAATTGCATTTAAATCAATCATTATAAACCCAAACTTTTCTAAAAATATTTATTTTATTGTACATACTTTGAATTTCATAGCATATTTAATTTATAAAGTTTTTTTTTACTTAACTCAATATATATAAACCATTTTCTTTTCTGTAAAATCATTGATACTTAATTAATTAATCTATCTAAAGACCAAATCCAATTCAAATCATTCATCTTTTATTTCTGGTATTAAATTTTTAAAAAAAAAGGTATGATTTTATTTTAATATTTCTTCTTCATTTAAAAACAATCAATACAATCAACATTATTACGAATTACTTAAATCAAATATATTAACAACAATTAAAGATATCAAGTCAATCAATACACCATTTTTTAAATTAAATAATTTTACTTAATTATTTCAGTAAAAAATTAATATCTTTTATATTTCAATTATTATTATAATATATATATATAAATAGATATATATCACATCACACTTGTCATTATTAAAATCCAAAATCATTAAAACTTCGTTTGTTACGATAAGCCAGACACAGTCAGCCAGCTATCAGGTCAATAATTTGGTGTATTCTCACCATCCACATATCTTCCAGTGCCGACTAAGGAATAGAAAAAAAAAAAAGAACCACTGTCTGTTTGCTGTTTGGGTATGTATAATATGAACAACGATGCTAAAACTCAAACTTAGGTGTTTATTTTTTTTTTTCAACAACTTTTTGTTTTTTGTTTCCATATCAATCAAACCTCATAAAAAAACCAATGAAAGTGGACAGTGTATATCATTTCATTAATTAGTAGAATAATGTCACTTTTGGTAAAACTACTGATATTATCAAATCAATCAACCAACATCATTCATTCGCTTATTATTATTGTTTTCCATCACTTCACTCGACCAACCCACTACACACACTACTCCACACACTTTTTCTCCCAAGGAAATCCAATACATTTTCCAGACTGAAAGAAAAAAAAGATGTGGGATTGGATGTGTACATCACCACACACAACACTCTCTATACTTCATGCATATATTATTATTTTTAGTGAACAACAACAATAGAATGTAAAATTTGATGATATTGTATATTGGATCAACATGTGTATTTTTTTGATATGTGATGGGTGTATGTGTGTGTCTGTGTGTTTATGTGTTGTGTGATTATTTTATTAGATATTATACTCTGTTTGAGTATCAAGATGAGTGATTGGACATCATCTTGACATATCATATCATATTTATTTTTTAATTTATTTACACAATTAATTAACATCAACAACACACACATGTTAACATCTTATTGAAAAAAATAATTCAGTATTAGATAGATTTTGTTTGTTCTATCTATCTATCTGTCCATCTTATCTATTAATTATAATCATTTCGCATTGTACAATATATTAAATTGTTCTTTCAACAACTATAAATTTAATTATAAAATAGTAATCTGTTAGTGGAAGTCGTTGGAAGTCAGTTTGAAGTTGTTTTGCGAGGTTGTGTTTTTTTTTGTTGTCCAATTAGTGTAGTTTTAGTTTAATAGTTAGAGTTGGTATTTTATTTGTAAGTGTATAATAATATTTTAAACAGCAATCTATCTACTACACAAAATAACAATAAATAATCATAATAATAATAACAATAATAATAATAATAATAAGTCAAATATATATTTATCAATAAATTCATGATGTTGATGTTGAAGAAGGATGGTTGTGTGTGTGTTTCAATTTCAATTTCAATTCACAAAACATAAAATTCACCATAATCAAATCATATTATTATAATCTATTACTATAAAAAGAATAATAAGAATTGTGTAGGTGACATCAATAACAATACTTCTATCCATTAACGTCCAAAAATGTTATATTTAATGAATAATATCATATCTATTAATCGTTTCATTTGAAAATCGACTGAAATTAAAAGTTTTTGTTGATCAACAAAATTATATATCCATTAAATTCAACAACATCACCTCCAACATCAACAATAACAACAAAGAATAACAATAACTAAACAAATAATAACAATATTTATATTTCCAACAACATCATCATCATCATTTTAAAAATATCAATTTGTTTCTGCTTTTTTATTTCTTTCTTTAGATTTTCTTTTTATATTTCACTTTCTAAAATTGATTAAATTCTAAATATATACTAATTTCCGAAAAATTAAATTCAATACCTTTTCCAATTAATTAAAAAAGGTCCCTAACTTTTGTACTAGTAGTAGTAGTAGTTGTAGTCTAGAAGAAGAAGAAGGAATAAAACAGTTCCAAAAAAATAACCAAAACAAGAAAAAGTCCGACTCTTCAAAATAATATTTATTTATTTTTTCTTTTTGGTATGTAAAAGGCATTTTTCAAATCATGATAATTATAATATCCTTCGTTTTATGTTAATCAAATCAAATCAAATAACATCATATAAATCATCAAAATTCGGAATCAATTCAAAGTACCATACGAATCTTTTATTTCCTATTTTATCGGATTATAATAACCAATCAATCTATCATCATCACCAATCAACCAACAACAAAAAGTTAAAAGAATTTTTATAGTTAATTTCTTTTCTTTACATTTCTATTTTTGTTTTGTTTTTTTTTGTTTAGAATGGTTTTTCTTAATTTCAAACAATTTAGTTTCTTTTTTTTGTTTAGTTTAACATATTTGTTCTTGTTTTTATTTTATTTAGCAATATTAATTTAAACACAACTTAGCACAAATCATAACAGTCTCAGTGTCACATCATATTTTTCTCCCTACCCTCTCACTTCAAACACACACTACTTTTTTGGATTTTTTGAATCATTGATTAAAGTGTGTGAAAAAAATAGTTGTGTGTGTGTTTAATTAAACACATTTAAAAAATATGATTGTGGGTGTGTGGTAGTGGGTGTCATTACACTATTCTACACAACACTTAACACTTTTAAAAATGATAATTATTTATCAAACAATATAATATTATATATTGTGTGTTTGTTTGTTTTTGTTTGTTGAATTGGTTGTTTGTTTGTGTGATGTGTTTGTTAAGGTGGTATGTGATTGTGCTTGTTATTGTTGCTGTGTGATGTGTTAAATAAAAATAAAAATATATATATATATATTTATATAAAAATATGATAATCAATTCAATCAATCTCTCTATCTTCAAACAAATTTAAAATAATATTTGAATTGTTTATCATTAAAATAAAAGCAGCACACAACAGCATATATAAACACACATACACCTACACACATAGTTGCAATCAAACACTCCCTCAAACACTCATTCAAACTCATCCTTTTCCAACCATCTATCTATATAACAACAAAAACTTTTTGTTTTAATTTAGTTAGTGTTGTTAAATAATAATAAATTATAATTTCTGAAAGAAAAACATAACCAAAAATAAATAATTATTAAATATATATTTATATATTTGTTATAAAAGATAGAATTATAATATTTATATAATTTCGAGATAACAAAAACAAACAACAATACATAACAAAGTAAAAACAAAAACAACAAGAAGAATCAATCAAAAAGTTCACAATTGTGTGTATCTTTTCAATATTTATCAATCTAGTAATATTGTTGTTGTCATAATAATATATGTTGTAGTAGTAGTAATAATAGTAGTGAAGAATTATTTAACTATTTCCAGAGAGGTAGGAAAAACTAAAGATTTTTAGGAATAATATCTATTAGTTGTAGTGACTTTACACTATCTAACAAATCACACATCCAAACAACAACACTATATTATAATAATAATAATAATAATAATAATAATAATAATAATAATAATAACTTAGTTTGTTGTTTTAAAATTGATTGGACATTAAGATGATTGGAGTTAGATATTTATAACCAACAACTCTAACTCTTATATAACTGCTACACTCATTCATTGATGCCCATTATACAATTAAACAATAAAAAAACAACAATAACAACAACAATATTAACAACTATAACAAATAACGAAATCAATGAATTGTTATTATTTTATACACAATAATTAATATTACTTAAATTTCCATAAAAGTTTTCATACATAATTATCATTTAATATTGTTGTTTATTTTTATTTTATTGTTTTTTAAATATCCACATTCCAAATCTAAAAGTTATTTTTAAACAACAATAACAACAATTTATCAGTAGTAGTATCAAGTCTATTCTTATCAATGACAATTATATCTAAGAACTATTCTTAATTAAAATAGTCAGTAACCAATCAATCTGTTGATTCAATCAATCAATCAAACAATAATCACCAAATTAAATCCACTCACTCTTTTTATACCCCCAACACTATCAAACAAGTGTGCCATATATACAATTTTTCCAAACACACCAACATTTAATTCATTGTATAAATTTGTGGTGTGTGAGTAATGCATATTGTGTTTTGATAATTTTTATTATTTCCTGCTGTGTGTATATTTATTTCTCTTACTTTTATTGCTTTGTGTGTGTTGTGTCCTAAATGTCAGGACAGACTGTTGCTCAATTAATTTGAGATTGTCATTATATCACTATATCAATTGAATATGTTGTATATTTGTTAATTATTTTTAATGATACATCTAACCTTATTCATACCTATCCGATTATATTACGATCATTAAAACCGTGATTAATCATCAACATCATCATCATCGATACCCCCACCAACAACACCAACACCACCAACAACAACAAATTAATTGTTTATAATTTTAATTCAAGAAAAAAACAATAATAATAATAATAATTTATTTTATATTTAATTGACAATTGTGATAAAATTATATTTATACATTCATTCATTGATTGATTCCAAAAATATATATCATTTACATTTATATAAAAAAAAATAATAATAACAAAAAATAATAATAATAATAATTTATAAATTTATTTATCATATGAATAAATAAAGTAAATTAAAAAAGTAAAAGAGTAAAGTAATACTAATTATAATATTATTGCCAATACCAATCCATAGATAGATAGTTTAGTAGCACAACAACACTGAAAATATTTTCAATCAAAATATTAGTGTTGAATCAACTTTTTTTTAAAAATATATATTTATTTTAATTTTATTAAGGTAAGAGATAATAATTATTGTATGAAATGGATAATATAAATAATATATAACTAACTAAATATTTTATTTATTATTAGTAAATCAAAAGGAAAAAAAAAAAAACAAAAAAAATAATTTAAAAAAAAATAATGGAGGGAGGTGATATACCATTAAATACACCTACAAGTCCACAAACAACCACCACAACTACAACAACGAATAATAATAACAATAATAGTGGTGGAAGTAGTAGTAATAATAGTCGTCACCAAGATGGTCACAGTAGTATGAGTGGATATCCATCGAGAATGGACAGCTCTCACCAGTTGATGGGTCTGAGTGGGTCGGGATCCAGCAGAAATCTCAAGCCAAAGCCATCGTCCAACAACATCAAGTGGAAGTGGAACAATAAAGATAAACCGATGCCAATGGACAGAGAGTTGGCAAAGAAGAAGGTCTCTGGTCGCAAGGACAGCGAACGCAAGCTCAAGTCGTCGACCTCGATGCTCAAGAAGAAGAACACCATTATGGATTTCGGTGAGGACGACGGATTCAACGCCGACGACGGAAACATCACCGAGGGACTCCCCATTAGCGAGGGAATAGAGGAGAACACCAATGCTCACTCGCCACTGATGGAAGCACGTGAATCCATAGCGACGCCACGCTTTGAAACTCTGATCGATCCCGATATCACGCCCGCCGAAATGGAAGAGAAGATGCGTCAGCACAAGGCTCACCTCGAGATGGAGAAGACCAAGGAGCGTGAGCAAGCCATGATCAAGAAGAAGTCACAGATGCAAGTGAAGCGCAAAGTCACCTCCAACACCATGCAAGACGACAGCTTCGAGACACTGGAAACAATCATCGGTGAGGAGAAGAAGGAGGTTGTCTTTGAGGTGAAGCCATACTTCTCGCACTCGATTCTCCAGGCAACGATGGCAGTTTTTTTGGTGTGGAATCTTTTCTATTTCGCTTATCGTGCCGGTTGGACTATTAACACTCACGACGTCTACACCATGGGTTTCTCAGCGCTGTTCTTCATCGTTGAGTTTGTCTCGTTCTTGGCAACAGCGCTCCATCTTAACAACTTTACCAATCCATGTACTTTTATCTTGGTGGTTACACTCGAACAGATTCTCGCCAAGCGTAGAAAGAAGTTCCCAAATATCATGATGTACATCACCACCTACAAGGAACCACCCTCAATCGTATCGCGTACCTTTAGAACTGCCATTGCCATGGACTACCCATCTGAGAATCTCTGGATTGGTTTGCTAGACGATTCCGCCAATTTCCGTGAGAGTCGTGGTTGGGCACATCTCCAATCGGTCGAGAAGAACTTCCTCTTCCAACTGTTGCAACGTGCCATCTATGCCGTCCACAACATCGCCCCACCAATGGCCAAATCCAAGGAGGATCCACATGGAATCCTTTCAGAGACTAGCGATCGTATTGCCACCACCACCAAGGAGGTAGTAGAAGCTGAAGTCCAGTGGTTCATCGAGTACTTCCTGTTGAACTCGTGGTTCGGAATCAGTCAGGAGGAACAGCGTGAAGCCGACGACAGTGAGAAGTCGTTGATCTCCAAGTTGCGTGACGACAACTTCTCGCCATACCGTACATTCTCTGCTTTGGAGCGTGAGAAAATCGACAACTTCACTGTGGAATCGCTTCAATCACTCTGGCACGGAAACGCCATGTACCGTCCACTGATCCGTTCGGTCTTGATCAAGAAGGACTACGTTCGTAACTACATCCGTGAACTCAACAATGCTCACCGTCTTCGTTTCTTGAACACCGAAGCACTCGCCATGGCTCAGTACTCTGTGTTGATGATGGGACGTCAAGAGGTTCCATTCGAAGACGTCTCCACCGGTAACGTGCGTATCGACTTTGAACCATCGGGAACCGTCGTCTCACCAAAGTGCACCTACTTGCGTCGTCGTAAACCACCCATTCCACACAACAAAGCCGGTAACATCAACAATGCACTGTTCAACGAATCGACCAAAGTCGACTTTGAATTCATTGGATTGCTCGATGCCGATCAGCAGCCACATCCCGACTTCTTGAAGCGTGTCATGCCCTATTTCTACTCGGACGAAGGATCCGACTGTGCTTTCGTACAGACTCCACAGTTCTTCAGTAATATCTACCCAGTCGACGATCCACTCGGTCATCGTAATATGGAGTTCTACGGTCCGGTAATGGAAGGTCGTTCCGCCAATGGAGCATGTCCATTCGTAGGTACCAATGCAGTTTTCCGTCGTCAACCACTCTATGACATCGGTGGTATTATGTATAACTCTGTAACAGAGGATATGTATACCGGTATGAAGTTGCAAGTCTCTGGTTACAAGTCGTGGTATCACAACGAAGTACTGGTCGTCGGTACCGCTCCAGTCGATATTAAGGAAACCCTAGAACAACGTAAGCGTTGGGCACAAGGTGCCGTTGAAATCTTTTCACTCACTCCATGGTCGTACATTCGTACCAAGCTCGGTTGGCGTAAGATGTTGTACAACCTCGATTCCTGTATCTATCCATTCTTGTCGCCGACTGCCTTCTTCTACGGTCTCTCGCCATTAATTATGTGTCTCTGGACTGTTCCAATCGTCGTTACCGATCCAGTTATCTTCATTCTCGTCGGTATGATTCCAGTCATGATTTTGCCCCGTGTCATCCAATACATGATTCTCAGAGCTCGTCGTCCCTATGAAGCCGGACGTTCCGGTCCATCGCTTTGGGTTGAAGCCACCGACTTGTGGAGAGCCGAACAGACTTTCTTTGCTTTCGCCGGAACTTATATTGCCGCTTGGAAAGCTGGTTCCGCTTCGATCGTTCGTCTCTTGAAACAACGTCGTATCAGTCGTCACAAGTTGGCCATGTGGAATTGGAAGCGTGATTTCGTCAAGAAGCCAACCATTGTCGAGTCGTTCCGTCAAGCCAAGTTGGTAAATGCCGCCGAAGTCGAAGAGGAAACCGGTACCAAGAAGACCGAACAATCTTTCCGTTCCTCCAACAAGGAGTCCGACACCATTAAGAACTCTCGTCTCTTCTTGGCCAACATCTTCCTGTTTGGTGCCAACATTGTCGCCATTCTTCTAACGATGCTTCGTTTCAATTGTTTCCAAGACGACATGTGGTTGTTGATCGTAGTAGCTGGTTTCGCCTTTTCCACCTGCTGGCATCTATGGTCATTCATTCCAATGGCTCTGCGTCAATCCGAAAAACAATGGCCATACGCTTCATCGTACCATGCACACAACATTGTCATCTTTGTCATTCTCGGTTTCTTGGTATTGTTGTTCGTCAAGGTCAAAGTCTGTATTCCACGTATTGCCTAAACATATTTTTAGTACTTGGTTTACAACAACAACAAATAATAATAATTTTAATAATAATATAATAATATATATAAATATAAATTTTCCATACTTTTTTTTTTCCTTCTTCACTCAACATTTCACCAACCAACAAATAAATCCAAACAAACAATCAGCTCAAATATCATATAATATAATAGCCCTCCACATCCACTCCCCAATATATCAAGTTGGTTAAAGTACCTCCTTAAAAAAAATCATTCTCTTTAAAAACATTAAATTTAAAATATAAACTTTAAAAAAATAAATATATAAATGTATTAATCAAAAAATTAAATCTTTATTGCAATCCTGAGTTTTTATTATAGTTATAATTTAAATAATTACCAACCATATAAGATTGTTTAAGATCGAGAACATCTTGTGCCTATCATTCTTAAGAAATTGATTAATCTTTAATAATAATGTTCAAGACAAACATGAGATATTACAAATATTCTTAGATTTTACTAATACAATTATCAACTTCAACAATTCAATCATATAAATATTTGCCAAGCATCACATACTCTCAAAAGACCATTTGTTTTTCAATCAGAAATTATATTAATAGTACACTAATTTGATTACTAAGTAAATTATTTTAATTAATTTAATCAAAAATATATATTTTGATCAGGGGATCTCTAAAAGTAAAATCTGTGATTATAATTAGACTGCAAAGAGTTTGTTTGGTATGATATAATTTAATAGTCATCATATGTTGAGTGTTACACTACTGTCTTATCTGATTGTGGTTATTGAGGTATAGATATTCATATTGAACGACGATTATGAAATATCAAAATTTAATTTATTTTGATAAGCAAGACTTGGTTCTTTTCCAACTGTATCAATGAACAACCAGGAAGAGACACCATCAAGACGAATATCACAATTGCCAATCGATTCTACTAACACTTTTATGCCATAGTGTCAATTTTAGCGATCTCTGTCTTTCTTCTGTTCCTCCAAAATCAACATTAAAAAGTATTAAATTGAATCATACCAACCAAACAACATTTTGCTTTTACAAGTGAAAGGTACCTTTCGACTGCTTTTTCTTTTTTTTTTTTTTTTGCAAAACCAAAAAAATATCTAAAATTGAAAAATGAATGATCATTTTTTTTTAAAGTGATGGTTGTGCAATTCATTAAAAATAAAAATAAAATAATCTGTAAAATATCTATTTAAAATTTATTTGAATTTATATTTATTTAATAGTTCGGTTTTTAGTTGATATTATTCTGATACAATCTTTTCATCATCAGATTCAGATTATATATAATAATAATAATAATAACACACTCTTAGATTAGAAAAGTAGTGCACAATGGATTCAGTTCAGGCTTGGACTGCCAATGAGTGGTATGCAATCATTCAAGGGTGGAGAGTGGTAAAGCCAATCGTTTCTTCGTCAGCCAATGCAGTGATACCTTCAGCCAACACCGTTCAACAGAATAATCAGAGTGGAATTGATTCATCTGGTGTTGTAGATCATCATCATCATGATGTTGTTAGTGTAAATGTTGGTGTCGGTGGTGTTAACGTTGGTGTCAGTGTCGGTTCTAATATCATAGGTTCGGTTGACTCTCAGAAAGATGGTCATCACGATGGTTTAGGCGATGTTGGTTCTGTTGGTGGTGTCGGTGTTTCTACATCCTCTGCACATAGCTCAGACTTGGGAAGCATGCTTGATAAACACAGCATGCTATCGGAACAAGATAACATCAGTAAGATGCATTCATCTACAAGCTATAGTCAGTCGTCACATGCCTCACAGTCATTCTCATCGATTCTGACAGAGAGTAACATCCTAAACACACCCTCACATTTAATCATTGAAATTCTACTTAAAAGTTTAAAGTTCGAAAAGGATGACATCCTTCGTATCAATCTTCTACTTTTTCTTCAAGAGAATTCAACTTTACTCTTGGAAGAAGATTCTAAAAGGTAACTATATCTAAATCATATATATATATTTATATATCTACATTTACTAACATTATAATAAATATAGATTTGAAAGAGTATTTAGTATATTACAATCGTTGGTGAATTCACAGGTAGATAGTTATCCAGTGAAGAGTCAGGTGTTGTCTACTATGACTACGATATTGATTTGCGAGTCGATTATTAAGACACATCCGAGATTGGTAGAGACATTCATTGATCTACTGTTGGATATTGTCAATAAGATCAATAATAGTTCCGATCGACTACTTAGAGGATCGGCATGTCAATGTTTGTTGGAGTTGGAGTTGACCTACCCGTGTTTGCTATCGCCGTTCATACCGACACTACTCAAGCACGTACAGAACGAGAACACTCACTTGATCCAATGTTACACTCAGTTGTTCACAACCATTCTCCAACATGCGATGGTCTGTGAATACGAAGAGTTGATCAACCGTGAGAATGCAGCTGCATCTGCAGCACCTACTTCACCTATCTACTCTTCTTCCAATAACAGCAACAGCAACAATAGTAATAATAATAATAATACAACTACAGGTAGTAATAACAAGAATAATAGTAATAGCAATATTCCATCTAATCAAAGTTCACTGAACTACCGACGATCTCTCTCACGTATACCATCGTCTGCCAACATTCAAACCAATATCTTTACGGAGAGTAGCAGTACACTGACTCCGATATCATCGTTTGCCATCCCACAGAATATAAAGTACTCTCCGATCAGTGCAACGATGAAGCAGCTGCAGGAAACACTACAGGGTGGCAACGGTGTGGCAACCAAGTTGTCCGATAACATTGGTAAGGAGCTACTAAAGTGCATCAGTGTGGTGGTCGATCAATCACCACAACTTAACCAATGGGGATTGATCTCTGTCATCTTGCAACTGGTTCCACTCGTTGACTTGACCACCTCGATTCCACCGAGTGTCTTCAAACACCCGCACCTCTACAAGCTGTTTTTCATAAAGAATCCATTGCAATTCCATCTACTGCTATTCCTCGCATTGAAATTCCCCGACATCTATTCCAACGATGAATTCGAACTGTTCTTTAAACGTTTGATATTTATGATTAATGATATTTCATTGTAAGTATTCACTCTAGCTAATCTGATTAACATAATAATATTGAAACTAATTATATTTTTAATCTATATATTTTTAGATCACAAGAAAATAGAATATTGGCAATCGATTGGTTACTTTCAATTCCAAACAAGAGATTGAACAATTCATCTACTATTTATAATTATTATAAACAATTCTATCCGACTGCATTCGATAACCTGTCACTTAAGGAAGTCAAACTCTATGCAATGTGTAAATGTATTTTAGATAACTCAACAACAGCAACAATAACAAATCAAGTAAAAACAACAGCAATTCCACCAAACGATCTATTGAAATCATTGATATGTTTAGATGAATTTAGATATCACCAGAATGAAAATTCAATTCCAACTAAAATTGTATTTTCCATTCTACTCCAATATTTAATATCATTCCCAACATTTGTATTTAAAAATATAGAATCGTAAGTAGAGTTATTATTTTTATTTTATTTACACACAACTTATTAACCTTTTTACTAATAAATTTTAGATTTATATCGGAATTAATTATTAATTATAATCAATTCTTAAATAATATTATTGCACTGATGAATGGTATTCCAAATAGAAAAACAAGAATCAATTTATTCCTATCGATTTCAAGGGTGATAATCAATTTGAAACCATCGAAATTCTTGGCGTACTTACCGTTGGTCGAGCGTATTGTACTGGAGGATCAAATCAATCCGATGGTGCTGTTGAACAAGGTCTACGATACTGTGCGACGTCGCTCTATTTGTAAGGAAGGCAATTGGTACACTGGAAACATCATACTCTCCATCTGTCAACGTGTTCTGATTCATCATAGCACCCAACACCTCTTCAAACCGCTCCGATTGATCCTAACGACACTCTCGTCCTACTTTTGTAATCTTGAGATTCGTGACCGTGCCAAATTCTACGATCGTATTCTCACTCATCTTCCAGATGACAAAATCAAACCATTATTAACAACAACATCAACAGATGAATCAAATAGTAAGTTATCATAGTTAGAAACCAACTAAAGTTAATATTTTTAAGCAACTAACTAACTAATTATTTAATTTAATTATTAACTTTTTAGTTAGTGGAATGGGAATGTCATCACTTTCAACAATGAAGATTATAAAATCTTTGAATAATCATATTGCTATTACTCCAATCAAGGATTTGAAACCGATTCTACACCAATTCAATATTCCTGCAAAGTCAAACAACTCAACACCCGACGATCCTAATCATCTTCAAACTTTGATGGTCGAATATCAAAATATGATTAGAGAGTACGACCAATTGGGTGCCAAGATTGTGATTCCCTATCGTATAAGATATAAACCAAATATAGTCGATAGTACCTTCCCACAGAAAGTGTATGCCTTGCTAATTCAATTCCGTCAAGCAACTACACCATCACTCTATTCAAACATCAATCCAATCAGAATTCCCTATTTGTGTTACAACGAGAAAGAGTCAATTGAATTCCCATATTGTTTCGATGTTGATATTACTTTCATTCCACATCATCCATTGCCTAGTGATATCAGAGTGAAAATGGTATTCAACGATGACGAAGGAAAGACTTGCAAGGCTGCCGGTGCCAAGATAACCGTTGAATTCCAAGATCTATTCATGACCGTTCCAATTCCACCGTCTGCAACCCAATCTCCAGATACATTTAAATCTGAACTATTCGAGAAACTTTGGAAGATGATGATTGAAGAGCAAATGATAGAACAAAAAAAGTAGGTAGCAAAGTAATGCGCTCAAATCAAACTTTGATATTAATTGCTATTCTCTTCTATTTTATATTTAATTAGTCCATTGTTCATGCATTCAGTTAAACATGTCAATGTAAATAGGGATATAATTAAGCAATCAATTGCTAAGCACCTGAAACAATATATAATCACGGGCAACGATGAAAAAGATCATAATTCTATCAAGGTATTGATATTCCTTCCGCCTCAACACCATTTACTGTTAATTTTCGAAATTGGTGTCCAATCAACTATTGTACATATCAAAACAGATTATTGGAGATCATTGGCCTACATAGATCCATTTTTATCATCTTTGGTTATATGTTGACTACTCTGAAAATAAAATAAATAAATATTTGCATAAAATTAAAATATCATAATATCAATCAATACTGTTAACATTTTATTTAGTTATCTTTTTAAACAATATATAGAGATGAAGCAAAGACAATATCTCTCTTGATTAATTTGATTGATTCGTCCATCTTTTGGTAGAGTTTGGTGTCACCAATGATTCTTGCACAATTTCTAACTTCTTGACAAGTTTCACCGATTCTTGTGATTGCTCTTACGATTGTTCCTTCTAAGACATTGGTGAGTCTACAAATTTCGTGGAATGGCATACCTTTGGCCCATTCATAGCATACTTCCATCAAACCAAAGTTGAGTATCTTTGATTCTTCGCCGTTGGTCGGTGTCTCCAGACCGTGATCGTGCTCCATGTCTTTGATTCTGTCAGCTAGTTTCTCTAGTGATTTTCTTGCTTCGTTGAGACGAGGTGTTAAAGATGGCGCTGTGGCATCCTTCTCATGGAAAATCATTGTTGAAAGTACCGCAACGATTTCTGCTGGTTCGAGTGCCAAGAAGAAGTTCTCAAAGATCAACTCGGGAACGATCAATTCCTCACAGGTGTTGACCTCACGAGATACCTTACCCTTGAGAAGTACATTGTTATCTTCGTCAATGTATCCAAGTGTACGCAAGATCTTGAGACGAGTCTGGAACTCGGGCATTAGTGCCAAGTTTTCATCGGAGGCAGAGTGAGTTACCTGTGCCAACTGTTGGTGAATCTTGGCACGATTCTCAGTGAGTGCGAAATGTTCTGACAACTTTGGACACTTGTGGCACTTGGATTCCGGTAGCAGCTGCTCCAATTTCTGTAGACGTTGATAATTCTCGACAAACTCTACACTCTTGAGCTTGAGCTTTGTGATTGGGTCCAATGCAGGTGGTCCTAATGGCAATGGATACTCTTCGACAAGTCGATGAAGTTGCTGAACGAGTACGGAGCTGGAAGCAGCTTCACCGGCTTCAATCGATTTCAGCTCAATCTTTAGCTTTTCATTGCAGATTCTCTTGATCTCTTCATCCCCAGATTCACTATTGACGATCTTGTAGGTGCCATCTTCGTGGGCAACGAAAATACGGAAAGTTCTGTTGATCTGAGAGTTGGCAAATTGACGTGATCCACCACCACCACTTGGGATACTACAACCAAGTAAGCAACCAATAAACACAGAGGATTGATTCTTTGGATTGTATACAACGACACGACCCGCTTGGAAATGTGCATCGGATTGCGATGAAAGGATGGCACGCTGTGTGAACGAACTGGACGACTTGATTTCCGAATACATATTGTAGTAGTTCTCAATGTCGGGCTCACCAAGAATACACTGAATCGGTGGAATCGCTTCATAATCTTTTCTTAGCGACTCAATGGCATTACGCATCTCTGGAACATCTTTTTGAGTGGCAAACTCTGAGAATGAACGTTTGATCATATCTTCAACCTTGAAGTCTTGCACACGTAGGAGATTGAGAATCATATTATAGGTGAGACGGAATTGACTGTGAAGTTTCGATGGTACACCGAGAATCATTGATTCCATAGTGGTTTGCTCCGGTAGATCCTTCCAGCACGCCAAGATGACAGTACCGACGGCATCGAGACCACGACGACCTGCACGACCTGACATCTGGGTGTATTCACCGGGCAACAAGTCACGGAATTGCGTTCCATCGTGTTTTCTAATGTGACTGTAGACAACGGTTTTAGCAGGCATGTTCACACCCATCGCGAATGTCTCTGTGGCAAACAACACCTTAACCAACGATTTCGAGAAGAGAATCTCAACGAGTTCCTTGACGATTGGAAGCAAACCACCGTGGTGGACACCGATACCACGCTCCAAAAAGTCACGAATCTGAAGAATCTGTGGTAGCTCCTTGTCTTCTGCACGCAGTCTGGCCAGCGATTCCTCAATGAATACCTTGATAATAGATCGCTCACCACTCGTCGTTAGAATGACATTCGATCCCAAACTGAAAGCATAATCCTGACATTTCGCCTTACTGAATGAGAACACAATCACCGGGAGTTGATTCTTTTCCTTTAGCATCATAATGAGTTTGGACCAACCGGATGAACGCTTGGCACCGCCACCGCCACCCGCCATGTTTCCACCACGACCACCACCTCTGTTTCCACCGCCAGGCTGGTTTGTTGTCTCCTTAAAGATCGAAGCATATGCTTTGTTGTAACCGTCACTCAGGAATCTACGTGAACTATCGACGATCTTGAAGAGATCATTCGATTGCGTATGGATGTAATGCTCGAGAGGAACAGGACGTTTAGTTGTTCCAATCACATAGATATGCATCTTCTTTGTTCTACCGATCCAATCGGCGAATTCCAAAGGATTGGAAACAGTGGCGGACAAGAGCACAATCTTTACGTGTGCCGGCAACATAATGATAACCTCCTCCCACACGACACCACGGTCGATATCATTGAGATAGTGAACCTCATCGAAAATAACCCATTCGATATCACGAATTAGATCGGCACCCTTGTAGAGCATCGAACGCAGAATCTCAGTGGTGAGCACGAGACACGCTGCCGACGGATTCACCGAGACGTCACCGGTGATCAGTCCGACTGAACTGAAAGTATTCTTAAAGTCACGGAACTTCTGATTGGACAGTGCTTTGATTGGCGAAGTATAGATAGCACGTGTCATATTCTTGGCAGCCATCGCTATGGCGTACTCGGCAATCACTGTCTTACCGGCAGAGGTATGTGCCGAGATGAATACACTGTCACCCTTCTCCATATGATAGATAGCCTGTTTCTGGAAGGAATCCAACTCGAATGGATATTCAATGGCAGGATTGGTAATCAACTCTTTGAACGGTGTAGTTATCTCTTTGGTATCGTTGAATGCCCATTGTTTTCTTTCGACATTCTCTGAGATTGCTGTAGTAGCTTCCGATGCCTTTGCTTTTATCTCCTCAATCGACAAACTCTCCAGTTTATTCTCAAGAGATGAACTACTCTCTCCAATAACCTTATCTAAAGAATCATCTACTGTTTCTGATGATTCTTTATCACCCTTTGTTTCTTCTTCTTCTTCTTCCTCAACTTCTTCTTCATATTCCTCTTCTTCATATTCTTCCTCTTCTTCTTCTTCATCTTCATCAATCAATTCAAATGTTGATGTTGAAGTTACTTGTTGCTGTTGTTTTTGTTGTGTTGTAACTGATAAACCATGTGATAATCCAGGTGCTTTTGTTAATAGTTGAGATGGTTGTTTCCAGAATGACATCCAATCGATAGGTTCACTCTTATCGTTGGCGTGGACAGAGGAAGTTGCTGTTGGTTTGGCAGGCTCCATTCCACCAGGCAAGAAAGGGAATGCTTGTGCATCTCCACGGTGAAACTCTGTTCCACTCTCATTCCAATTACGCATCAACGAAGTAGAGTTGGTAGCATTGAGATTGGTGTTCAACTCTATCTCTTTGTAGGCGGACATCGATAGCTGATGATTGACTTGATCGACCTCCAACTGAATGGTGGTTGACGGTGCCGATCCCTCTGCACTCAGCAACGCCTTGAATGCCAGCGATCTACAATCGACATCTCTTGCCCAACAACCCTGGAAATCACTCTTACCAAGCGAAACACTAGTGAAACTATCTCTAACCTTTCCCAACAAATCTGGTGTATCATCATTAAACAATGGAATACAATTCTTTAATAACCAACATTTATCAATAATGTAATATTGTTAATATAAATGAACTATCTAGATGTTTGTTTGATTGATTGTTTGTTTGTTTGTTTATAATAATTACATTTAAAGAAATAGGGAATAGAGATGTAGAAATTGTTTTATCTATGTTTCTATTGTATACAGATAGATCAGGCATACCATTGGCAGTGGCTATAATATTGGTTGTTACTACACCATTTTCAAATGTCAGTGGTGAATCTTTTGGTAGATTCGTTTGTTTCTTTTCTAGAGTTTCCAATTCATTTAAGAATTGATCTATTGATAATGATGTCATATTATTATTGTTATTATAATTAATGACAATGATAAAAATAAGTTATATATGAATGTTCAACAGTTGGTCAATCAAAAAAAGTTGTCATAGGATCATCAAATTTTTTTAAAAAAAAAAAAACATAGATTCAGACAGTTATGTTATTCTTAAAGAAGGTTTAATAATAATGATGATGATATCTAAATATATTTATACAACATTTAGATATAGTAATAATAATATTAATACATTATCATCATTATTATCTTCATCATATATAATAAATAGTTATAAAAGAAGTAATAGATATTATAGTAGTGTGATTGAATCTAAAGATATTGTTGTTAATGAAATTCAGGATAGCCTCGAAAAGAATAGTAATAGTAATAGCAATGTAGATAAAATTTATAGTAGAGATGAATTAAAACAAATTCTAAATGAAAATAGTAGAAGACAAAACATTGGTAAATTAGAGGATTGGTATAATGTCGGTGCAGATTTAAGTAAATTACAAATACCCAATGATGTTTGGAAACAATTCAGAGGATCACTTTATTCTTTATTGAGTTTTGTTGAACCCGATTTCAAATGGGAACCATGGAAGTTTAATACTTTGACAACAACAACATCAGAATCAGAATCAAACAATAAGAGTATTAGTAATCCAAGAGGATTCTGGAAGGATCAATCACATCAACTGCTATATATGAAGTGGTTGGCAGAGCAATTATCGTTTGACGATCGTGAATACGAACGTTGGTATACCGTTGGAAAATCACATTTCATCAAGTACAGAGGTCGTGGTTTACTATCGGTCTATGGCGATTCCGTCTATCTGCTACTAAGTTCACTGTACCCCGAGTTTGAATGGCTGCCTTGGAAGTTTGATAATACACCGAAACGATTCTGGAGTGACAGAGACAATCAGATCAGATACATAAAATGGCTGGCTCGTAAACTGGAAATCAAACAACTGAAAGATTGGTATAGAATAACAAAGCTTGATTTTCAAGAGAATTACGGTTCCAGTCTATTGTCTTTGTTTGGCGGTTCACCTGCAAGAGTAGTTATGACATTGATAGATCCCAAAGATCATCATGACAATCTGAAAACTGGAATGGTAGAGAAACAACAACATGTTGAGAACAAATGGCAAATATGGAGATTCACTTGTTTACCTCGTGCTGCCAAATTAGATATAGAGGTGCTGAGAGAGTTTATACAGTTCGCTGAGAGTCACTACGCGATTGAGAGTCAAGCCGATTGGTATAGGTTGTCGTGGAGTCAGATTCGTGATATCGGTGGATTCTCGCTGGTCAAGAAGAACGGTGGATTCTGTCAGAGTCTGGCAAAGATCTATCCTGAGAAACAGTGGAATCCGCTACTCTTTAATATGCCTGGGAAGAAGTCGTCGCAACGACTACTGAAGATCTACTTGGATCGGCTGTTACACCCGGACTACAAGGTTGTCGAGGACTATCGGGATGTCGATCTTCTAAGGTATCGTTCTACCAACACCGGATTCCAATTGGATTTCTACTGTTCCGAGTTGAAGCTGGCATTCGAATATCAAGGTAAACAACACTTTTTGGACACTCCACTTTTCGGTGACGCCAAAATCTATCGTGATCGCGACACTGAGAAGCGAGTGATCTGTCGTGAGCTGGGAATCAAAATCATCGATATACCATACTGGTGGGACAATCAAGTGGAATCACTCATTGGAACGATCCAAGAGAATAACGGTCACCAATGGATATCTAAATATCTCGAATCAATCAAAACCAAAGAAGATAATAATGTTGTTGATCAACTACATTTCTCACCAATACCAAAAACCTATCAAAAACAAAGAACTAATAAGAAAGTTCATTTATTATAAAAATGATGATCATATGTATTATTATATTTTGTTTTTAATCCATTTATATATTATAAAATTAATTATTATTTGTAATGTTTTTGATTATCAAACAAATCAAACCATATCAAATCAAATTCACTCGTTTTTATTACAAACCATCATATGATTAATGTTTGTGTGTGTTAATAATAATTGTGATATATTTTATTTTTGATGTGGTTTAAATCATGGTTTTAATAGATTAGTGTTTAGTAGTATCCAATTAAGTAAAAATGTGTATATTTTTAGGTAAACATTATATTTCTATGGATGGAAGAGTTGCCCAAACAATATTTGTATTTTATTTTGTTTTAGGAAATAATATACAATATTTTAAAAATAGATTTTAAAATATGTTAAAGGTAAATTTAGATCATATTTATTATTATTATTATTAACTTCTATATTGATATTTTAGAATCTAAAAAGAATGCTAAAATTATATTTATATATTTTATTAATTTTATTTACCGTTAGAGTATCAAGTATAAAATATGACAGATTCACAATTCCTTCGAATCCTAAATCCACTTTGAAAGTTGGACAGATTTTCCGACAGACTGATAGATTAGAAGCTGGATCAATGTCTCTTATTCTAAACAAAAAAGGAAATTTACAGATTCAAAGAAATGGTCTACCAATTTTTACCTTTGATAATACACCTTCGAAATCATCATCTCCTATTTATTCATTATACTTTAATAATTCAAATCTTCAAATTCGTGATAGTGTAGAAAAAGTAAAATATGATTTCTGTACAAGTGGTTTAAATGGAACAGAGTTAATATTACTAGAAACAGGTGCTTACAATAGAGAATATGGATTAGTTATGGTCAACTATAAAAGAAAGATGGTTTGGGGAAGATTTGGACCTTTGACATCGACAGTGGATACAATGATTCCTGGCAGTTATATTGATAGTCAAGATAAAGAGAATAATAAGTTGGAACAAGGTGATTTCATTACGAATGGAAGAGACTACTTGAGAATGGAAAGAGATGGTGTATTGATGATGTATCTTGGCAATCCAAATGGCGATACGAATGGATCACCTAGTGTTTTCAGTTCATCTTCTCAATTTTATAAAGCCAATTCAAAATATGTTATGAATTTGGAAAATGGAACGATGGTATTCTATTCAAATGATACTGCGAATCCAATAATATATCGTGAACATCTTCATTCGGATATAAGATTTCTTCACTTACCAAACCCAGATCCAACGTACTCTAAAGCGGAATGGTCAATTCTCGGAAGAGATTCCAATGGTAAAATAGTATGGGGACACTTCAATCATCCAACTCAAATAGTGAATCATCCCTTCAGTTGTATATCACAACGCAACCCTAATCCAAATTACAACTATCCATCTATTAATGGTAGCTATCTGATAATGGAAGCTAACCCCAAGTCTATGAAATTCATTGATTTCTATTGCAAAGATGCCAACATATCGATTTCGACAACACCACTTTTAAATTCTAAACTATTGGCTGCCTACCATATAAAGACTCCTGGAACTTTGTCAGCTAAATCCTATGGCAAGGTTTCACTTGGATTCACAAGTAAAAGCGGTCAATTCTTTGGAGTATGGAATTCTGTAACTCCTGTTTATGGCGAGATACTGTATATAACGGATGCTCCACATGTTGAAGATTCAAACTTTTACTTCTTCACCTACAACCAGATTCCAGCTCTAGTCATTCTAGATTGTAAGAGAAAACTGTGTGGTATTGATAATCAAGACACATGTGGATGTCAACATGTATGGAGTCAACAATTTGACCAAATTAATAAATAAATAAAAAGATAATATATCTAAAAATAACTCTGTCTAAGAAAAAAAAAAAACAAATAAAATATTTATGTTTGTACATTTAAACCTTTACCTAATCTTATTGCTTTGTTATATAACATATTTGCTGTTGAAATATCTTGAATAGCTGTACCTGCCTATTATTTTATAATGATGAATAAATAATATTAAAAAACTAAAACTAAAAGTATAGAATCCCAATTACTTACTGATTTATAAAAAATGATTGTTTGTTTTTCAGATTGTCTGTTTGGTGGTGTTGATATGATACCTTTTTCCTTGACAACTTGACATAGTTTGATGATATCTTCCGGTTTAAGTGAACCTTCTTGAATTGGTGAGGTGATATCACCACTGACACCCGCTGAATGAATATCGTCTACAACCACCAAACAAGCTCTATTCATAACAGTTGAATCCAATTCTCTGGCTGTTGGTTTTGCCGAGCCAACTGAAATCACCATTGATCCGTCTTTTAATGAAGCGCCATCAAAAACTGGCGTCGACGATGAAGTTGCAGTCACCACAATATCGGCATCGCCAACCATCGTGTTTACATCTGCCTCATAGACAAACTCTATATCCTCAGGTATATATGGTTTCGATCGCAACTGGCCAATGAGAGTATGAACGTTTTCAGTGGTGCGACTGTGAATTCTGACGGTTTTGATCGATGGTCTCACATGGAGGATAGCCTCAATATGACAGAGTGCCTGCAATCCAGAACCGAATATCGAGAGAACCTTACAATCGCTTTTGGATCGTTCCAAATACTTGACCGCAACTGCAGTTCCTGCTGCCGTTCTAAAACCGGTGAGGAAAGTGCCACCTACCAATGCCTGTGGTATACCGGTGGTGGGGTCGACCAACAATATTGTAGCGGGCACAGTTGGCAACGACTTTTTCGCATTGTCTGGAGCAACACTAACAATCTTTAAACCCATACCTTCATTAGAGATGAGCGCAGGCTTAAAGAAAGTAATAATACTATTACCACGTGATTCCTGATCTATCACTATTCTGTGAGGACATTCCACATCATTTTGAGATTCAAGATAGAAAACCGATTCATTTACCTCTATTCCTTCCTCCCATGTTGATAACTCCTCAACTATCAAATCAATCTATTAGTAAAACTATTCATTCAAAGCTTCCAAGTAGATGTAATTACCAACCTTCTTTTTCATTTAAAATTAACATTTTGATTGAACTGATTTGTGTGGAAAAAGATAAAAATTGGTAAACTCAGCGCCAATTTTACAATATTTTTCGTTCATGCTTCCAAGAAGATTTGAAAGAACAAAAATATATTTCCATGGAAATATATTTCCAATTATAATAATCAATTGAAGATAATGTTTTGTTAAGAAATTATAGTATTATTTTAATTTAAAATATTTTTGTTTTATGGAACATTATTTTGTGTGTTTTGGGAGTGAGGTGCGAATGGTTGTTGTTTAAATGTTTATAGGGTGGTAACCAATGTTTTCCTTTTTTCTTAAAAAGTTTTGTTGTTGGCCAAAATCGAATGCTTATAAATTATTATTGTATGGGTTTGAGAGGTGAGAGGCTGTGGTGGTGGATACACTTTAAAAAGTACTAGCTTTTTTTTTTAGTAAACTCTTTTAGCGGTTTGAACGGTTGGGAATTCCTTCTCATCCAAAGTCTCCATGATGACTGGTCTGTAATCCAAAGTAACCTTTCCAGAATCGACGTCCAAATAGGAAAGAGTGTGTTTCATCCAGTTCTTATCGTCTCTCTCTTTGTAATCTTCACGGGCGTGAGCACCACGAGATTCTTTACGGGCCTCAGCAGAGTGCATAGTTAAAACGGCTTGGGTCATGAGGTTTTGAAGCTCCAACGACTCGACCAAGTCGGAATTCCAGATCATGTTACGATCGGTGGTCTTGAGATCGTTCTTGAGTGACTTGGCGAATTGGTCGATCTTTTGGACACCCTCCTTCAAGACGTCACCGTCACGGAAGACGGCGGCATTACGTTGCATGATCTTTTGCATCTCCAAACGCAACTCGGCGGTGCTACGTGAACCGTCGGCGAAACGAACCTTGTCCAAGTTGGCAATCGATTCCTCACCGGCATTCTTTGGCAATGGTTTGTGTGGAGTGTTCTTTGGCAGGGTGTCGGCGATGGTGTTGGCGCAGGCACGACCAAAGACGACGATGTCCAGCAGTGAGTTGGCACCGAGACGGTTGGCACCGTGCACCGATACACAGGCGGCTTCACCGGCGGCATAGAGACCCTTCACGATATGGTCTTTGCCGTCGGCACTCTTGGTGACGACCTCTCCCTTGTAGTTGGTTGGAATACCACCCATATTGTAGTGAACGGTTGGAATGATTGGGATTGGCTCCTTGGTGATGTCGACACCGGCGAAAATCATGGCGGTCTCTCTGATACCTGGAAGACGCTCTTCAATGATCTCTGGCGACAAATGGGTCAAGTTGAGCAAGGCGTGATCCTTCTCCGGACCGACACCACGACCCTCACGCACCTCCATGGTGATGGAACGCGACACGACGTCACGCGACGCCAAGTCCGCTACGGATGGAGCATATCTCGGCATGAAACGCTCACCCTCAGAGTTCAACAAATATCCACCCTCACCACGAGCACCCTCAGTAATGAGACAACCGGATCCGTAGATACCGGTTGGATGGAACTGAACAAACTCCAAATCCTGACATGGCAAACCGGCACGGATCACCATGGCGTTACCGTCACCGGTGCAGGTGTGAGCGGAAGTTGCCGAGAAGTAGGCACGACCGTAACCACCGGTTGCCAACACGGTTGCGTGCGAACGGAATCTGTGGATGGTTCCGTCCTCCATGCAGTAGGCGATGACACCACGACACTCGCCATCCTCCATAATCAAATCAGTGACGAAATACTCGATAAAGAACTTGGTGTCGTGCTTCAACGATTGTCCGTACAGTGTATGCAACAAAGCGTGACCGGTACGATCGGCAGCGGCACAACAACGTGTGGCCTGTCCACCCTTACCGTAGTTCTTTGATTGACCACCGAAAGCACGTTGATAGATACGTCCATCGTCCATACGTGAGAATGGAACACCATATTGCTCCAACTCCAAAACTGTTGGTACGGCTTCACGACACATATAGTGAATGGCATCTTGGTCACCGAGCCAATCGCTACCCTTAACAGTATCATAAGCATGCCATCTCCAATCGTCAACATCTGCATTTCCAAGTGCTGCATTAATACCTCCCTAATAATGATTGTTGTAGTTGTTGTTTGTTGTTTTTGTTGTTTGTTTGTTAACATTACCATTCTCTTATCTTATCTCAATTTGAGAAATATTAGACTACTACTTACTTGTGCAGCGACAGTGTGTGAACGAGTTGGGAATAACTTTGAGATACAAGCGGTCTTTAAACCTTTCTCAGTGAGACCGAGGGCAGCACGCAAACCAGCACCACCGGCACCAATGACGAGTGCGTCGTAGGTGTGATCGATCACCGGATAGGCACGTGAGAACTGTCCTTGTGATGGACCTGTTTCGACACCGGTACGTGATTGCACACCGAACGAAGCGGCAGAACTATGGAAGTATGACTTCAACATATTCTTACCGCTTCCAGTCAAGTAGTTTGTTTTCTTGAATACACTTAACATCGTATCCTATATTTTTAAATTGTTCAACTGAGTGCTAAACTATATATATAATCTACAAATTTCCGTTGTTATCTAATGTTGCTCTACTACTATATACAATTATTACTACTATTAATAATAGTACATATAACTACTATGTTTTTTGAAAAAATAAAAATCTCTTTTTATTAAATTAAGATTTTTAAATAAACTTTTTTAAAAAAACAATTATATTATTAATAATAATAATGTAAAGTGTTGTTTAAAATGCTCTGAAAAATGATCATCAAAAGTAGTGAAAATGAGCAAAAAAAAAAAAAAACAAAATTTCGAATGATTTTGTTGGATTTGTTGTGTGTGGTTGTAAACATGATTGTCTATGATAACGTTACATTTGCTCAAACAATAATGAAGAAATAAGTAATAAGTAAAAAGTAATAATTGAAGAAATTAAAGAAAATGAATATATATAGTTATAATATTTAAATTATTATTTTTTTGATGATAATTTTGGTAATAAATATTCCATCCATTTATTAGTTTACATTAATTAATTTGTCGTAGTTTGTTTGTTTCAAAATTGTATTTTGTTTACATATATAAACATATATAAGAAAAAGTTAAAGAAATATACTAAAATTGAACATCACTTCTAAATATACTAAAGATCATTTCAGTTAGAAGTGATGTTCAATTGCTTCAAAGAAAAACGTAACTATCACACACAATTATTAAGTTTTAATAAATAAGCTCAGAGATTGGTTACTAACAAAGTCATTATTATATTAGATCCCAAAGAATGGAGTATTGTTGAGACAAAGGCATGGTTAGAAGATTTCAAGTCGAGCTACGAAGATGGCACCCTATGATTGGATTTCATTCTACCCTACTACCACTATTACAAATAATATCCAACAAACATACCTTTATTTGTTTGGTGACGGCAAGCACACAGCTATAGATACAAATCTTACAGAACAATAATCGACAAATCGATATCCAGATGTGAGAATGCACTTAAAGATACCCTATCACCTCCGAAATCTCCGTACCTCCAATGCTTTATCACCAACCGCAAGCAAATCTCTATTGAAACCATTAACGGGCTGCATCAAATGATCTTTATTGGAAAGAAAGCAATTTACTTTCCTTTTGCAATTCAAGCTTTTATAGATGCTTCTACTTTGGAATGAATAACAATCCGCTTTACTTCTTTGTTATTATAATAGTTTTTAGTATAAACTTATTTCTTTTTTGAATAAACAGATCAATTGTATAAATAATAATTAATAATTAACTTTCAAGTTTTTTTGTTTTAATATTGGAAAATGAGCAAAGTTATAAAGAAAAATGAATATATATTTATTCAATTGGATAATATACAGGTGAAGGTGGATATTCATAGATTACTTTTAGTTGTTCCATTTCATCTGGCATTCGATTGGGAAAGACAACACGGATATTTCGATACAGGTAATACTTTTTCTTTTTAGGACTGATAAATCGAAGATGAATAGCGTATTTCAATACTTCATTATTATTATTTTTTATCTTATCGTTATTATTGTTGCTGTTATTGTTATTTGGTGAATTTGGTATTGATATGATTCTTTGTCTGATGAATGTTTTTGTTTCGGCTGGCATGTTGGTGAGATCGAAATTAACGAGGAATGTCTTGATCGAGGTGTTATTTGGGTTGAAGAGTGTCAGTTGGATCAAGCCTTTCTGAGGTACTCTGTAACCCTTGGAACTGAGCTCTATTGATGCGGCGTAGGGTGCATCGTGGTCAATGTGGTAGTAGACAGCGGAGAACGATATCTTTTTGTGTGGCGGGAGGTAGTCTTTTCCACTTACACCTAGGTTGGCGAGATATCCATCGAATACAGTCGAAGGTGTATTCGACATGTTGCCAATGAGAATCGATTCTTGGAACGATCCAAATGATAGACCGCCATTAGCGATATTATTGTTGTTGAAACTGTTTGGATGCATTTCATTCTGATGGAAAGCACCAGGGTGATGGTTACTGCCAAGCTTTAGATTATTCATCATTGTCATCATGTTGTTGCTGCTGACGTTGTTGTTATAGCTACCATTGTTGCTGCTGTTATTGATGTTAAAGTTGTTGTAACTGTGATTGTAGTTGTTGAGTGGAAACGAGGAGGAGAACGCGGGAGAACCAATATTGTTGGATGGAGATGAAGATACAAGAGTGCCATCGACAAACAGTGGACGATGTCCAACTCTTATGGGAGAGGATGGCGGTGAGACTAGACTGGTGCTGCCAGAGCGACCTAAAAAACTATTGGGACTGTTTGGTGAGAATGGACTGAAACGATGATAGGGTGACAGTGTAGGCGTGGACGGTGATTCAAAAGAGAGTGAAAACGGTGATTTACCAGGTGTAACGGATTGATTAAAAGAGTTATGATGTAGTGACGGTTGTTGCTGTTTTTGTGGAGTAGTATTTGTGGAACTACTACTACTACTACTCGACGAGAGAGTTGGTGTTGTTCTTGAAGGAATGGAGATTGGCGCTGAACTTGGTGAAGTAGATTGTGATGATGTTGATGGTGTAACTGGATTGATAGTTGATATTCCATTTGCTTTACTATTACTATTACTATTATTATTATTATTTACTAAAGATTGATTGTTATTATTATTGTTATTCTTTTGTTGTTGCTGTTGTAATAGTTTAGATATATTATATTCTTCATTTGATGACTTTCGTATTTGATTAAGATTTGATTCGGAAAGGGAAGAACTGTGACAAGTTAAATTAGAATAAGACCTAGATGGATATATAATTAAAGATGATAGATTTGAATCCTAAAAAAACATATATTAATATCAATTTTAAAATGGGTGTGTGGTGTGATAACAATAGACAGACTACTGCTACTTACAAAATTAAATGAGTCAACTCTACCAGAGAAATGTACAGAGAGTGAAAGTGTTCCTTTAGGTGTATCGAAAATTGGAAAGTTTAATTTAATTAAATGTTGATCTGTTTGTTTGTTTGTTATCAATAGAGAAATGGTATTAATAATTTAGTAATCATTAGTCGGAATAGATTAAGTAAAACATACATTCTGTGGGTTCAAAATTTGTAGGTGGTGGAATCTGTTTAGAAACTCCATACTTTACTTTAGGTTGTTGTGTGGATGTTGGTGATTTGTAAATATTATTCAAGTGATTATACAGTGGCATTGATGGTAGTATTAAATATAAACATTGTAACAAAGGTTCATGAGATATCAATGATGATATACTTGATTGTTGTTGTTGTTGTTGTTGTAATTGATTATTCTCTGTTATATCTTGTATTGAAGTGCTACTTGGTAGCATTAAAGAACTTAATTCATCAGATATTGTCAGTTCATTTACTTCCATCGGATCCAATTTTTTCGGTCTAAATAGTTATAATTAATAAAGAGTATCAGTATATATATACAGTTGCTGCTGTTTAAACATTTAATAGTATATTAACATACTTGAAATTGAATATCCATCTCTCCAGTAGTATATGTTTGGCATCGGAGTTACTGTTGTTGCCGTTTCTGCATTCAAAGATATCGAGTTTCAAAGGTGCGGAATCCAAGTGATCACACCAGAGAAATAAATCACGATTGATCTCATTGATTTCATTGAGTTCCAAGTTTATCTATGAATCGATGATGAATCGAATGTCAGTTTGATTGGTTTGATTTGTTTTCTTCCGATGATAAGACTTACATCTTTATCAGTTTGGTTCACTTGGAAATCAGAGAGTGTGATATTCTTGGAGATTGGTAATCCTACATCATTATTGAACAACTGTGATAACGTTATATTATTATTATTATTATTACTACTACTATTACTGTCATTGCAATCGGTTGTACGATTTCCATTGAAAGAAGATCTATTCTTATAGATTAGCTGAATTGATGTCTGTATGAATTGTATAATCGTTGGATCAACTTCAAACATTGACGATGTCACCATTCTATTCTTTGAATCATTTCCTATTGCTGTTGCTATAGTTTGTTGTTGTTGTTGTTGTTGTTTAATCAATTGTATATTTGTTTGTTGCAATATTTGTTGTTGTTGTTGCAATGTCTGAGATTGATGTTGATTATCTTGTTGTTGTTGCTGTTTTTGTTTCAATGAATCAACATCATGACTCCGATCTTCTTCAACTAGATAGATAGATTAAATAATAATAATAATTAATATCATTGATTGATCGATATATGATTCTCTATCATGATCATCAAAAAAAACTAAACTCACTTAGAGGCATTTATAAACGACTAATAATAAATATCTATCATCACCGTATTGTATTGATTTAATATGTAAATAAAGCTATAACTATTCTATATTTTATCTATCTATATTAACATTATTATATTTTACTACTATTTTAAAATAATAATAAACAATAAACCATTACCAAACAGTACAAAACAAAACAATAAAATAAAATAATTAATATTTATAATATAAACAACAACGATATTTGGACACGCACAAATATCAACAACAAAATTATTTAAAAACGAATTAATTTGGGATTGTTTGTTTTGGAATGAATTAAAGTAATCAAAATTGAAAAAAAAAACAACCAACACAAAATCGCAAAATACAATTGTATTAACTAGTTAAGTTCAAAACAATAACAAATAACTAAACTACTAGTAGTACTACTATCTTTTTGTACTTTTAAAGTGAAAAAGAAAAGAGAGAATAACTAAATATAATAATAAATCTGTCATGACAAATATGTATAAAAAATTAAAATTGAATCAAAATAATTTTTAATTGAAACAACAAAAAAAGAAAAGAAAAGAAAAGAAAAATCAATTTGCACAAACACCAAAAAAGCAATAACAATAGCTTTACTAACTAAAGTTAAGTTGAATTAATTAAAATGGGAAATCATTAATCATTTTTCTCTTTCTCACTCTCTCACTCTCTTTTTGTTTCACCATACACATTAAAACAAACACAATAAATTCAATTCAAATCTTCATGTTGTTTATTTTTATTTTTTGTTTTTTAAAGGGGGTGAGTAATGGGAAGAAGCATAGTTTTTTTTGATATTTTCTATTAAATTTACCTAATTGGTTATATGGTATGTTGTCCCACACCCATAGTAGTAAATAAGTGGGTGTCAATTCAATTCTCAATTCAATTTAATTTAATAATATGCATCTGGTGAACAAACCAGTGTAAATTCCATTTCATTTTAATATTAATTATCTTTTTTTGAGTGATTTCAACTCAAATGTTGTTTTTACTGTTGTTGCAGTTGTTTTATTGTTGTTGTGGTCATTTCTTTTTATATATTTTGAACATATCAATCTTCCATCTAATATATGTGTATTAAGAAATAATAAAAGAGAACCACAAACACACAACACCAATTAAAATGAAAAACACCAAATGATATAAACAATGTATCCAGATTTTTTTTCTTCAAAGTGACCGACCAGTCCAGTCAAACTGAATGATATCATTATGAATTTTTTATAATTTTAAATTTATAATCATTTCAATGTCATATTTGTAGTTGTAGTTGTTGTTTATTTATGAGTGTTGAGTTTATTTGTAGTTTGTTAATTATTTATTTTTAAAAATATATTTATTTCTACAAATAAAAATATCAATTTTTGTAATTTACAAAAATTTAGTTTAATCTTTTAAAACTTAGAATCTTTATTTTTATTTGTTTTCGAATTATTTATTTAGTTACTTTTAAAAAAAAATCATGGTTAAAAATAATAATTATAAAGATATTAGAAATTCACCATTGCAATTATCTTCACAGAATAATAATATAATTTCACCAAAACTAATATCTTCATCATCAACATCACCACCATCCAAGATAGATTCCAATAACAATGATATAAATATCCAAATTCTACCAATAGAGATTTTATATAATATTTTGGTTAATTTGAATCTTTTTGATATTAAGAGTCTTTTGGTTTCGAATCGATATTTCTACTCTTTGGTAAATCAAGAGAAAATAATATGGAAGAACCTGTTCTTTCAATATTTTAAATCCTCTCAAAGAGTAAAAGATTTCAATATGTATAATAATAATAATAATAGTAGTAATAATAATGTAGGAGGTGGAGGAGGAAGTTCACCAGATTGTTTGTTTTACAATAAAAAGAATATAATATCCTCTCAGAATGTTTCACCACCAGTCAACAACAATAAACCATTGAATTGGAAAATGAAATTCAAGAAGTATCATGACATCAATAGGAATTGGTGTACTGGCAACTACGAGTCGAAATCCATCGAGGGTCATAGTGGTGGTGTTTTCACTCTGTCCTTCAAGGACAACTTGATGTTGACCGGTTCCTTCGATAAGCTGGTTAGAATATGGGATCGAAAGAATATGGTGAGAATCGGATCAATCATGGGACACGCCGGTTGGATATGGAGTGTTTTACTGGAGAGATCGAAATCGACACACGCTCTCATCGGGATGAGCTCAAGTCAGGATTCAACTATAAACATTACGAATCTCACTCAAATAAGTTCTAAACTTCACAATCAACATCATCATGAATCTCTAGAGGAATCCGCCAATAACAATATAGATTCAAGTATAAAGATAACTAATAAATGTAAATCTACAATTTCACCAATGATTAGGCTGAATGGTCATGTTGGAACGGTTTGGACTATAGAGCCAGAGAAGGATTTACAACATTTCTTCAGTGGTGGAAGTGATTGTCTTATTAAATATTGGAGTATCGACTCGAAGGAATCATACAATGTTGGAAGACATCAAGATGTTGTTCTTTGTTTATCGATAATTAATGATAAGTTACTTGCATCTGGCTCGGCAGACAACACTGTCAGATTATGGGATAGACGTTCAGTTGGACATCCACTTATGACACTTCAAGGTCACGGTGGATTTGTTAATACGATCGATAACAAAGGCAACTATATAGTGACTGGCTGTGACGATAAATTGATTAGAATATTCGATATTAGAAATGGAATGTGTGTTGACACATTGAATAGTCATACCGACGCAGTGAGAACATTGAAGATCAAAGGAGAGAGAATGGTATCTGGTTCAAGTGATATGGTGATCAAGGTATGGGATACAAATAACTACAACAAACCTCGACTCAGTCTCAAAGGACACACTGGATCCATTGTCAGTCTTCAATTTGACAACAAGAAAATCATCTCTGGATCCTTGGATTCAACAATCAAAACTTGGAATTTCAATATCAAAAAGAGTGGAAGACACAGTTCATGTTCAGAGCATGAGAATAAGAATAAAATTTCTTCACCAATCAACTATATAAGATATCCATTTCAATCGCCAAAGATATAAAAATAAAATACATACATAAATTTATATACAAACAAACACATAATATTTATTATAAATAATTATAAAATATTTTATTTATTTTAATTTAATTTAATTTAATTTACACACTCTTTAATTCTAAACTTATACTACTTGTTTTTCGATTCAATTGGAGGTGAGACTTCATGAGATGACCAGCAGAGAGGGCAGCCATCAAACTCAATTCACCAGCCATTACTGTAGCGCAAACAATTCTGGCCAATTGGTCGGCATTCTGACCTGGGAATCCAGGCTTCGATCCTTTGACACCGATGATATCCAAACACGAAGATTGCGCTGGCAAAAAGGTACCACCACCAACGGTACCGACTTCGATCGATGGCATTGTGACGGTGATATAAAGGTCTTTTCCATCGTTGCATGCCTCCATCAATGTGATACAATTGGATGACTCTACGTTTTGAGCACAGTCTTGTCCGGTCGCCAAGAAAATAGCAGTGACAATGTTGGCGGCGTGTGCATTGAAACCACCGATTGAACCGGCCATTGCAGAACCAACGAGATTCTTTGAGATATTCAAATCGACCATTGCTTGAACAGAAGTCTTTAAGACTTTTTGCACAATTTCACCGCTGATAATTGCTTCACTCACAACAGTTCTTCCTCTACCTTCAATCCAATTGATTGCCGATGGTTTCTTGTCTGTACACATATTTCCTGATAAACTATATAATTATTATGTTAGTCAATACAATATTGTAAAAGTTATTATTTCTTTAAAGTACTTTACCTTAAAATTTCCATATCCTTAAATTGGTTCTTTAATAAATTTAAAACAGCTTCTACACCTTTGGATACCATGTTCATGCCCATTGCATCACCGGTATCACACTTGAATCTAATATATAATGAACGACCGGCTACGGTTGTTTTTAATCCGGTGAGTCTGGCGAATCTGCTGGTCGAGTCAAATTCTTTCTTGACGGTTTCGTAGTTGTTGGATTCTCTGAGCCACTCGACGCACTCGCCAACTCCCACGATGCTTGGGAAACGTACGACTGGTGCTCTGGTCATTCCTCGCGAAATAATGGTTGCTCTGGCACCACCAGACTCTGAGATGGCACGGCAACCTCTGTGTGTGCTGGCAACCAAGCAACCTTCGGTGGTGGCCATTGGGATGTTGACCGGTTGATTGTTCAGCATCAGTGGACCGGCAGTTCCAACTGGAATCGGTACGTAACCGATTACATTCTCACAACAGGCACCGAGTACCTTGGAGAAGTCGTACGATGTATGTGGCAGCTCTGGAATGGATTTTTCGATATTCTTCTCAAGAACAGCTCTTCTAATTTCGACGGCTCTGTTACAGTCACCGAGCTCTGCTTCCAGACGATAGAGTGGAATTTCTCCCTTCTCGATTTTCGTTATGATCTCTCTGTCTGATAAATATAATAATGATTGTTGTACTGGCTGAGGTGATGGTGTTGGTTTACAATGTTGTTCTTTTTCTTGTTGTTGTGATGGTTGTGATGGTTGTTGTTGTTGTAATTGTTGTTGTTTATAATTTTGATTTTGTAAATTCTTCTTCTCTAGTAAAACGGCTATAATATCTTGCTCGGTGACTGGAGAGGATTGAGATGAAACAGACTCGGCAGAACATACTACAGACAGCGTGTTTTTACTACTATCGATGATGAGTGGCAATGGCTTTTCGAAACTGACAGCTTCTTCACCAGTTACTATAATATTATTACTGAGGATTGGAACCAAGAAGTTTGATCTTCTAATGTTGAATCCCTAAAAGAAAAAAAATAATTTTATTAATATTATTATTTAGTTTCAAATTTTTAATTAGTTAGTTTGACAAACTTACCCATTTGAAAAAAGGGAATAATTCTCTGACGGACATTAGTGTTTGATAACCAAAGCTACTGAAAAAGGCTAACTTTGGAATTAAGAAAACTATATAGAAAATCCAAAAGATATCCTTAATGTCTAATTTAGGTAGAACCAACATTTTGTAAAGCAAGAGGATAAATATTTATAATGAAAAAAAATATTAAATATTAAATTAAAAATAATTAGATAATTAATAATTGTTTTTAAAATTAGAGGGGTAAAGTTAGGGGGGTTGGTTATGGTCGGGGTTTCTTTTCTTTTTTGTAAACAACAAATAAAGTTATTTCAATGATTCACAAACAGGTCAGGTTGGAAAAGAACAAACTGTAAGTGAAAAAAAAAAACAATCTATTATAATTTGAAATAAAATTTTAAATGTATAGATGAGATAAATAGGAAAAATATTGTGTTTTGTATATAAAGAAAATAAAGACAATGGAATTGGATTGGACCAAAGAAAGATTGATTCGACAATAATAAATGTTCTTTAAAAAAAGAAGACAACACACACAAACAAACAAACAAACAAACCTAATGAAGAATGTTGGTGGGTTGGAAAATATAAGGATAAATAAATAAATATTTATTTTGTTTATGAAAAAATTAACAACAAAATATTGGAAAAGATTTAAAAATAAATCTTTTTTTTAATTAATATGGATATTACTCCAACAGTACTGCTATTAATAAATAATTATTAATGAATAGAATGTGATAAGGAATTTAAATTCTTATGGACAGTGGATGACTTGCTCCTCCACTCTCTAAGAAATGTAAGTTTGTATATATATTTAAAAGATGAATAATAATTAATTATTGTTATTGTTTGTAAATTAAACAATAATAACTAACAAGGTTGTTGGTGGTATTGTTCAGATCTACCCAATTTGCCACTGGACAGAAGAGCAATGTGGATGTGTTTTTTAACAATTGTATTAATTTATTTTAAGATGTATCGTGTGTGGTGGTGAGAATAACAGCGTAAGTGCACGAGTGACATATAATAATAAATAAAAAGTTGGTTGATGGTGCGAGTGAAAGTGAAAGTTTGCTATTGTTACTGTCACACTCTTCTTTGATATTTAAAATGAGAATGAAGTTTATGATTATATTGGGATGTCAATTGAATTGAATTGATTTCAATTGAACTGAACAAGAACATAACAATTATTATAATATAAAAACATATAATTAATTAAATATATTTAAATTTATGAATAATAAATGTTTATGATAAATAATTGTATAATAATAAAAAAAACTACTGCCAACTAAAAATGTGTCGATTTGGAAAGTAAACAAAACATAATGAAAAGTTTCTTTGGTTGTCCGTTTGCTATTTAAATGTTTTGTTTTTTTTGGTTTTTTGTCGTATGGAGAGATTCGGATATGATATTTTTAATATATGTAGTACAACGGCACAATCCAGATGCATTATAGTAGAGTCAGATTAATATTAATTGAATATAAACTACTACTACGCACCACATCCGTCTTTTATTATATCAGAGTTGGTTTAGTTTAATTGTTATGAACATGTGTGGTTTTTAAATGTACTTGGATGGCGGGTGGGCATTACCATCACTACACACAACACTCACCCAACCAAACCATTAATGTCTTTACAAAACAAATGTTCCACCTATTTGATTGGTGAGGGGCAAGAAAAGAAAAACAAAAAACCAAAATAAAGTAAAGTGTGATAAAGTGTTTTGAATAAATGAGATGTGTGTTGGTGTGTGAGAAGTAGAGTAGAATAGTACTACTGCTGCTACTAATGTTTGGTTTGATTTGGTTTATCTGATATGATTGTTATTTATTGTTGTTGGTTTTTGGATATTTAGCTAAAGATTGAGGTGGAAGTGGAGAGTGATTGCATCTATCTATCTATCACTCTGAAAGTAAAAATATCTATAATAGCCAAATTATATTATTATGATTGTGATTATTATAACCCTTTCCAAACTTAGTGGACTCCAACAATAAATAAAATATAGTATGGGTGGTTGATTGATTGGTCAGTTAGTTGAGTGCATTAACCAAAAACCAAACCAAACCAAATCAAAGCTTGGTAAAAGAATTGTTTTGATTGATAGATCTAACAACTATAGTAGGACTAGTTGTACTCTCTTACTTCTACAAAAGAGTAGTATTTAGAACAAACAATTGTGAGGGAGTGTGTTTGTGTTGTGTGGTTATTATAATTTTCAGTTTGGGGATTGTAGGTGATGGCAATGACTCATCATCAATTCAATCTTAGATGGGTTCTCTAATATTAAATATAGGTTGTGATTACTATTGTTGTTGTTGTTGTTGTTGTTTGTTGTTGTGGTTGTTATTGACAATAATACGACGCATCATCAATCAAACAAATACACCTGTCACACTCACACACATACAAAAAAACGAGAGAGAATCGAAATTCCATATGAATATGTATTATATTACTCCACATGTATCCTGAGAAAACACATTTTCACCCTACACACACATATATGAAAACAAAACACACAAACCATCATTATGATTTTATATAAATTGACCAAAATAAAATAATAATAGACAGATGATACCAGTAAATCATCAATCATGTTAAATAGATAAGATTCATAGTTGACTGACTTATCTATATTATCACTATATATGTCAATCATCAATCTTCAATCTATTGTTTTGATCTTCTGTATTTGGCTTTGTTTTGTTCTTTTCTTTTCTGTGTTCTTTATTGACAAGTGAGTAGCAGTAGTAGTGGTGATGTGTTAGGGCTTAATGGGGTATTTAGTGAAACAATGTGAGAGTGTGTGACTGGATAAATGGTGATACTGATGTCTTAAGATCAAAACCAATAAACAAATTACTACTAAAGTTGATTATCATTTTTTGAGAGTGATGATGAGGTGGGAGATGTGTGTTGTGTGTGTTCAGTTGTAAATATCTGTGGTGATGTGGTGGTGGAGTTGGAATTATTATTTATACCAGATTGAGTTATGATTTAAATAATTACAATTAAATTGAATCAATTATTACTACTATTATTATATTATTATTAACCTTTTTTGTAAAAGATAAATTTTAATATTGTACCCACTGTGTATGTGATATCTTAACTAACTAATTTTTATTAAATAAGTGAAGTGCCACTAAATAAATATCTTTATTTGTTTTATGATATTGTAAGATGTAAGCTGTAAGTTGATATAAAAAGTGGTTTGCTGGTTGGCTGATTTATTGATCGATGTGTTGAGTGAATTACTGATGATAATAAGTGAAGATATAATATAATAAGTATCTGATTATTATTATTATTATTATTTGTTTAAAAGATGATGATGATGTTGAACATAACCTTTTGGTCTTTTCATTCAGACTTGTTGTTATTATTTAAAGGCTGACTGTATGTTCATCATCAACATCTAATTAAAAACAAAAACACCAGCAAAAAAAAAGTAATCAAGAAAAAAACAACCCCACCCCGAAATACACACTGATTATGAAAAAATTAAGGAGTGCTGATACATTGATGATGTTTTATGATGACATTGGTAAGCAAATATGTAAGTAATCAAAAACATTTCATTTTTGGTTTTTTTTCTTTTCTTTTTGTTTTGTGTTTAGTTAGAAGGCAAAGAAAAGAGAAAAAGGGGTAATAATAAAATCTTTCGGATTCTTCGTTTTGATTTATGTGGGTGTGTATGTTTATATGTGTGTGTTATAACTTCACATAATATATATATATATATATATATATATAATCTTATATGATAAAATTAGCAATAAGTAATTATTGTCATTGTCATCGATTAAATTATTATCTACAGATTGAATCTATACAATTTTTATATGACAATTGCAATATAGAAAAAAAAAACAATGACTAAAGTACTGTTTATGTCCAATGATTTATCTAATGGGTGACAAGTGTCGCAAATGTCGTCTTAAAATAGATACAACCATTTGATATTTTTAAATATATGAAATTGAGTAACTCTTTTGATAATTGGTGTACTGTTGGTACATGGTAATATTTGTTGTTATTATTGTCATTGTTATTGTGATTGTTATTCTTGTTATTTTGCTACTGCCACCACTATTGTTGTTGTTGTTGGAATGACAATCCAATTCAATTACAAATACATATATAGCTATTACAATGTCTAGTATATCTAATTTATTTATTTACAAAATAAAATGATTTACTAAATACTATTATTATTTATTATTGATTTATTGGGGGAAGTGAAGTTGAAGATCTTGTTCTTGTGGTTATAACCAATATGAACATGATAAAACACCAACACTTCCAAATGAGGTATAAAGCATAAATATAAGATTTTACAAATCAAACAGAATGAAGATTAACTTTAATTGACCAATTGAATTCTAATTTTAAAATACGGTCGAAATTCTGGATGTTCAACAACAACCACAATTGTTGTTATCCTTGACCTGTAACTATCTCATTTTGATAGGGAGTGAGAATGAGAGAGAAAATTTTACAAAATATTGATTTCAAATAAAAATATAATAATAATAATAATAATAATATTAAGAACATTCAATTCTTAACAATGAAACAAAACAAAACAAGACATATACAAACATATATATAAAAAACAAAAATCTATAACATGACCTGACATGACCTGACCTGAATCATCCTAACCTAACCTAACCTAACATAACCTAACCTAATCTATGATCATATCTATTGCTCTCTACCTACCTTACTGGGTTTGTATCTACCAATTGAGTTGATGCTAAACTTAACTTTTTAAGTTCTAACTAACAATATATAAATTTTATATTTCTTTTTTATTATTATTATTTATTTATATTTATTATTATTTATATTCTTTAGATATCTTATTTATTTACTTTAAAACTAAATAATCTGACTAATTAACTAATCTGCTAAAACTAACTATTTATAATTGTATGTTGGTAATTTTGTAATGTTTGATAGATATGTTACAGTGGTGTGACTGCTTATCAATTTCGTTTGTTGAACAACTCTTTATTGTTTACACAAATCAATCATCTAATAATTTTAATTGTATTTTTATAATTTTATTGTTTGTGTGTGTGTGTGTGTCGCAAGATTTGTATAAAACGATTGTGACTGTGAGTGGTGTGTGCTGCTGTTGTTATACTAGACTGATGATTGTACAAGAAAGTAGTGTAATATTATATTATTGTAATATTATTGATTGTGCTATCGACGAATGAAACGATAAGATATAAATAAAATGATTAATTATTAACTATTAATTATTAATTTATTTTTCTTTCTTTTCTAAAAAATAATAATATAAAAATATTTTAAAAAAAAACAATAAGTCGAAACTTTTGTCACCCCACATATACAACAACATCAACCTACCTAAGATTGTTTAAAAAAAATGAAAAAAAAAAAAAAAAAAAAACAAAGTTGGGAATCTGATTTTCAAAAAAAAACTTTTTGTTAAACATTTTTGATGAACAGTAGGTGGGTTTTTTTAATCAAAAAAAAGAAAGTGTGGCGGCAAAACTTATGAATCATTATGCTCAACAACACAACAAAAAGATATGATATAATGGTCCAAGATTATAATCAAAAAAGGGGTTTATAAATTTCTTTATATATTTGGGTGTGATCATTCTCTGTCACCCCACATTTGAGTGGGAACTTACTTTGTACTTTTAAGAGCAAGTGAGTGAGATCAACCTTTTAAAGTGCAGGAAGGGAATAATGATTAGATTTATAATAAAACAAACAATTAATTGAGATTTAATATATTAAAAACACAAACAATATCTTTGTTTTTTTTTTTTTTTTTTTTTTTCTAAAAATAAAATAAATTTAATAGTTACTTAAACTTTAAAAACAAATATTGAGCCAAACAAAAAGTGTTGCATAATAGGTACTTTTGTTACTACTTCCGCGTAGAACTTCTTCATCATTCCCTGATGTATCTTACTCCAAGAAGCTGCTCCACTGATATTATACAAATCTGGTGAATGTTCGTGAAAAGGTCCTTTTTTAACCTAATAATTATTGTTATAATTATTGTTGTTGTTGTTATTGCCATGTTGTTAATATTCAATATACAAATTATTTTGGTTATTAAAATACATACGGTGTTTATAAATTTTATACATGCAAAATACATATAGTTTTCATAGTTTTGATCTATGATGGCGGATGAGAGGATGTCTATGGGTTTGAATGTGGTGTCGGTGAGTTGCGCTGCACCCCAGATGAATGGGATGAATTGGTAGTCGTCGAGTGACCAGACACCGTGTGTTCCTGCCGGTTCCAGTCCGTAGATTCTCTGGAGTTTGCGTATCAGTGTGAGGTAGGTGGGGAACACCTTGAGTACGAGTGCAGTCTCATCGTCGACACCGACCACACCTACAGCACGCAGACAGTAGAGCCACGCGACAAAGTGCAACTCGTGACCGGTGCCATAGTCGAGTCTGGTTGCATTGCCCATCGCATCGATCAAGTATGGTGACAGCTCCTGTATGGCGCTGTGCATCGATTCCGGTACGAATCGCTTGTGTAGCTCCTCGACATTGTCCAACAAACGTTGATTCCAAGTTCTATATGCTTTGTTTCCATATCGCATTGGTTGTGACAATGGTGGTATTTCATCTATCCACTGATTCACCTGATTCAATACTTCGATCATTGTATTTACAGTCTATAGAAAAAATGTAACATATACCCACCACACATGTTAGTATTTGCTTTGCTTTTCTTACATTTAATTTAAAGTAATTACTATATAACACTTACATTTGAAACATTACATTGATATGAATTAGATTTACTAACTACAATATCACCTAGTCTCTGTATGAATAAAAGTAATGATTTGGCAGTGTTTGACGCTAGGAATTGATTCAATTCAACTGGACTGGTGATTACTTTTGATGGTACAACATATTGATGAGATGCTGGTAATTTCATCGGTGTAACAAATTCTTCATTACTAGTTGATGATGTTGACATTATGTTTTTATATATATGATGATTAACAATACTCAAATAATAATATTATAGATAATTAACTATTTATATATTTATATATTTGTGTATGACGACAATTAAATTAATTAAAAATGAAATTCACACAATGTTTTTTGTTCAAAAAAAAAAAAACAAAAAACAATAAGCGACAGATAATATTTACTTATTTGGTTCGCTTGTTGGACTCATTAACAATGACAAAAAAAGCATTAAAAAAAAATAGAAAAAGAAATAAGATAAAAATTAAAAGTTTAATTTTGTTCAATGAATAGGAGCTAATGAGAGATTTCAAATAAATTTGAGTAAACAAATAATTTCTTTTTCAATTTTGATTTCTTAATAATTATAATTAAATGATTATTAAATTTATATATCTTGTGGTTTTATTATTTGAGTTTTATTTGATCGGTCATATTTGATATCGATGGGGGAAAAAGGAATAAAAAAAAAAAAGTTATTTTATCTTATTTATATATATGTTTTGATTTATGAACAGGTGGTGGTTGAACAAGCAGTGACTTGACCTGAAAGACTGATGGTTGCACATCCGTTTGGACAGTGACCGACAACACCGTAGGCCATAACGTATGGTGAGGTGTTTGGATCCTTGACGATTGGTACCAAATAGTTGCTGGCGTTCAAGAGAATCGATGAGAAAACCTTGACGATATTGAGTGATGTTGGGATCTTGGTGAATGTGGCTGTTTGTGAGACACCGGCATCGTTGTCGATGAAGAGACCACCAACCAACTTGGTTGGATAGGTTCTGAAGTAGATGGCACCACCTTGGTCGTTAGCATAGTTATTAAAGAAAACAGTGTTCTTCATGTTGAAGACGTAGTTGTATGGACTGCTTGGATAGTAATCAGTGATATACTAAAGTTTGATAATGATATGTTAGTTTAATATGTTTGCGACTTTGATAGGGTTAAGTGAAAGTATACTTACAATAGCACCACCCTTTCCAGCGAGATTGTTGGCGAATGAAGAGTTCACAATGTTAACCTTGAGGAGTACGACATCGTCGACACTGAAGTAGATAGCACCACCGGCACCGTCGTATCTGGTGACTTTGTTGTCATCGAAAGTGGTGTTCGAGGCGTAGAAGGTATTCTTGGAGTTGCTTTGGTCAGAGTAGATGGCACCGGCGAAAGAATAGGCTTCGTTTCCGTTGACTTGACAGTTGACGAGTGAAACGTTGTTGTATGCCATGATAGCACCACCCATACCACCGCTGAAAAGAGAACGAATTGCGGTGTTGTTGTTGAAGAGCGAGTTGGTGGCGTTGAGGTTGTTGGCGTTGATGGCACCACCGAATGGGGCGACATTGTTGAGGAAGGCAGAGTTGGAGATGACAAAGTTCGAGGCAACGGCGACACCACCATTCTCAAAGGCAGTGTTCTCAGTGAACTCGCAGTCATCGACGGTGACACCGAGAGTCTTGTACTGGTATTGGTCAGAGAAGAAAACACCACCCTTGACACCGTAGTTCTTGGAGAAGATCGAGCTGGTGGCGAAGATCTTTGGTGCACTGGCGACACCGGCACCACCCTTGGTGACATTGTTGAAGTTCTCAGTGAAGAAACTGTTGTCGATCGAAACACTCACGGTGGCGTTGATAACACCAGAGATTGAGTTGTTGTAGAATTGCGAGTCTTCGATGATGATGTTGTGACCGTTGATGATACCACCGACAGTAGCGTTGTTCAAAAAGACGGTTGAGTACCAAACACTAATTAAAGTATTGTTTCCAGCGGTGGAGTTGGCGATGATGGTGCTGTATGGTGAGGTACAGTTGATAACGGTTGAGTTGAAAATGTCGATATTCATGTTGAAGACATTGATGGCACCACCTTCGATGTTGGCCAAAGCACCATCAGAAAAAGTACAAAGTTGGGAGTGCGGCAGCAGAGGCATTCAAATTCTTGAACTTGAGCATTGGAGCCAAAATCAATGGTGAGTGTCTATAGAAAGTGATACCTTCGAAAACAATATTGGTTGGTGATGGTAAATTAACATCGATAAATGGTGTCTACGAAATATATATATATATTGATAAGATAATTAATAAATTTATATTTACTTAAGTAAGATGATTGTTTCTTTCCTCAAATTATTACTTACATTACAAAGAATGTTAATATCGTTGGTGGTTCTGAAAATGTGAACAGCTGATCTTGGGAAAGAAGCAGTTGGGAAAACACCCGGACAATCGTAGGTATTGTCGTTCAAAGTTACAACAGTAACATTATATGATGGATTGAGTTGTACTTGATTAGCTAACCATGTCAAACAAAGAGTAACTGTAGCACATGATCTATATATAAATAGTAGGTAGAATACAAATAAAAGTTAATAAAAAAACATTAACTTTTTTTTTTTTTTTTTTTTTTTCAAAAACTTGTGATGATTTCTTACCCAGATGTACATGGAGCACCAGCGACAACAGTGCATTCCAATTGGTTTGCAACACTATATGAAATTAAAGATAATAATGATAAGATGAGGATGACTGATTTTATCATTTTCTAAGAGTCGTTCTTTATATAAAGAATTATATTATAAATATATATATAAGTAAGAAGAGTGGTTTAGGAAAATGATTAATGATATCATAAAATAGTTTGATTTATGTTTGATCCCAAACAGATATTAGTTTAAAATTTTATTAAAAATCATCAATATTGAGATTTTTTAAATAAAAACAGTAGATTTTTTAAGTAATATCATCTTGATCTTTTCGGAACTTGAGGTTTTTTCGCAAATCATCAGCTGATTTTTTTGCAAAAACCACCTTGATCTTTTCGGGGAGAAAACTATCACCCTTATTGTAGACTAAACAGTTGATGATGTCGATGATTTTGATTTGGTGAGAGAGCAGGTTATATTGAAATTTAAGATTGGTGTTATTCAAAACGACTTCGAGAACTAAAAAGTTTGTTTTTTTTTAAAAACAATTGCGAAAAAATCTTGGAAAACTTAAGAATGATGGTGGGAATAAACCTTTGTCTCCTTCGAGAGGAGCCTGTTTCATTAAAAATCTAATATTTCACTTCGTATAGTAAGCTGTATCCGTAAAATATTGACGAAGTGAAATAAACACGAATGATCTTTCTCGTGAAGTGTTGGAAACTTCCAAAATACAAATTCTCGCAGCATAGAATAAAAATAAATACAATATATTCTTTGAAAAGGTACGTCACCCACAAAAATATTTATTGTAAATTATAAAATAAAATAAAATCCTTATAAATTAAAAACACCAGTTCTGATCATTAGAACTTAACTTAAGATGACCATCTTCAATAAGATTGAAAATAAATTTCTAAAGATATTTCCTATTCATCTTCCTTTTTTTTTTATTCGCTTTTTAATATCTACGATCCATTCTTTATTTTATTCTCAACCCGAGAATAGACAAATGGAACTACCTTTTTAGAAGTTCTCGTAAGATATTGAAATAATTATTATTTAATTTGTGTAAAGTGAACAATAATGAAATCTTTTTTATTATTTATTATCCAAAAATTTAACACAAATTAAATAATTAAATTAAAAATGATTTATTTGATTATTTAATTTAAATTTTATTTTTTTCTTTTAAAACACAAATAAATAAAGAAATAATCTCAAACATTATTTACAAATCTAAATGAGTTGAGTTGAGGTGCGATGAGTTAATGAGAAATTTTGTATGAAGAGAAATTTTAAGGGCAGCAAAAAAAAAAAAAAATTAAAATTAAAAATAATTTTTTTTGCAAAAACGAATAAAACGAAATTTGATGATAATTTTTTAAGTAATGTTTAATTTAGTATTATTATAGATATAAAGTTTTTTAAAAAAAGATGGATATTGAAGTTTTAAAGAGATCAAAGATTTCCAATGAGAAAGCTTTAGAGTTGTTATCAAAGTTCAATGTAGAGCGTAAACAACAAAACGATCACAAGTTGTTCATCACCGGTAACGGTGGAAACGACGACTTCTTCCAGATCATATCGAACAATCTACAACACTTTCAAAAGTATCTCTCAAAATCGATCTACGGTGACACCGATGCCAACGAGCAGCTCTCGCTAGAGAATGCCGAGGATGGCGGTGTCGAAGCGAGCAACCAATCGATGATGGAGATCGAGGGAAACGACCCGGCCGGTGGTAGCGGTGTCGGTGGTGACGCCAACGGAATCGGTGGTGCCAACGGTAATCATCATCACCATAGAAAGGGTAGCGATAATACACCACCCGTTCCACTGGACGAACTGGTAACAACACCACTGAAATCCAACAACTACGAGACAGACGACGGTGACATCTCAGAGAGAAACTCTGACTATGGCGGTGGTAGCTACAACAAGAGAAAGAAGGAAAAGGCACAAAAATCTGATTCAGAGTCAGACTCTGACGAGAGCGACGAAGAGAACTCATCGGCTTCCACATCGGGTGCATCCAGTGACACCAAGAATAAAAAGATTAAATTAGACAATAGCAATAGTACAGATAGTAAAAAGAGTAAAAAGGAATCATCAGATTCAGAGTCAGAATCAGAGTCAGAGTCGGAGTCATCAGAGTCAGAGTCAGAGTCAGAATCAGATAAATCATCAAAAAAGAAAACAAATAATAACAACAGTAATAGTAAATCAAAGAAATCATCATCATCATCTTCATCTTCTTCAGAATCAGAATCATCAAGTAGTGAAAGTGATTAAAATAAATAATAATTAAAACAATAAACTAAAATAAAAAAAAAACAAGAAATAAATATTTATATTAAAAAATAGTAAATGTAATAATATTATTTGTGTTTTGTTTTATTTATTTAGAATATCTGTTTATTTGTTTATTTGATTGATTATTGATTTTTTTATATATAAATGATCTAATGATCATGACCAATAAGTTCACCAACATGAGCTTCAATCAACTCATAGTAAATATCTAAACTATTTGATGTTCTCGATCTAACATTATCGCAGATAAGTGGGAGATCAGTCTAATAATAATTTGATGATAAAAAAATAGATAATAATAATGATAACATTGTTAGTTTCTTAAGTATTTAGATTAAACTATTAAATTATTTATAAATAAAAACACTTACATTTAAATCAAATATACCATGCATTAATAAATAAACAAGGAAATGGAAATCTGAAAAGAATGTCAATTTGGATTGATCTTGATTGTCAATCTTGTAGGAAGCGAGATCAGAGTCAGAGGTTGGTGGATTTCTATTGTTGACTGGGAATACACAATTCAAGACAGGTTTGTCTTCTCTTGCCTTGACAGGAACTGTGACTATAAAGAAATTGTTGTCTGCATTCAGAGTCTCTGAACCTTCGACGAGTACCGGTGATTTTAATTTACAAATGGTTGGCTCCGATTGATTCGATTGGAACTCTCCTGTTTTCTCTAGCTTCATCGCTTGATCAGAGACTTGGAATGCTTCTAAATTACTATTACCTTCACTATTAACTATAATAATAATCAAACCAAATATTAATGATTAGTATTGTTTATCCTATGTATATACACACTTGACTGAGTTTTGCAAAACTCTCTTAACTTACCAGATAGAATTAATGTTACAAAAGAGTTACCAAATTTATTTTGGTAGTTGGCGGCTTGCAAGATTTCCGAGGATGACATAACATATTTTCTTGAGGGATGCGAGAATATCCATCCGACACGAGTCATTCCCAGCAAGCTGGCGAGTGATTCGATTTTGTCAATTGATTTGTCCTCGAGAAGAGTAACCGATTTCTTGTCACCCTTTTGTGGTGGTTCGTATATTACATCGACAGAGACCGATCCATCCTGCAAAAAGTTACCGTAGAGGAATCCAATGCGTTGCTCTTCAAACTTGCGACTGCTGACGTAGTGCTGGAACTCGTTGGCCGGTGTGACGGCGATTGCTGCGCCCGGACAATGTGCAGCGTCCTGACTCTTCAACTTCATCTTGAGTGACTCACGCCACTCGATACACTCGATGCAGCTACCGTGGATACCGTGGTTTTTGCATCTACGTTTGGGTGGTTCGGTGTCGTTGGGATCGTCTTTTGGCAAGCAGTTTGTACACTTTGCGTTGGCGCCGTGCAAGCACTTGGTGGCTGGAGCGGCAGCCGGCTTCTGCTTGTTGGCGAATGGCGACTGCTTCTCGACATAGTTGTTGTTGTTTGCATCCAAGTTGGGTGGAGATGAAGGTGCCGAAGAACGATCGCCGGCCGGTGAAGAAGCGCCGCTATTACCACTATTGACGTCGCCACTGCTATTGCTATTTGTTACTTTATCTATACAATTGGAACATACTGCACTGGGACCGTGTGTACATTTATACGATACTTTCTTTGGTACTCTGAGACAGTTGCTGCACTTGCCACCGGGTGGATGATTGCACAGCCACTTTAACTTCTTACCGGTGAACTTCTTGTCCTGACAGTTTGGACAGGTTGCCGACTCGGGATGAGTGCACTTCTTCTCACCCAAACTATCTGAGCAAAACACACACTTGTCACCGGGTGCATGTTTGCAAGACAATGATTTTCCACTTGAAACACTTGAGCTATTTGAACTTGAATGACTTGATGCAGGTGATGAAACTGTATTATTATTATTATTATTACTACTACTACTACTATTATTGTTGTTATTGTTACTACTATTTGTTGTTGACTGTACAGATATTAATAAAAGCATATCACCATGTTTTATACCGGATTGACTGATTGTTAATTCCGGTTTCATTGGTGGATCACGTGGGGAAATCGATAGATATGTTCCCTCTACATTGACACCCATATTCTTTAAGCTTTCGTAGATCGATCTGACTGTTGATCCATCTGGTACTTCCACTCTTTTTGTACCTACAGGTGTTCTAACTGCGATAATCTTAAAGATAAAAATAAACAATCAATTGGATTAGATAATGAGATAGATTGTTTTAGATTTCACTCAAATTCACTTACCATTGTGTTGTTTTTATAATACTAATATATTAATGTAACAAATAAAAGGTGTCTATACAAATTTGAGAATATATTGAAGAAAAAAAAATAAAATAATGATGATGTTTGTTTAACTTTAACTTTACACTCTAATATATATTAAAATGATAATAAGATATAACTAATTCTAACTAACTTTATAAAATAAATATATATTTATCGATTTATTAAAATGAAAAATATGAAATGAAATGGTTTTTAAACAAAATAAATTAAATTTATAATTTTTGGTGAATTCACACAAAAACAATTAAAATTAATGATTCATCAAAAATAGTGACAAAAAAACATATTTTTTTCAACTTCAAGTTACTCAAATTTTTAAAAAAATAAAATAAAATAAAATAAAAAAAAGAATTACCAAAAAAAAAAAAAAAAAAAAAAACTACACCTACATAAAGTAATTACTTCTTTTAACAACATGTTGTTCTCGAATAATAAAATAACTAAACTATGAAACTCAAGTTTAAAGAAGAAAGAAAAAGAATCAAATACAAATAAATAATATTATGTTGTTTTATCACAAAGTAATTTTGTTTAGTTTTAGTGTTTTTAAATTTTTGCTGATAAGGTGAACCAAACCCTCCACAAGTTTGAATTTTTTTTTCTCATATAAAATAAATTTTGTGTGATTTTTTTTTTTTTTTATTATAAGCTCCTTTTTTTTTTTTTAAAACTGGTTATTATTTTTTTGTCAAAAAAAAAAACATTCATGACAACAAAAAAAATAAGGAAGAATAACAAAATAGAATAGATTTATTATTTTAGATCTTTTGTAATTGTAGATATTAATAGCAATTGTAAAAGTTAACAAATAAACATCACATTATCAGTTAGGTTATTTATGTAGGATTACAAATCATTCGAAAGAAAAACAACAAACAAAAAAAACTTCTTATTTAGAGAGCAGCAACTTTTAAATATAAAATATATAATATATAATTGGAAGACTAATTAATAATGTCTACAACATCAATATCAAATTGGTAGGTTGTCGATTGATAGTTCATCCATCTGATAGTTTACTTATACTTGTCACCTCTATTGTTATAATGATTTTTAATATAGTGATATTACTGTCAAAGTGTTATTGGTTGGTGACCCATCGGTTGGTAAATCATCTTTGCTATGGAGAATGTGTGAGAATATACACCCATCAGTTGAACAAGCAAATATTACTATAGCTCAAACTCATGTACGTCATTATTAAAGATTCGTTTAAAGAATCAAATCATCTATTTAAAGTAATGGCAACAACCACACAGCTTACTAACTAACATTAACTTTGCTACTCACTTCTTCATACATTACTGAACTTGCTTTGCTTTTCTTTTAGAAAACAAAAGCGATACCATTTAGTGGTAAAAAACAAATAGTTGTTAAATTTGTAAGATGTTGTTTTAATTACAATTATTTACCACATTGTAAAAAAAAAAAAAAAGAAAAGTTGTTAACACAATATGTTTTTTTTTTCCTTATATATCAATATTTATCTAATAGATTGATACAGTGGGACAAGAAAGATTTAGAACTATATCTAGAAGTTTGTATTCGAATACGGATGTGGTGATTCTAACGTTCGATCCAACGAATCGATCGTCGTTCGAACGTCTGCAGCAGTGGAATACAGAGGTGGAGAGATACGCACGCAACCCCAAGCTATACGTGGCATTGGCCAGCACAAAGTCAGATTTAATTTCATCGTCTACCACGGCGACGACGTCAGGCACCACCGCTACCATCTCGACGACAACCACCGCTACATCATCGAACAACAACAACAACAGCAGCAACAGCAATAACAGTAGCATCTACAACAATAACAATACTGGTGGCGACATTGTCAGCGTCGCAGAAGCGCAGCAATTCGCACAATCCAAAGGAATCATCTATATACAGACGAGCTCGGTCAGTGGCACCGGTGTCGAAGATCTGTTGTATACGGTGGTGAAGGGTGCCGGCGAGAAGTTGTACGCCGACGAAAACTGGACAAAGTTCAAACCGAAATCGACAGTTCGTTCACCCACTCTTTTAGGTACTTTTAGCAGTAGTTTTCAAAATAGTTTTAATGGTAGCAGTAGCAACACCAACAACAGCAGTAGTAATAATAATTCAAATAATAGTAACAACAATAATAGTAATAGTAATTCACCTCAAAATAATTCACCAAATAATAATAACACTACTAATAATGAGAAGAAATCCTCTTTTTGTACAATATTGTAAACCGTTGTATTGTTTTTCATTACGATGGTGGTTCATAGCAATAAATAATTAATATATATTTTTAATTAATTTATCATTTATCAATCTTAAACAATCATATATATTTCTTTTTCTATTAAATGAGTCAGTCAAGTGTTATGCATAATTCCAAGAATAAACAAAACAAGTCGACTTATTATTTTGAGCGCCAAAGATAAATTAATGTTTTTTTTGTTTAAAATTTGAAAAAAATAAAATATAGATAATATGTTTAAATGATATATGTTTATTGTATTGTTGTTGGTTATAGTTTAAAAGTAAAGTAAAGTAAAGTAACAAGTTGTAGAATGAATAGTAATAATGTAATATCATTGGATGATGACGATGATGATTTTAAAGTAGATAATAATAATAAGAGTAATAATAATAATGATTATAGTAATACAAATAATGGATTTATAAAGAAGAAGACAACAACAACAACTACAAATGCTAATAAGAGTAATAATGTAGCAATGTCACTTGAAAGTAGTTTAGATGCAATTGATAACGATGATTTTGAAGACGAGATTGAAATGACATTCACAAGAGATGAACCGAAAAAGAGAAAGAAGACAACGAAATCAACCGCTGCTGCTTCCACTACGTCACGTGGTAGACAAACAAAGAAACAGGCAGTCAATACATCGTCAACCTCGATATTAGATTATGAAGATTCGTTTATTAGTAAAAAGAGTAACAATAGTGCATTGGACTTGGATGACTATGACGATGATTTCAAAACACCTGCACCAACAACTTCAACATCGACATTAGCAGCAACAGCAGCATCAAAGAGAACAATGAAACCAACAACAACTACATCGACAACATCGACAACCAGAGGAAGACCACGACAATTGCAATTGGACGATTCAAAACCGGCAAAGAAGAAATCAAAGAAAGAAGCACTGAAAGAGACATCGATTCATTTCGATTCGGAACTGCCGCCAGCAGAGATCGACGATCTTCTCAGTATGATGACAGAGAAATGTAGTGATATCATCTGTTCCGATTTGAAACAAGAGAAACTATCGATCGATTGTTCAATTCAATGGAAAAGAGTGAGTTTTATTTATAGATATTTTGATTATTAGTTAGTTGTTAATCAAACTTTATATTGTTGTCTAGTCATTGAGCAATGGAAAGAAAGAAGATCAAGATATTATAGTTTTAAGATATTCACCGGAATTTCTATATAGAATGGCGGAAACCAATACTTTGATTACTACCATATCTAATCTACTTGATAACTACCCAACAAAGAGATTCATCCTCTTGATTGAATCATTGGATTACTTTTTGAAACAAAAGTCACAAATGAAATCAGCTGATATCACATCAAAGTTGAATGGCAGTAGTAACCAAACATCAAGTACCACTACTAATGGTAGTTCATCTGACGTTGTTTGTAAAAAGTTCTTTTCCAGACACGAGTTTGAAAAGATATTTTTAGAAATACAGGTAAATTTAAATTTATCAATCAATATCTTCAGTTAGTTAGATATAGTGTTAGTTATTTGTATATCAAATACATACTAACATTGTTATTATTATTATTATTATTATTATTATAATAGTATAAATATTCAACTATAATGGTTAGAATTGTAAATAATAGAAGTGAAAGTTCATTGTTTTTGGTGAAATGTACAGAGTGTATCAGTATGTTGCCTTATCGCGAAGACAATTCCAAGTTGTTTCAGGGTTTCTGTCCGGATGCCATCAAAAAGAAATACAAGAATTCCAATGAGATTTGGACTTCACAGCTTTGTATGATCAGTGGTGTTTCAAAGAGTGTGGCATCTTCGATTATCATGCGGTATCCAACCATCAAATCGTTGTACGACGACTACTACAAACCTGGAATGACCGATCAACAAAGAGTTTCACTTCTCAAGGATCTAAAGATAGAGTCATCCAACAAGAAGTTAGGTCCGGTACTCTCCTCTAGGATCTTTCAAATATTCTGTGGTAAAGATCCCAACCAATTAGTTAAATAAAAACAAAACAAAAACAAAAGCAAAAACAAAACAAAACAAGATAATTTAAATATAAATTTATTATTTTAAATTGATAAAAAGATTATATTAATGTTATTGTTATAGTTGTTATTATTATAGTTATTATAGTTATTATTATTATTTTCGTTATTATTATTTTTATTATTATTCTTATTTACTGTCAGTATCTTTAATCTTAAAGAATTTACCAGCCAAGATTTGATCTGCTTCATGCTCACTGACACCCATATCCAACATGATAGACTCCTTCTGTTTGAGTTTCTCCTTTTCAACGTCGATTGGATTCTCAAAGTCGTCGACCTCCTCGATAGATTCATCTCCGATCCAATCCTTGTCTGTAAAGTCACCACGGAACCATTTGTCGTACTCGACATCCTCCTTGGGTGTTGGTGGCACTACATTTGGATCGTAGATAGTGAAAGTACCCTTCTTATATGAATACAATCCAAGATGTTTCGCTTGTTTAATAGTTCTAGCGATCTTCTTTTGATGCTTCAAACAATTTCCTGTAATATATCTCGGCAAAATATCACCGTCATTATTTAAATAGATACTTAACAATGGAACATTCTATTAGTAGTAGAAGTAAACATATAAATAAATAGTTTTAATTAGTTAAGTTAGTTTAAGTTAGTTTTAAACATTCACATTGTTGCTTTACTTACCATTGGTTCAACTTTCCATCCATAATCAAAACATAATAGACATTTGGGGAACTTCTTGTTTCCGACGACCTCTTTACCGGTGGTTGGTGAACGTGTGACTTGATCATCAAAGACACCTTGTCTCTCTAATTTGGTGATGTGTCTTAAGAGATACTCTGTCGATGATTTATCCTCGACTGCTTTGGCAGCCTTTTTGGCACGCATCTCTTCGAGCATCGGGTTGACACGATACTTTTCGATGTTTTCAGCGCCGACCTCCTCTGCCTTGGCCAACATCTCTTCGTGTATTCTCTCTTTCTCTAAAATGTCCAATCGCTTTTGGAGCAAAATTTGTTTTCTCTCCTTGGAGAGCTGTGGGGTGTGGTGGTGATGCTCGCCGTCGCAGTCGTCGTGTGCCGACTCAAACAATTCCTCAGTTGGCAAATCGTGTGACTTGTTCGTCTTGCTACGCAATCCACGATACTTTCTCATCAGATGCAAGTACATGTCACGGCTAGTTACATTCTCTGGTGGAATGACCTTGCCGTCCTCGCCAAAGACGGCGCGCTCCAGTTGCTCCACCGACAGCACGTCCGAGTGGAACTTGTTGTCGTGTCCCGATCCGAAACGACCGATTGACTCCAACTCATCTTCGATCGCCAGCTTCTTACGACGCAACTGTAGTTTCTCTTTGATGGCGGAACGGTCGAATGCGTTTTCGTTGTCGTCGTCGTCTCTGTCGTTGTCCTGCTCGTACATCTCCTCGTCGTACTCTTCGTCCTCTTCGATCTCCTCTAGTTCGTCCTGTTCGAATTGCTTGGCTTCCTGTTGCTCACGAGCGTCCATCTTCTTTAGGAGATCGGCACGACGCATCTGTATTGGATAGGCAGCGGCATCTTCGACCTCCTCGAGATCCTTTGCCGATGTTCCCATGCCATGATGATGATGTTTCTTCTTGTGACTACAATATCCATTGGTTTGAATCGAGTTGCCATTTATATAGCCAACCAAATAGGTGGATGACGATGTGGTTGATCTACTTGCAGACAAACATTGTCTTGTGAATCTATTTAGAATTGACAATGAAGATTGCATCGTTGTTTATTTATTTACTATCTGTTCTGTTTCCTTCTTGTCTATTATAAATCGATAATATAAATATATATTTCTCTCTTTTATCTTTTATAATGTAAAGTTGATAAAAGAGATTATAATAATTGATTTAATTTAAATCTAAATCTAAATTAAACGAAAAACAAGAACAACAATGATGAAAATATAGAAACTGCTTATTTGTCAGAGTAGTAACACACAATGATCAATCGAATGATTTCAACGTTTTTTTTGAAAATATAAATCAAAAAAAAATTTACAATTTTTTTGATCAAAAAAATTTTTTTGTTATGCTTATTTATTTGCACAGAAATTCCATATGTTTGATTCATTTGAATTGTCATAAAGGCAAAAAGAGTTTAAAAATTACTAAAAAAGATATGAAAATATGACACAATCTTTAAATGAGATAACAAATAAAATATTGTTAAAGCGTGAAGGTAGCTTTTGTCCCATAGACCCAAGTCAAAAATTTCATCATCAAACAAAAAAAAAAAAAAAAAAAAAAAAAAACGACATCCAAATTTCTATTTAATCTAAATATTTATGTTTTGTTTTGTTTTGTATTTATAAATATATAATTATTTATATATATATATAATGAATCATTGTTCAGTACATTTTAAAGAGTTTATATTTTTATGTTCGACTTGTTCGAAATTAGTTTGTAAACAATGTTGTGTCAGTGATCATAGCAAACATCAGTTTGATGATTTCGATTCAATCAAAGAACATGAGTTGAAGACAAATGGTTATCAAGACAAGATTTCGAATCTTTTCGATCGATTAAAGACAATCAAATCAACCATTGACTCTTTAGAGTCGACACTTAGCGAAATAACCAAGTTCTATGAAGATATACACAATGTTCTCATGGTTGAAGAACACAAGAAGAAGAAACCAGTGGAAGAGCAGTTGGAGTTGGCAAAGTCACTTATTCCATTTGTGATCGAGGAGATTAATTCACTCAAGGTCATTACCAATACAATCCACCACAACGAAAATCCAAAGAACCCAAAGGGTAGATCAGGAAAGCAAGTAACTCAAAGTCCAGACAACTCAACTATCAAAGAGCACAAACAATACGATAGCAAAGAACACAAACAATACTATAGCTCTCAAGTTGACAATCTCCTCAAGGCCGTCGAACAGTCAGTTGACTATAAGAAAGTTTTCCAAAGATTCTAGAATCTCTTTCCAATTGTTTCGATCGCCAATCCAGCAGATACAATGGACTTCCTTTCCTATGTTTCCAAGCAAGGTGGATTAGAAAAGACCAACTCACATGTCATTCCTTCTAAATACGTGACAATGTTTGACAAAGATCAAACCAAGATGATCAAAGATGGCTTAAGCTCCATGTGCCAATTAGAGAAATCCCAGGACAATGACATGATCGTTTATCATAATGGATCAGAGACAAAGTTTTTTGATTTGAAAACTCAAACAATTATCAAGCCAAACAGTTTGAAAGATATAAAGCAGTCTCATATGGTTCAAGCTGGAGATGATATCTTCTTCTTTGGTGCTGGTACTGAATATATTAAATATTCAATCTCACAGAAAAAGACAACTAAATTCAACTCTTGTGTTTACCAAAGGGGCACAATGTACTCAGCATGTTATTACAAAGAGAAAAACCGGATTTATATTTTGCACAGATACACCGACCACTATAGCAAAAGTTCACAAATCGAAATCATCGATCCCATCAATCTAAGTGTCCAAGTCAAAACAGTATCAATCTCACATATTACAAATCCGCAAATTCTTGCAAGTAATGGTTTGGTGTATATCGTTGACACATCCTATATTCACACGATGTCGGATAACTGCCAAATTACGTCTACCATTGGTTTATACAATTTCCAAATGAAGCTGTGTGCAATTGGAGATGGCCATATTTATATATTCACCACCCAAAGCACCATTGAAAGATTTGATCTGGAATCCAAAAGCTTCACGACTGTGCCTGATATTAATCAATTGTTTAGATATCCGAACAACAGCACAATCTCAAAAATTGTATATGTTCCTTCAAGTGGTGTATCTTCGAGCAAATTGTATTGTTTCTCCGCCAGCAGTACAACTGTCAAAGTTTATGACCTAATAACATATATGTTCACTGATGTGGTTATCGAAGTTTCTAATCATGCAGTTTTTATTAAAAGAAATAAAGATTAATCGCATACTATAATAATCTTCAAATAAATTAAAAAAAACATTCTTAGTTAGTTGCGATCAATGATTTTTTGATTTTGTTTTTAATAATATTTGTCTATTGTTGTTCATATATAAATCTTAGTTCAAAAAATAGATCTTATTATCATTGTTTTAGGAATATTTAACAAATATTTTCTCTATTGAATATGGGAGAAAGTAATTTGAATCGGAATCTGTAGGTTCAACAATTGAAATTCTAATTAGGATGATATTTTCTTTGGTACACTACTTTTTTTTGGTTTTGGGAGAAATGATATTTAACCTTCAACAAGCACCTTTTTCAAAAAACTTTAACTCACATATTTTAGTTTCTGTAACACTATTTTTGTTTTTAAAAAAAAGTTATAAAGATTAAAAGTAATTATTTATTTATAAAATTAATGAATCATTGTTCAGTACATTTTAAAGATTTTATATTCTTGTGTTCAACTTGTTCAAAATTAGTTTGTAAACAATGTTGTGTCAGTGATCACAATCAACACAGGTTTGATGATTTCGACTCGATCAAGGAGCAGGTGTTGAAGACAAATGGCTATCAAGACAAGATTTCGAATCTTTTCGATCGATTAAAGACAATCAAATCAACCATTGATTCTTTAGAGTCTACACTTGATGAAATTACCAAGTTCTATGAAGATATACACAATGTTCTCATGGTTGAAGAACACAAGAAGAAGAAACCAGTGGAAGAGCAGTTGGAGTTGGCAAAGTCACTTATTCCATTGGTGATCGAGGAGATTAATTCACTCAAGGTCATTACCAATACCATTTACAACAACGAAAATCCAGAGAATTCGGAGAGTTCAGAGGGTAGATCAGGAGAACATGTATCCGAAAGTCCAGACAGCTCAAATACCAAAGAACACCAACAATATAACGCTATTGGTGATCTCCTCAAGGCTGTCGAACAGTCAGTTGACCACAAACAACTTTTCCAAACATTCCAGAATGTCTTTTCAGAAGTTTCGTTCGCCAATCCAGCAGACAAGATCGACTTCCTATCACATGTCTCCAAGCATAAAGATATGAAAAAGACCAACTCCCAAATCATTCCTTCTAAATACGTGGCAATGTTTGATCACAATCAAATCAAGATCATCAAAGATGGCTTTGACACCATGTGGCAATTAGAGAAATCCCGGGACAATGATATGATAGTTTATTACAATGGAGTAGAGACAAAGTTTTTTGATATGAAAACTCAAACAATTACCAAACCAAACAGTTTGAAAGATGTAAAACCTGCCCATATGGTTCAAGTTGGAGATGATATCTTCTTCTTTGATTCTGAATATATTAAATATTCAATCTCAAAGAAAACGATAACTAAATTCCCACGTTCAACACAAATTAAGAGTACGATGGAGTCAGCATGCTATGACAAAGAGAAAAACCAGATATATATTTTGCACAGATACACCAGCCGCTCTAGAGACTACTATTCTATCGGTAGAGAAATCGAAATCGTTGATCCAAATATTTTAAGTACCCAATTCATATCAATATCAATCACATCTATTTCCGAAATTCTTGCGAACAATGGTGTTGTTTATTTAGTTGACTCATCCAATATCTATACCTTGTCGGATACCTACAAAATAACATCAAATGTTGATTTCTCCAAAAATTTTTCAATGAAACATTGTGCAATTGGAGATAATCACATTTATATATTCACCAACTTCAATACAATAGAAAGATATGATCTGGGATCAAAAAGTTTCACGACCGTTCCTCATATGAATCAATTGGTAACTAATGCGCAATCCAACCCAATTTCAAAAATAGTATTTATTCCTTCAAGTGGTATATCTTCGAGCAAATTGTATTGTTTCTCTAACTCCAGTAAAAATGCCAAAGTTTATGACCTAGTGACATTTATGTACACTGACATTGTCATTGAACCGTTGACTGATGCAATTTATATTAAAAGACATTAAAGATTAATATCATTGTGTTAAAATAATAAAAAAAAATTTCTTATTTTATTTCTCTATTATTAATAGTGTAAATCTTTTTATAATTTTTATTAGGCATCATGAAAATAAACTATTTTATAATGTACAATTTTAAACACATGTCAACATTCAATATCTTATCAAATTTGATTATTTTTGTGTTGATATTAAATTATGATTGTTTTTAGATTAAATTATGAACAATTTTTTAAAAAATGTTGGATCATTGTTACATACCTTACTCCCACTTAAAATTAGATAAAGTTCACAGGATTTGTTTTATCATTGCAATTAATTTATTTCTTTCAAAATGAAAGTTGTTTATATCTTTATTTTAGTTCTTAGTTTTAATTTTTTTATTGATATTTGTTTAACAAAAGTAGGTTTAATTTAAACTAAATGAAAAAATATATTAAATTTTAACAATTTTATTTTAGGACATTTCTGATGACTTGGTAAACAAGATAAACTTCAACAATTTAACTGAGAATGAAAAATTACTTTTAAATATTCTTACATGGGCAGATAAAATCTTTGGAGAAAAAAAAATTCAATATGACAATGAGAACACATATGACGAGGCAAGGATAACTGGAAATTTTGGTGATTATCTTGGCAATTATTTTGGGGGTCCACGTACAACTGTCATTTATTTTGGATAATTACTTATATAGGTAGTTATTTAAACAATTAAATCTTTTATATATTTTAATTCTCACTCTAATTTGTGAATAAAAAATTTAAGTTGTTGCTAAAGTCCCTTTACTGTTTCGAAAATAAAAAAGATTTTAAAAAAATCTTGGTTACTTTTGATAAAAAACTAAAGAATTGTTTCACATTCTCATCAATGGGACTTTAGCTCAGTTGGAAGAGCGATTGGCTACGAACCAATAGGTCGCAGGTTCAAGCCCTGCATGTCTCAAATAATTTTAATACAATTTTGTCCGCCTGCGGGATTTAGTATTGTAAGAAGGTTGAAGTAACAGTAGCCAACCACAGGTAAAAGAGAGGTATCTAAAAAAGTTTAAAGCAAATAAAAAAACCATATGCTAAACTAACTAATCAATACAAAAGATAATAAATAACTACTAAAAATTTTTTGAAAAAGTTAAAATTGTCAAAAAAAATATTGTTGATTTTATAAAAAAAATATTGTTGATTTTATAAAAAAAATTTTATTTGAATATGTAAATAATTATGATTAATAATCATCACAATCATAATTTGTATTACTATTATCAAAATATTCATATGGATTATTTGAATCTTCCTCTTGTAAAAGTAAACGTTTCAACTTTGATGTATTAACAAAACCACCTATGAATCGTGATGTCAATGCCAATGTTTCATTCGCACTGAATCTCCTTATGTTTACATAATCTATTTGAAGTGATACCAATATGTTTGTAACGGTTATCGGTAGTGATTCCAGTGGATTGAAATCAAAGAACTGTGGTGATACAATTAGACTGGTGATCGATGGACAAAGAACACCGCTCGGAATAGTCTTTATAAAGCTACCGCCAAACGATATCGACACCAACTTGTTCGGCAATCTGGCTATAGGTTGATTGAAATCGAAACCAAACGATAGCTGTGTCAATGATTCCGGTAGGATACCATCGATCTTTTGATTGAATCCATCGCCAAACAATATACGCTCCAAACTCTCTGGTAGTACACCTTGTCTTATCGGTTGATTAAAGTTGGTACCAAAGGAAAGCTGGACCAGTCCCATGGGCAGTGACCCTTTCTTTAGTGGACTATTAAAGTTGTTACCAAACACCAATGTTTTTAATGATGCTGGTAAGACCGATGGATGCAGCGTTTGATCAAAGTTTGATCCAAAAGTCAACGATGTTATAGAGTTTGGAAGCTGACCCGCATGTAACTGTTGATTAAATAGCTCTCCGAAACATAGCGATTCCAGAGTGTTTGGCAATGAGTTTGGAATCAACACTTGGTTAAAGTTGGATCCAAACTTGATCTCGGTAACCTTTGAGGGTATGGTGTTGAGTGGCAACGATTGATTAAAGTTGTGGCTAAAAGTGATACTGAGAACAGACTCTGGAATATCATAGGGATATAAATGTCGATTGAAATAATAGCCAAATGTGATGTGTGTGGTAGAATCCGGTATGACATTGGCAATAGGTTGATCAAAGTGTGAACCAAACACCAGATGCTTTAGATTTTGTGGAAGCGAGCCTGCACTCAGTTGATGATTGAACGACATTCCAAAGGTAAGGTGTGTAGCAGACGGAATAGATCCAGGTATAATTTCAGTGTTATACTTGTCACCGAAATAGAAATGAGTGATTGTACTTGGAAGTGTACCAACCTGAATGCTTTGGTCAAAGTAATCCGATAGTTTAAACCCCTTAACACCAGAGGGAATTACATTTGGTAAAATCGGTCGATTGTAGTCTAATCCCAACTTTAATACTTGAATGGACGATGGCAACGAATGAGGCTCCAGCACCTGATTGAACTTCAAGCCCAAATCCAACAAAGTCAGAGTATCGGGTAGTGTTCCTCTCTCGATCGGTCTATTAAAATCATCTCCCATTTCCAATATCTTTAGCTGCTCTGGAATATTCTCCAATGGTTGATTAAACTTGGCACCAAACACCAGATGTTCAATTGATTCCGGTAGGTTCGCTGGCAGCGGTTGATTAAAAGATGTTCCAAACTCTAAATACTTGAGATTTAAGTTCTGCTCAAACACATGATCGTCTATCAACTGATTGAAATTCATTCCAAACTCTAAATGAACCAGCGAAACAGGGAATATCTGAGTGTGAATCTGCTTGTTAAAAGATATACCCAATTTAAGAGTCGTCAAATACTTGGGAAGTGTAGCACTCTCTATACACTGGTCGAATTCATTGCCAAACGTCAGTTCACTTATCGAATCTGGCAGATCATTGGGTAACTGCTGATTGAATGAATTTCCAAATATCAAGTGGGTGACAGAGCTTGGTATGAATCCAGGCGGTAGTCTCCTATTGAAACACAGCTCCAAGTGAACCACCGATTTCGGAATGGCAAGTTCGCTCGGTAGCACTTGATTGTCGTCGCTATCGTATTCATCGTCATCTGGATACTCTATTTTCAAGTGAGTCAACCAGCTGGGTATCGTTGGCAGTGGTTGATCATTGTAGAGTTTCAACCATAGTGAAGTACAAATCTCCTGTTTAAAAGAGTCAAGGTGTACACCCTTGAAACTCTCAAAGTACTCAATAAAGTCATAGATACGACTTTGATTGAGAGGTCCAACTATCCTATGTCTATCATTATACAACTTCTTGCAAGTCAAAATAAAGCAAATCTTATCTATATCAGAATCAAGAAAAGATCTAAATATAATTGTCAAATTAAAAAAAAATAGTAACATTTTAAAAAAAAATTTTTGTTGGTTAATAAATAAATTGATTCAATTTATAATCTAAAAAGTAAACAAAGATACTTACAATATATACTTTAATAATAGATGTGATAACATAACATTGCCTCTAAAATTTATTGCTTTAAAAGAATATAGATATATAAATAGAAAAAGTAATATAATATAACAATAACGAATAATCAATAAATATATATATATATATATATAGTTTTTAAAAGTAACACTATCTTATTTGTTTAATATTTATATTAATAAATAAATAGTAAACAAAAATGTGTTATTAAAAACACAACAAGATCGATCCCACCTTTCAAAAAAAATCTCAAAACTCTTTCGAAAAATTGTTTTAATTTTAAATGTTATTTTATTATAATAAATTAATTGTTTCCACATCGCCAAACGACATTCGAAGTTTGCATGTTGTGGAAGATAGATTTGAATACTTGTAATATCACCAAACATTGGAATGTAATTGACTTTTAGTTTTTGTTACTAATAATCATAAATAAAGTATAAAATAATTTAAGTTGTTTTTTTCTTTTTTTTTTTTTTTTCTATTTTTTTCTATTTTTTTCTTTTGTTATTATTATTTGTTTAAAGGTGGCATTAATATTATATAATTATACTAAACAATGATTGTTATGTTATGTTATGATTTGTTTTAAAATTTGTGGTGGTGAATTATTGTATGTTAATGTAAGATAGATAGAGATATATATATATAATAAAAAGAAATAAAAAAAAAACTCTATAAACATTATAATTTGTTTAAATTATTTAACAAAAAAGTTTATAGATTATTTGGTGATGGTGAATGAATGTTATTGGTTGGTTGGTTGTTGTTTGTTTCTTTTTTTTTTTTTGTTTTGTTGATTATTTGGTTGTTTTCTTCTCATCTTTATCTTTCTTTCTAAATAATCCCCAACTGAGTTTCTTTTCGCCGGGTGCAGACTTTGAAGCGGAACTAGAGGTAGAGGTGGTAGAGGTGGTCGAACTGCTGCTGGATGCGCTTGACGATGACGATGATTTTGAAGAGGACGATGTTGATTTCGAGGTGGGTTTCTTTGAGGAGGAGGCGGGCGCAGGTGATTGTTTGTTGAAAGCTGCTTTGATCGCTTGCGCAAAGATATCATTTACACCGCTACCAGTGAGTGCGGAACATTCGAAAAACTGTACGGCACCAATCTCCTTTGCCAAAGCGATACCTTCGTCTCGTGAAACCGGCTCTTGGTTCACCTCTTGCAGTGAAGCCAGTGTCTTCTTGTCCTCTCTCAAATCGGTCTTGGTACCCACCAAGATGATCGGTGTTCCCGAATTACTCTGATTGATCTCTTTCAACCATTTATATTTAATATTATCTAAAGAATCTCTCTTCACCACTGAATAGCATATCAAAAATACATCGGTCTAAAAAATTAAATAATAATAAAATAGAAATATTAATATATTGTTATTCCTTTTTTGTTTTTTGTTTTTTTTTTTTTTTTTCAATCATCTCTTTTTCTTTTCTTCTTTTTGTATTGTTTAATCTAAAATCTATCTATCTATCTATCTATATATTTATATATATCTAAAATCTATGTCTATATCTATAATTCTAATATTTTGATGATGATGACCTACTTGTGGATATGAAAGTGGTCTGAGATTATCGTAATCTTCTTGACCGGCTGTATCCCAGAGAACTAAATTTACAGGCTTGTTATCGTACATTTCAAGACAATTAAAGTTATCTAAAGTTTGATATTGTATGTTTTGAATGTTAGTCTTGAACTGAACTGTGTTGTTGTTGTTGATGTTTGAAATGTCGTGTCATGACAATGAGAGTGATGATTATGATGTTTTCAACAAGACATACCAAAAACTGTTGGAACATAATCTTTAGGGAATGCTTTAGTAGTATATAAAATCAAAAGAGATGTCTAAAATAAAGAGATATAAACAATGTTAATATTTTATATTGACTGATTTGGTTTGGTTTCGACCGATGATCAAAACAAGTAAATCACGTGATTTTTACCTTTCCAACAGCACCATCTCCAACAACTACAACTTTTACTGTTTTCTTAATACCTGTTGCCATGGTTTATATAACTTATCTATCTATGATTATCGTAAAATTACTGTTTTTTTTTTTAATATATATTATAAATACTACTACTATAATAAAATATAATATTAAATTGTTAGTTTATTTTTGTTATAAAACTATTGCTACTATGGTACAATTTGAAATTTGATTTGATTTGTGTTGTGTTTTGAACTTATTAATTCAAAGATTTGTGAATAAAAATAGAAAAATAAAATAAAATAAATAGACTAAACAGTTAGTTATTTATGTTCTTTCTGTTTTTGTTTTTTGTTTTGCTTTTTTTTTTTTTATCAATCTTTTTTTAAAAATTAAATTTGGTGATGGATTGTTTGATTGATTTGATTGTGAATTTTGAAATGAAGAAATGTTGTTTGATTTTTTTATTTTATTTATTTTATTTTTTATAGTTGTAATAATAGTATTTATTTATTATGTTGGTTTTTTTTAATTATTATTGTTTTTGACACAATTGCTTTCTCTACTACTGTGTGTTGTTGATTTTGATTGTATTTTTGTTATATGTGGTGGTGTTATTGTTATTGTTTTGATTTTGATTGTTGGTGTTTATTTTTTGATCGATCTTTATTTTTATTTTCATTTTTTATTTGTTATTCTTTGTGTCTTGTCGAGGTTTTGTTTAATCTTGGTGATCTTGATAAATAAATAAATATTTATTGTGAACAAACAAACAACAACAACAAATCGAAAACAAGACAATTTATAAATTAAACGAAACGAATCAATAAAAAAAAATATTAATATGTTTATTATTCTTCTAGAAAAAATAGATTTAAATCATGATTGAAATGAATAACATTATGTTGACTGTTCATACCGAATGTTGGAATTAAATAAATAAATAAATAAATAAATTTAGTTGCTGTATCTACTACTATTACTAGTTTGATGTTCTGCTCTGTTTTGTACTTTTTGTAAATAATCCAATTAGATGGTTGAATGAATTTCTTTATTTGACTGTGTTGATATCCTATAGGATTTGTTTGTTTGAATATTAATTTACTATTACAATGTTATGTTTCTTGACTATTAGCTGTAAAAAAGAAAAAAACCAAAATATTAATCAAAAAAAAAAAAAACAAAAACAAAAAAGGTACTGTTTATTGATGGGTTTGCTCAATTTTTTTCAAACTTTGAAAAATTCAAATAAATTGAAAACCCTTTTTATTTTTTTCTTAATAAAATTTTTGAGGAGGGCACTGCCAAATTTGATGTTGTCCAAACAGCATAGTCATGATACAAAAAGGTTTACCACCTTTTCAATATTTCCAACAAGATAATATTTAAATCTTCATTGAAAGAAATAAAAAAAATAGTTGTTTAAGTTACGATATGACATGAATGATAAAAAAACCTTTTTTTTTTAGTTTTCTTCTTTCTTTTGTTAATATTTATATCTGTATTTATTTTTTTTTATTTTATTCCATTTTTTATTTATTTAGATAATGATTTAATGAAAAGATTACAGAATTCGTTGTGTTTTTCGTTGTTGGAAGTACTTGGTTCCTCGGGTTGTTTGGTCGAGGTTGTGCAGATGGCTACACCGAGTACGCCTGGTACGATGAGCATCATGATACCACTATCACTGGAGAGCTGTAGTACTTCATAGCGATTGGTTGTCTTGCTGCATGATGGATCACAGGTCTTAAGTGTGGTCAACATGCCGTTGATAATTGATTTGTTGTTACATAGTTTGTTGCTTGTGATTGGACTGAGACCCTCACCGGCAATGGTAGCTGCGAGCGCAGCAATCTGTGATGGACTCATTTGAATAGAATTGAGTTGATAGTAAATATCTAAAATATCATCGGGTTGCTTAATAAGACCGGCACTCTTTATAAGATGAGCAGTGGTAACTTCATCGGAACTCTCTGATTTCTGTGAAAGATAACATGCCATATCACAAGATACACTTCCATTTACCAATTGTTGAAGTCTTAAAATAATCTAATAAGTATAAATAAAACATGTTAGTCGATAATGTAATTTCTTAATAAATATAAAGGTTATTATGGTATTTACTTTTGAAATTCTTTGAGCTGCATTTGGATAGGTATTCGATAAAAGATGTGATTCAACCAAGTTTCCACCGATGCAGAATGGATTGTGTGCTTTCTTTTGGCTGGTAAATGGTTTATCAAATTTCGATTCCAGTGGAACATCAGAGATATATTTCGACATTTCCTCTTGTCCGACCTCCTCACACAAAATACAATAAATTAATGGCCATATCAGTTGGAACAATGGAATCTTGGTGGATTGAGAAAGATTGCTGTCGTTGGTCCAATTCTTGCCATCTACACTCTGTGCATATATCGAATAAAAAGTTATTTTGTAAAGCTGGATATTGGTGTTGGAAAGATGTCTCTGGCAGTGGAATTGCATCCACTTGACTGGTGATCGATGCTAATTCCTTGAAAATCGATTCAATTGGCGATGATAATGATGAGGTTGGAGAGGTTCTTGGTGTTGTCTTTGGTGTAGATTTTGGTGTTGTCTTTGGTGTGCTCGATGGTGTAGCCGATGCCGCTGCAGCTGCAGCTGGTGCTGGTGCTGATACTGGTACAGATACTGGAGCTGATGATGGTGTTGGTGTTGGTGGCTGTACAGCTACAGGTGTTTCTTCTGGTTGACTGGATGCTACTGTAGTTGGTTGTGATTCAGTAGATGGTATTGGTTCGCTTGGTGGTGATAAAGTACTTTGGGTGGCCAGGTGGTGAGGTTGAGTTTGGTGGCGATGTTGATGGTGTAGAGTTGACAGAGGACGAAAGTTTTGGATCTCTCTTGGCGACGGGTGGTGGCTTTGGTCTGAGAGGTGCTGGTGATGTTGAAGGTGGTGCATTGCTATCTGTTGATGCTGCTGCTGCTGGTGGTTGTTGTTGTTGAGGTGGTTGTCTTGGTCTGAGTACCTTCATTAATTCTGGTTTGGATGTATCGATTCCACTTTCGTTCGATGCTGGTTTGCTTGGTGAGCTACGCTCTAGATTGCCTAATGGAGGCGGTACACCATCGTCTGAAGATTCTGCAGGTTCAGAGGTGGCGACTGCTGGTGGAGATGTTGGCTTTGGTTTGAGAGTTGGTTTCAACATTGGTTTTGCTACGATTCTCTCTCTATCCTCATCGGAAAGCTGTGGAAGGTTGGGTGGAGTTGCCGAGATTCCAGTTGGTGAAGGTGATGGTGCCGAGTTTGTGGATGATTCTGAACTACCTGGAGTGGAGGAAGATCCGGCTGCCGCTGGTTTAGCTGCTGGTTTCTTCATGATTGGCATCTTTGGTTTCATGACAACCGGTTTGTCTGGTTGTCCGCCGGCAGAAGCTGCTGCGGCAGCCGATGGTTTGTCGACTACCGAATCTGATGATGTATTGAGATCGGCAAGAGGAGGTGGAAGCTCACCGGATTGGGAAATAGGACTGACTGCTCCGCTGCTCGACGCCGATGTATTGGCGCTCGAGTTACCACTATTATTTGGTACTGTACCTGAGGAAGCAGAGATTGGATTTCTTCTTGGTGCAAGTGGTGGTGGTGGTTTCTTGTCGACAGGCTGGCTTGCAGACAGTGGATTTGGTGTCGATTGTTGTGGTGTTGATGGCTCCTCACCGTCGCTGTGGCTACTTTCTATCTCTCCGAGTGGTGGAGGTGTGTTTTCATCGGAATCTTTCAGTCCGGGTCTTGGTGCGAGTGAATAGTATTGTGCTCTCATCTTTTCACGTTCCTCACGCTCGTCTGGTGGCAATAGATAGGATGCTCTTGATCTCGAGGGTGGCTTACGTCCACGAGCAGCTCCTGGTTTTCTGACGTGCTCTAGTTTTGGTGTATCCTTGATCGCTTGAAGCTTGGTTTCAACCGATTGTGGTTGAGGTGGTTGTTGCTGTGGTTGTGATTGTGGTTTGGGTGGTTGTGGCTTGGATGGAGGTGGTTCTTTCTTTTGTGACTGTTGTTGTGATGATTCCTCTTTGACTTCCTCGACGAATGTGTGTGAGAACCAACCTTGTTGACCATTTGAATTGGTTCCTTGCCACCAACCGCTCTGATCTTTCGATTGAATAGTAATGATCTCACCGACTTTCAATGGTAGTTCACCTGGATTCTCTGTTTCAAACTCGTATAATACGACTGCACGTACAGTCTTTCCATCTTTCTTGTGACCATCGTCGCTATGAATCAAATTTGCAACAGCTGTTATCTTTTTCAATGGTTTCTTAAAGAGTGATGTCAATCTATTTTCCTTGTGATCATCCTTCTGTTGATTAGGTGCTGCAGCAGCTGGTTGCGAACTCTTTGCTTGTGGTTGCTGTTGTTGTGGCGCTGCTGCTGTTGTGGTTGTTTGCTGTTGTTGAGGAGCCTGCTGTATATTTGTCATCGAGTTTTGTTGAGAAAGAATTGGAGTGATGGGAGGTGGATTATTACTACTGCTGCCTGATGATGCTGATGATGATGATTCTGTTGATTGCACTGTAGAATAGGTTCGAACTACAGGTGGAGGTTTTTTCTTCATAGAAGGTTGAACAGGAACAAACTGTTGTTGTTGTTGTTGAGGTTGTTGCTGCTGTTGAGGTTGTGATTGTGGAAGTGGAGTTATTGGTTGTATGGGAACTATTGGAGTTGGATTTGATTGTTGTTGTTGTTCTTCATCATTTTTCTCTCTTGAAAATGCTGCTGTCTTCCTTAGGAAGAGTTTATTTTTTAATTCGTCACCCATTACACTGATTCCCACTCTCTGAACTATTGTATTGTTTAATATATTCGAGATAATTGATTTTCACATGTAAATTGGTGATGATGTTTTTCAAAAAACCAAAATCAAAAAACAAAACACAAACACAATTGTTACAACCAAAAACCAAACCAAACCAAACCATTTTTAAAGCAGTTTTGGGGGAGATATAGAGTGAAGTGAATAAAGATTGTGTTGTGTGAACAATATACAATATAATATAACACAACATTAAGAAAAAAAAAAAAAAGTAATAAAAACATTAGATGATAAGATGAGAAACAAGATGAATCAAAGAATAAAAAATAAAAATAAAAAATTTGAGAAGTAGAGTGGTGGTTAGTATACAAGTATCTCTTTAGATCAAAATCAAATTCTTCTAAATCTTACCTGTATTGATTGGCTGTTGTGATTCTTCAAACTTTGTTAACTCTGAGGATGCTTCAACATCTAAATTTAATATTATTTATTGTTAAAAAATTTGTTTCTTTTTGTTGTGACTATGTAGTATATATATATATATTTCTATTCTGTTCAATTTAAACTAAATGTGTGTGTTTGAGTGTGTTTTGAAGTGAAATCGGTTGTTTTAAATTTAGATGTATGTCGATGTTAATTAATCGTATTGTAAAATATAAATATTGGTTGAATGAATGATATGTATTTATGAAATAAAATTGTAATAAAATTTTAATCGGACTGTAAGAGATATATATTAAACTGTAAAGTATTTTTGCTTGTTTGGTATAAATCAAAACAAAACATTAAAGAAAATAAAATAAAATAAAAAAAATAGTAAAAACACTTTGAAAAAAATAAACAAGAAAAAAACCAATGAAAAAAAAAGGTAAATGTAAGAAGTATGATATGGTCAAGATTCAGATTTTTTCTTCCATGTTTTTTTGCTTTTTTTTTTTTCTCTTTGCAAAGATCGATAATCACACTATCCACTTCTATATCACATCAAACAAACCATCATCGAAAAATTGAAACAAATTTCTGTCGACCAAACAAAAAATTTGTCATTTTTCGTTTTTTTTTGGTTTTGTTTTTTTGTGATTGATTTGACCAGATTTTCAGAAACTAGTGAAATGAAACTTTGTATTGTTGTAGTTGTGTCATGTCATGAGTTCTGTTGCTTTTGAATAGAATAAAAGTGTGTTGTGTTTTGTTTACAAATAGATCAGATCTATATAATGTATAACATACCTTCTTGTTCTTGATAGTCATGTTCGAAATCATCTACAAAATTGCTTGGGAATACACCTGACATTTGTAGTTTGATACCCTCCCACCAACCGCTTTCGTCTTTGGCAACGACTTGCAGTAGCTCGTTGGCGTACAGCGGTGCGAGTTCACCTTCCTCCTCAGATGCACCGCTTCCCACATAGTCAAAGAGTACACGTGCACGAGGTACAGCTGTCTCTGCAATCTCTGAGAGGAGCGCGCTCCACTTGCCAGGCGACTGTTTGTCGAGTGTGAGGATCGCCTGGTTGGCATCCTCTTTCAGGTTGACCTTGACTGTCGATTTGCATGCTGCCGACAGCACACCATCGATATGCAAAACATAGCCATCTACACCGGCCTGAAAGTTGACGCCATCGCTCAGCTCTGCAATGACATCTTCACGACTGATACGTGCAGGTGTTGAAAATGTGATGACAACTGTATTATTCGATTGATGCCAAGTATATAACATTGTTCTATTTACTTTCTATATATCTATATTCTACTACTTCTACTTCTACTTCTTCCTATCCTTTCTTTCTCACCAAAATACAACTACATGTAACTAACTACTACTATTGAATATACTCTACTTTACTCCTTCTTTTTAGTTGATATTTTTTGTTTTCCAAAAAAATCAATTCAATACCAAAAAAAATATCTTGCCAAGATCAAACAAAAAATTGATGATCTAGATTTATTTTTTTTCTTCCAAAATATCTAAATCTATTTAAAATAGTTTATTAATATAACTTTGTCGAAATTATAAAGAAAATAAATATAAAATTCAAAAAAAACAAAAAGACCAGTCGAATTATTATTAAATTGAAATAAAAAAAAACTATAATATAATGATTATAATTTTAATTTGAAATAGCAAAGTATGAAAATGATGATATATATGATAAAAGCTTATAGATTGTCAATAAATTTGTTCAAACAAATCTATTTGTTACTTTAGTTGTTTGCTTTACACTATTGGATTTTAAATTGAATTGAATTTACATTTAATAATAGTGATATTATTATTCCATCTATCTATCTATCTTATATATATATGTATATTTGGTGTACTTCCTGTCAATTTTTATTATTATTTCTATCAAACAGGTTTAAATAAAATGTAAATGTTGTTTATGATATCATATGATGTGTGTAGTAATATTATGAAATAGAAACAAACAGGTCAAATTCAATATTCAATAATAAAATAAAAAAAAAAGAAGATAGATAGATCTAAATATTTTATTTAAATTTAATTGAATATATAATGAACATACTCAACAGGTAGATATTAATTAATAGATATTATTGTTGTTTGTGGTGGTGTGAGTGGGTTGTGGTTGTTGTTTATTCTTATTCTATATGTGTGTGTGTGTTAAGTTAATTTGGACATAAATTATTTTTTTAAAATTTAATATTATGATATTTATTATTAAATTGCTAAACAATTCCCCATTTGTAGAGTTATTGCTTATTAATGTGATGTTGCCTATGTTGTTTGTTATTGACTGTTTAGTTGTTTGTTATTGTACTGTTCTCCTCTTCTGTTGGGTAATGTTAATAACTATACTTCCAATTAATTGAGAGACAATACAATAACTATACTATTCTAAGTAAACCTGTCATACAAAGTGCACTTTGTGATATTAATACTCAACAAACATTCATAAATGCTTTGTCGTAGGGAGTAATTTGTAAATGCTTGCTTGATATTTGAACTTTATAAAGTTTCTAATTAGAAAACTGTATGATCACAAATTAATTCATTACCTATTACTATTTTGAAGTGTTGTTCTATCGATTTTAATGTTGCTTTTTATTACAAATTTAAACAATAATTATAACAATAGAATAGAATAGCTATTTAAGTAAAGGATTTTTATTGGTCTTGAAATTGAACACACAAAATTAAAAATATCTTTTTCACCCTACTTTTTTTTTTTTATAATTTTTTATTTTCTTTTACAGAAATCTTTTTACTACTTTTTTATGATAGAATTACAAAAAAAATACAGATAAATAAATAAATAAAATAAAATTATAATTAACAATAATTAATATATATTGACAATGATTATTGTTCAACATTGGAGTATTTAATTTCAAAAATAAGATTTTAATTTAAAAAAATATGTGAAAAGACCCATTCCACAAAAAGATAAACAAAAAAAAAACAAAAAAACCCATCAGAAAAACTAAATCCCAACATATTGATGCCTTGTTTTGATTAACTTCTAATAAAAAGTGGGAATTTTCTCTTTGTTTAATTTATTCCGCGCCCGACTAAAAAAATATAATTGGATTTAGGATGACGATAGATTAGATAGATTGATTATAAAATAACCACAATGTTATTATTATTTAGAACAATAAATTTATGTTAATTTTCATCTCTGAGATTTGAGTTGTTTATATTATTTTATTTATTTAAGCATGTTGATCTGGTAATACTACAATACTGGCACCGGAAGATGGTGTTGTGCTAAAGAGGTATGATGATTTCTCGGCTGGAAGTTTGTTGAGTTTCGAGTAGTATTGTTGTTCGATTTGTTCGGTGAAGGCGGCGAGCTTGTCGGTGGGGACGAGTGAGATGACACAGCCTCCCCAGCCGGCACCGGTGAGACGCGAACCATAGGCACCCGCATCTCGGCAGATTGAGGTGAGACGATCGAGCTCCGGACAGCTGCACTCGAATTGCTCGGCACAACTAAAGTGGCTGGCGTTCATCAGCTGACCGAGGTCGACTGGTGACTCGTTGTTGGCGCAGCTCTGCGCAAACTGGTAGACACGCAGAGTCTCTGTGAACACATGGAGTGCACGTCTCTGAAGTTCGAAATGCTCGGCAGTCACTTGGATTCCCGAGGGGAAGTAGTCTCGGACCAGTTGCTCCACCGACATCTCCAACTCGTCGGCGACTTGCTGGCGTGTGTAGGCGGCGGGTTGAAGCAGTTCCGATGTTTTGGCAATCAGCTGTTCCAGTGTGAGAGTCGACAGGTTTTGGACGTCGATGAGACGACGAATTGCGGTCCAGTTGAGACCGAGCTTCTTGGTGAGCAGCACGGCAGCGAGACGACACTCGACCACACGAAGATTATAATAGAATGCGCCAGTAACGACTTTGTTGGATTCGACCAAGCTGTTGGAAATAACAAAAGAGACACCACCTGGCAGCTTTACATTCTTGGTTCTCAGTGGATTGAACTCTATCAGTTTGGCGGTGCTCTCCTCGGCCAGATAGGAGATGGCTTGATCCATTCCACCACCTTCGATGCCAACGAAACGCTCACACTTTACAGAGATATTGGCGAGATCCTCTTTGGTGTAGGTCAATTGATGCATATATGAGAATGCCAATGTCGAAACACATACCAAAGCAGATGAACTAGATACACCAGATCCCTAATCATAATAAGCATATACATCTAGATATTAACAAACATGTTTGTATTACTCTCTGTTTCAAATTAAAGAAACTTACAATTGGTACATTTCCACTATATAAGAGGTTAAGTGATTTGAATTGAGTGTTTGGCGATGAAGTTTGTACACCTTTCCAACCAGCCAATACATAGTTTGTCCAGTGATGTTTTGACATATCGATCTCCACCGGTTGTGTGATATCTACAGAGTTTGAAGAGAATTGTTCATTGTTTACATTTGCAATATTGAGTTGTGTATTTGATTTATTGAATGAAGCTGCAACTATAGTATCTTGTTGTAATGCAAATGGCTAATAATAATAATAATAATCAAATAAATAAATAAATATATTTAAAATCATTAAAATTAATAATCATATTCTTTTGTTTTTTTTTTCTTTTCTTAATGAAACAAACAAAACTAAAATAAGAAAATTATAAACAAAGTATTATATATATTATTGATTCCATACCAATACTGGATATCCACTGTAGTCTACATGTTCACCGATAAGGTTGACTCTGCCTGGTGCACGGAAGAAGAATGCAGGTCTGTCATTGTACAGCTCATAGAAACGATCGACCAACTCTTTATATCTAGCTTGGTTAGCTGCGGCATCACCATAAATATGCTCGACATTAGTGATAACTTGTGGTACCAAAGGGTTGAATGTGTCCATATTGCTATTTATCAAAAGATTAGATTTGAGAAGTGAAGTTAAGAAAATGAAATGAATATAAATAAATGAAATGAATATTCAAATAAAACAAGTTAAGGAAAGGAAAGGATCTGTTCTTTGAAATACAATAAGATAAATATATATAACAATAAAAATAAATATGGAGGGAGAATCTAATTCTATCTATTATTTATCTGAAAAGGTATAATAATAATAAATAATATAAGTGTGTGTTTTTGCTAACGATAATAATACTCAAGGAACAAACTAATGGTTGTTTGTTATGCTATTTTATGTTATGTCTTTGATAACTTTTCCAATCAGAAATTGATAGATATTTTTTTTGTTTTTAGTTTATGCAAGTTTATTTTTTTATTTTTATTTTTTTGTATCGGTAATTGGTTTTGAAAACCAAGTGATATTTTTTTAAACCAATGATAAAGTTTCTGATTTTTTTTATTATTTTTTATTCACATTTTTATTCATATTTTTATTTTTGTAAAGTGATGTGCTGAATGAAAGTGTGTTACTTTGAAAGGGTGTGTAGTGGGTAGCATTGCACTGCATTTAGCTATCGAAAAATAATAAAAAATAAATGTGGGTAGAAATTGTTATTTGGTTGTTTATTTCTGACAGCTGAGAATGGGTATGAAATGAAAAACAGAAATCTCGATTTCTCAATTTGTATTCTTTTGAAAATTTATATATGTCACAAGTCAATTTGATGGGATGGTGAATAATATTAGTAGTATGGGTTATTAATATCAATATTTGTTTTATTTTGAATCATATTATTATTGTTAATATTATCGTCAATTTTTAATTAAATTTCGTAAACATTTATATATTTTGTAGATCAAATTTTAAAAAAAAAATCTAAATTTTACAAAAATGGAAATTTAAATTTCCATCGTGTCAAAAATCTCATTATTTATTTTTTTTGAATTGACACTTAAGCAAAGAAAATTAACCAAAAAACATATCTTAATTGTTTTTTGAAAAAAAAATACTTAAAAGCATAACAACTGTATTGATAGAATATTGTTCAAAATATTAATAAATAACTAAATAAACAGATCTATTGATTTTGTATATATTTTGTTTTTTTTTTTTGATAAACTAAGATCTAAATACAAATATTATTAAATGAACATTGGTTAATTGAGCATGTTTGTTTATAACTAATAGTATGATTCTATTGCAAAATGCACAAATAATATACTATTTTTAAATCTTGTTTTACGTTTAAAAAAGGAGGTTTTTTTTTTTTTTTTTGCATTTTCAATTTTTTTTTTTGTTTTTTTTTTTAACATGAATGAAAGGTTGTTTTTTTTAACTTGATCTATTTGTTTTGAGTGTTTATAATAAAAAAAAAAAAAAAGAAAAAAAAATAAAGGCAAAGTAATATTACTATTGTTACAATTACAATTATCAACACTTTTTACACCAAATCGAAAAACACAAATTAATAATCAACAGAAAAAGATAATAACTGTTAGTTTAGTTTAGATACATTCAGTCATTCACTCAATCACTCAATCAATTTTCAATAGTTAATCTGGATTGTTGTCAATTTAATTTTTTCAGTTCAGGTCAGTTCAGTTCCGTTTCGTTTGGTTTTGGAGTGGATTGAAAGAAAGAGTAAAGTGTTTAGAGTTTAGAGGGGTGTCTAGTTATGTGATGATTGATTGCTAGTGGACTCGAGTCAATAGTAAAACCAATATTGTTATAGTAGCTACTAGAACTGAGAGAGAGCGCGCGCAAGAGGTTTTCATTTCAGTTTCAATCAGGAACAGCAACTAGCATCATCAATCATATCAATACATTACAATACAATATAATAAGATATGGCAAGAGTATACGAATCGACAACCAAAAGTTTTTGCAATGGCTGGATAGTTACAGGTCCAGATAGGATGTATTTCTACTCGGCCGTTGTATTAATGTTTTTACCAGAGGTACCATTTTTAGTGACAGTGTAAGTGTATCATTAAACAATCAATCAAGCAACCAATCAATCAATCTTTTTTGTAGTTACTAAAACTAACTTACTTACTTGAAACATTATCAGGTGTCCTTTATTTGTACAATATATTTCAGCGGCTATATATGTTATTTCTATTTATTTTTTGGGCATTTTCATTCTATTTTCTTTTTACTACATCGTTCACCGATCCCGGTATTATTCCACGAGGAGTATACAATGAGATGGAGAATCCATTTTCAGATCACAGACAACCATTATATAAAACAATTACCATTAGAAATATTCAACATGAAGTAAAGTGGTGTGGTATGTTTGTTGTTTTCTATTAATTAAGAAAGAGTTGAATCAATCAATCAAAACTAACGGCATCTTCTCCCCTTCTTCTTCTTCTTCATCATCTTCATCCTTTGTTAACAATTACAGAAACATGTAGTATATTTAGACCACCTCGAGCAAATCATTGTGGAATATGTAATAATTGTATAGAGCAGTTCGACCATCATTGTCCATGGGTTGGAAATTGCATCGGTCGAAGAAACTACAAGTTTTTTATGTACTTCCTGTTTACACTGGGCTTCAAGTGTCTGTTTGTTATGGCGTTCTGCATTGCGCACATCATTTTGAGTGCGAATCGAATCCGCGATGACCATCCAATGTACAGCAGCGCCAGTGTCTTTGACCATGCGTTGTCCAAGTCTCACTATCTCTCGATAGTGCTGATCGTCTACGCACTGGGTGGATTGATCTTTGTCGGCAGTCTCGGTGGATTCCACTGCTACCTGATATCGAGTGCACAGACCACCAACGAGCAAATCAAAAAGTCCTTCAAGAAGGGCAATCCTTTCAATCGCGGTGTACTGAGGAATTTCATACAGGTATTCTTTGCACCGCACTACCCTAGTTTCTACCGAACCAACCGACAGAAAGAGAAAGATGGTTCTAGAGAAATGATTACTCTACCCAATAATAATAATAACAATAACAATAGCAACAACAATAATAACAATAGTAATAACAATATTAATAGTAGTATCAATAGCACATTATCACCAAATATTGGAAGTTTATCAACGAATAGTATCAATGATTCTAGTACAAACAGTCTACAATCTCCAAGATATCCACTGGATCCAACAAGTCCAGTTTGATAATCAAATAATAATAAAAATATAATATAATATTAAAACAAACAAACAAACAATAACAAACTTTTTTTAATTTGATTGATTTGATTTGATTTCCTATTTCCTCTTCCGAGACATCATAATGAATATTTAAGTTTATTTTAAGTATATTGATTTGATTTCTATTCTATCTATTCTATTCTTAAGAAAGTAAAGAAAAAAGACGAGGATGTTTGTGACATAAAACTAACTATAATGATAAATATATATTGAAAATGATTGTTACATAGTAGTTAGATTTCTATTACTTTTCTTTTTTGTTTGTTTAGTGTTTTTTTCTTTATGTTATTTTTTTTTTGTTTTTTTAATTGGCAAGTTCTTCTTGAGTATCCATCGTACTACTATTTATATCGTCATTGTTGTTGTTGTTGTTGTTGATGTTGTTGCTATTATTGTTATTGTTATTATTTGATACAGTTTGTAAAAGGTTTGGTTGTGGTATTTGATTATATGCTTTTAATAAACTTAGTTTCTCTGCAAACAATGCTTGTCTTGATCTATCCAACTAAATGATTATTAATTAATAATAGTTAGTTAATAGATAGATCTATCAATTAATATTATGATATCTATATATATATATATATATTTACCAATAATCTTTCTCTATCAAGAGAATCTTCAAGATCTGAATAGTATTTCAATTTAATCTCTAATTTCTTTGTTTGAAGATTAACGATATCTAGAATCAAAGATTGGATCTCACGCTCCTCTGAACGTGTAATGGCTTTGGCTTTGATCGATGTAGCCGCTAGAGTGGCTGCCGATGCTGTCTGAATATTCATATCATCGGTATCTGTATGTTTCGATCTCTCCAACTCTTCATAGGCTGCCTTTGCTGCTGCCGATGCAACATTTGGCGAAACAGACTTTGATAAGAAACTAATCATCGATAATATTTCATTACCTCCAAAACCTATAAACAAATATTATTAGTTTGTTTGTAATATATATCTTAAGTATAAAAATATACATATGTAACATACCATTATCATTATGATTGTTGTTTGGTTGTTGAATATTATTATTATTATTATGCTTCAATCCAATTGCTCTGTTAAAGTTATCTTCTAGGTAGGAATCTTCGATTGGCAATCTGAGGAAGTGTAGTAGACATTGTTCTTTGGTTTTGGTTGCTACGTGCTCTGATACGTCTACCCACGAGTCACCGTAGAGGTCGATCGCTTCGAGAAGTAAGAGTGTCTCTTGGTCAGTCCATTCCTCTGGTTCTTTCGAGACCTCCTGTTCGATCTTTGTAAAGTCTGTTGCCTGATGGTTGGGTGCGTAGCTGCCACCAGTGAAGCAATTGTTACAAATGTTAACCTTGTACAACTCCGCTGGCAAATTGTTCTGTCCTTCACCGGGTGACAACGGTTTCGACAACTGATAGCGAAGTGCAGTACAATCGACACCACAAATACTACAAACTGTTTTGTGTGGTGCTTGCGGTTGTCCATAGATATTATTTCTCAACTCTAATGATTTTGAAGATGATGATGATGATGATGAAGAAGTTGTTGTTGTTGAAGATGAAGAAGTTGTTGAAGTAGATGTAGTTGTTGAAGTTGTTTGTTTTCCAGGTGATTTTAATACACTTGAATCGTTATTATTATTGTTGTTGTTGTTGTTGTTTTCTATGTTGTTATTGTTGTTGTTCATTAAGGGTGGTGGTGGAATACAACCTCCACCGTCTGGATTGACAAAGTAGTTGATTAGACCCCAATGATCCAAGAAGCTGTGAACTCGCATTATGGAGCAGACGTCACCTACCAGGTTTCTGCGGACAGCAGTCAGTGTGAGGTATTGATATGGATTCTGCTGGTATGTATTGATCATAAAGTCTCTGTATTCCTTGTAGATCTCCGGTGTCTTTGATGGCGATCGGCCATTGAAGAACTCGTTCATCTGAATTCGCTCGATATCGTGTATTTCATTCATCTTGAACCAACTGCACTGTGGAATCGGGAATTGTGTAGTCGCCAACAGTACCGATGTCACATGTGGAACCGATGCCGCTGCTGCTGCGGTTGCTTGTTGCAGTTGCTGTTGTACCGCCATCGGTGAGACGAGTGCCGCCGACGATGTAGTTGTTGTCGTTGTGGTGGTAGTTGTAGTTGATGTTGCTGGCATTTCATTACCGGTACCTGTTGTTGCCGCTGTTATTATATTGTTATTGGCAATGGTTGTATTCTTTGATATGTTGGTAGCTATAGTATTGTTATTGCCGATGTTATTCAATGGTAACTGTGGAACTGGCTTATTAGATTGTATCGATGCCGGTATTGGAATAGCAGATGGTGGTGTAGTAACTGTTTTTACTATTGGTTGTTGTACTTGTTGTTGTTGTTGTTGTTGATTAGGTGGTATTGGTCTTGATGGTGACATTGGTGCTGATAAAGGTGGTAATCCACTCATGTTTATCTGTTGTGCTTGTTGTTGTTGTTGTTGTTGTATATCATCAGACTTTTGTTTCTTAAAAGGTGTGGTATCGACTTCACCATTCGATTCCAACTGTCTCTTGTTGGCATCTTCCACCGAAGAGACAGTCTGTGGAGCAACAGCGATATTAGTAGTCTCTACACCTCCACCATTATTACTACCATTAACTTGATCAGTATTATTCTCCATCTGAGGTATCCTATCTATCTATCTATCTATCTATATCTAGTATCTACAACTATATCTATTATCTATATATATATATACAAATGTTATTTATTTTATAATATTTTTTAATAAATAAATAAATATTAGAAAAATAGATGATTGTATTTCGACTTGTTTAATTAGAAGATGTAGGAGAAGATATATATTGAATGAAAATTTTAAAAAATTCTAGATCTAAATTTAAAACTTAAGAAATTCAATGTTATCTTTTTTTCTGACAGTTGGGATTTGAGTTTGCTTTGTGTGAACTATTGAGCGAGAGTAAGTTTTTTTTCAAATTTTTTTTATTCATTTTTTTTTAAAATTTTTTTTTGAACGTTAAAAAAAAATGGGAGTGACAAGCGCCTTATTTTCGAATTCACTTATTGTACATTATTGACAAAAATGTATAGAGCAATTTATTTATGGTGATTAATACTTTATTAAAATGATTTCAATGGCATGGCACATAGAAGAAGATTAAAAACAATAGCTGTTACATTTAAATATTATATAATTCCACAATAAATGTTCCAAACATTTTACACCAATTCCATCACATTCTTCTTAGTCACCAGGCAGCGATTTATTGTGTGAACTATTTAGAATATGAATGATAGCAGTGATTTATGAAAACTTCAAATCATTACTAAGTTTTACTAACAAAAAAAATATGCATATGAGTTCTTATTATTAACAAAATTTAAAAACATTATGATTCCAAATTAAAAAACACTTCCAAATAAGCAAAAAATACAAAGAGTCACGAAATTTCGGAAGCAAAAAAAAAAATCTGATAATAAAAAATTAATCTGTGATTTTATATCTTTTTTTTTTTAGGGTTAATCAAGCACACAAACTAAAATTCAACTTTTTTTGCTTTGCTATTTTTTAAAACCTATTTATATCTAAAGTCATATTTATGAATTATTCTAATTATTTATTGATTGCAACAACATTGTTGTTTATTGTTTTTGCACATTCAAATCAACCACCATCGACACCATACAGCCAAGATGTTGGTCTCACCTATTTATTATTCTCCTACACTGCAATGTGTGAACCATCAGGTTAGTAAATTAAATAGTTTACATTTTTCAAATCAATTCTCAAATCAAAATGTTGTTAACATTAATTAAAATGATATGATAGTGATTGAATCATGGAGTTGTAAGAGATGCTCAGAATACTTCCCAACTGCAACAAGTCCACGTGTTTACTATCATAATGCAACCGATATCATTGGATACTCTGTTATCTACAACAATACAATCATTGCTGTTTTCAAAGGTACAACAGGATTTCTAAATGTAATAGTCGATATTGAGTTCCTCCGAAAAGACTATCCAAATGTTCCGGGTGCAAAAGTACACGATGGATTCTATGACAGTTGGCTCGATGTCAGATCACAAGTACAAGAAGGAATAACCAACCAATTTAAAGAGTGTCCAGATTGCAGTTTATTCGTAACCGGTCATTCAATGGGTGGAGCTATTTCAAGTAGGTATTTGTGAAAAATAACTATCCCTACATTCAATTCATTTCTAAACAAATTTGTTTAACACCTATTACTATTCGCTACACTATTATAGCTTTCTGTACATTAGAGTTATTGGATTGGTTCCCAAATGTACCATTATTCACTTATACATATGGATCACCAAGAGTTGGTAATAATGTTTTTGCAGAGTACTACAACAGTAGACAACCAAATACCTGGAGAGTAACCAACCAAAAGGATTTGGTTCCTCATCTTCCACCACAAGAATCAGTCAATGAATATCATCATGTACCAAATGTAAAGATAGATATCTAATGTTATAATCCTAATTGGATATTTTCTTTGAAATATTAATATTTTGTTTTGCTAATGAATCTCTAGGAAATTTGGTATCCTCATAATGTAACTAGCTATGTGATATGCGATGACAGCGGAGAGGATCCATCGTGTTCTGATTCTGTCAATCCATTGGAATACAGTATAAAATATCATTTGGAATATTTTGGACAAGATTGTAATTGTGTTTAAGTAGCCAATGTAATTTTAATTTAATATATACATAAAATCAAAAGTTAACTTTATTAGATGTTAATTTTGGTTTGGAGAAAGAGTGAGACTAGGAAAAAAAAAACAAAAAACAAATATTTGTTTTGTTGTAGTTATTATTGTTGTTGTTAATGTAGATGTCGATTTTAATTTAATATATAATTATATTGTTGATTGGAAAAAATAAATAATATTAAGTTATTTATAATGGAAGATATATGATATAAATGTTGTACGTATTTATGTATATACAAGTGAAATATGTTGATCGTTAATCGATTGTCTGTCCCTCAGTAGTTTTTGGTATTCTGCTTGTGACTTTCTCTTGCAGTAGATGCAAGAGATGATGGTACCGGCGACAATGAGAATGAGTAGAGCGGTGAATGGAACTACGTAGTAGAGCACTGTTTTTATCCAATGCATTGTTGACAAATTACATTGATCGCAGACCAGCACCGATGTACCATTGATCTCTGTGTATCCATAGAATACATCGTAGCAACTGTAGTAATGATATCTGTTTGTTGAGAAAATCTCTCCCGTGCACATCACTTGATTCTTATGATTATATCTTCCCTCACAGCATTCTTTTGAATTTTCACCTCCGTCATCGCCAACGCCATTGGAGAACTCTTCACTACTGCCACTAATGAAATCGGTATCGTCGACATTACCAAATCCAATATTTATAAAATTGTAAATATTAAAAATATTATTGAAATTTTATATTTATTCATTTTCTTTGTTTTAGAATAGTAATTTATTTATTTATATAAATATTATTATATGTAAAATTTAATTGTAAAATTAACTTGTGAAGTTGAATGATGTGATGTGATTTGTGATTTGATTTAATTAAATTGACATTGTCTAAATTTTATTGTTATATAAATAAATTATTGTAAATACGTATTAATAAACACATACAATTAACACACTACTTTTAATACTATTAATATGTATATTTAGTTTTTTTTATTATCAGTGGAATAAATTGTGGTTTTGTTCTGTTTATGATTGTTTATTTTTGGTGGTGTCTTGTTTTTTTTTATGTTTTTTTGGGGTGAGGTTGTTTTTTTTAATTAAGATTGGAAAATTAATAAACCTGGGTAACTATTTTTATCATGAAAAACTCACACTGGTTTGAAAAGTAATATAAAACTCTCAACAAGGATATCATATTTCCAACCTATAAATTTCTAAAACTTAGATATTTATTATTTAGAATATTTTTTTATCAATATCAAAAAAATAAAACTAATTAATCTATAAATTAATACATATATTGTTGCTATTGTTCTTGTTCTAATCTAGTATTAATTACTTTATGAAATAATATCAAACATCGAAATCAGACAGATAGACTATATTTGATAAACTAAGAAGAAAATTAAAAATTGAGAAATGACTACGTGTTAAATACATTTCGATTGTAACATTTCTAATTTCAATCGTCATTGTTGTGGTAAAAGTAGTAAACATTGTTTTTTTCAAAAAAATCTTGTAATAATAAGAGAATTGAATGACAAACACTCATTCAAACCGAACTCGTCGACACCGACTAACATTATATTACCTTTTTTTTGGATGACAAAAAAAAACACTTTTTTTTTTGTTTTTGAAACAAAGTTTTTTTTTTTTTTTTTTTTGTTTTTTTTTCTCAAAAACTGATACACCAAAAAATAATTACAAATTTCAATTTTTCAATTCCACTTTGTGTCTTGTTTATTTATTCGTTGTTTTGTTTTGTTTTGATTATCATAAATAATAATACAAACATTACTTTACATTGTTTCTCTATAAAATCAATAATAATTCAACTTAGGTTTAGATTAGATAGAAATAAAAATAGATAGATAAATTATAGAAAAAAGAATGAATCCAAACGCATCAGTTTTCGTTCCAAAGTTCCTTGTGAAACCAGCTGCAACTACACCAGCTCCAGCTCCAGCTGCCACACCAGCTCCAGCTCCAGCTCCAGCTGCTGCCACACCAGCACCAGAGGAGAAACAATCGACCACCACTACAACTACAACTACCACCACCACTTCAACACCATCAGCATCTAAAGTTACAGCTTCACCACCAGTAGAAGAACAGAAACCAACTGAATCAGTATTCAAGGTTGAGGATGACGATATCGAAGAGGAGGAAACCGACGAGATTACAAAGAAGATCGAAGCACTCCCAATTCAAGATGTTTCCGATTTCAAAGAGGATCAAAGAGAGCATGTAAACATTGTTTTCATTGGACACGTCGGTAAGTAAATCAAATCAAATCAAATCAAATCAACTAGTTGGAGAATCCAATATCAACTACTGAGATTGGTGGTGGTGGATTCTTCTCCAATCTTTTCTTTTCTTTCGTGGAATTATTATTCTAATCTTGGAATGAATGTACATCATCTTCTCGATGTTCATATTTATCTATAGATGCTGGTAAATCAACTATTTCAGGTAGAATCATGGTTCTCACTGGACAAATCGATTCACATACTTTGGCCAAATACGAAAGAGAAGCCAAGGAGAACCATCGTGAGAGTTGGTTGTACGCTTTCGTTATGGATACAAACGAGGAGGAGCGTGCCAAGGGTAAGACTGTAGAGGTCGGTCGTGCACATTTCGAAACAGAGAAGCGTAGATACACCATTCTCGACGCACCAGGTCACAAGAACTACGTACCAAATATGATCAGTGGTGCCGCACAAGCCGACGTCGGTATCTTGGTGGTCTCATCAAAGAAGGGTGAGTTTGAGGCCGGTGTCGACGGTGGTCAAACCATTGAGCACGCACGTCTCGCCAAGATGATCGGTATCAAACATCTGATCGTCTTGGTCAACAAGATGGACGAGCCAACCGTCAACTGGTCGAAGGCTCGTTACGACGAGATCTGCGAGAAGATCACTGGTCACCTGAAAAAGTGTGGATTCAACCCAAAGAAAGACTTCCAATTCGTCCCAGGTTCCGGTTACACCTCGGCCAACATCAAGGACACCGTCAGCAAGGAGCTCTGTCCATGGAACACCGGTGTTTCACTCATTGAGACACTCGACTTGCTTCCACAGTTTGAGCGTAACGAATCCGGTGCGTTGCGTGTGCCCATTATCGATTCTTTCAAGGATCGTGGTATCGTCCACGTCATGGGTAAAGTCGAGTCTGGTTCGATTACACTCGGCCAGCAAATCTTTATCATGCCCGGAAAAACCAAGGTCGAAGTACTGTCGCTCTCCAACGAGAGTTGTAACTTTAGAACCGGTCGTACCGGTGAGAATCTTCGTATCGGTCTGAAGGGAATCGACGACGAGCAAATCCGTCAGGGTTCGATTCTCTCTGAGATTGTCAGACAGGTGCCAGTGGTCACTGAGATCGAGGCGATCATCGTACTGATCGATCTTCCCAAGGACAAGCAGTTGTTCACCGCCGACTACGAAGCGATGTTCCACGCTCACACCGCCGTCGAGGAGTGCAAGATCAAGTCGTTGATTGCCACCATCGACATGAAGACCGGTAACGAGCTGAAACAGAAGCCAACATTCGCCAGAAACGGTGAATCGATCAAGGCACGTGTTGTCCTTTCGCGTGCAGTCTGTCTCGAGGAGTTCACATCGAACCCACAACTCTCACGTTTCACTCTCCGTCAATCAAACAAGACAATCGCATTTGGTAAAGTAGTCAACGTCGGAAAGAAAGTTAAGGAACAACTGGCAGCAGCAGCAGCAGCCCTCTCTCCAAAATAAATAATTTAATCGATCAAAAAAAAAAAAATAAGATCAAATTAATCCCAAAAAAAACCTTTGACAAAAATAGTAAAAAATAGTAGTAGTAGTCATAGTAATAGAATCATAGATCAAATGGACGCAAACAACAACCATCATCCACCACTTGTTGTTGTTGTTGTTGTTGTTAAACAGATTATTTAATTAATTAATAATCTGTGTGCATATAGATTACAAGCCAATCAATCTATACTCCAACAATAACACAACACAATACAATCTATGGTTTAGAAGTAGTGCTACCAAATTATTATTTTTCATTTGTATTTTTTTTTTTTGATCTATCAAATTCATTATTCCAAAAACAATTTAACTGCAGCTTCATCTTCCTCCACTTAACTTTCATATGTTTTTATCCCTTTCTTTCAAAAAAAGATCAAAAATGTGATTCTTAATCGTAATATTAAGTAAATATAAAGAATATCCTTTCTCTTTAATCATTGATCTTCTTCAATAACACTACCAAACCAAAAAAAAAGATAGAGATACATTCATTTTATAACAATAAATTTATTATTATATTATTCTTCAAAAGTCTTTATTGTTTGTATGAATTTAAAATAATAATTGTGATGTCACCTTTTGAATCAACAAGAGGTAATATGAAGCTTTATCGTTTTCTTTTTATTATCTGAATATATCTTTAAAGGGGTTATTAAAGTATGATATCAGCTGAAGAATAAGAATGCTTGAATAAAAAACACAAAAAGCATTCCCCCTCAAAATTTTAATATTAAAAATTTGGTAACCAAGGGATTTATAATCTAAAGTTAAATGATTGTTTAATCGTTATTGTTGTTCCCAAACTATTCAGTTTACAAAATTGAAAATTTAATACAGCATCAATAATGATGTTGTTTTAAAATTAAATTTATATTTCCTTTAAAATAAAAGATTTAAAATACTGTAGTATTACTATTTTTTTATTAGTATATTTAAATAGTTGGAAAGTAGAAACAGAAACAACAGGATAGTTTGTATCTAAAAGATGAATAGATTAGATAGGTAGATTTAAAAATAAATAAAAGAATTTTAATAGCCTATTATTATTAATGTTATTGTTACACACATTCAACTCATTAAACATTTGCAAACATTTGTGTTGATATTTTATGTCTATACATGGTTATTATTTGATTTTTTTTATTTTTTATTTTTATTTTTGATTGTCACATACATCACACTGACAAACCAAACACCCTAATAATAAAATAATAGATATATAAAAAATAAAAACAACAATAGTGTTGTCGTGAATTTGTTTTATTATTCGTGTTACCAAGACAAGAAACCTCCAATTACTGAATTGTTCACATATTACTATTTTAATTTATTTTTATTTTATTTTCATGATTATCATTTAAATATATAAATATCTATCACATATTAAATAAATAGTTATATATATTTTTTGTTGTCTTTGCCGCACTACATTTCATACCAAAACAAAACAACTCACAAACTTGTTAATTTAAAGTTATTTTTATTTATTTATTTAAGTTTACCATTCCTAAATATCAACTTATTATTTAATTAGACAAAATAAACTAATTTTATTTATAATTAAAACATATAATTAATTAATATATATTAAAAAAATAGACATTTGTGAAGTGTTTTGGAAAAAGTTGACACGAAATTTGATGATCCAATTGCAAATGAAAAAGAACCTCTGAGTTCCCATTCCCAATAACAGTCGTCAAAAACAACCTTTTTAATTCAAAAAAAAATTGAAAAATTTCAAAAAAGAATTAAAAAAAATGAGCTTGAACTTGAAAGGTGCCTGCATAACCGATTACCACACCAACAACAACAACCATACAGATAATAACAACAACAAGAACAATATTCTAGATATTAATCAGAATAACAATAATAATAGTCGTAGTCATCATCATAATCACCATTCACCGTCACTAAATTTAATATCGATTGCTTATGACAATTTAGGTTTCATATATCATCACCTATTCAATGTTATAACTTTAAAAAGTGGATTATTAACACCATTATTAATATCATCATCATCATCAACAACAACAAATACATCATCGCCAAAGATAAAATCGATATTAAATCAATCTATATATAGAAATAATAATAATAATATATTTGTAAATAATAATAATAATAGTTCTGCATCATCTTCGAAATCAACAATGGAGTCAAACAGTAGTAGTAGTAGCAGTAATAATAATAATAATTATAGTAGTAGTCAACCTCTTGATAGTGGAAATCAAACACCCCCAATACCAACAACACAACAGTCTTCGGATGCCACACACAAGCACAATCATCATCAACATAGCGGATCACCACCAAAGCAACATCATGTAAAGGACGAAAGACCTATCTCATTGCCAAATCAATCTAGTCCAATCAAACACTTTGCTTTGGACATTGGTGGTACTCTTTCAAAGCTAGTTTATTTCGTACAGAACAACAGTCATAACAATAACAACAACAACAATACATCAACATCAACCATTCCTTCCTCTTCAACAACAACACAAAACGAATTAGGAGGAAAGTTACATTTTATTAAATTTCAAACAAAGAACATTGAAGATTGTTTAAATTTCATTATAGGTAAATATTAATAATCATTCAGTTTCATATAGCAAATTAAACAATCCTATCATTCATTCAACTTCCGAATAACCGATTCGGTTCCACTTTATTTTGGTATAAAATTTATTTTTTATATGGGTAGTCGATTTTAAAAAAAAAGTGTGGATTTTTTTGTTAAATCCCAAAATATTTAGATCTATTTTTGATGACACGATCAATCAATCAATCAATCAATCTCAATCTCAATCTTTGCAATAGTTAAGATTAATTAATTTTAATATTAATAATATTAATTTTATACATATCATTTAAAAATAGATAATAAATTACATTTGGAAGATGGTAAACCAAAAGATGTAAGAGTAACAGGTGGTGGAGCATACAAATATGCAGATCTTTTCAATGAAAAACTTGGTTGTAGGTTGATAAAAGAAGATGAGATGCACTGTTTGATCGTCGGTACAAACTTTTTGTTAAACAATATACAGAGAGAATCATACACCTATTCACCTACACCAAATGCAATTACACCAAGAGAATTTGTAGATAAAGTTGTATGTATATCATAGTTATTCAATTGAAAACATGATTGATAATATTTATTTATTAATTTGTGTTTTGTTTGTTTTTTTTGTTTGTTTTCATAGGAAAATCCATATCCTTATTTGTTAGTGCAAATTGGATCGGGTGTTAGTGTTATCAAAGTCGATAGTGAAACCAGTTTTCAAAGAGTCGATGGTACCAGTTTGGGTGGTGGAACGTTCTGGGGATTGTGTAGTCTGCTGACCGGTGTCACCGATTTCGATGAGATGCTCGAAATGACAAAGAATGGACATTCCAACAATGTCGACTTGGTCGTCGGAGACATCTACGGCACCGACTACTCCAAGATCGGACTGTCGTCAGAGACTATTGCCAGCAGTTTCGGTAAGATAATCTATCAATCCAGTACAGAGCAATCGTCAGATTCATCCGACGGTAACAACAACAACAAACAGCAATTCCGAAAGGAAGACATTGCACAATCGCTACTCAAGATGGTCTCTAACAACATCGGTCAGATTGCCTATCTCAACTCACAGCGCTACGGACTCAACAAGATCTACTTTGGTGGATTCTTTATTCGCGACCACCCCAACACCATGCAGAGGATCTCATTCGCCATCGACTTTTGGTCGAAAGGCAAGACCAAAGCAATGTTTCTGGTGCACGACGGATATCTTGGCGCGCTCGGTGCATTCTTGGCGCCAAACGAAGTGATACCCTCGGCGAGCGGAGCTAACCACGGCGAAGACGGCGGCAGCAGCAGCTACAGCTGGTTGAAGCGTACCACCCGAGAATTCCAAAAGTTGTTTTCCAAGCCACAGGTTGCAGCAGCACCTTCCTCACCCTCCTTGTCATCCTCCTCCAATTCGACACCAACCACCACATCCTCAACCATAACAACATCAACAACAAACAACAACACAACCAATTCAACAACCACCAAAAATGCACACGATGACGATATCATTTGTGATTGTGGCTGTGAATTCTGTGAAGGTTTAGTATGTAAAGTAGATTTAAAAATAGATAATGATACACCTACAACATCAACTAAATAAAAGTTAGACAGACACACATAATAATAATAACAATAATAATAATAGTATAATATAATATAAAAATCAATGGTATTAAAAATTGATAATCAAATTAAATATTGTAAATTCATTTTTCATCCTACATTCCATTAATTCATCTCAATTCTTTAACTTTGTTACTCTACACCCTATTATTTTTGTTTGTTTGTTTGTTTTATAAATGTTTTTATTTTAATTTTATTTATATATATTCAACTATTCATATATATAATATATATATCTATATAATCTAATTTTCACCTGCTGTATCCTTTGTTTCTTTTCTATAATTAGTTTATAACATAAAAATTAATATTAAATTTTCGTTCGTTTTTTATGTTTTTAATTTTGAATATTGAAAAAAAACAATGATTTAAATTATTTATTAAAAATTTACTTACTTATCTGCTCTTGGGAATAAAGCATCATAATATCTAATAGGGTAATTTAACATACAACTTCTAAGCTTTGTAAAGTTCTCTGTACAAACATCACGATTTTCGGTCTCTTTTTGGAAACAAACGAATGCTTCGATGATAAGGTCACCGCAGGGACCTTTACCCATGCTTCTAATACATGGTGGACACGATGCCTCATCGGCCTTTGATGGATATGGTTTGGTATCTACAGCATCGACCCAAACCGAAATATTCTTTTCTCCTTTAAACAAATCCATGTTATCTTTCTTTCTGTAATGCAAATTTGATTATATATATACTAATTATAACTAACTTAACTTTACTTAAACTTTATAAAAAATAAAACTAAAATAATACTTTTTATTATAATAAATAAATGTGAATGTGTTTTGTTGATTTAAGTTAAATTAATTTAAGTTGAAATTAATTAAAGTTGATTATATATCTTAATCAATTTTAAACAAAGTAATATTACTAAAGTCAGTGGTTATTTAATCGATTGATTATTAAAGAGGCTGAGTTTTTTGAATTTTTTTTTTTTTTAAAAAAAAACTGACAAACATGTAATTAGGCTTCTTCACACATAATCAATCGTTGTTTCATATATATAACTTTATGAATATTAAAAGATTCAAATTATTTCTTTTCTTTTATTTATTTTTTGATTTTCAAATAAATCTTAAATCTTGATAGAGATAAAAATACATAATGAATATATTCATTATTTTAATATATACATGAATATGAAGTTCTCTATTAATATTCTTCTTCATATCTTCCCCTATTTGATCTTATCTTGTACAATGAAATATATATATATACTAAAAATGAATTCATGTTTTAGTTTTTTTTTTTTTTTAAATAAATTAATTAATTGCAGAGATAAAAAAAAACAATACTTGTTAATGTAATTCATGCCAACTAATCTTATAGATTCAATTGAACTGAATTGATTTATTGCAATTTCATGATATAACCTTTGATTGTCACACACATCCATTCCAATTTGTTTTGTTTAAACTTGAAACAATCTAAATTTATAACATTTTATAATTATAATTTATTTTAAAAATTTATTATTAGTTTTTTTGTTTTTTAAAACTTACAAAAAAAAAAAAATAGTTTGTACACATATTATTTATTTATAAACAACAATGAATTGAAAATTAAAACATAATAGAATAGTAGTAATAATAATAATAACAATATATTAATATAAAACACCAGTTAATTCTTAATGATATCAATCATATAAAATTCATATATATATATTTATTATATTGTTTGTTTTTCCTCATACTATTTTATATAACAATATTCTAAATCAATATATATAGCAATGAATCCAAATAATGTATGTATAACTAACGCAATTCAATATAATGAATGACTAATTACTAATTATATACTATATAATTATATAATTCAAAATAAATAAATACTTTTAAAACAATAAATAGCCAAACAACAATAATAATAATAATACAAGAAAAACAAACAATGTTAACAATAATACATTAGAGAATAGCAGCAGCAGTGGTGATATTCCTATACTTGTTACATCACCTCTTTTAATTGGAGAGAGTCGAGCCAGAAGTAATAGTAGTATCAATCTCAATCTTAACAGTACCATTGTCAACAATTCAAATAGCAAAAATAACAACAATAGTAATAGTAATAAACATGTTAAAACATCACCAAATAGTTCATCACCACCTGTACCTTTATCACCATCTTCCGCCAAACCACCTTTATCACCAACAATACAATCTAACAATATTAATATAAGTAACAGTAGTACGAGCAGTAGTAGTAGTAGTAGTAGTAGCAGTAGCGGTAATAGCAATCCAAATACACCTAAAATACAAACACCACCACTTTCAACATCACCAGCAACAGCAACAGCAACAGTCTCTGCAATACTGACATCGACGACAACACTACCACTGGTGACTTCATCAACTATCAAACTATCACCAAGAAACTATATACCAAGTGAAGATCATCAAATACAACAAATAAAGAAACAAGTATTACAACAACAGCAACAAGCAGCACAACCACAACAAAGAATGGCATCAAAATCATTGTCATCCAATAGCAATCCAAATGTGGCAGGATCATCACCTTTACAGTCACCAGCTGGCTCAGGTCAGAATTCACCACTGAATTCCAATGTAAATTCACCTCGTTCCGTCAGTACTCCAAACATCCTGGCGATACCACTCAACTCTAGAACCTCTCTTTTATCTTCACCAAGAAACATTTCACCAAAAACTGTATTGAATAATAACAACAACAGTAGTGGTAACAACAACAACAACAACAATGATAAACCAAAGTTACAATATTCAAGTTCAAGAAGTAGATTCACAAATTTCGATGAATTGATGGATATGAAACAACCACAGCAGCAACAACCGCAACATCAAGCAACAGTTCCAAAGAGTTATAGTTCACCTTCAATCGGTAGTAGTAGTAAAAACAATAGTAGTACTGGAAGAATTACAAATACTCATTTGATTGGTGGTGTGGGTGCTGAAGATGACGAAGAAGAAGAAGAAGAAGATGATACAGATACAAATACCGATGAAGTTAAGAAAAGAATAGACGATGCAGGTGGTGAAGATAATAGCAGCTTCTCAGATGACTCTATAGATTTGAATTCTGAAGATTTCGAATCTACTGATTCGGAAGACTCTGATTCCTATGACTTTGAATCAACAGTAAAACTACAGCAACAGAAGCAACTACTACAACAGCAACAACATCTATCACATAAACTACAATTTCCACAACTTCAACTATCAAACTTACATGTACATTCAAATTTAGAAACAAACAACACGGCAGCCGCTACCACCGTATCATCTCCATCCTCTCACAGAGTAAAGAACTATGGAGGTAGCATCAGTGCCAATCCATCACCAAAAGATAACCCGAACAACAACATTAATAATCAAACACAACAGCATCAGCAACAACAACCACAGACAAAAGTATCACCAACTTCAGCAACAACAACAACAACATCAACAACTACAGCAACAACAACTACAAATAGCAATAGTAATAGCACACCAACGACAAGTTCACCAAATAGAAGACCACTGAATCAGAGTCAGTCTACGTCGTCTATTCTCTCTGGCTGGGCGAACAAGTCAAAGGAGTTCATGGTGGACCGCAAGAAACAAGTGGTCACTTCAACGACCAAGCAACAACAGCATCAGGTCGATGATACAATAGAGCTTGGAAGCAGCAGTGAGTTCGAACAGAGAGATGGAAAGTTGAATCTTATACCAATTCCTACAAAACCTACCACACAAACAACTTCACCATCCAACAATGAGATTGACAGCAATCATTCACTTTCTACATCACCTATCTCCACTAATAATTCGATGACTACATCTCCAATTGCATATTTTACTTCAACTTTTAAACAACAAACAACAGCAACCGGAACGGAATCATCAACAGAACAACAGCAACAACAAGAAGATAATACAACAACAACAACAACAACCAGTACAGGAACAGTAACAATAACAGGTACAAGTACAGGTACAGGTACATCTCCTAGCCTAATGTCAAATCATCGATTGCTTAATAATAATAATAACAACAATAACAAGTCATTATTACCAATACCAAAAGTTGAGAGTGAACAACAACAACAACAACCACCAAAACAATATAAATCATCTAAACATCCATTACAAAGAGGATACTCTGCACCTATCATTAATAATACGGCAACTAGAAAGCTTACTTTACAAGAGATATTAAATTCCTCACCTCCTTTGATTGCCTCACAGAATCGTCCGTTCCAAAAACAATCACTTCTTAGTGTACAAAACAAAGACAGCACCTCGCCAACCACAAAATCAACATCACTGCCGATCACAGCAGCTTCATCTCCAGTCAGACTAACACAACAACAGCAGCAACAAAGTGGCGTTTATTCATCTCCAGCTAATACAAGTCCATCTACATCACCTGCTTCCTCGCCCTCAATGAAATCTAAACCAACAACCACCACTCCTACAACAACATCAACAACAACAACAACTATAACAAATTCAACTAGTGTTTCACCATCATTAAATTCAACCATACAAAATGTTAGTAAATCAAATACAAACAGTCCAATTCCAAGTCCAATGGTGATGTCACCGAGTGGTGTTTCACCTCCAATGTCCACTCCATCAATGCCATCTTCACCGATGCCATCAAGCTCGCCACTTGTGTCGACACCACCAATGTCAGTGTCCTACGCTATTCCAAAACGACTGATTCCACTCTCGGCCTATTCACCCACAAGCAGCAACAGTCCGGCAGCTGCCATGACACCGACACTCGAATCCACTTCACCACCCATTGGAAGAGCTGTTCATAAACATCAAAGAGGTGGCGTAGGAGTAGCAGGATCAGGTCAACAACAACAACAACACTCCAGCACAACACCCAACATTAGTCCATCGTCGTCACCTCGCTCTTCACCACCTCACACACCTATTCCACAGTCACCGGTACTCCGATTCAAATTCCCACACCCAATGCGATCACCACTCTCCTATGATTATCCATCATCCTCGAGTGACTATCCTTCTTCGGTTGGATCACCATCGTCCGCTTCATCCTATCAGAGTACAACAACATCACTCAATCCACCCAACAACAAAACACATCCATTTGAATCGCAAACATCGAATTCGCCAAATGACAAACTACTACGAACCATCAACCAGCTGATACACCAACCAGAACAGCTAACTAAACTGCGACAGTTCGTACAAAGTTTGGTTTATGAGAATGTCGACAAATCAGTACACATCGAAATCAATACAACTCCAAGGACTCTACTCAACATTCAACGTAACTACTCTCATTCACTTATAATCAATGATAAAGATGAAATCCTAATAGCAAACAACAATAACAACAATAACGATAATCTTGATAATAATAACAATAACATTAATAATAATGATGGAGAAAAAGAAGTTATTTCTACTTCTACGACAACGACAACGACAACAACAACAACCTCATCATTTTCACCAGCTACAAATATTATAATAAGTAATAATGATAATAATAATAATAATAATAATAATAAGACAAGTAATATAAATAATAGTAATAGTCATAGTTTTAATTCAACCATTAAGAGGAGTAGTAATTTATTACCACCTTTATTTACACCGGTTCCAATTTATAAATCAAAACCTCATCTTTTGGTTTCAAGAAAATCGACATCCAGTATTCATAGTGAGTATAAGTATACTCCCAGTTCATTAATGCCATCTTCATCCGCCTCAACAACCAACTCACCTTCGACCTCCACCAATAGCTCTGGTTCATCATCGATAAAGTCTTCACCTCAGGAATCACCGGTTCTCTCTCCGACTCCCTCACCCAGAGCCGGTGACAAAGTACCACCTCCACTGGCCACTGGATTCGATATATTCGACTTGGTAAAGAAAGAACGTCCATCTGCTGCTAGAAAGCGATCGGAACCACTATTGATGTCTCCCAATTCACTGACTCCTCGCAGCCATCAACAAAAGACAGCGGCAACAAATACTGCTAATACAAGTGGATCTAGACTATCACTTTCACCATTAGAGTCAAACACTACCAATAGTGCTAGTCCAAACAATAGCAGCTCATTGCCAAGTCCTACAGCATCAGCAAATTCCTCGCCTATAAAGACATCGGAGCCACCACAAATTGGTGTTCTATCTCCAACCATTACCAGACCATCGTTGTGTAGACGTCTCTCTGGTAACATCGTTCGTTCATTACCACCTTTGAGTTCAACATTGATCTCCCCGAGAAGAGTTGATCCAACTGTCATTGTTACCAATAATGAAACATCGAGTTCAACAACAACAACATCGACAACCACATCAATATTCTCTAACAATACCTTTGAAGTACATTCTATTCATAGTATTGGTCAAACTAAATCAACAACGCCGATATTATCAAAGACACCAACAGCAATAACAACATCATCATCAGGATTAGTTTCAAACAATATCTCTGGATCATTACAAGTACACGATTTAATTGAACCCTCCATTTCAGATCCATCAATGACATTCTCATCTGAAAAACTTTTACAACAAATACAATCGATGAACAACAAACAACAGCAACAACAATTTGATCAAGATTTGGAGGTGTTAGAGTCAAGCCCAACAGGTCAAGTAATGGTCATCACATTATTGTCGAATTGGGGAGATACTCAGTATATTGGTTTGTCAGGTGTTGATATATTCGATAGCAATGGCAACTATGTTACAATGACAGATCCCAAGACACAGTTAAAGTCGTCGAATGCCTCTGACGATGACAGATCCATCGAGAAGATTATCGATAAATGTCCGAGAACTCTGGATGACAATCATCTTTGGGTGGCACCTTACAATCCCAACCAACAGCAATCTAGTGAATCCATCACATTTACCTTTGATAGTAGCATCACTCTGGCAATGATTCGTTTTTGGAACTATAATAAATCGAGAATACATAGTGCACGAGGTGTCAAAGATATAGAGATTACTCTTGACAATTCACTCATCTTCAAAGGTGTGATCAAAAGAGCATCTGGAATGTTGAGTGAATGCGATGAGTGTGCAGAGTACATTATCTTCAACAACGACGATTCAGTGCTGGATTTGATTGAACAGAACGATCCGTACTCTCCTTCCTCTCTGGACGATGAAGAGGAAGAATCTTTCTTGGAGCCTGTCAATAGCAATGCTCCGACAGAGGATGAAAACAATCTAAACAAACTGCCCAATCATCATCGTATTGAAAATATGTTCTCTCGAATGAATGTAGAGAGGGATGGCAAGCTGGCATCGAGACGCGCCAGTGAGAGTGATTTCACAACGGTGCTCAAGCGCGAGCAACTACAACAACAGGAACAGATGCTCCAATTAGAAAGAAAGTCTAGCAATACCAAGGATATCTGCAAAGAGGAGATCAACAATGAATCACTTCCAAAGGGTAGGCTGTTGAAGATTCAATTCAAATCGACATGGGGAGACCGCTACTATCTTGGATTGACATCGATTGAAGTCTATGACGAGAATTACCAACTCATTAAACTTCAACTTTCCAATCTCATTGCCAATCCAAAGGATATTAATGATTTGCCTGGGCACAGTGGTGACTATCGTACATTGGACAAGTTGATCGATGGAAAGAATGTAACAACTGACGATCAACACATGTGGATGATTCCATTCCGACAGAAACATCAACATGATCAAACAGACTATCATCTCACCTTAGATCTTGGTGTAGAGACTACTCTCAGTTGTCTTAGAGTTTGGAACTACAACAAGAATGCCGACGACGCTTCCAGAGGAGCCAAAGAGGTTGTGATATCACTCGATGGAAAATGCCTTACCTCTGGATACATATTTAGAAAGGCACCTGGTGAGTCCAACTTTGATTACGGTCAAACCCTATCATTTATTCACCATGACAAACACTCGCAAGAATCCATATCGGAATCCTACGATAAGATGATGATATTCTCCAAACAATCCTATATTCCTCAAGATTACAAGACTTTATTTATACCATCTGGATGTATGTAACACAATTATAATTATTATTTACAAGTAAATTTCAAATATTAATCTTTTATTTTGTTTGATAATTAATTAGTTGTTTTCAAATTTGTTTTATTATCTTCTTGGGGAGATAAAAGTTATCTTGGTCTCAATGGAATGCAATTATTTGATTGGAATGAAGATTTAATAGATGTATCTAAAAGTCGTATGTATAAATAGTTACTTTACTATTTTATTTGATTTATTAATTTTTTGTTTCTTAAATTTATAGGTACTGTACTTTTACCACCAGCATTGAATAATGCTAGCAATGATCAAACACTTTCAAGACTATTCGATGGGATTAACAGTGGTTTTGACGAAAAACATGCTTGGTGTACACATGCATTGTATCCTTATGATAGATCGTCGACTGGCCTTATACCGATCAGTATTTGCTTGTATTTCGACTATCCAATCTCCCTCTCGATGGTCAAGATTTGGAATTACTCACGTGTACCAACCAGAGGAGTTGAGGAATTTGCAATGTACATTGACGATCTCTTGCTCTTCAAAGGAAAACTTTCACCTTCACCAACGTATCCATCCACTTCTGTAGATAACAATCACGATTTTTCACAAACTATACTATTTAGTCACAACTCTGAACACCTACAAAAAGAAAAGATTTATCGATTCACTGGATCCAAACAAAAAGTCAACTTTATCAACAATAATAATTCTGTTAAGAACTGATATTTATGATTTATTCCTCCAATAAACATAATGAAGAGTTACTTTTAAAGTTTATAAAATGATTTTATTTATTTATTTTGATAAAGTTAAGATCTCTGAATATAAATTGCATTGCTAACGGTTTCGAAAGATTCATCAGTGAATAATAAAAAGGAGCTCTCGTATATTCTCACATTCTTATTGGTGTTTGAGAAACAATACAACTTGCTTGGATTTGTACCACTTGAAGGAACATACACAATCTTGGAATATGATAAACTATTTGTAGGTTTCTTTATCAAACCGGAAACGACTGAGAAGGTTTTTGATTGCAAATCAAAAGTTTCCCAAGTATTGGTATTTGTACATATAATAATACAATTATCTCCTCCTGTGCACAACCTCATATTGAATTGTTGTAGATTATATATTGGTGTACATTGGAAAGTATCTGACATTGTATAAATACAAGAGGTGTCCACTATATACACTAAACCATTGATTACAAGTAGAGTTGGGTTTGATAAATTGGGAATTATAGGGTTGACTTGATGATTTAAATTGATTGGATCAATGGATTCAATTTGAGAATTATTGTTGCTGGATTTATGCAAAACATAAATCCTCTTAATAATATTATTATAGCATACTGATTGAATATTGATTTGTTGAACACCTTTTTTAAAGTTGGTGATAGTTTTCTTAGAGATTGAATATTTAAAATACTCTTTGCCAAAGAAAAAAATATCATCCCCTACCTGAACCATTTGAGAAGGTTCTACATCTTTCAATGTGAAAGTTTTATGAGTTTGTAAATCAAGAAACTTTACATAATAACTATTATGATAAACGATAGTTCGATTGTCTTGGAACTTTTCAACTTGGCACATGTTATTAATTTTTGATTTAATGTTAATGGTTTGGTTATGGTCAATTATCGCCAAGTATTTAGCAGGAGTGATGAGTAAGTTATTCTTTTCCATTCCACCTTGGCGGGAGACAAGTGAAAGGAAGGTCATTGTATCCACTGGAATGGTTATCGGAAAGAAATTTGGAAATTCTTGGAAAACTTGATTGTGGTCAACTGATTGTTCAACGACCTGGAGGAGATCACCAACTTCTTTAGAGTTAATGTCATATTTTTGGTGTTCATTTTCTGAGTCGCCAGGACTTTGGATCACATGAGTTCCTGAGCTACTTTCGTTGTGGTGGATTGTATTGGTAATGACTTTAAGTGAATTAATCTCCTCGATCACCAATGGAATAAGTGACTTTGCCAACTCCAACTGCTCTTCCACTGGTTTCTTATTTTTGTGTTCTTCGACAATGAGGAAGTTATGCATTTCTTCATAAAACTTGATAATTTCGCTAAGTGTCGACTCCAAAGAATCAATGGTTGATTTGATTGTCTTTAATCGATCGAAAAGATTAGATATCTTGTCTTGATAACCGTTTGTCTTCAATTCCTCATCCTTGATCGAATCGAAATCATCAAACTGATGTTTGCTATGATCACTGACACAACATTGTTTACAAACTAATTTTGAACAAGTCGAACACAAGAATATTATTTCTTTAAAATGTACTGAACAAAGATTCATTTTATAGATAAATAATTAAAATTTAGATTATTATAAATAATAAATAAAAGTTAATTAAAAAACAAAAATAAAACTACTGAAAAGAAAGAACTTAAATGTGTGAGTTTGTTTTTTTTTTATTTATTTAATTTAAAATTTTTTTATTTAATACCACACTATTACATTTCATTTGTTCATCTCTAAATTCTTCTTCTTTGGACTTTCTATATGTATCTGAATCTGTCTCTGATTCTGATTCTAATTTTATTTCTTCTTCTTTCTTATTTTTATGTGACATGTTATAAAAAACTTAAAGAAAAAAAAAAGATATTTGTATAATATAGAGAAAAATTAAAAAAAATAAATAATGAAGGAAACAAAAAAAAAAATATAAAAAAAAAATTAATAAACTAAGAAGTTCCGTTTCAGAAAAATTTTCAGATTGTCACTTGTAGCCCAAATAATATTGATATTCAAAATAATTATGAAATTATTATTTTATTTTACACCAACAACTAGTGACAAACTGAAAATTTTACCAAAAGTTATAAAAATCATTTACAAAATATCTATTCACTCCATTCTTACAATATTATAGATTCAACATTTTTATTTACATATTGTTATCTTTGATTGTGATTGTTTAATTAGAGTATTGAGTTTAGTGTAGCTATCCGATGAGAGTTTTGATTTTGGCGTGATATTGATATAGTTTAATATATGTGCTGATCTTGTAACATTCATTTGTTGAGCTATTGAAAGTTGACAAGTGGTTGTTTGCAGTCTAAACGGAATTTTCAGAATGAAATGAAGAAGTGTTATCAAAGATTCTAATTCTAATGAGTTTCTAAATAAATTTAAACTCTCCAATGAACTATTGAAAGAGAGTATATCTATAAGTGGATGTATATTTGAGAAATGATTATCTTATTATTTTGATAAAAAGAAACAAAAACATATTAATAATCAAAAATGTAAATAACATAACCCATTAACAGTTAACATGTTAATAAACTTGTATACGTATACATACTGGAGAAATCAATATTTCTTATAGTGGAATTCTTTAAGAGTGCCATGGAAAATAGATCCAAATGATGATTTCGCAAATTACAATCATTCATTACGAGTGTATCTAGTTTCTTGTTTGATTGAAAGATATCGGTTAAATTGATTAAATCCAATGTACTTATATCATTTCCTATTATATTTAAACAAACATGTTAATGATATGATATTTTATGTGCTCACTGTTCATTGTTTTTCTTTACTTACTTGATAAATTTAAATAGGTAAGAGTTGGGTGTGAATGAAGAGCACTGAATAGATGATTAAATGAATCACATGTAAATCCATTGCCAGAGATGTCGAGGTGCGTTAAAGAGTGATTCAGTGCCAACTTTTTCGCTAGATTGGTTGTTGCACCATCACCAAATCTGTTATCAGAGATGTCGAGTTTCGTAAGAGTTTGATTCACTCCAACGGTATCACCAAGACTGTATGCACCGGAACCTTCAATCTCGCATCCTCTCAGTAAAAGTGTTTCTAAAATATCATTTAATCTAACACCACTACTTAATGACATTACATTATTATAATCTGATGGATTATCTATAAACTTTGATTAGTATATATTTGGTTGTTGTTCTTTACAAGATCGCTTTAATATAAAATACATAGTTTGTAAACATACATGACCAATCTAAATATTGTAAACTTTGATTGTTTTTACCTATGATATCACCAAGTAATTCTAAACCATCTTCAGCTTCACAACCTATGTATAAACATATATATATATATATATCAGTTAATTGAATCATAGTTTAGTTATTCATTTGACTTTAAAATGTATGTATTGTAACTTACATTGTAAAATTAATTCTTGAATTGAATTTGATTGATCTAAAAGTTTACACAATAAACTTATTCCTTCGTTTTTAAGTGGGTTTGATTGTAGGTTTAACTTTTTCAATTGTGGTTTCGATTGGTTGTTGATTAGCGAGTCGACGATGAATGTCATATCTTCGGGTTCGAGGTTGGTCATTGAGAGATCAAGACTTGTTAGTCTCGATCGACTGTCGAGTGATGCAAGTAGTGTTCCTATCGACTCTGAAAAGACATAGATATCGCTAACGATGATCTCTAGAGTGTTCACCGATTGAAAGTACCAAGGAAACGTAGACATACAGGCACGCAGGTTGCTACTGGTCAACGTAAGGCTGTTACACAAGGATTTCGTTAGAGTGTTCCATCGTTTGTTAACCAGTTGCTGATTGGTTCGTTGTACGTTGTCCGATTCCCAACAGTTGATACACAGAGTGCCAAGACGTAGTTCTTCATCTCGCAATGCAAACCAAAGACACTTTAATAGCTGTTGATCCGTTAATACCTGATCGATATTTCTTTGATTCTTTATGTATTTACATATATAGATAGAATCTTGATCATCATCATAATCTTCATGATCAATATCCATCATTTGACTATCATTGTCATTCATTTGAATTTAGATTATTCTAAAGATTGGAATAACAATAATCAAGTTTTTACAAAAAAAAAAACAAAAAATCTTATTTTAGTTTTTGTCACAATTTAATTCTGAAAAAGAACATCATTTGAAACTGGTGATGTATAGTAGGTCTAGTGATTTCTTATGGAAATAATGTAGAGAAAAAATCCAACAATGATAGTTTGAACACAATTTAGTGTCTGTCAACTATAGTAATCGAGCGATGCTATAACTACTTTATTAAAGATGTTATTAAACAAGGAACTTTTAGTGTACTCTTATCTGGAAGTCTAGTCATGCCCCATCACTGAAGCAGTATATAGGTATAAACATTCTGATAAAGACCGATTAGATCGTTTTCTTTTACAAAAGAATCCATTACCACTGACAGGGATTTAATAAATAGGTAGATGATCAGTCTATTTATTTATTAATTATCAACTCAAATAATTCAAAGTCTATTCAAAGTTAGTGTAAGAACTTGTTTTTATGTTTATTAAATATAAATTGATCATACCTATTCAAAGTTAGTGTAAGAACTTGAATAGTAAAGTTTTTTTTTTTTTTTTTTTTTTTTTTGCAAAAAAAGATTTGTTGACTCATGATCAGTCAACAAATTGCAGGTATTGATATTAACCTGCTAGTTCGTGTTTTATGTTCTATTTACATTCTCACACAGGCCGTGAGAAATATAGCCAATAAAATGTTATTATTATTATTATTATAATTATTATTATTATTATTATTATTATTATTATAATTATTATTATTATCAATAAGTTGAGTAGTATTAGGATAGAATAGATCTAACAGTAGTTGCGTGTTGATGAACAACAGTATAAAGTGGTGGCACGTAGTTGGAAGGATTAAGATTCCAATCAGATTTAAATTTACGCGTTAATGCAGAGCAATCGACAGTGACTCCTTGGGAGATTGAATTAGCTATCGTGAAGTTAAGCTTGTGGTAATTGGCATCGATTAATTTGGTGTAATGGGTGACTGCTCTCTTGACGGTATTTTCCAGCTTGTAATGGGTACCATCACCAAACATTTTACAGTACAGCGCCTGCCATAACGAATGTACGATAGCAGCAGTAAGGTGGGTGAAGTGGACAGTAGTACGAATAGGACCGTCGAACTTGATGCACGAGTGCTTCCAATTACGAAGTCTATAGTTACAGTACTTGTGGTATATACGTTTGATAAAGGAAAGGAACTGCTGTGAGACTACAATCCTGCATTTGAAGAAGAAATGTTCATGTGGGTTGCAGAGTTCAGTGAAGGTGTCACCACAGAACTCACAGACATGACCAGTGCGCTTGTGGTTGATGGGGAAGGTGTGAGAGTACAGCCGGAATATGCTGTTACGTAGCATAGGCGCTTTGACCTTGGATATGTGCAGGAACTGAGATTGGAGAACCAAAGAGTGACCAATCTGGATGGTTAGTTGACCTTCAGTACGGCGGACTCGAGGGTACTTGTGGCTGAACAGGACAGAATAGATTTCCTTCAGAGTAGATAGTAAAGTTGATCGTTCGTTTTTTGAATAGTCGTTGAGTTTTTAAAAATGAAAAATAATTTGAATTTTGAAAAAGTGGTAATGTCGTTACAGGGACCTCATCAAACTTTGTGTAAAAACACTTTTTTTTTGTTAATCCGCATGCGGTAAGATGTTATTATAAAACTGTGGAGAAGCCGGGTATCGATCCCGGTTTTCAAGCATGCAAAGCTAGCGTTCTACCATGTATACCACTTCCCCATTCTGTGTTTTTTAAATTAAAAATTAAAATATTTTGATATATAAGGTTTCCAAATGTGTGTTTTTTAACAAACAAAATTATTTATTGTAAATAATAGAAATCAATATATCTCCTTTTACTATAAAGGTAATTTTTAACACAAAAATTATAATATTTTGAGATAAAAATCAATTTTAAAAACGATAAAAGTGAGAACACCATTTTTTGTGATTTTGGTAACTCCATTTGTTCTATATAGGTTATCATAAAGCTAATAAAACACCTGAATGATTTCATATTTAACTTTATTACAACGTACATTATTTCATAATTAACATTCAATTTCTGTTGAAACTAACAAAAAATTTTTTCTGTTTCGATTAATTAATGTTTTTTTTATAACAAATCTAAAATTTGAAAACCATGACAGAATAAAATAGTAAATCATTTTGGTTGAAATATCTTTGCAATTACACTGGTTAAAATTCTTGATCGGAAAGTTTTTTGTGTCGGGAACTGACTACTTTTTTAAACCAAAAGATTTTAGATATTTTTTATTTTGAGTGATTTTAGTAAAATAATTTTGAAAGAATAGATTTACAAAAAGATTTTTTTATTTTTAATTCATTCAATTTAAAAATGAAACCAGCAAGTTTATTATTACTATTAATATTTGCATATGTATCAATTTTAGTACGAGGCAATGAACCTCCTCAAAACCCATACTCCTCTCAATATGGTATCGATAATGTTCTTATGAATTATGTTGCATATTGTGATGCTGAACAGATCATTGATTGGAGCTGTTATAGATGTCAAAACTTCCCACATGCAACAAACGCCAAAGTGATTCAAAACAATGAAACAAGTACAAGAGGAATTATTACAACTTATAATAATACAGGTAAAAAAAATTAATTATATTGAAAAAAAATTATTCTGTTTCTAACAAAAAAAAATAAATTTTAATTAAGTTTATGTTGCTTTCAGAGGATCAGTATCAACAACAGATTGGATTGAGAATTTTGAATTCTTCCATGTTGACTATCCTAATGTAACTGATGCCAAAGTTCACTATGGTTTTTATCACTCATGGTTGAGTGTATCCGAGGAAATTTATGCTGGAATTGTAGATTCTCTTAAACAATGTCCAGATTGTAATAAAATAACTGTTTTAGGTCATTCTTATGGTGCAGCCGTTTCAAGTAAATATAAATATAAAACTCAATAGTAAAAAAACAAAAACTTATTAATTGTTTTTCTTTTTTAGCTTTTTGTACAGTATCAGTTGTAAATTGGTTCCCAAATATCAATGTTTATTCAATGACTATTGGATCTCCAAGAGTAGGTAACGACGTTTTCGCTCAATACTATAATAGTATTCATAGAAACAATTGGCGTATCGTTAATCAACAAGATCCAGTTCCACATCTCCCACCTGAATATACCATCTATGAATATCACCATGTACCAAATGTAAGTTTTTTTTTGCTTTTTCAACTACTTTCTTTTTTTATCATTTGTTTTAACAAATTATTTATTTTATAGGAAGTATGGTATCCAAATAATGTAACAACTTATAGAATTTGTAATGATAGTGGTGAAGATAAATCTTGCAGCGATTCAGTTGACCCATTAAAATATAACACTTCTGATCACCTTGATTATTTAGGTCAACGATGTTGTTGCTAAAGATGAACTCTACTTGTTAAAGCATGGACCTTTAAGTACGAAAAAAAAAAACAAAATTAAATTTAAAGCCCCATTCTTGATAATTATTATAATTAGATAAATTTTATAAAATATCAAGATAATTTTAAATTTCTCTCTAAAAATAAAGATTTCATATGTTTCTTGATGATTTTCTCTGCTGTTGTATTCCTCATAGATAAGATTTAGATTTTTTACTTTTCTCGAATATCATGACCTTTCATTTAAAATTGATTATCAATTTCATTTTATTCGAGATCACCTTTTTCAAAAAGTTCACACGACAATTTTATATAAAAATCAAAAATATCCAGATTTTGATAAGGAGTACCGAGATTTTTAATAAAATGGTTGTTTGAACTTTCCAATTTTTAATTCAATCTTATAAATATTCAGAATTTGAAACAATTGAAAAATTATTAAATTTCTAAACTAAACTTGTATATATATATATATTTATTTCAAATAAAAATGATTAAATCATTATCTATATTTTTATATATTTTTGCAATTTTCCAAATATGTATTTCAACCGATCAAATTTATGTGGATTCGAGTAAATCTTATAGTTTGGCATGTGGTAGTACTCTAGATCTTGCTTGCTCAGATATTCTATCTGGTTTAGCAGCATATGGAAATCTTGAATCGAAATCGGATTCTTTGATTTTAAGTTTGGTGGGTGGAGTATACTCTGGCACCAATAACAGTTTTATCAATATATTAAATCAGGATATCACAATTACCAGTTTAAATAGCAATTCATTGGCAACAATCGATCTACAGTTCCTAAATTCTTTCATCTCCATTAAGGATGTTTCTGCCACTGGAAATACCAATACCAACTTGACTCTAAGCAATTTGAATATCATCAATGGAAATAGTTCTACCAATGGTACTGTTGTCAATATCAGCACTCAGTGGACACCTACTCTTTTAACTTTCGACAGTGTTTACGTTGCTGGAAACCTGGCTTTTGAAGGTTATGGTGGTGTCATCTACGTTCAAACCAGTGTTGCCAACACCAAAATAGTTCTCACCAACTCTACTTTTTTCAATAATACAGCATATTTGGGTGCGGTTTATTACTCTGAAACTCAAGGTCAGCTTGAAATCTCTAAAAGTGTAATCAAGAACAATGTTGGAGTTATCACTGGTATTGTAGATGCCTATCAAACATCGGTTAGTGTTACCAATTCAACAGTTGCATACAACCTAGGAAGATCAGCGATTTTTACATTCATTTCAAACGTAGGAACCGTTGAGGTTTCCAATCTCATCGCTTACAACAATTCACTTCGTTCGAACTGGGACGGTGGATTTATCCAAGCCAATGAGAACAATCTATCGGTGTTGGATTCCGACTTCCAATGGAACAGTGGATCGGCTGTCATCTATTTTGAAACCGAAGGATCCGGATCATACCAGTTGCTGGTTGGAACGAGCGTTTTCAACGAGACCATGGGATCTCGTTATGGTGGAGCTATCTATGTTTGCGGTGGTTCATCGAATATCTACAACTCTTCATTCATTGAAAACTATTCTATCTACAACGGTGGAGCTATCTACTATTCCGATACACTCCAAGCGAATGCCACCAATTTGATATTCATCAACAACCAAGTTGGTGTTGGAAATGGTAGCTCTATCTACACAAACAATGCGACCGTCAACTATTTCGATAATCTCAGTTTCATTAACTCGAATAACATCACTACAGCAATGTATTGCAACTCCTCATCGATTTATCTCAACAATATCACTAACGACAATGTTACTCCGTTAATCTCTTGTGACAGCACGAAACCATCTGACCAATGCACAATTCACAGTAGCAACAATGCCATTGGTCAACAATGTAATAGCCAAGTAAATTCGAGTGACAACAATAATAACAACAGTAGCGAACATCACAACAACAACAATAGTAGTGGTGATAATAAAAAACCAAAGAAGAAAGGATTAACCAGTGCGCAGATCGGTGGTATCGCTGCAGGTTCTGCTGTAGGTGCAGCAGCTATTGTTCTTGGCGTCTATATAATTCACAAGAGACATCACAATCGTAATAAATACAAGAGTTATTATTAAAGGATTTATATTTAATAACATTATAATCTAAAATAAAAGTAATTTAAAATAAAATGTTTAAAAAAAGTAATACGACTCAATATTTTTTTTAATTTTTTGTGTTAGTGAATCACAAACTATGACTCACCAAAGTTATATTTAATCAAAGGTTGTTATTACCCCCAAACAACTAACACAATAACAACAATTTAAAGTTTACATTTTACGTTTATTTTTGGGTAAAAGATACAATAATGTCGGTGATATGATATCAAGTCAATCAATATCTATCATATTTATAATGTTCTCTAAAAATAAAGAAAGTAAAATTAACAATGATTAAATAAACATTAGTTGTACAATTACAATGATCACTAAAGATCAACTACCACCATCATCATCATCAAAGTAAACAATATATATATATTAATTTATTAATTAATGTATTTATTATCAAAACAAACAAACAAAGAAATAAAAAAATGAAAACAGAGTATGTATCTTTTAATTAAATTTAAAATTCTACAAATTTTTTTAAAATAATTTCTCTAACTTTAACTTACTCAGTTTAAAGATTATTATTATTGGAGGTGGTATTGGAGGTGTTACTTTAGCAAATGCGATAAAGAAATATGGTGATGGTAAATGTAGTGTACATATCTATGAAAAAGAAATGACAGTTTCATCGACTGCTTTCAAGGGTTATACGATCGGGTTGAACCAAATGGGCAGAGATTCATTGAGAGAAGCTTTGGATATCGAGAAATATGATAGATTAACATCGGAACTCATTCAATCCGGTGGTCAATACGTTGTTACCGATCGTCAGCTCAATCCGCTCATCAACTTTAGTTGTTCGTCGTATGTCGATAGAGATCGTCTGTGTGGTCTGCTACGCGAAGGCATCGATGTTCACTATGGAATGAAGTTCAAGTCGTATACGGAGGACAACGATGGTGTCTCAGTGTTCTTTGAGGATGGTTCGTGCGAGCGAGCAGATTTCCTGGTTGGTGCTGACGGTGTTCATTCTGTGGTGCGTCACCAGAAACTGCCTCTCTTCCAAATGGAAGATGTCAATGTCTATAGTATCCAAGCTTTGATTCCGAATGTTGGCGATGACGTTATCGATCTATTGTTCAAGCAGGACAACACACTCATCACAAAGACATTGGGAAACAAGAGGAATACCATCATGTTTGGAAAAGTAAAGGCGCAGGCCGACGCTATCAATTTTGGAGTCGAGGACATCGCTTCCATCGAGCGAATAATGGAGCAGAACGAACCAGGAAATACATGTTTGGTGATCAACTATGAGTGGAGACCTTTGGTTGAGAATGGTCGCGTTGATCTTCCAACCGGTGGAAGACAATACATGCTCAACACACTCCGCAGAGATACCGGTAATTTCCATCCGTTGGTTGTCGACCTACTCAATAGAGTGGCGAAACCAGAGCATTTGATAAATGACCAGCCAAAACCGATGAGACAAGCACTTCCATGTAGATGGCCAGCCGCTTCTAGAGTGACGCTCATCGGCGATGCCATCAACGCCATGACCGCCACTAGTGGCTGTGGTGGAAACTTGGCTATGCGTGATGCTATTGATCTTGGCTATGCACTTACGGATATCATCAAAAACATTGCACCACTCTCCATTAGAATGACTGCACACGAACAAATGATTGTCGAGCGTGGACAACAACAAATCAAACTCAGTCGTGATTGCACAGAACACATGCACTCACAGGAACTCTCGCATTGCTCCGAACTCTTTAGAAATACAATCATGCGAATATTAAACAAACTATTAATTTGGGGTGTAGTAAAGATACCAAATTAATTTAGAAAAAAAAAAAAATAAAAAAAAGAATCAACTAACTTTTGTATATTAAAAATAAATTTAACTATAGTTAAAGTAGATCTATCAAGATCATTACAATGTAAATATTTACTTTACATTCATTCTTTGAAACAATCAATAGCGTTGATATTTGCCTACGTTTCAGTTTAATGATGAAATTTTATTTAACATCATAATGACATGGCTTAGTTTTTTTAAAAATAACTAAAGGCATGTATTCTATTTTTAATAAAACAATTTCTCTCTTATCAAAGAAAGTTAAAATTTTAACTTTAACACTGATATTAATAACTGTAGATAAGATAATAAATGATGTATTAATTAATCATACATGTTTCCTTATAATCAAGGTTTTTGAGACCAAAATATTTTTTTAACCCCACACATTTCGAGTTAACCAACAACAAATGATTAGATGTTCTAATTAATTAAAAATAAATTAAAATAATCTATTTATAAATAGACTTTGGATTTTTTTAGTAAAAACAATTCAAAATAATATTAGATTTAAATTTAAAAATAATTAAATTATCTTTTAAATTTTATTAAGTTATTAAAATTTATAATTGTGTATAAAAATGACGGAATTAAAAGAGTAAATTTATTATTTTCATTGAGATTTTAATTTTTTATATTAATTTAATATTTTTTTCTTTATTATTTTAATTTATTTATATATAGAAATAAAGTATTAATTGTTGGAGGTGGTTTAGGTGGTTTAATTCTTGCAAATGGTTTGCAAAAACACGGTACGAATCAGATCAATGTACAAGTGTTCGAAAGAGATCAAACTCCGGATACAAGATCACAAGGTTATATCATTGGCTTGAAACCAAACGGTATTGAAGCAATCAAGGAATCAGTATCAGAGGAGAAGTTCACAAGAATCGAAAAACTATTCAAACCTGGCCAATTTGTCATTTCCGATAGGAATTTGAATGTTCTTATGAACCTTTCAAGTGGAAATACAATCAATCGTGGTGAATTAAGAAAGATCTTGATGGAAGGCATCGATATCAAATTTGGTAAAAGACTGAGAACCTACGAGGAGAATGAACACGGTGTCTCTGCTACCTTTGAAGACAATACTTCGGTGGAAGGTGATATCCTGGTTGGAGCAGATGGTGTCAAATCAGCTGTAAGACAAAAGAAGATACCGGATTTCAAATTCGCCAATGTCAATGTATATAGGATTCAAGCATTGATTCCGAATGTCGATGCGGAAATCTTTAAAGCTATATTCCCAACAGAGAATGGCATTATCATTAAAACTCTTGGCAATGTTAAGAATACTATTATCTTTGGAAGAATCAAAACTTTTCAGGAAGCTATTAGCTTTGGTTTGGAGAAAGAAGAGGATGACGAGGAGATCGATGAAGATGAACAAGAAGAAGCTCAGAAATCAGGTGAAATGATATTGGTCAACTATGAATGGAGACCAGAACCAAACACCCCACTCCCACAAAGTAAAGAACAGCTGTTGGAGTGTATGCGTAAAGGAACACAGTCGTTTAATCCATTGGTAATTAAACTTTTCAATGAACTTGCCAAGCCTGAACATCTGATCGAAACGAAACCTGTTGAACTTACACAAGCTGAACCCTATGCCAAACAACCAACTTCCAGAGTAACTTTACTTGGAGACAGTGCTCATGCTATGACTTCGCATGCTGGTATTGGTGCAAATACTGCAATGAAGAGTGCCTCAGATTTGGCACATACATTGGTCGATATTTTCATTAACAAGAAACCATTCATCGAAACATTGGAAGCTTACGAGAAACAAATGATCACTCGTGGATTCCAAGCAATTGATATTAGTAGATCCAACACTGAGAGAATGCATAGTAGTAATGTAGGTGTAATAGGTGAAGCTATTAGAAATACGATGATGAAATTTATTGTTAAATTAGTAGATTGGGGAGTAATTAAACTTCCAAACTAAATAAAAAAATAAATAAATAAAAGTTGTAATTTATGTTTATTCAATTTTAATTAAAACAAGTAAAGTCTAATTACTATTTCTATACACTTTAATAGTATCATATTATAATGCAATATTTTATATAGTTTATTTATAATTTATTTATTTTGATATCTAACAAAACGGAATGATAAATAAGTTAGAATAGATAGAATTAAACCAAAGGAAACAACTACTGCGAAATAACTGTAGAGATGATCAACTTCGATACCGTAGGATTCTAGCACTTGTTCGCCGGTTGTGAATGGACAGAAATATTTGATGTGGGTGGTACCATTGTTTTGGATGGGTATCGGGATGGCACCTTCGTAGTTTGTACAACGGAATCGTTGATCCTTGAATTCATTGATATTCAGCACCTGCGTAGCGTATTTCAGTAGATTGATATCAAAGAACCATTTCCATCCCTTGGGAATCGAGGGTCCCGGAATCATAAATCCAGCAAAGAGCGAGGAAATTGCCAGAGTTACACCGACTGCACTGTAAGCCATCTCTTCGTTGGGTAGAACCGATGCCAATGCCACTCCAATCATTGAGTAATTGATATAAGTGAAAATGAGAACAAGTGTAAAGTAAAAGAAACGTCCGGGCGTAGCAAATAGATGCGTCAGGAAATAAGTGATCACACTAAACACTATGACACTGGCTGCTAGGAACGGTAGATCCGTGACAATAAAACTAAATACGTAGATCCACACACGATACACTTTGGCAGCTTGTTCACGGTAGAAGAAACCACGCTCCACTTTGATCACTGGAATCATAGACATCGCAGCCATACCACCATAGACAGCACAGAAGAAAAGGATGGATTTTCTATTGAAGATGTCAACCTGTTGATGTCCAATACGTAGGAAAGTGGTTCCAAGTACAACTGCCAACAACACAGAACGGAAGAAACGAGCTCTCATATTGGCGAGCTCTCTTATCTGATTCTGGAAACAACGCTTCATCAGCAGACGGAATTGGACTCCGACAGACGAAGAATAGTCGCCACTGAACTCTGGAGGTTTGATACCCTCTGGTGTGATACCACTGTCCAACTCTTGAATCATCACCTCATTCTCTTGCGACTGTTTGAATGCGTCGACCGGATCGAAATTCGGATCTACACCATTGGCAATGTCCAAAATGAAATCGGCAGGATTGGCCAGCGGATCACAAATCTGTCCTCTCTGAGAGTAGTAATCGAGAACAAGTTGACTACCCTTACCCATAGGACCGAAATATATCATTTCACCACCTTTCTTCAATAGCAAAAGATGGTCGAATTGTTTGAAGATGGAGGTTGACGGTTGATGAACAGTACAGATAATGGAACGACCAGAGTTGGCAATTCTCTTGATGTAGCTCATCACTTTGAGGGCAGCCGAAGAGTCAAGACCAGAGGTTGGCTCATCGAGGAACAACAATTGTGGATCAGATGCCAACTCTATTCCGATATTTACCTTCTTTCGCTGAGATGGTGTAATTGAGGTTTCACCGGAACCAACTTGTTTGTCTTGAATCTTTCTCAGGTTCAAAGTATCGAGAATCTTGTCGACAAATCTTTGTTTCTCATCGAAAGACATCGATTCTGGCAGACGATTCAAAGCAGAGAATTCAATGTGTTCACGTACTGTTTGCTGAGGTAAAAGAATATCCGCTTGTTCTACATACGCCGATGTTCTTGTAAAATATTTATTACGATAGTCACCATTAATCTTTATGGTTCCCTCGATATGACCACCTGTTTTACGATCTGCCAAAACATCTAAAAGTGTTGATTTACCAGCTGAATAAACAAGAAAGATTAATATTAATATTTGAATTATTCATTAGTTTCGTAACTATTTTAACATACCACCAGATGGACCCATCAATGCAAGTAGCATTCCAGGTTTAACATATCCATTGATTCCGTTGAGTAGACGTAAACGTGAACTCTTTCTACGACGTTTGATATCGACTTCATAGCTGAGGTTACGCCATTCCATGTAGCATCCACTGGGCTTGTCTTCGTCTGAGAGATGGATGTTGATTCGAGACATTGAGTTTCTGAGTCTTGGTAGTTTGATTTGACTTCCCGTTGAACGGAGCTGACGAACTTGATTTGCCTTCAGAGTTCTACGTTCTGAGTCAGAGTTCTTCTTGATGTGTTCGAATCTCACAAAGTGAAGGAACATATAATTCAACACACTGAAAACTAATACAAATCCAACACAGATCAAAAGGTTATACCATTTCCAACGATACTCTGTGTAGTAGTGCAACTCGTCTAGGAATTGATCACCATTGGTATAAGGACATATCTGTTGACCTTGGAAACCAGCTGGATAGGGTGCAGCGAAATTCTTGACAAATGGAGGCGGCATCTTCTCTTCATCGGTGCAGTGATAAGGTACACCGGCTTGTTCATTGATGAGCAATCCCTCCAATCCGTACTTGGATGGCGAGATCCAATATGCCCAAACCCACCAATTTGGAATGACAGGCTTCTTCACAACGAATCCCGCGAAAAGAATGAATGGCATGAGAACGATGGGAGAAACGGTTGCCGCAATGACACTAGTTGGTGAAACCGATGAGACTGCTCTAAACAAAGTTGTAGAGAACAAGAATACCACCCAAGATATCAATATGAAATAGAAAAAGTTATCGGCGTGCGGCTGCAGACCACACAACCAGTATACAATGGTGGAAAACACAACCGATTCCATCAAACAAAGCGGGAGAGTCGACCAGAACAAAGAGTTAAAGAATGCAAATGTATCGTAATACTTGACTGCTCGCTGCTGATAAAAGATATCACGCTGTTCAAACAGAGTGGAGATGGCACCGAATCCAGAGAAAAAGATAAACATCAAATTATAAAACATCAGACCCTGTCGATTTCTACCGTCGGTCTGGTTGGTATCGAGCTTATAGTATAGAGTACCAAGCATCAATCCAACTACAATATTCTTGAGGACACGCATCTTGATCCACTGTGTTCCCATGAATTCCATTTTCATGGCTCTGCTTGTGCATCGTAAAGTTTGATACCAAGTGGAAGTTGTATACTCTGGCAAGCCTACACTATCTGTGAATATGAATCCAGCATCCCTACTGGTATCATTGATAAAGTCGATACAATCAGTATAGACCTTCGATTGTTTATAGGCATCTACAAACTCGACCGTTCCTCTTAAAGGAGGCTCTCCTTCACCTGGAAAGTATAACCATGGTTCATCAACAATCTCTTGGAAGAACTCCGCTGGATTATGATGACTTGGTAATTTAAATCCTAATGATTCAAAATCTAAGAAGATAAAATAAAGAAAAGAAATATATTATTAGTGAATGAACTTTAACAATTTCTTTTAATAGTAGAATTCTACTTACGAGGAATAGCATTTTCCATTGGACCAAAAAATGCAATTTCACCATTGCTCATAACCATTAAATAATCAAATAGATTGGTTATTTCAATTCCAGGTTGTAACAAAGAGATTAAACATGATGATTTTCTAGTTACAACAGTTTCTTTTAATTGTTTTAAAATCTATTGTATTAAATGTTCGAATATTAATATTTCAATTTCTAATAAAGTAAATTAAATAGCTATTGATAAATACACTTAAAGATGTAGTTGAATCTAAGCCAGTGGTTGGTTCATCCAACAGATATAGTTTGGCATCCTTAACCATTTCAATACCAATTGAAACACGTTTCTTTTGACCACCACTAATTCCACGAATGAATTCATTTCCAACGATTGTGTTTTGATGTTCTTTCAGTCCTAATGTCTCTAGAATCTGATCAACACGCTCATTCTTTTGTTGTTCGGTGCTTCCTTCTTTCATTTGAAGATCGGCACTGAATTTCAAGGTCTGTCTCACAGTGAAACAAGCTACATGAAGATCCTCCTGTGTCACATAGGATACATCTCTATGATGTGTCCTGGAATCCGCTGGCTTTCCATTGAAATGAAGTTGACCAACCAATTTATCCTTCTTTCCCATTGTATGGGCGAGTGCTTTCATCAAAGTGGTTTTTCCACAACCCGGTGAACCTAAAAGTAAAACCATTTTTCCTGGCTACATATAAATAACATTAAAAATTAGATACCATACCATTCATTTAAAATAACTAACTACTAATTGATAATTACCTCTAAATAAAAATTTAAATCATTTAAAATTCTTTTCTTTGAACAATCGTATGAAAAATTCTTTGCAATAACTTTCATTCCCACGACAGTTTGGTTGTGGTCACCAAAATTGATTGAAGTCATCTCGATATCATTATCGCCATTATTGTTGTTATTGTTATTATTATTATTAATATTGTTATTATTATTATCGTGATCATGAATTTCGTGATCATTATTTATATTTTCCACAACGGGAATATCAATAATTTCCATTGGAGAATCTATAGACTCCATTTTTGAAAACTAGAAAAACTAAAAAGTTTCAATGTCCTCCTGAAGTTAACTTTAAACTAAAAACTATTATTTATTAATAATCTGTTTGTCTATCTATATTTACATGTAACTTTGGATTTACACAAGTATTTGGAAATTATTTTATTGTCAAATAATAATAAAATCAAATCTAGTTTAATGATAACAGCATCGCGTTATTATTACTATTATTACACACAAATATGGTTCTATGTATTATAGAAAAAAGTGACAAAACGAACAAATAAGATGGACGTGTTAGCAGTAGTGGAATTGTTGTTGTTGGTGGTGTTGCTGTTGTTTTTGTTTTTAGAATGAAAAGTAATAAATTTTAAATCTTTCCAATATTTAAGAGATGCTGTAACATCAAACAGAGAGAAAAGTGATAAATATAAATAAAATTATTATATATAAAATATTAATTTTTAGTTAAATTAAGTTTTATAATTTTGTATGTTAAAAATTAATATTTTTATAACGAATAAATTGTATTATTATAACTGTTCGATTATCTCTTACTTACAAAAGTATAAATAAAATTTATGTTCTGTTTTGCACTGTTGTTAGTTTTTAATTGTGATATAGAGGTTCATAATCATGCATGACAATATTTAAGTGTCAGTTGGAAATGGCATCACTCATTAGCATAGATTTTAAAAAAAAAAAAAGCAAAGTAAGAAAAGGTATCAAACACAGTATAGCAAACAAAAAAATACTGATGATTCCAATCAGATTGGCACAACACCATCCATTAATTAATACAAATTTTCAAATTTGATTAGATCGTTTATTTTTTGGATATATTGAGTTCTTCACTCTATATTTTATATTTTTATGTTTGGTGATATGATGATGAATATTATGGTCTTATATGAATCATATTATTCGCTTGTGTGTTATACAGTTATTACTCCACACAAAACCCCACTCATCATTAAACCATCATTCACCCAACACCACTACCACCACAAACCACTCTAATTTGAAGAGTCAAAACTTAATATTAAAAATATATTAAATATAAATCATGTACAAACTACAACCATATTTTTTTTTGTTTGTTCCAATGTTTTTATAAAATTAATATCGTTTGGGTGTGTTGTTTGAACAAAAATGGTTACTGTTATTAATATATTATATTGATTTGGATTAAAATTCACTATTATTGGTTAATTTTTTTTTGTTTTTTTTTTTGACAAAATTAAGGTGGTTTGGTTGTTTTGAAAATAAAAATACACAAGATGTTCTATGAATAATTCTGACAATAAAAAGTAGTACTTGTTTTTCAAAAGATATCGATATCTTTAGATTAAAAACACACATTTAGTTAACAATCATGAATGACTTTATGATTTTATCAACATTTGTAATTAAATGTCGATGTGATGATGAAATTGTAATAAAATATAAAAACAAAATATTATTATTTTGGAATTATTAGAAATAAATTATTGTTTGTTTGTTTGCTGTTTATCTTACTTGAATATTATATTGCTCTAATCGATATATGTAGAGATTGAAGTGGCATCCAGGTGTAGAGATTCTTAAGATCGTTGGTACTTTCGATGCATTGTTTAAGTTGATCGATCAATTGCAAGAGTAATGTGGTGGACTCACTACCAACACAATCACCAAGTATGAATGCAACTAAACTTGATTCCTCTACGTAATCGTTGTAGTGTTTATAGTGATTTCTATTATCCTTAAGCAAAGGTGTTACCTTTTCATAGTAACTCTCCAAGTGTTTAGTCTCCTCCACTATTTCATTGACCAGCAACTGACTGTCTCTATTAAATGTACAATCCACACTGTTTTTACTTTCACAAACATTGCTATTGTTATTGTTGTCATTATTATTATCATTATTCTCCAAACACAATCTTTTCACTGATTTAAAAGGTGGATTTAATGATCTATTGAAATAATCTACTATTGATAGATTTCTTATACTAATTTTAATGTCTTGATTATTATTATTATTTATAATATCATTACATATATTTGATAATAATGATAATTGATGCTTTGATAGATATTGATTGTCGTTAAGACATGCTATTGTAATCTTTGGCCATTTGGTACCAATATTCTCTCGAGGTAGATGAAATTCATCGTCAGCATCAATATTGTTTAGGATTGACTTTAAACTCCAAATAGACTTTGTGAATGCTTTGAATACAATCGTTAAAACACCATTGTAAGCAACGATTATCGAATGCACAACCAAATCTGAAACCATTAGATTACCAACTAACTTTTCTTTCATGATTATTGAAAACACTCTATCACTATTACTCTTTATCATATTATAACGGTTATCTTTCTTCATCTCCACAATTTTACTTTTATAACTATATCAATAATTAATTATATCTAGCTATTTATTTATTTTCAAGTGATCATTTAAAAAAAAATATCATAATATCAAAAAAAAAAAATCAAATCATAATCATATATTTGTTTACTATGTTTTGATAATCAATTGTTATAACTTTTATCTATCAACTCAAGCTATACATATGTATCAATCAAATATCATCAATATAACAAATTAATAAATGATCTTTCACTTTACCGATGATTAGAACATCTATCTAAGATAGATAAAAACATAGATAAATATAGATAAATATAGATTAATGTTTTTAGATTTAAGGTTATAATGATAAATAAAATAAAAGTTTAAAAAATGAACCTATTTCAAATGTATATAATTTTAAAGTATTATAATAATGACATTATCTATATTTAAACTAATGCTATTTTAAAACAGATAGATTGACTTATTAGAATAGAAAAGCTAGAGACACTGATACCATTGCACTGTTGTTTATTGAACTTATTACCATTGTCGTTCGTACCGACGGTCAGAACAATACAATATTATATCAATGCAAAAGAGAATTTAACACATTTTAAGATTGTCAAAAACAAAACAATTAAACACATTATGTTGTTTATTTGAATGTTTTAATTAATGTGGTGTGGATGTATAAAAGAGTATTTAGAACCTCTTTTAAGTTTTAAATAAACCACAAGACATGTATCTCTTTTAAAAATTATTATTGTTTTTTAAATTTTAAAAAAAGAATTAAAGTATATAGTAGTAGTGTTGTATCAAACACACTTATTTTATAAAAACACTGTGTGTGTGTTTGTATATATATTAACACTCACAAACTCTATATATTTTTAAGGTGTGGTGTTTGCAAAACAGAAATAGAATTTAAAGTGTGGGTTAATCAAACAATTAAGTTTTTTACAACAACAATTTTTAATATGTTTCATTTTTAATCCAAAGTTAGTAAGATGAATAGGGGTACTCTCAAAGATAGAAAACTCTACCACCCACACCTAAACATACACATCAAACAAAACACATACAATCACACACTCACAACTTTTATAAATTCAATTTTATTTGTTTGATTTGATTTATTTTATTATTTATTTTGTTTTTATTTAGATGATGTTGTCTCTTTTTTTCAACAATTGAATTTGGTTGGTCAGTTGCTTGGTATTTGTCTACTAACAAATTAATAATACTATTATATTATATTATTACTTTTAATACATTTAATAATATTCATAATAACAATAACAATATTCACAATTTATCAGATTAATCAAAAAAATAATAATAATATTTTTTTCCAACTTTTTTTTTTTTTTTTAGACGTATAAATAATTTTATTGATATATCCTTTATATCCATCTATTTAAATACTTAAATTTAAGATTTAAGTTTTTTTAACCTCCTTTTCAACAATATAAACAAAGACAAGAAAAAACAAATATCAAGATAACCCCAATAATATTCAAAACTTTTTTATACTTTTCATAATTGATACTATCAATAGCAATAGCAACCAAAACAAACCAACTACTTAAAAAATAACAAACACATAATCCAAGTTTAAATATTAATTAAACACAACTTCTTAAAAACAATTATAATAATAGCTGCAAATTATAATAATTCACATTGATACAAACTCAGAGTTCAGGTTTCAATTGGTGAAAGTACTTCTATTTCTCCCGCCAATTCTAATCTCTTTGTTGTTTCAATTTCAATTCATTGAAGCTGTTGGTGAACACAAACCTCCTAACTGCAATAATTCATTGAACAAGAGACACTGATACTGAATTCTATTTCATCATTATATCTATCCAGCAAACAGCAACATTTTCCCGTTGCTTTAAATAGAATAATTACTTATTCTAAATTTTCATAAAAAATATCACTACTCTAAATCAATTTTTAGTTTTTATTGTAATTTATTAAATATTTTAAAACTACAAAATTTCATCACTTTACCTTTTGATTTATTTTGTTTGGAATATTAAAATGGTAAAGTATATTCAATTTGAAAATAAAATTCTCAAGATTTAAAAACTAATTTTCCAACTTTTTCTTTTAATTTTAATCAGATAAATAGCCCAATCATTCAAAATATAATATCATTATTCACTCGAGAAGATGATAGCTATTTTAAATATGATAGAAAACCTCGACAACAAATATTACTACCAATCAAAAAAGATCAAGAAGAAATCAATACTACAAAGAAACACAATGAAAACTATGTGGTAAGTTCAATTTGAAAGTAAATTTATTAATTTTCTGGAAAATCAAATACTAATAATATTTTTTTACAAAACAGAAACATTTATTAAACTTTCCGGATGAAATTATTGTATTAATATCGAAAACACTGTCACTAAAAGATATAATGAATTGTAGATTAGTTTGTAAAACTTTTAGTGAAACCTACAATGATTTCGAAATGTGGAAAGGAAAATTCTTTCATCTCAACCCTAACAAGTCAATTGAAAAACCATTGTTAACTTTGACTATCAAACCCTCTGGGAGACTCTGTCCATCAGCTGCATCATACAATAACTCGATTTATATTTATGGTGGTGACAATGGTTACAAAGATCAAGTAATGAATCTAATTGGTGAAGTAAAGAGTGATGTTTGGCAATATAATATAGATAGTAAGATATATAAAATTATAGATATTTAAAAATAATTTTTATTTATTAATCTGTTTTTTTTTGTTTTTAGCAAACTTATGGAATAATTTAGAGATAGTAGGAAATGCACCAAAGCTAACTGAACATAGTGCTGTAGTTTGGAGAGATAATATGATATTATTTGGTGGTAGCACTGGATCTGTACCTCAATACTCAAACTCTGTCTACAGCTTTAACTTTAATACCAAAATAATTACTCATCATACTACTACAGGCAATGGACCGACTGCTAGATCAGCTCACTCTGCAATTTGCTATGAAGACTCAATGTATATATTTGGTGGTTGGGATGGATATGAATCAAATAATGATATTTATAAACTAGACCTTAGTAAATATAAAATATTATAATTTTATTTTTGATTTTATCACTAATTTAAAACTATTTCTTTTAGAAACAAATGTTTGGTCACAAATTAAATCTGAAAATGCTCCATCGAAAAGAAGAGCACACAGTTCTGTAATATATAAGAATAATATTTATATTTTTGGTGGTTTTGATACAAGTAAAAAACCAGAAACATTTAATATACTATATAAATTTTCTTTAGGTAAATAATAATAATAATAATAGTAATCTAAGATAATATTTTCTAATCAATTTATTTATTTTTTAGAAAATGAAACATGGAGTGAAGTCGAATGTTTTGGAGATATTCCAAGAGGAAGATCTCGTGCTTCAATGGTCGAATTTAATGATAAGTTATTTTTAATCGGTGGATGGGATCGAATCGATTACTTCCAAGAGCTCCATGAATTCAATATTGCAACGAGTCAATGGAAGAAGTTGGATGCCAACATCGAAGAGATGAGCATCGGGCTGGGCCAAAACTCAGTCTCTGTCTTGGAGAATAGAATGGTTATTTTCGGTGGATATATACCAAAGAAGAAAGTATCTACAAATGAATTATTCTCAATAAGATTGGCATAATAAATTAATTAAATAAAAATCTTTATTATAATTTTAACGTGTCAAATATTAAAAAATTATGTCACCTGAAAAAAAATTTGTAAAATTCCAGATCGACTAGAATAATTTATGTCATTCTGGTTCTATTTTTTTTTTGTTGTTCTTTGAATAATTTCGATTCCGATTTAACTTGCAATCAAATTAGGTATTACTTTATTTTAATTTAAATTTTAATAATTATTTATTTTATTGTTTTAATGACTATACACAAGGTTGTTTTAATATTTTGTTTTTTTAGATTATTTTTGTTTTGTTTGTTATTAGAGGAAACTAACTATAATATTTAAATATATAATTATATAACCAATAAACAGAGAGAAAGAGAGATTTGGATAAAAAAAAAAAAAAGATTGTTATGTTGAAAAAATTAAATTGAACACTATTCTATTAGGAGAGTGTCTGCGTGAAATGTCTTGGAATTATTATGTGGTGGTGGTGGTGGTGAATTAATTAATTAAATTAGGCGTAGGCGAGTCTCGAGACTGGTATTGCAAAGTATAGCTTTAGTAAACGGTGGCGGTGGCTGACTCCTTGTCAGAGATGGCAAAGAAGAGGGCAGTCAACACTGGTGAATCCTTGATGACGTCAATCAATTGATTGACTTCGGCTTTGAGAACCATGTTTTCGCTTTCGAGTCCGGTGAGGGCCTTGTTCAATGAACCAGAGTTGTGAGTGAGCTCCTCGACACGGTGCTCCAACTCGGTGAGACGCTCTCTCTTACGCTGACGAGACAAATGAGCAGACTCACGATTCTTGATGAGACGCTTCTGTCTCTTGAGATCCTTCTTCTCCTGGGAGGAGAGCTCACGAATGTTCTGATTGACATGCTCGTACTCTTCCATCTCTGTGCTCGAGAAAGTGTTGAGTTGGTCCTTCGAGAGCGATACCAAAGTGGATTGCGAATCCTTCTCTTTGGATGGCTCGTTGGTGTTGTTTCTCATTGGACCAGCGCTGGATGTGGATGGCTCTTGTTTTACATAGTTGTTGGTGGTTGTGGTGGTGGTAGTAGTAGTGGTGTTATTGATGTTGCTATTGGATATGCTATTTGGATTGTAAGTTGGATTGGAAGTATTGTAAGGCATGGAAAACAGTGGATCCAAGACAGAGGTGTTGGCTCTGAGTTCGTCGAGTTTGGACGAATCGATTTGGAAGGTGGTCAATGGCAACTGACTGAATTCGTTGAATGACTTTGGTGGCTCGTACAGGTCGAACTTACTGCTCTTCAGTGGAATGATTTCGACCGGTTGGAACTCCTTGTTTCCGCGGTTGATCTCATTGATCACCTTGCTAACTTCATCGCCGTTTCCAAGCGATTGGTCCATCTTGTCGTCGATACCGGTGGAGAACAACGATTGGTTGTCGTAGAAGAAGTTGTCCAACTGCTGGCTGGAGGTCAAGAAGGAACGACCGTTCATCTTGGCTGTCGAACTCGACAAACCGAGACCAGAGTTGGTGAGGAGCGACGATGGTGTTGGAATTGGCATCTGTAGGTATGAGCTGCTGCCACTCATAATCGAGGTGAGGTCGGCACGCAACTGTTGGTTCGATTGCTGTGACTGAGATTGCTGCTGCTGCTGTTGCTGCTGTTGTTGACCGTCCACCGGATTGTTATTCCAGACCACCAACATCTCGTTCAATGTCTTATTGAACGATTCAATCTCATTGGTGCCAATGATATTCAAGAGATCTGATGAAAAATTCAACATTTTTATTATTTTCGTATTATTACTGATTACTACTAAAAACTTAAAACTGCAGTATGTTTGTTATTATTAACAACTAACTATTATTATTTTTTACTATTTAAATGAAAAGATTTAACTATTGTTATTATTAATAATATGAACTGAACTAGCCGAGCTTCTTCGTTGATAGTAATAACAATAGGTAGATCTTTGTTGATGAAGATAAAATTGCATAAAATCTATTAAATAAACTATTTTTTTTGATTACTTGATTTAAAATTAAACTAAACTATTAAATTAAATTAAACTATACTAAACTATATTACTATTATGATTATTATATTATTTTAAAGGTATTATTTATATATAATTTTTGATGTATGTATGTATTGAAGTATTTCGGTATATATACTACTATGTATGTATTTATGTACTATATTAAAATGAAGAGGAGAGAAGTGTGAATTATATTATATTATTATTATTAATATTGAATAAATAAAAGGAAAAAAATAAAGAAATGTTTAAAGAGTAACTTTATTTTATATTTAAATAAATTTTTAATTAAATTTTAAAATGTGTTGGTATTTGTTGATGTTTAAACAAAAATAGAATCTATTTTGTTTTGTTTTGTATTTTTTTTTTTTTTGAAAAAAATATAAATTAGATATAATTATTTTTTGATTATATAAATAAAATACTTTTCACAGGTATTTTTTATTTACTAGTAAACAAAAGAAAAAAAAAAAATATATTTAATGTTTTGGGAATTTGAAAAATAAAAAATAAAAAAATTGAGAAATTAAAAAACAAAACACTGCACCCACACCCAAACTCACCTGATTTTCAAAACTGGTTTGGATTTTTTATTGAAGGTTATAATAGTGTTTAGGTTACATCATTATGATGCTTATTGTTTTTTGACTCACCAATTTTTGAAAAACGTTACTTTTTTTGTTGCTTTATTTTTTAAAATTGAAGATAATAAATAAATTTAAATCTGATTATAAAATTTATATATTTTAAAAGATATTAGATTCGATTCTGCTATTTATAATCTATCTAGATTTATTATTAATCAGAATACGAATAAACAAATGAGTTATATTTTTAGACCTAACTCTTTAATTTAAGAATTCTTTTTACAATAATAAAAAATAAATAAATAAATAAATAAATCAATAAATAAATAAAAGAACTTTCTTTTTTAGAAAATAGAAAAATGATGTTTATAACTTGATATCAAAATTATCATTCATTATTTCATTGTCTGCTGAGTCTTTTTGTGTGATCAATCAAAGATGAAGTTCTGCTTTTTATTTTTATTTTTTTAAAAAATTCTTAAAACAATTTTAAATTAATATTAATATAAAAAATAGTAATAGTAACTATCTATAATAATAACAAGAGATGTTTGAGATTACAAAGAAGGTTTCGAATGCACATGACGATGGTATATGGGCTGTTAGCTGGTCAGCCGACTGTATTGCAACTGCTGGTATGAGCTCAAGAGTAAAGACATGGTAATGTTTCTTTTTAGTGGGGCAATCTATCGATCAAATGAACATGTTTATCAGTATATATTAACTTTTATTATTATACATTGTAGGAATACATCACCAGCAAACTTTTTAACAGAGAAGAAATCATTTGATAAACATATATTGGGTGTATCATCATTGGATATAAATATAGGTTCAAAATGTTTGTGTTATTATCAACTCTAATTGAATTCAATTTCAAATTCAATTTAGAATCGAATCGAATCGAATCGAATCAGCTAATCATTCATTTTTCATCATTATTCTGATTGATATAGATTTGGCTACAAGTGGGTTGGATTCACATATAAAAATTTGGAATCTTCAAGATAATGCATTGTTTAAAGATATTGATGTTGGACCTTGTAAGTTGGAGTTATATATTAATATATAACTATAGTTTATTTGTTAAATATTATAAATAGTTGTTAACATTATCTTTATCTAAACCAATAAACAATAACAATAATGATAATGATAATGATAACAATATAGTTGGAACATGGGCACTTGCATTTTCACCAACAGGCGAACAATTTGTAAGTGTATCTCAAACAGGTTCAGTCAATATGTGGATCACAGAAACAGGTGAGAAACGTGTATTACAAGCACCGAATGAACAGCGTCCTTTGATGAGTGTTGCCTATGCACCATCGGGTAAGTTGATTGCTACCGGTGCCTCCGATGGTACCGTCGTAGTGTACGACATCGACACTGGCAAGCAAGTCAATACCTTTGAGTGTCATGCGATGCCCGTCAGAACACTCTGCTTCTCACCGGACTCAAAGCACTTGTTTAGCGGTAGCGACGACTCCAAGATCAATATATACGATCCACTCGGTCAGGGTGTGATCGCTTCACTCCAAGGTCACTCCTCGTGGGTTCTCTCAGTGAGATGCTCAAAAGACGGTAATAAACTGGCATCGAGTTCCAGCGATAGAACCGTCAAGATTTGGGATATCGCAACAAAGAAATGTGATCATACATTCAATGATCATGCCGATCAGGTAAGTCAGTCGCACACACACAACAACAAAATAATATTCATATTCATTTTTATTATATCCAACCCGACAAACTAACTCTACAAACGAGTGAGTGTGTGGGAAATCAGAGCAGAAAAATAACCTAAACCGCTAATTTTTAAATTTTAACTTTAAACAAATCAAACCAACCAATCAATGATCGATCATTTCATTAATTCAAATCTCTTTCTTCTTTGGGATATGTAATTAATTAATTTAGGTATGGGGTGTTGCTTGGTCACCTGTAGATAGTTCCAAATTGATCTCCGTTTCTGATGACTGTAGTATGATTGTATACTCTATCAAACAATAAAAAACTATAAACTATAAACTATAAAATAAAAAACGATAATCAATTTGATAAAAAGACAATATACATTAATTATACGGTTGAATGAATGTTGACCATGACTTTTATTATTATTATTATTCATTCAAAAAAAAAAAGGTTGTTCATATGCGAAACGGTTCTTGATTGGTGATAGCAAAGGTGTGACCATTAGAAATATTATTTAATTATAATAATTGAATTAACTAATTAAGTTTTTTATTCATTTTTTGGATTCTAAAAATCGAAAGTTTTTTTATTATTGAGGACCTCAATGTTTAATGTTTTTTTGATGGTTTTTAAAAGAGAAAAACCGAAAAAAGAAAAGTGGTTTATTTTTTGTTTTTATTCAATACCACTTTTGACATACCGCCACGCAACTTCTCACCAACGCACTTTGAAATTTTAAAACCACTAAATTATTTTCAATTAAATTTTTTGGTTTAGTTTTTTTTTGTTTTTTCATTTTTTTTATTGGGCTCAACAAGATTTATCTAGTTTTGGAAAAGTACTGGTTTTTGCTTTTTCAATCGAATCGATATCTTTTGTGAGATTTTTGAAAAATTAAATTTACCAATCAAAACTTTCAATAAAGGAGTTTGTGGTGTTTTTGTTTTGTTGTTTTTCAATTTTCAAAATCACATCTTTAATTAAAACCGTACCCCAACAAGTTTTGTGATCACATATTAATCTTAGTCGAAAATGAGTGAGTATCTGCCCACTATAGATTCAAGACAACAACAATGAGCTGTAGTCTAGCCACCTAAACAACAATAACAACACACTCGACTGACACCAGTGCTCATTTATATCCCTCATTGATATCAGTTCACAACATCCTATATAGAATTTGATTTATTGGGGTGTTTGTTGTTGTTGTTTTTTATACTCTGAAAAGAGCAAACTTCTTTTTTTAAAACAGTTTATATTTAACACTTTTTTTTTTTTTTTTTTACAATTTTGTTAAATTAGATTCATTCTGGTAGCAAGTCTATGTCTTATGTCTTCTGGTGGTCTATTTTTCATCCAAAACCTAATTAATTATAAATATAGTGGTTTTTGTCTCTTCCAATTTAACATTTCAACTACATTTTCAAACTATTTTGTTAATTGTTTGCTCGGAATCAATCAAATCTATCCGCACATCAAATTCCATTTATATCTTGACTTAAATCACAAATGTTTCTAAACATTTGAGATCAACAAACTGCCAATCAAACTTTTTGGATCAACACAAGATCTATATGGATTACATATAAAAAATACTAAATCCTAAATAGTATTATTTTTTCTTTTAATTTTTATTTTAATTCTTTTGCTATCATTGCAAACTGTCAACACAATATCATCAAAAAAAGTGACTTACGGTATCCTTGCTTCAATTTATTTATCTATTAAATAATTAATCAAATCGAATCGAATCCTTATTTTAAATATTTAGTTTTTCTTTTTTTTTTTCATTATATTGTACAAAACTATAGATTTGTAAATTATTTATATATTTATTAAATATTTTATATATATATGTAAAAAGAATGAATATTACAATTAAAATATTTTTATTTTTAGTTTTAATATTTGGAGTTTGTAAAAATGCTGCTGGACATATAAATCTAGCGGTAATGTTAAGTGGTGTAGTAGGTGACTTGGGTTTCAATTACATGGTAAATATTGCTCGTGTAAATACTGAACGTCAATTAAATTTACGTGGAACTCTTCTCCTTGAAAATATTTTGACGGAGAACACAGTCGATACCGTAGAGGGTTTGGTAAAGAAAAACTACCAGCTAATTATTTGCTCGTCGTTTGACCACACCGGTGGTTGCTACAAAATGGCTGCAAAATATAAAAATGTTAATTTCCTGCTGCGAGATATTCCATGTCAGAAAGTTGGTGACGGATCATGTAATAACCTGCCATCCAACGTCGGAACCATCATGATGGATCTCGGATTTCCACAATACATCATTGGATACATTGCCGGTTTAGTGTCAAAGAATCACTCCGTTGGAATTGTTGTTCCAGGTCTACCTACATTCTCTTATTCCACCGCCAATGCTTTCATGATTGGTGTAACCAAAGCAGTCGCTGACTATGGTTTGCCAGCTAGCAAAGTCTACACCGTCGAGACTGGATCGTGGTTGGACGTCGACAGAGAACGTGGTGCCACTCAAAAGCTAATCGATCTCAACGTCGATGTCATCGGTATGTCTTCCGATGATCTCACCGTACAGCAAGTCGCCATTGAGAATGGAGCTTACACCTTTGGAACCTCTGGATATCCAGTGTTCAACGTCCTCGGAGAATCGATCCTAACATCGGTTCTCACCGATTGGACTGCCACTTTTATCAATGCAACTCGAATGGTTATGAATGGTAATTGGTCTAGTTACTCTTGGCAAGGAGAGTATAGCACCGGTGACTTGACAATGGATATCTACTCACATATCGTCGACAACGTAACAATGTCAAGAATCCAACAGGAGTTGACCAACATTAGAACCTCTGTCAACCAAACCATTCAACCATACAACTGTCATATTCTATACAAACAATCTGGATACCCAGTAGACAGTAATAACTGCGTACCCTATCAATCGCTATTGGATAGTCCAACATTATTAAAAGGAATAGAGGGTCTTGGATTATATGAAATTCCAGTTGTTCATGTATGTTATCATAGTAATATTAAAATAATTTCATTATACTAATTTAATTATTCTCAAATCTTTTAGAAACCAATTGGTAGATCTATTACTCTTGGATTTTCAATTACAACTGGTATTGTTGCATTCGTCGCAGTTCTCATGCTTCTTGGTGTAATCATATTTAAATCTACAAAGATATTAAAGTCGGCCAGTCCAGTATTCTGTATGGCCATTATCGTTGGTGGTCTTCTTGTATTCTCAGGTATCATTATTTGGGTACAAGAACCAGATACATCATTGTGTCGTGCTCGTTATTGGTTATTATCTTTGGGTTACACAATCATGTTGGGAAGCATGGTAATTAAAAACTTTAGAATCTGGTTAATCTTTGAGTATGTATATTACCTAAACAATAACAACAACATTCTAACTTGTTAATTTAATTATTGAAAATATAGTAATCCAAGATTAAAGAGACTAAAGATTACAAACAAAACATTGTTACCATACATTCTTGCTCTGATCATTTTGAATTGTATTATCTTGGCAGTGATGACCGGTATTGGAAAGATCGAATCGATTCGATCGTTCGGTACCGACGGTCTGAGTACTTACCAATACAGAAACATGTGTGATCAAAAACTCAGTGGAAACATCGTTCTATATATCTTACTTGGTTACCATGGTATCATGTTGTTGGTTGGTTGCTTCGTATCTTGGAAGATCCGTATCGTAGAGATCCCAGAGTTTAACGAATCGAAACCGATTGCCAATACACTCTATGCTATTTCATTCTGTCTCTTCATTATCATACCATTGATAGTCTCTCAAAACGGTTTGGATTCACAAGTAATCGTTATTTGTGCAAGTGCACTCTTCACAACAGCATCTTCACTCGTCATTCTATTCGTACCAAAATTCTGGAGGTAAGTAGTTAGTTAAGATCTTTTTAGAATGTTTGATTATTAATAATCTTTATCTTTAATAATTATAGATTATATACAAAGGGTGTCAATGCCGATCCATTCTCATCATCTTCGACCAATACATTTGTTGCATCTGTTGGCAAATCGAATGCAGTTGGTATGCAAACAGTGGTCGCTGCTGGAATGGACGAAACAAACACAAGTGCTCCACCAGAGATAAAAGACGATTCTGAATCAGTATAACAACAATAATAATATTTATAAAACTATAGTTAACTATGTAATATATATAGAAAGGCAAAACGATATAATATATAATAATATTCTTAAGTTTTTCCCTCCAACTTATGAATACATAACAAACAAAACAAAACCAAACAAAACATAACATAACATAACATTTATATAGTAATCATACCGAATGAGTAAGAACTCAACAAACACATCATATATTCAATCAAAAAAAAAAAAAGTAAAACAAAAAAATAATAACAAACTTGAAAACAAAACAAACAACTCTGTATAACAATTATTTAAAATAAAAAATATTATATTATTTATAGATTTCAAAATCTTGAATCGGATCGATTTAGAAAATTGGAGTGTGAAATTAATTCTTTGAAAGATCATAATTCTTTTTTTTTTTTTTTTTTTTTTTTAATTTAATTTGAACATTAACTAACTCACATAAAATACTTATTAATAACTCATGTGATTTATATTTATTAATAATGTTGTTTTTTTCTTAAATAAATATGTCTTTAGTTGAAAGTAATAGTAAAAATAGTTGTAGTAATGTTGATATAAATATTGTATATAGAGTATTTAGAAATAAATATGTTATAAAGAGAATTTTTAGTTTTGTAAGATATTGTAATTTGGCATCGCTTTGGAGATCTGGAGGAAATGAACATCGATATATATCACCTCACTATATGGTATCGAGACAACAGTCGGTAGTGAATAAATCGAGATCCTACGATACTATCTACAAGGCAGAGTGGATTCTGAAATACTCGTTGCTTGGCCTACTCAAAGACAAACTGAAACAATCTCTAGAGAATCAAAAGAATCGAAAAGTCTATCATAAATATTGTAATGACAAGTTGGAGATGGAGATGCTTCAAGAGGAGAAAGAGAAGGAGGAGTTGGAGGAGCAGCAGCTCGACACGGAAGAGGATCAATTGTTGCTGTTTGAAAACTTTGATCAATATCATAATCTAGAGTGGAATGACAACTCAATTAAGATGTTTACACAGCTGGTTAGAGGGGAGAATTCGTCAGAGTTGTTGGATTTGATGGTTGCTACTGTACCGTCATTCCATAGAGATTCACTACTGGAGTATTCGGTTATCTACAATAACTACCCACTGTTTTGTCTACTTGCACAGACCAACTACTATAGCGATCAGTCCGATCTCTTCTGGATAAAGATGCTAAAGATCGCTATTCATAATAGTTGCATACAGATCATCAGACACTCGAGATTCAGTGCGTTGGATCGTCGGGAGGTGATACAGTACGAACCAAAAATGATGGAGATTGCATCGAGCACCATGAATATCGACGTTGTTCGATTCGTCTACGAAAACAAATATAGAGATCTGACGCGAATATCTTCGAATGTCTCGTTTTATGGGCTGCTCATGACACTGAGTATTGAGTTTGTCGAGATTCTGCTTACCAACAACGTCTACAATTATTCCCAACAGGCATTCATTGATTTTACATTGCAACTAACACAAATGAATCCAGAAAAGTTGACATGGGATCATCTTCAAATGTTTAATTACATTCATAATCGATTCGAATCAAAGTCATCAATGTCGTCATTATCTTTGTCGCTGTCGTCGTCATCCTCCTCGTCGACCAATCAGAAAAGTGTTATGGACTTTTGCTGTGAAGCTATCAATTTGTTTGGTGAATTCGATATGCTTCCCTACCAGAAATACTACTTGTCATTGGTTCTGATGTTGTTGGAGTACGACTATCACGTCGAGAAGATATCGATGCTGCAAGCCGCTGAGAAGATGATATCGTTTGGCAATCCCGTGGTGATAGAGTTTGTCATCACCAACAAAAAGATGAATCTCCACAAGATCAGTTCGTTCTACTTCAAGTATATAGTTCTGCATTGTCCTTTCAAGATCGTCGATAGATTCAAGTATATATGCACTGGTAGAGATATCTATTTGGGTGTGTCCACTCACGATACTCTTAGAACGTTGAAGCTGGTTAATGAAACGCTCAAAGGCAACATCTATCCGGTGGTTCTGCACCGTGAGATCGAACGAGGAAATCTAGAGACGATCCACTATCTCTTGGAGAGCTGCAACATACCAAGGAACAATGAGTACATAGAGAAGGCATTCCAGTGTAAACGGCTGGATATTGTTGAGATACTGCTGAGATACAATCAGCAGACATTTCCATGTTTCTCAAGACACAAAGATTTCATTTCCCAACACTTTATTGAGCTGCATAGTATTGCTCCGACCATTTTCAAGCCGGCTCATGTCTTTCTAGAGATGATGGTATTCCATGGCTTAGACGAACAACTTAACTACGCACTGAAACTGGTTGATCTATCGAATTTCGAACAGATACCAACTTTCAACCTATTTATTTCCGGTAATATGCGACTGGTCGCTCGAATGATCGACGGGAAATTCACCAACGGAATATTCGACCCAAAGTGTTGGGAAATCGCTGCAAAAAGAAGATCCTATGAAATGTTGGATTTCCTAATCCAATATTCAGACGTGAAAAAGTATAAACATCAAACTATAAACATGGCAAACAAACTTGGATATAATAATATAGTTGATTATATTCAAAATAAATCTGCTTAACATGTATATATGTAATAATTTATTTTTTAAAGTTTATTTACAAATTAAAAATTTCTAAATTAATTTATCAATTATTATTATTATTATTAATTATTATTTTACAATATTTAGTTTTCCCTCCATAGGAATATATATATAGCATGTTATAGGAACGTTTTCAACTATTATTATTTTCCAGATAACCTTTTATATTTTCAACCATTGTTCTGTAATCTATGGTTTCGATTGGTTCTCTTGAAATGATTGGATTGTTTCTATATAGGTAGGCAAAGAAATATAATTTGTTTCCGATGGTGTGGAATCGCAAGCCTTTGTTTAGCTTCTCCATTTGTGGAATGAATTTGGAGAGGGTGTCATGAACCAGTGCCATTTGGTCGCCGTAGTCAGTGAATTCAAATGCGTAAACCAATACACTCTGATAGAGGTTGTAAGTGCCTGGCTGAAGGTTTTGGTGGTTCTGATGTCTCCAGGCCTCACTGACGCAGTCAAAGCTGGTGGGAGACGGTGGTGACATTGTCTGATATTCGTAGCCCGTCGTAATGAACAGTGTTTCATTGCAATTGTTGATGCCGTTGAGGATCGACAGTTTGGTGGCGAACGATGCTTTGAAGTCCGATGTAAATCCGAATCTCTTTGTCAAGTTGAGTCCAGAGGCAGAGTTGGCGCCATCTACAATATCGATGGTCTGAATGTGTTGAGTGAAAGCACCAACCGGAGCAACATTGTAGGTGGCATTCATCATCAGTTGGCCACCCAATTTCAATGGAAGTTTGACACGTTGTTTGTCTCCATTGATCAATACACAAGGCGCCAAAAGAATTTGTTGATCTATTTGTGTGTTTTTATCAACAACCATTACTATTTATTATTAATAATAAATTAAATTAATAACCTTTTATAAATACACTAAAAATAATAAAATTAAAACAAAAAAGAAAAGATAATACATACTATTATTACTATTTGTACAACTTATTTCAATCATTTTTATTTTTAGAATAGTATGTATTAAACTAATTTGTTTAAGATGTGTAATTAATTTATTAATTGATAAATCAGATGCTTGTGAATGAATGAATGAATAAATGAATATTTAAAAATCAGATATAAATAAATATAATATTAATAAAGAAACTAAAATTGGGTGAATGAAAGTATAAGGAACTAGTTTTTTTTGGATATATATGTGATCATTGACCCTAAATGAGTTAAAAGTTTGAAAAGTTGTTTGTGTGTTGTGTGTAGTTTAAAATATAGTGAAGGATCAATAACACCCCTTTGAAATCACAATAATCACTTTTTGTTTTTAGTTCGTATAAATTAAAATAAACATTGAGTTGCAGTGAGTGTGTGACCTATAAGAGTATTTGTTGTTATTTATCTATCTATCTATTAGAATGTTCGAATGTGTGTTGTTTTATAAATAAGAATGAACAAGATTGATTTATTTGGTTTGTTTGTTTTTTTTTAAAAAAACTATGAGAAAGGAAGATTAATCAAAACTGGTTGGTGGTTGTTGTCATCAAATTTAAATTGTGTTGAACAACTTAAAGAAGGAGTAATAACAACCGATCATTTTTTTCTACAAAGAAACAACATTATAAACCTCCTCAATCAAAAAAATTGTGTTTTACAAAAAAAAAAAAAAACAAATTCAAAAAAAATGATGATCATTGCTTTGCTGACTGTCAAAAAGGTCATTATTTGTCATCAGATTAAGAATATCACCTCCTGGTGACCAATTGAAAGGTTGTCATCTCATATCCACAATTTCAATGTTTATTAGTTTTTTTAAATTTTTTTTTAGATTCTTTGGTCCAAAGAAGAGGATACAAATTCCAATCTATGAAAAAAAAAAAACAAATCAAACAAGTCTTTCTATCTTTCACCAAACAAACAATCTTTTCAATGTTTTTAATAGAAAATCATATGAAATTGTTTTGTTTTTTGGGGTTATAATTGTAAACCATCGAAATAAATCATTAGTTTGCGGGGTATCATCATTTGAAGAATGTCACGATCTTTCTTTTAATAATAATAGATTCGTAGGAATCTTTTTTGCTTTCTTGTTTGAATTTAAAATCATTAAATAGATTTCATTGTATCAAAGCAAAAGTATCTGATTAACTTTGCGGATGCGAGTGAAAGGGGATAAAATGTGGGAGTATTTAAATCATTCATAGAAGTGTAAAAAATTTTCCAAAAATAGATAAAACCATCACAACTTCACTGTTTTGTGTATGGTTTAGTCCAGGACAATGGATGCGCATGAGATTTTTTTTAGTTTTTTTTTACCACAAATTCAGCATTTTGATAGTTTGAAAAGCCTGGATTCAGATTTTACCCTCGATTCTTATTTTTAACCACAAGAAAAATGATGCTCATCAGTAGGTTTTTGTTTTCACTGGCCACATAAAAAAAAAGAAAGAAAGTTGGAGATATTTACATTGTTTATAAAACAGTTTTCAATTATTTGTTTATTTATTGGTTTAAATAGTTTGTTAATTATTACTTCCACCAATCAAAGTTGCATTTTATAGTTATTATTGTTTTCTTTCATTATTAAATAACAATGATCAATGAATAATTCAATTTTAGTGTTGTAGTAATTGATTATTGATTGATTCGATTCGATTGTTTTTTTTTTCTTTTTAAAAAAATTATTGGTTATTTTGCTTGATCACCAAGGTGTAGGAGGATAGAAAAAAAAAAGGTAGAGAATAAGGAATGAAGAAAACAAGACTTGATCCTCTTTGTGATGTAGATGACCGAGGCATTTTCATGCGTTTGGGTCAAAGTCTGCAATGTGAGAGTTTGTAACTTTGGTAATTCTTCTCTTTTTGTCTTTCTTTTCAACCTTTTTAGCTTGGATAGTCTTGGCAGCCTCAGATGATTCCACCATGGAAAGACCTGCATCTTTCATGGTTTGCTCGAGATCGACTTCCTTTGGCATCACAACGGACTTCCAGAGGTCAACAAGATCGCTGCTGCAAGGAATACGGTACTTCTCGTCGCTGTAGAACAACATCTCGCTGTTGGACTCTGAGTTTCGCACGGCGTAGATCTCTTTGGAGTCCTTGAGCTTCTTGACGTCTTGCTCGACCGCCAGATATGACTCTTTCAAGTCGGACAGCATGATGCCGTACGGATGCTTCGACAGCAGCTCCAAGATGCCACGGTCATCCTTGACGTTGTGCAGCGGTTTGTAGCAGAGCGTCGTATCATTGAGAAACTCAACCTTGATATTGGTTTTGAGTTGGTCGATCAACTCTTGGTTTCCGTAGATCTCGTGACCGGTGGAGTCACGCAACTCCTCGAACGTAATATAGCTACCCTCCAACGACTTGAGATGATTTACAATATCATAGACCATTCTTGTGATCGATGGTTTATTCTTGTTCTGCATTGCAATCGTAGTGGACAAGTACATCGGCTTTGACGCTAGACTGTTCGAGATCGGTCTCTTGTGACTACTAAGAAACGATGGTTTCGCTTCATCTTGTTTCTTATGCTTCTCTAGATTCTCCAAAGCTCTTAAATGTAATGATTTTGTATCCATAGCTAATAGTTATATATATCTCCTCTCTCTCTCTCTCTCTCTCTCTCTCTCTCTCTATTATATTCAACAAAGTGATCTCCTATCTCCAATCTATCTATATTTCTATCTATCTATCTTTTTCTATTTCTAACTTGTTTTTAATTAATTGTCAATTTGTTGAAACAACAACAACAATTGTTTAATAAATATTCTTTATTATTAGACTATTATTATTATTTATATTATTGTTGAAATCGAATTGTATTAATTTATAAATAGTTAAAAGACAGATAGATATGATTGTTATTTTATTATAATGATAAAATTTTCTCAACTTATTTTAAATTATCAAAAAAATTGGAACTATTTTTTTTATTTTTATTTTTTTTTATGATTTAAATATTATTGAATCAGTTAGTTTTATTTTAATTTATTTATTAGGAAATTTATATATATATAAAATCTAAAAATAAAAATATAATTATTCGAATTTAATACAAATAAATTTCATCTTTGAACCTCACATTGAATGAACTTGGAGGTTTGTTTTTATTAATAAAAAAATAGATTTTTATTTGTTTATATTATTTTTTGTATTTTTTTTGGATTCAAGATTAAGATTATATATTTCTTCTATAAATATTAATTGTTATTCATTGTTTCTATTAATTATCGTATTATATAACAAAAAGCAATAAAATGTTTAATAAAACTATTATTCTAGTACTTGCTTTACTATTTATCATTTCTGTAACCTGTGAAGCTGAAAAAGGACCAAATTGTTCAACTGTTCAATGTTTAGAAGTAAATCCAACACAATGTGAATTAGAAGGAGGAATATTTATTGATTCTCATCCAGAAATTGGCTTATGTTGTGGAAGGTGTTTATCCGGAATCTTTAGACAACCTGACTGTTCAGGAGCTATCTGCGCCGATTGTATTGGTACTGTTCCTCCTGGAGAATGTTGTCCAATATGTGGAGGAGAAGAATCATAAATAGTGAAGCTAGAAATCACAACTTTAAGCATTAATAAAATTCTATAAAACAATTTTATTTTAATCCCACTACCTATCAATTTCTTAAATAAATATTAATCCATTTCCTATTTTGATTTCAATAACCCATTTGGTATCTTTTATTTATAAACTAGAACAATAAAGATCCCTATAATTCTTAAGAATTAATCCAAAGAAGAGTAAGATAGAATTTTTAAGAATATTTAATAAATATAATTTATAATCATTCCTATACAACAGCTCTAGCCAAATTTAAATAATATTTTAAATCTTTTTCTCAGAAATTGAATCAATGGTTGGATGAGTTTTTAAATTATTAAACAATCGCGAAAAAGAATGTTTTTTTAGTGTTAAATTTACTTTGTGATCTTCAATAGCTTATCGAGCCTTTCATTTGATTTAATCTTAAATTAAAAAATTTGATTATATATAATCAGATTGAAATAATCGGAAAAGGAAGAGTATTTATATATTAGAAAATAAAAATATTTTTTCTATATTTATGACTATAACTATTCTTACAGATACTTTAACTAATCAAATTTAAATTGAACTCACACAAAATTTTATCATGAGACAACTATTGTCGTTCCATTTCCTACCACACCCACCCTAAAAACACACCTTCACTAATTTAGGTAATAGTAGAAAAAAAAAAGATAATATTGGTTTTTGGTTTTTATTACAAAAAAAAAAACAATTTATTCAGTATTTATTGAATATTATATTATGTTATAGTAACAAATTTTGTTATATAAATAATAATATCCATCGTTAAACTCAACTCAATTCTTTCTTTTTTTTGTATTTTTGTTTTTTTTGAGTTAAGATTTATTTAAATACTAATTAATATAAATATATATTATATATTTATTATTTTTTTTAGTTAAAATCAAATTTTATTAATTTGTAGTTATTTTTAATTATATATACAGAAATTCAAACAAAATAATAATAATAATAGTAACAATGAAGATAGTTAAATTTAATCTATGTATTTCTATATTTCTTATATTATTGTTATTGTCTTTGTATATAGATAGAGATTGTGTATTAGGAAATGAAACAAACGATATCGAAGGAATCATGCCAGTCTCAAATATATTTAGTGATATCTGTTCAATACCTATTGTCTCTTTAAATTATAATTATGATCTTTCAAAATTAAGATAGTATGGAATTTATCTAAAGTAGAATTTATCTAAAATGTATATTAATTTATAATTTTAAAATTATGTAAAGTAAACTTTTTACATATGAATCCAATAATTTAGTATACTATGTAAATCTTTGTTCAAATTATACATCACCCTGCTTACCCCAAGACTCTGTCTGTATGACACCCAAAGACAATGTTCACAATGTTTCTGATCTTGCATATTCATCAACATTAGATATATCATCAAATGGTAAAGTTAAATATTACTAATGATAAAGATAAATTAGAAGAATAAGATGTTCTAATATTTATAAAATCTAATAATTATATTAATAGGTGTTGAAGGTCTAACTTTTTATTATAGTGGGGGACAATGTTTTAGTTCCAGATACAACACAACGATTATTATGATATGTAATGATGGTGGAAATTCACAGATAGTTGACATCTTGGTGAACGGTTGTCAAACCAAGATCATCATTGAATCGGAATATGCGTGTGGATCATATATTGATCCTTCGAGTTCATGTAAGTGGACAAACAATAATAATTTAACTTTTATTTTATTTATTATTAATTAATTTTTATTTTTAAATGTAAAAACAAAAGTTAATATAGTGATATTTTTAGCAACACTGTTTGGTACTATTATTTCATTTATTTGTTTAGCCGGATGTATTTACTCGATTGGTAAAATGTTTACACGCTGCTGCAGAGATAGAAATGAATCGAATAATTATCAACCGATCTCCGAGGCATCTTCATCTTCACACACAGAGAAGATTCAACATGAGTACACTGATGGCAAGCTTTCTCAACAAGGTGAACTCTGTACAATATGCTGTGAGAATAAAGTGAACACCGTCTTGTTAAACTGTGGTCATGCTGTACTCTGTGTGGAATGCACCGAAAAACTAACAAAATGTCCTCTATGTAGATCGGAGATCGTCAAAGTTGTCAAAATTTATCAAGTTTAGTAAAAAAAAATAAAATATTAAAAGAGATCAATAAAATATATATTCATTTTTAGGGTTTAATATAATCTCTCTAATCATAAATAATAAATTGTTTGTTTTTTTTTGAAAAAGTAACAATTATTAATTTAAAAATAGAATATATAATAATATTTTTTTTGTAGATTAAAGATAAAATCGTTGAATAAATTAAAAAAGAGAGATTTATACTATGGAGTAAACAGATTTAATATATATACTTAAAAATAATATGATGATGATCATACAAAAATATATCCTATTTTAGTATTTATATAAATTTTCAATTTTTATACCAAAAATATAAACCAAACAAATAAAATAAAATTAAATAAATAATCATCCATTATGATGTATAAATATTTAAAAGTTTTTTTTCATTTTTTGTTGTTGATTTTTGTTTTACCTGCTTTAGGAAGTCAAAAATGGTTGATGATTTATTAATTTAGTTTAGTGTGAATTAGTGTCAAACACCAAAAAAAAAAAAAAAAATACTAACACACAAACCAACACTAATTTTAAAAAGTTATTGTTATTTTTGTTTACAGTACTCTAGTTTGTTAAGGTATACCTAACACATTCACTATCAACATCAATTATAAAATGATAGATAGATATTTAAAAGTATAAAATACCAAGAAAATAAAGATACATTCTAAACAGTTCTTTGCAGTAAATAGTAATATGTGTGTGATGTACATACACCACCTAATTTTAATAAATACCACCACTACCATACCAATAACTTTCATACAAAGGTATCATCAATAATTATCATCATCAAACTTTTTTTGACATTGATGTTTGACTTTTTACCCACCTATTAATTCACTAACAACCCCAACCCCTATTCTACCCAATTCAACCAACAACAACAACAAAAACCAACATCATCAAAATTATTACCAATAACAGTAATAAATGAACCACAGTCTCAAAATATTTTCAACATTCTCATAGTTATCAACTTAATATAAAGAGGTGAACAAAATAAATGATGATGAACAGTTATGGATATAACACCTCTTATTAATTCAATTAGGATTGGTTTTTGGGTTGTATGTAGAATTAATGGATGGTTTGGTTTGGTTTTAATTTGATTATTTGTTTTTTTGTTCAATTACAGATTCTAAATCTAAAGAATTGGATAATAATCATTCAATGGATGACAATCTCCTCCTCTTATGTTTCCCCCCAGAAGCATTCAAAACATTATTTCCTATGTGCTTTGCTTCTTTAACCAATCTTAAATATAATTATACTTCAACACTCTGAGCACCACTACCAATGTTTGTTTATAATCAAAAACAATTGTTAAAGGTGAGATATAATACATTACGAAATTACAAACTATTAGTTTAGCTGCTTATCTGTTTTGGGTAAATTAAACTTTTTAATTAGCATTCACTACCTATCTGGTTGTTAATAATCAAATATTAATCATTATTAAAAAGATTAATGAAAATATGGATGAATAAAATAAATAATTTTATAACAAAAAAATAAACAAGATAAAAGTGGTAGTTTCCAATTCCAATATTATTTATATCTTTATTCTTTTTTCTATTTCCTTCAAATTTTCACCTTTTTCCTTTTTGTAAATATTAACATTATTGTTATGTTAATAAGTTTTTATTAAATTATACAAATTTTTTTATATATATATTTAACTGTTTTATGTTTTTTTACACAAAACAATATTTAGTGAAAGTTCAAAATCAAATACAAATATCGATAATCTCCCAATCAGAGTGGAGTAATAATAAATAACATAACACACATCAAAAAAACAATCCATTAAATTTTCCGAATAAAAATTCCCACTCTCATTCGTATCTATCAATATCTATTTTACTTCTTCTCTATCTATCTAATATTAGTTTTTCAAATTGAATAACAATAACTACAATAACAACAACACACCCTCCCTATATATATATATAAAAATAACGAAATATTTCCATCAACATCAATCAAAAATAAACTCCAAATACTTCTTAAATTGGTTTTTACATTTTTTTTAATGATTCATTAAATTTCAATCAGTTACTACTACCATCAACTGATATATTTGTTAAAAGTTTTAAAATCAATAATTCTCTTTGTTGATTCATTCCCCATTATTATCCAATCAAACCCCATTTTAAATATACCCCAACTGTTGAACAACAACATTCACACATCCAAATCCACTCAATACTAAAACCTACATAATCAATCAATCAAAAATTTCTAATTTTTTTTTAAAAAACATTTGTTTGTTTTTCCATTTTTGTTTACTACCATTTATTTATCTATTTATTTATAAATAACCATTTTAGTAGTTTATTATATTTATTTTTTGATAAACAAGATCGATAAGATCCTTTAGATAGAATTCTATATATTTTAGAGTTAAAATATAAATATACATATTCGAATTTCACATACTCTAGAAAAAATGATTAAAAAAACAATACAGTTATTATATATATTTATAATTATAATTTCAATGAATGGACTGCTGGTCGATTCTTTTATACTATCTTCAACTAAACATAACGATGCCAGTACACCACCTCCTGTCACACCTCAAGCAACAACTTTACCACCAATACTCAACCAAGCCTCCTCAGAATCAAACGAACAATTTATTACACCTGAAGGTGGAAACTGCTCTAGGGAACTGTCAGTTTATTTCATGGGAGACTCCCCTCTGATCCAAGTAATAGTATTTCTTCCAAATGGCACAATTGGATACACAAGAAATAGAATGTATCCAAATTCACCTCTAGGTCTAACCAATGGAGACAGATTCCAATTCTCATTCATAGATCACTGTGATAACATTGCAAATCAAAAACAACTACAACCCTTCAGTGTCAATAATATGAAACCTTCTTTTAGCAACCCAGGTGGTCTTATTATTAACAAAAAAGGATTCGTTTATTTCAATCCATCATGGTTGACTACTCCAATTGAATTTCAGCTAACATGTCAACCAGGTGGACACAACTATGCATTCACTAAAGATAATATCTTTATTTCAATTGAATTTGTTTTAGGTAGACCAATATCTACGTAATCAATTAATTTATTTTTTAATATTCTTATTTAAATGTAAATAAAAAAATCGACTTTTATTTTTCCCAACTCAAAACTTAGGTATCATAATTATTATTATTTTTTGTAAGAATCCAAATCTATTTTTTATTATTTAACAACTTCTTTAATTTTTTGATTGAAACAAATTAACAAATATTAGTTAATATAGTGTTTGACTCAAATATTAAAGAAATCAATTTGCAAATATTATTTATTAAATAAAATTAAATTATTATTTTCTAAAATAATATAATAAATTGATGGATTTAGAAATCTTCTGAAGATTAATATAATTAAATATAAAAAATTAAATAAAATATTGAATCTTGATTGTTTTAATATAAATTACATAAAAGGATAGAGTCTAATTTTTTTTTTAGTATTTATTTAGGTACCGATTCTTAAATTCTGAAACGAAATAATAGTTTATGAAAATAAATAGATTTATACCTATAAAGTATACTTTTTTATTTCCTTTTCAATTAAATTTCAAGGGCAAAATCAGTCGATCTAAAACTTCTAAAATTGTGAAAAGTTTTCCTAAATTGTTGAATTAAAAAAAAAATAGTATTATCTCAGTGAAATTCACCACACTGCAAATATCATCGAAATTTTGCCGAAATCCACGTTACAATCATGTTAAATTTCATTACTCAATGTGTTAAAACTAAAATACATTTCATTCGGAGGATAAATAAATTAAATTTTTAATTTAATTTGAGTCCACTTTGACAATTTAACAAACTATAAATATTAAAAAGATAACTAGTAATTAGATATTATTTTTATAATTAATAATAAATATATTTATATAATAAATATAAATAATAAATTTAATAATATACATTTTTTAAAATATAAATAGATAGATAGATAGATAAAATGTCTTCCATTGGAATTGATTTAGGTACAACCTACTCTTGTGTTGGTAAGTAAATAAATATAATAAATAATAAAAAGATAAAAAGAATAAATATTAATAATATTATTTATAATTAAACTATTTAGGTGTCTGGCAAAATGATAGAGTAGAAATTATTGCAAATGATCAAGGTAATCGTACAACACCATCGTATGTTGCCTTTACAGATACAGAGAGATTGATTGGAGATGCCGCCAAGAATCAAGTCGCTATGAATCCAACCAATACAGTTTTCGATGCCAAGCGTTTAATTGGTCGTAAGTTCTCCGATTCCGTCGTACAATCCGATATGAAACATTGGCCATTCAAGGTCATACAGAAGGAGGGTGACAAACCATTCATTGAAGTCGAGTTCAAGGGAGAGAAGAAGGTGTTCCAACCGGAGGAAATATCATCGATGGTGCTCTTAAAGATGAAGGAAACCGCCGAGTCATTCCTTGGAAAGACCATCAACAACGCTGTCATTACCGTGCCAGCCTACTTTAATGACTCGCAGCGTCAAGCCACCAAGGATGCCGGTGTCATTGCCAAGTTGAATGTCCAACGTATTATTAACGAGCCAACTGCCGCCGCTATTGCCTACGGTCTCGAGAAGAAGGGTGCCGGTGAGAGAAACATTCTCATTTTCGACTTGGGAGGTGGAACTTTCGATGTCTCTTTGTTGACCATCGAAGACGGTGTCTTTGAAGTAAAGGCAACTGCTGGTGACACTCATTTGGGAGGTGAGGATTTCGACAATCGTATGGTCAACCACTTTGTCGAGGAGTTCAAGCGTAAGCACAAGAAGGATTTGATGTCCAACCAGAGAGCTTTGCGTCGTTTGAGAACTGCCTGTGAGCGTGCCAAGAGAACTCTCTCGTCGAGCACTCAAGCCTCAGTGGAAATCGACTCGCTCTTTGAGGGTATCGATTTCTACACTTCCATTACTCGTGCTCGTTTCGAAGAGTTGAATGCCGACTTGTTCCGTGGATGTATCGAGCCAGTCGAGAAGGTCATCAAGGATTCCAAGTTGGCCAAGGGTGCCATCAACGATATTGTGTTGGTCGGTGGATCCACTCGTATTCCAAAGGTACAACAGTTGCTCCAAGACTTCTTCAACGGTAAGGAGTTGAACAAATCCATCAATCCAGACGAAGCCGTTGCCTACGGTGCTGCAGTACAAGCTGCCATTCTTTCGAATGAGGGTGGTGAGAAGGTTGCCGACTTGCTCTTGCTCGATGTCGCTCCACTTTCTCTCGGTTTGGAGACTGCCGGTGGTATCATGACCAACTTGATCCCAAGAAACACCACCATTCCATGCAAGAAGTCACAGACTTTCTCTACCTACTCTGACAACCAACCGGGTGTATTGATCCAAGTATTCGAAGGAGAGCGTCAGATGACTCGTGACAACAATCTTCTCGGTAAATTCGAGTTGTCCGGTATCCCACCAGCTCCACGTGGTGTCCCACAGATTGAAGTGACCTTTGATATCGATGCCAACGGTATCTTGAATGTATCCGCTGAGGACAAGTCCACCGGTAAAGTCCAAAAGATCACTATCACCAACGATAAGGGTCGTTTGACAAAGGAACAAATCGAAAAGATGGTTGCCGACGCCGAGAAGTACAAGGTTCAAGACGAAGCTCAAAGAGACAAGGTCGAAGCCAAGAACAAGTTGGAGAACTACGCATACTCTGTCCGTGGTAGTCTCAAAGAAGAGAACATCTCATCCAAATTGGACCCAGATGACAAATCCAAGATTGACACTGCCGTCGAAGATTGCATCAAGTGGTTAGATTCCAATCAGACCGCAGAGAAGGATGAATTTGACCACAAGATGAAGGAGCTAGAGTCCATCGTCAACCCAATCATGACCAAGATGTACCAACAAGGAGGTGGTGAAGGTGGTATGCCAGGTGGTATGCCAGGTGGAATGCCAGGTGGAATGCCAGGTGGTATGCCAGGTGGAATGCCAACTGATGGTGGAAAGAAGAGTGGTTCAGTTGATGAACTTGACTAAACAATTAACAACCAATTATAATAGATTGGTTTTAAACAAAACATCAACTCCACTCACTCCTCCATACAAATTGTTAAAAATCAACAAAATCATTTAAATAAAAATAATTTACCTTTTCTTTGTATATAATTAAAATAAATATATCTTTTTTTCTTTATTTATAATTATATTTACTTTACTTTGAACCAATATCTTATTTACCTATACAAAAATCTTTAAAAATAACATCTAAAAGATCATCAACATTTACATGATAAGTTATTGAACCTATTGATCTTATTGCACTTCTCAATTCTTCTGAAGCAATGACAACATCGGTATCACAGTATTCTAAATAGTTATTTAAAGATTCAACACAATTGATCAAGTGTTCTTTATGTCTCATTCTTGTTAACAATGGTGCTTCTTTCTCATTAATTTCGAATCTAAATAGATATATAAATAGATGTAATATGTTAATGTATAAGTCTACTTTATGTACAACAATAAAATTAATTTAATCTATAGTACTTACAATTCTTTCAAATACAATTCAATTCTTGAAAGTAGATCCTTTATACCTGTTTGATTAGAACACGAAAGTTCACATGAAAATACATTGTTTACTTTGAAGAGTGATTGTCTTAGAGGTTGTTGTCTTATCGCTTCATATATTTGTTGTAATATCTGTTGTTTTGTTTCTTTCCATTTGTTGTTGTTGTCGTCGTCAAGAAGTAAATCGATCTTATTGAATAAAAATATTGTATTGCAGTCTATGAGATCCAATAGCATTGGTTCTATCTTTCCATTACTCTTGATGAGTGCATTACAATCGAATACACAAAGTGTGATCTCAGAGTTTAACACTCTATCGCGTGCCATCGATACACCTTCACGCTCAATGACATCGGTCGACTCTCTGATTCCAGCGGTATCACCTAGGATCACAGGATATCCACCGATATCCAACATCACCTCTACTACATCCCTGGTGGTTCCTTCGATCGGTGAGACAATCGATGCTCTCCTATTCGCCAGCAGGTTGATGAGTGAACTCTTGCCTGCGTTGGGTGGTCCGATGATTGTCACCGTTGCACCGTCTCTAAGTTTCTCACCTCTCTTGCCATCGGTGAGATGCTTCATTATCTTGTTGCGAATCGCGATGATTCGCTGTTTCGATTGCTCGACTACCGCCGGTTCGATCTCTGCATCGTCGCCAAAATCAATGTATGCCTCCATGTATGCCGATGCCCTGATTAGCTGGTCGCGCAACTCTGTATACAACTTGCCAATGGAGCCTTGCATCTGTTGAAGTGCAATCTTTCGCTGTTGGTTGGTCTGGGCATCGAGAAGATCGGCCAGTCCTTCGACTTCGGTCAAATCCATTTTGCCATTCTCAAAGGCACGCTTTGTAAACTCACCGGGCTCTGCCATCCTCAGACCATCCACTTTCGAGAGTGCCTCTAGCATATCGTGAATGACAGCACGTCCACCGTGAATATGCAGCTCCAGAACATCTTCACCTGTGAAACTATTGGGACCTTGAAACCAGACATACATTCCACGATCCAATTGCTCGCCAGACGTTGGATCATAGAAATTTGAAAGAACGGTCATTCTCGGAACAATATTATAATCTGACGATGTTGTTGTTGTTGTTGTTGATGTCGATGAATTGGTTACTAGTACTTTCCGTGTGAGTTGTTGTAGTGCTGTCATTGATTGTGGACCTGAAACACGGATTATAGCAACACCACTCTTTACTGCACCACTCGACAGTGCATATATAGTTTCTTTTAATTTAGTGTGCGTTGTCTTACCCACACTTGAAAAATATCTAAAATTCGACAAAGAACAAGAAGAAGAGTCGGTACCAGTAGATCTACCAACTATTGACTTTAAACTACTACCATTATTAATATAATAACAATCATTGTTGAGGGTTGTTGTAAGTCGACGATAGTTTACATTATAATTTCTAATTGTACTATTAGTACTTCTATTTAAGATAACATCTGTATATTTATTACTACTACCAAAATTGAATAAATATTTGTTATAATTATGAAAATTGAATAATCTATTTTTCATTTTTGTAATAATTAATCAACAAAAAAACAATCAATCAAAAACTAATCGTGATTTTAAAATCTTTTTTTTTTCAATTAATTTTATTACAAAAATGAATATTCTATTTACTTTTTTTTTTTATCTTTTTTAAGATCTCTTATTGTTCAAGCTCCTTGCAGAGAGTTTGATCGATTGGATTTAAGTTTATGGTCATCAAAATGATCATCAACAGTTTGAAAAGAGAAATTAAAAAAGATATTGTTTTTAACATCCCGATTTGTTTAAGCTTGGTTGCAAAAAAATGTTTGCAATTTAAAACACTGATGGTTGAATTTCGAATAATCAGAGATCAACCAGAGTGTCGTGCTCAAAATATTAATCCATTTACACTTTTGGATAAAGTTGTTCTCATTCAAAGGTGGAATTGCATTAATGGGTTTAGATTTTTTTTTTTTTTTTTTTTTGTTTTTGTGTTATTGCAATCATCATTATTCAATTTAATTCCATTTCAAATTAAAATTAGTACAATTCCTTTTATTAAATTTTAACAATTGTTACAAGAAAATATTCTTTACCTATACATACATTATTTATATTATTTTAGTTTTTAAAAACATAATAGATTTTTGCACACACAACAATTAAAATACTAGTTTCTAACAATTGAAGTTCAAACACACACCGACACACACTGACTTCACATCACTCACACATAAATAAATAAGAACAAAAACACTCATAATTTAATCTTTTTTTTTATTTTTATTTTTTTATTCAAATAATTTGCCTTTTTAAATTTTATTCTATAAAAAGCATAAAAATAATTAAATTAAAAAACAACAAACAACACACACACAGTTCATCTTAAATTTAATTAAAATTTTCACTTCAGGTTTGGTTTTAAAAAGAAAAAATACAGGAACAACAAAATCACCGAGCAAGCAAGCAGAACCTGCGACACAAGACAACCAGTACTAGTAATAATCTTTATTAGATTAACAAACAACAATACAATATTGTCCATTTTTAATCAAATAGCATTCATACAATACTTACATACGTACATACTTACAAGACAGTAAAGTTCAATGATGAATGATGGGATGAGAAAATGAAATAAACCACACCGAAACAACACCGTAAATCATTCAGTTAATATCATTGCAATTCCAATCATAATAATACTGCCTTCACAAGATAGAATCTTTAAATCATAATTTATTAAAACAACAATAAACAAACAAAAAAAAAATAATAATAACCAATTATCAATAATAATAATATTGTATAGTAGGTCCTCCTCAATGTAAATAGCTTTTTAATAATAATATTTTGTATATATTTTTAAATCATAATAAATAACTTCCAAACTTGTAAATAGTATTTGTTTAATAGATAAAGTGGAGTAAATCAATAGTAGATAAAAACAACAACAATAATAATAATAATAATAATAATAATAATAACAATTGATAGAAATAACAATAATCCATTTTAGTATTATAATATTCAATAAAAAGAGTAATAAGAAGTGGAAATAGACTTTGACATCTTACCAAGAGTAGTCAAATAAATCATTGTATGTATGTTTTAATAGATTAATTGGTGGTTGTGATTGATGGTACAAGGTATATTAGACTAAATCAAACAATTGTTTAAACTATATCATCATCATCATCACCAACAACAGCAGAATTATTATACTATCAGTAATAATCAAACATAGACCAGATTATTTACCTACTACTTATTAAATGTAAAATAATATAGGTAAAGAAACAACAACAATAAATTGTATATAGAATCTCGATTATTTGTAAATAAAAACCTGAAAAAAAAGTTTGAAACCAATTTAAAGATTTGATTGATTGGATTTCCTCTGAAACAATTAAAGTAAGTAAAAACAATGTCAATATGAAAATAATAATAGATTGTTTTATTTAATGATTGCTATTGTTAATATTGTTATTATTGTTGTTGATATTATTACTATTTATTATTAAATGAGTATATACATATACTTCGTAATACAATCAAATCAAATCAAATCTAGCGAGAAATGTTAAAATTTCTACTTTGTCATTCCAAATTTATAATAAACACTTTTTTTTTTTTGTTATTGTCAAATGTTACTAAAAGAATGAAATATGCATATGTAAACCAATTACACAATCAAAAGCTTGGGTTGATTTGTTTGGCTGGAGATGAGAGTGTTGGAGATGTAAAAACAAGTCATAATCAATGTTGTTTTTGCTCGCTAAACAGAGGACCATTCGTTATAATAATACTAACTAAGGACTATTGGTATCAATCGTAAAAAACCGTTTGGATTTGTAAATATTTCATTATCAAAACGGTTAAATGGTAAAAGACCATTGGATTTCCATATGTCTTTGAAAATATTATTTGGTCAAATTTGAATGTTTTTACAACTATACATATATACTCTTATATATTATATATAGTTAAATTGTTTTAAACTCTCCTAATTTCATTTCAGCATTTAACAATTTTAAACCTTCAACCAACAATCAATCAATCCATTAATCAATCAATATACTAATGACACAAATCAAAACCAACTCATTCAAAAGAGTAACAATCAATCAGTAGAAGTAATAGTAATAGTAATAATAATAATAATAATAACAAACAAAAATACTTTCCATTTGTAAAGGTAGGATTACCATTTTTCAATATTATTAATATATACTTGCTTGTTTTGTTTGTTTTTGTTTTTTATTAATCGAATCCTATCAATAACGACTAACCTTACCTTATTGGTGAGTGGAAAGTATTTTGTATCTTTTGATGAATATTCAATCATTTAATCAATTGATAAATTAGCAGACTTGACAATTAGCTAATTAACTAATTTATCATCCAACAACAATAATATAACAAACAAACATACTATCTATAAAATTAAAGAGAGAAATAGACAGTCGATACATATAATAATACCCCCCCAACAACAATACTTTGCAACCTTCATTTTTGGTATGGATAACAATAAAAAAATAAACAAAGTTTAATGATATTGTTCCTTGTTGTGCTATACTTGTTTTTTCAATTTAATATATAAAAATATATATATAGTCAATTGGCACACACAATCAATATAATATAAAAGGTTTTGTTGATCAATTATATTAAATATTTCGTTTTTTCAATCATATGACAACACCCAATAATACATCAAATCAAAAAAAAAAAAACAGATGATGTACATACACACATACACACTTTCAATGTCATATGAAAAACAATTTATTTGTATTTTAGCTATAAAAATTGATAAAGTGTTGAATTCACTATCTATTTTTTTAATTTTTCAATAATAATAATAATAATCAAATGTAGTGTTCTAGTTTGCACTCATTGCAACTACAACATCATAAACAGTAGATGTAAAACCAACCACACACTCACTCCATTAGATTTACACATCGATATCGTTCATCTTCATCGATCTCACTATTTATTTTACAACTCGCGAAAATTCATAGACATTCAACTCTCACATACAACTACTATATTTCGAAATATTTAATATTAGCTGCAGATGTTTGAATTTCTGTCTTTGCGGTGTGCACACAAGTGTATGTCAATAATTAGAGTGGAATACTACGAGTAGTTCACAATAAGCACCTCAATTTGCGAAACACATACAACTCAACTCTTTAGTATTTTAACAAATCGATTTAGTCATTGTCAACTTTCAACAATTTCACTTACACCCACACAAAATAGAATATCTACAAATTTACTTTTTCCATCTCTTTCCATTTAATGTTTCGTTTTTGATTTAATTATTTTTTTTCAATATCCTAAGTGGATAACATATAGAATAATTTTTATCTCATATATAATTAAATACTAATAAATAAAAAATCAAGTCAATAGAATAATAAAAATAATATCTTTTTTTTAATATTATTTTCATAGTTTGGAATAAATAAAATCAGTAATTTAACATAAAACTGTTTTTTGGTAAGTTTAGATTGCACACCTTTTTGATTGTTATCAAAAGCAATCATCATTATTGGTTATATATTAGAGATGAACAACAAACAAACAAATAAACAAAAATAATAATAATAATAATAATAATAATTGTTTTAGATTTAAATTGTGTTTAATTATTTGTTGTATATTTATTTAGCGATAGCAATTTCTATTAATATACAAAAAGTAGATTTTTAAAGATCATTTCCATTTGGCATCATTCTAAACATAGATATATAAATCTACAGACTTTTCATTATCACAATCCACAATTATTATAATAATAAATAATTAAAAATTAATAATACATCATCGATAGACAATAAATAATAAGAATAAAAAAAATTAAAAAATAAAACCAAGTCATCAATTCAATCCAACCAACCAAATTTAATAATGTATTTTCACACCTTTTTTCAATCATTTATCTCGCTTTGTTTGACAGTGCATATGATTCTATTGTATATATGATAATGACTACATTCATCAAACAATTCTCCAACTAGTTAAATTGACTAGTTATAATATACGTCAATCAAATGTAATAGTATAAAAACAAAAACCTAGGTTTGCCTTTCAAATTCAGAATTGTCACAAAATTAAATTTTTGAAATATCCAACTCTTTATTTTATTTTGCAAAGCATATTTTTTTTTGAAACAAACTAATTTATTTCTATATTTAATTATAAATCAATATCCACTTGTATATATTTAATTTGGCAATGGCATATGTTATGTGTTTTCGATCAACATAAAAAAAAAACAAAAAAAACAAATTCTTTCAAATCAAATATTTCAATCAGTATCACTCACATCTAATTAAGAGTGTTTGCTTTGTGTGTTAGTGTGTTAGTGTGTGATATGCATATAGGTGGGTGTTTGTGTGTGTATGTGAAAAATCATCATTTGTATGTGGTTGGAACATGTTGCTCCATATTGGTACTACTGAATTCCAGGTGTGTATGTTGGTATTATTAGTCGAAGTTGTTGGTTATTACTACTTAATTTTATTGCTTTTGTTATTGCCCACAATAACTAAAACAAACTAAAACTATTACCATTTAGTTATTTGTTACAGTACAGTAACAAAAACAAAACAATATGTGAATACATTTCATATATTCCACTAAACCTATACAAAACTTGTGTGTTCAGTTATTGATATGTAATGACACTCAGTTACTATCAACCTCACACACACTCCAATTCCAATTGCACACTAACTCACTAACACTCACATACACACAAAACCTTTCCTCTTTCTAACTCTCAACATCGATGTCACAAGACAAAAACAACAACAACAACAATAACCTACCACAATCCATCCAACTATCCCACTATCTATTCTCACACTCTTTCAATCCATCTACTTTGTAATTATTAAACAATATATATGATAATAATTGAGTGTATCTCACATATTTGCACTCAACAAAAATATTACCCATTGATCTCTAATCTCTGGTTGCCTATCACATTTCTTTCCAACACTGCATTTGTTTTTAAGACAATTGATTTTAATTCTCTCAAAAAAACTATTCAATTTAACATGATGTTGTTGTTTTGATACTGTTGCTTGTCACTATTTCTGTTGTCTTTCAAAGTTTGGAAATTAATTCCAATCCTTCCAAAATTATATTCTCACAATTTAACAAACATACAAACAAACTAAAACAATAACTTTAGTTGTGAACAATCAATTTTTAAATAAGAAAGTTTCAAACATCTTTATATTCACGTCTCGACTCAATACAATAATAGCCTGTTTTTTTTCATCTCTAACCAACCAACCAACTATTCATTGATTTACATTTGAAAGATGATGATGATTCTATAGTGTGGAGAATAGTAAAAGTTGTCAGTCTTGTTTAGTTTAGTTATTAATAATCCTATTTATTTATTATTTAATATTATTTAGAAAAGTAGAAGTATAGTATAGTAGGAGGCAGCAATCAACATTTTTAAATAATTGTATTTTATCAACATCGACCTACATACATAGATAGCAATATCGAATCATTTTGGTAGTCATTGTCATAGCAACCAACTTACAATTGCTCAGATATAGAAGGAGCAACCAACCAATAATAATATAGTTATAGTTCTTAAACTTATACATACATATACATATATATAATAGAAACACTTTGAAACAACAAAGATGGGAATTCCACAAGATGAAAATGTAGTTCCAAATGGTTGGAAACTGATACCAACCAATGCAGCAGCAACTATCACCTGTACAAACTCGAATTGGAAACCAATGGATATAGATCAACAGGTAACTTTCAATGCTGGCTGTGTTCCAATCGAGAGACACGGACACACCACCTGTCTATATAAAAATGTTCTCATCCTCTTTGGTGGAACACCCGATGGATCGTCGGGACTGAACGATCTCTTTTTTATGTATTTGGACACCTTCACCTGGGTGGAAGTAAAGACAAAGGGTGTGTCGCCAATGGGTCGCTACCGTCACAGCGCCATTATAATCGATGATAAGATGTTTGTTTTTGGAGGATACCGATCAAAGTGTCTCAACGATCTGCACGTGCTCGACTTGAAAACACTGACTTGGAGCGAACCACAGCAAAAGGGCGAAGCGCCATCCGCTCGCTCCTCACACTCGGTGTGCAACGTCGGCAAGAAGATGATTCTGTTTGGCGGAAGTGGTGCGCGATACTCGAACGAGCTCTTCTCACTCGATACTACAACACTGCGTTGGACCAAACACGAAGTGCTCGGCACTCCACCATCGGAGAGATGGTGTCACACCATGTGCAGCTTTGGAAAAAAGGTGATTGCATTCGGTGGATCAAACGACAAGCGAAAAGACAACAAAGTATATATTTTAGACATTGACACATTGGAATGGTCGCAGCCACCTACATCCGGTGTTTGTCCATCGCCAAGACAACTACACACCGCCGTTGCAATCGGTGAGAGCATGATAGTATTTGGAGGTTGGGGAAAACACCAAGAACTAAATGACTTATATATTTTAAATACAAGTAAGAATAGATATTAAAAGTGTTAGTTATTGTTACCATGGTAAAAGGAGTGATATTAATATTGTTAAATTGCTATTATAGGAACGATGAGATGGGTATCACCAAAGATTGAATCAGCAATTTCACCTTGTTGTAGGCAATTACATAGTGCATGGGTATATAATGGAAAGATGTATATATTGGGTGGATATTCAAAGAGCAAACGAATGAATGATGTATATAGTTTCACACCTGAACAAACGGTATCGAGTCTGCGCGATCTATGTGTCGAGAAGATCGTTGAGGACATCTCTAGCTATATCGATTACTTCCGTTATCTGCCCGAGGAACTGCTCTATGTTATTTATTCAAGACTATCGCAAGCCGGTAAAACCATACCGATCCAACTCGATCAAATGATCAAAGAGTCGTATCTCGCCGAATATGCCCTGATGAATGCATCCAACAACAACAATATAGGCACAATCGAAGAGACATTAAGTTATAATTGATTGGTCAAACAAAAAACCATACACAAATATTAATTAATATTTAATAATAATAACAATAATAATAATTTTAGTTTTAGAAAAGATTTGCATAAATATTTATCTTTTCCAATCAATCCTATAAATTTATTTAAAATAAAAATAAAGAAAAACAAAAAAAAAAAATCATAAATCGACAAAGCGATTACCACTGTTTGTTTGATTATTTAATTTAATTTTAAATTTATTTTTATTGGTGAAAGACGAGGACTATGATAATTTCCAAGAAATTTTAATGATCATCATAACAAGTTGGTTTATAAATACTGTCAGTTATATTGTTTGTTTTTTCTTTTAAGTTAATATTGTTTATACCAATATATTATTATAGTATAATTTGTAAATAGTTAAATAAATATAGAAATGAGTTCATTGAAGAATATCGTTTCAAAGATAACAGTTATCTGTTTAGAAGGATGTCATGGTAATTAACAATATTAATACTATTATAATCTTAAAAGTACATCTTTAGATATTTATATTATTATATCATCTATCACTTTAATCATAGGATCAGGAAAGACAGAACTGTGTAAATATCTCAGTAAAAAAGGATTCAATGTGATGGATGAAGCATTCTTGGATATGCCTAGATACACTCAGATACCACCACAATCTCTCACAATGGAAACCATATGGGTATCGAATTGGTTCAACAGAATTTTAAAAATAAATCAAAATATTCAAAATAATAACAGTAGCAACAACAATAATAATAATAGTAAATTAAATAATCATATATTTATTGCAGATAGATCACCTTTTTCAGCTATTCTTTATGCACGTGGAAAAGGACATCATTTAAATCCACTGATAAGTTCACAAATAGAAGAGCTGCGTTCGTACGCTCAAATCGATATCAAGACTGTCTATCTGCAGGTCGATGACGATAAACTGTGGCAGAGAATAGAGGATCGTTTGAAACGTGAACCCGAACGAAAGAACTACGGTGAAGATAAACGTGCTTGGATGGAAGATTCCGTTAGGTTCTACAATCAATCAAAGTGGGATCTCACCATCAACAACGACGATCTTCAAACCTTTCAACAAAGAACAGAATCAATATTTAAATCATTTAATTTAGAATTACCAAATAATATTTCATTAACAAATAATAATAATAATAATAATAATAATTTAGATAACAATAATAGTAGTAGTAATAATCATACAAATAAATAAACAAATAATTGTTAACAGTTATAATTTGAGTCAAATCAAAAAAAAAAAAACGTTGATAATATCATCTCATATAATTATGATTGTAGTAATTACAACGTATTATTCTTTTTTTTTTTTTTTAATTATCAAAAAAATCGCGCAAATTTTATTCTATTAAATATTTATTTCGAAAAAAAAAAACAAAAATTGTGGGGTAGTTACTACTTGTTTTCTGGTGAGGAAAGGGGGTAGAGAAGATGCATGAGTCACAGGTTTTTTGCATCTAAAAAAAAATATACATATTTGATGGTGATGATTTTTTGTTTTTGGTTTGTTGATCCATTCACCCAAAAATTCTTTTTTTTTTTTTTTTAAATTAAATTAATTTTTTTATTATATATTTTTTTAAATTTAAAAAAAAAATAAAAAAGTCACAACAACTCACCCTTTTTTTTTTTTCTTTTTTTTTTTATGAAAATTATTTTATTTATTTATTTTGGATTTTTTTTATTTTTTTTTTGGTGCAATACAGAATACTACCAATTCAATAAAAACAACAAGCATCATCAGCAATAACAAAAATTAATAAAATAATAATATAAATTTTCTTCTTCTTTTTTTTCAGCAACAGTTTCGAAAAAAAACCAAAAAAGTAGAACTTCAGTATTGTTATTTTATTTATTTAAATTGTTGTTGTTTTACTATTTTACCCGCCATTTATATAAAACTAGAACTTTTTTTTTCTCTTTTTCAAATTTCAATTTTTTTATTTTATTTTCTAACAGTCACACCAAAAGCAACACACAACCACCCACTCTCACAAAACATCTAACCAAACTAAAAACAACAATTTCATATTTTTAATTTAATTTTAATTAAACTCAACTCTCATATCCTCATATACAATAGTTTTTTTTTTTTTTTTTTTTTTTCAGTTCACCACCTTTAATTTTAGGATTATAATGGTTCATTCCAACTAGTCACTTGCTACCGAATACATAGATTATATATAATAATAATATTATTAAATTAAATATTTGTATTCAACAATATTATTATTATTATAGAAAGAACATTAGTGTTGGAAAAAAAAAAAAAAGTAAAAGATAAAGATAATTATTAAAAATAACAAAATATAGTTATAAAATATTTCAATATATATTTTTTAAAAAAATAAATAAATTCAATAAATAAGTAAATACAATCTATTATATTCTATATTATATTATTAGTAGTAGTAATAAGTAATAGTAATAATATTAGTAATAGTTGTAATAATATTCTCAAATAAATAAGAAATATCATTTTATTTTTATTATCAAATTTCTTACCACACCACATATTACACAACTCACAACAACATAATTATTATTATTTTGCAACAACATCATTTATATACAATTATTATTAGTATATAAATAACAGGAGAACAGTACAGTGCCAGTAGTTTTTAGCATTTTTTGGTTTTTTTTATTTTTTCATTTAGAAGAAACTAAAGTTCAATATTGGCAATAAATATATATAGCATAGTATGTCATACAGCGTTGGATTCTAGGTTAATTGTTTAGTTATCAAGAATCAATCATCAATCAATATAATTCAGTCAGTTAATCAATCAATTAATCAATCAACAGCATATTGGGCAGAGTGATTTAAAGATAGGCAGACATATCATAATCAACAAGTTGCAGAAGCAGAGAAATAGTGTATAACCGTCTAGATTCTTTAGTTTACACCTTTAACAATCTATTCAAATTGTACAACTATTCTCTCTCTCCAACTACAACCAACAACAACACATATATATTTTCAAGTAGTAGTAGTTGTAGAATAGACATCATCATCATATCACAATCATATTAATATACAATAACATGTCTGTCAATGATGTTGAAATGGGTGGTGAAACACAACCACCTGCATCTGAAGTAAATAACAACAGCAGCAACAGCAACAGCATCGACGCCAACAATGACAGTACCGACAGCATGGTTGAGGTTGACGTTAGCAGCAGCAGCACCACCACCGATACCAACAATAACAGCAGTGAAGATACCACCACAGATCCCATGGCTATCGAGGAAACGACATCAACTTCTCCAAAAACAACCTCTGAGACTTCAACTACCGAAGAGTCACCTACTGAATCACAACAAAATAAATCGATTGCTTCACAGGAATCTTCATCTCCTCTAATCACCCCACTATCAAGAAGAAAACGTATTACACTTGTGTATGTATTAAATAAATTTAAATTGTTGATGAATGATTTCACAATTGATATTGTTAAACCAGAGAGAAAGAGGGAAACTAATAGTTTATTATTTCATTATGTTTTATATCAGTGATTCAGAACAGAATAACAGGGAAAATAGTAATGGCAATGAAGAAACACAGGATAAAAATAATCAAGATGAAAAGACTGAGGAATCGACTACAGCCACAGCTTCAACAACAGCAAAAAAATCAAGATCTGTATGTTTTGATCATCGATTGACTCATCAAAGTAGAATTTATAATATTAATGATTCATTCTTTACACAGAGTGTTATAAAGATTAGTACCAATAAACCAAATAAAGGTGAACTCTTATTGACACCGACACAGGCAAAAGAACTATCAGAGAAGAACAAGCGATGGATATACGTGCCAGTTACCGAAACAAAGCCGATCGAGGAACAACCTCTACCAGCAAAGAGAGACAGAAAACCTATACATTTAAACGACTATATAACTTCGTCATCAAGGAAGAAGGGCGAAAAAGATACTAGCACTCCAGTAAAAGAAGAAAAACCAGTAGCAGCACCAACACCATCACCACCCCCAGCACCCACACCAACCAGATCCTCTCGAAGATCATCGAGTAACAATAACAGCACAGCGAGCAGCAGTAGCATCACCAATCATAGCAGTACAACTACAAACACCACCAAAAAAACACCAACGAGATCATCCAGAAAACCAGCAGCAACAGCAGCAGCAGCAACATCAGCAGCATCAGTGATCATAGAGGATATATCGTCACCAGAGAAAGTCGATATCTCCAAACTACAAGAGACCATTGTTGGATTGCAGGATGAGTTGAGACATGTAAAGGAACAGATTCAGAATACCTCACCCAAGATTGTAACCACCAGCACCACCAGCACCGCAGTATCACCACCATCGAAATCCACTAAACAAACAACCACATCCAACCGATTGGCACCACCACCACAAAAGCTTTCATCACTATACAGCGATGACGAAGATGAAATGGAAGTTGCACAACCAGCATCGGAGCTGGAGCACGTCGAAGAGGTGGTGGAGGAGGAGGAAGAGGAAGAGGAGATCGAAATTACAGAGACACCAACAAAGAATCAACGAAAGCGTAAATCAACATCGTCAGTCACACCACCCATTCAACCACGATCGAAACCTCAAATCAAAAAACCAAGAGCATCCACCTCACTCCCCAACACACCGGTCAGCAAGCCACTCTCATTCCCAGGTGGCACTGGCACATCCGAACGTGCCCAACGTCCTACTAAGGGTCGCCGTAGATTCCCAAGTGGTGACAATATATCATTGGTGGGACCAATGAAGCGTTGTCTCGAGATTCTCGACTTCCTCATGAATCATCAGATGGGTTATCCATTTTTGGTACCGGTGGATCCAATCGCTTTGAACATTCTCGACTATTTCACATATATTAAACACCCAATGGATTTTGGAACCATTCGTAATTCCTTGCTCGATGGAGTCTATGAGGCACCCGATGAGTTTGCAGCGGACTGTCGTTTAGTTTTTTCAAATGCAAGATTGTATAATCCACCAGCCAATCAAGTTCATATAATGGCAAAGACACTGGAGGACCTGTTTGAGAAGAAGTACGCCAAGGCATTGGCTGAGCCACCTTCACCAGAGATTCAACCAGAGGAGAGTGAGAAGATCAAACGTCTCACCATGGAGATGAAGACCATGACCAAGGAGTTGGAAAAGATGAAGAAGGAGAGCACCGGTGGTGGTAGAGGTAGATATCGTGAAGCCGCCAGACCAATGACACTCGACGAGAAGACTCATCTAGGTGCTGCAATCAACGCACTTCACCCAAGCAATCTACCAAAGTTGATTCAAGTAATTTCACACACACTCGACCAGAATACAGCACAGGAGGAGATCGAAATCGATTTGGAAAAGTTGGATACCGGAACACTCAGACGTCTGGAGCAATTTGTTATTTCATGTTTCCAACCCGGCCAGTACCATCAATTCCAACCACACATGGCTGCCGAGCAACAGAAACAACGAGAAATCGAAAATGTAACAAAGCAAATTAACCAACTTAATCGTGGTTTGAATTCGAGCAAGCACAAAAAGCACAATATATCAAAACCAATCACAAAAGCACACGGACGCAAGATTGCACCTCCTCCAAAGCGCGAAGAAGAGGTGGTAGTTGATGACATGACCGAGAAAACCAACTACCCTCCTGTGGTAATTGACAGAGATTCAAACCTAAACGATGATGTTACCAGTGGTGGTTCCGACTCTTCCGATTCATCTGACTCGTCTGACTCTGATTCAAGTAGCTCATACTCTGATTCAGAATACAGTGACAGTGAAAACGATCAATCAGCCAACAGAAATAATAATAACAACAATAACAACAATAATAATAATAATAGTAATAATAGCATTCCAAATGGTTCAACCAATTCTACTTTAAAATCATCATCAACAACTAACACTACTACTTTTGAAAAAACAACAACAACTACAACCTCATCCACCACTTCAAACACTGCGTCTACTTTATCTTCTTCGGTAAACTCTACACCAACCCCTCAGATTATCCAAGCAGCCAAGAAGACAAATCTACCCACCACCGTTGCATCGTGGAATTTCGATAGTTCATCGTCCACCTCCACCGAGCATGCCGCCTCACCCATTTCATCGTCTGCATCCCTTCCAGTGTCGTCGTCGACTCCACCCATAGTTCCACAAAGTTCACCGCTTTCACCTCACTCACCTACCATTCCATCAAACTCACCGACCTCCCCCAACCATCAAAACAATACTACCAGTAGCACTGCCAACAACAACAACAATTCTACCGACTCTACATGGGCTCACTATAAGGCAAAGAATATGACTTTGCAACAAAAGGAAAAAGAGAGAATTGAGCAAGCCGAGCAACTACGAAAAGAAAAAGAGGATCGTGAGGAGGAAGCACGTCGTGATGAGGAGAGAAGAAAGCAGGAAATTGCAGAGGTCCAGAAGAAACAAAAAGAAAAAGAGGAAGCCGAAGCCGAAGAAACCAAAAAACAAATAGAAGCATCAAGACAAGCAGCAAGAGAAGCAAGAGAAAAGGTAATTATTTATTTTTCTCGTATTTGTAATGTAATTTAACATTGTGTACTAATGTTAATATTATTATAAAACATAATTATAGGCAAGCGGTAAAAATAACATGTCATTCCAATACCAAATGGAAATGATGGCTTCATTTGAAAATAGTTTTAGTGGTAACATGGAAAATCCTTTACTTAATTTACAATTCAAACCAATCGAAGACAGTTTTGATTCTCCTGCTATTAAAGAATAAATAATACAACAATAACAACAACAAAACAACAAAAAAAAATAATATTAATAACAACAATGATAATTCTAAACAACAAAGATAAAATAATCTTCATCATTATTCGATTATGTATCTTGCACCGATATTTAAAAACAACAAAAAAAAAAATAGAAAATAATAATAATAACCAAACCAAACAACTCTTACACAATCCAGTCAACCCAACAAAGTGTTGTTTGTGTTAGTTCGAACTAAACAAAAAAAAAAAAAAGAAAAACTAAACTTTAAATCAAATATATATGTAAAATATAAAAACAAAAAAAAGAATTCACTCTTAACCAACAAATCAACAGCTGACACATCGATGCTTCTGTACTCTTTTTGATTCCAACAATGTTATCTATGTTTTTCATTTCATTTTCCAAACTTTATACATATAATATTTTTCCCAAAGGATAAAAATACTTAAAAACAAAACAAAAAAAAACAAAATCTTAATCCTTTTTTTTTTCTTTTTTAAAAATAAACAAAACATATATTTTATACAAACAAGTTATCTTATCTTACCATACTATTGGTTATTGAGTCTGGTTTTTGAGATGAGTTCATTTATGATGTTGATCGATGTTTTCTCGCGTTGCTCGAGATCACCCTTTACAATGTGATAAGGTATGGATCTCTTTTTGAGTTGTTGCTCAAGTCGAGCTTGGAAATCTATTCTCTCGTTGGAATCTTCGATAAGACGTAGCTCTCCGTCATCAACCCATTTCACACCATTGCAATCGAGAAGCAAGTACAGATGATAATAAGAGTAATCAATATATTGCTCTACCAAAGGATCGTGACTACCAATTAAAGTGTCACTCCACTATCAAAAAAAAAAATAAATAAAAAAATTAAAATAAAATATTAGTAAATTTGTTTTAATAATTAATCAATAGCTATAACTATTTTAATTATATTATACATACAACTAAAGTTGCCAGTGGACAAGTATCACACATCAATAGGTTTTGAGTATGATTATCAACCATTAATTGTTGTTCCAACTCCAATTGACCTTTACAAACATTTATAAAATCATTATTTACTATAAATAATAATTAATATCATGATTAATAAATAATATTAAAAAAAAAAAAAAAAAAAAAAAAGAAGAGAGAATTAATAATTAATTAACTAATTTTGGTTATGCGATTCAATAATATTAAAATTTATTAAGATTTTGTTTCAAAACGCAAATAAAAATAAACAAAAGTTAAATGATAAAAAAGGCACAATGGATACAAAGATGAACAGATAGACTTTGAGATCAGAGATTAAATAATTACCAAACGGATTAAGGTTGAAATCTCTATCTTTGAAATATATCCTTGCATACTCTTCGACATAGCTTGTGTTGAAGTGAGTAGCCAGCCTCTTTGAGACAGTTGTCTTAAAAACTGATTCACCTCCAATAAAACATATCTTTAAAATTGTTTCTTTTTTGTTGTTTATCATTCTACTTTTACTATTTTGTTTATTAATTGTGTTTCGAATATAATAATAAATATATATTTCAACTTTTAATTAAACTTTTTTTTTTTTTTGTTTTTTTCTTTTTTACTTTTTTACTTTTTTTTTTTGCTTTTTGATATGATTTTTAAACACTCAATTATTATTGAATTCAAGAATAAAAGGGAATATATAAAATATTTATATTTTATATTTTAATATATTCAAACTTAGCATTGTTTGATAACAATTAACAACTTGGTCAACAATAAGTTTAAAGTTTTTAAATTATGGTATTTATTTTATTTTATTTTATTTTATTTATAATTTAATTACAATATTAAAAAACAAAAAGAGAAGGATTTGTGAACCCACTCTTCTCCAATGACGATCACACACTTGGTAAACAATTAACATTGATCACACTTTGGAACAACCACAAAAATATCATGATTATTCATGTTTTTTTTTAGAACTCAATTAAAGCATCATCAATTCCCAAAAGAGTTTAGCATCACCAAAATAGCCATTTCTATCATTTATTTTTTTTATTTTTTTTTTAGGTTTTTTTTTTTTCGATACAAATTAATGAGTTTACATTATTTCTGATATTTAATCTCAATCGGTATTATAAATGTGAGTACGCTGAAGAGGATTGTAATGTTAGTTGTGTGTCTGTTTTTTTTTTTTTTTTGTGTGTGTTTATTTGTGGTAGTGGGAATGGGAATGACATCGTTTAAATATTGTGGTGGTGACAATCTTCACTTCATAACATAATTTCTTCATATGAACTGAAATAATTCAACAACTCTCAAGACAAACAGCAAGAGAGCAAAGACAACAACAAAAAACAAAAAACAACAACAACATCCTTAACAAACTAAAAACCAACCAATTATTTTTTTTTATTTAACAAAAGTCTTTATATTTAGTATTACAAATACTTTATATTCTCTTTTTATTGATATTAATTCATTCATTAGATTTAATAATCTTATTTTTATCACTCTTTTATCTTTTTTATTTTATAAACGTAGGTAAAATTTTATAACTAATAAGTATTTTATATGTATATGATTTATAAATGAGCAAGTTTTGTTTGATACATATAACTTGACAGATGATCTGTATAAAACGAATATTAACATTTTTGTTTTTTTTTTTTTTTTTTTTACATTTTGCAGCAGATTATTTTACAAAATGGATGGTTATGAAAAACTTCAAAGCTGTGCAAAGAAAGCTGTTATCAAAAGATCAGTGACATACCCAGATTGGCCAAACAAAGGAGTTTCCTTCCTCGATATTTCACCGTTGTTCCTTTCATATGAGGATTTCGATACACTGATAAACTACTGGCAATATAGATTCCAAGATGTGCAACTGGTCGTTGGTCTTGAAGCCCGTGGTTTCATTCTGGCCACTGCCATTTCACAACGTCTAAAGATCCCAATGATGATGATGCGTAAGAAGGGAAAGCTCCCAGGTAAAACACTCTCTGAGTCATACACCAAGGAGTACGGTAAAGACGAGTTTGAGATCCAGGAGGACGTCTTCAGACATCTGTCGCCAGCCACCAAGAGTTGCAAGAATTTCCACGTACTGATAGTTGACGATATCCTGGCCACCGGTGGAACCTTGTGTGCCTCTATAGAGTTGGTCAGAAAGCTGTTGAAAGCAAACAGCATGACCAACGCCAAGATTTCAACCTCGTTGATCTCCTCTATAAAGTGTCTCAAAGGCAAAGAGAATATCTATGAGAAGTACAATGACGTTTCAATTGATGTCATTCATGAGATTTAAATCATCTTTTGAATGAATGTTCAAATTAATAAAATAAATAAAATCAAAAAAAAAAAAAGAAAATCGTTTGTTAAAGTACATAAATAATAATAATCTAAAGATTTTTATTGGTTAATTTAACATTTCCAATTTACTCTTTAGATTTTGGCAATTCGGTGCTAGTAGAGATTGTTTAAATTTTAACATCTCTCTATAGTTGTTTGATATGGTCACTGATGTAATACCACTTATATCTGAAACCATTTTGAGGGTTGTTTTTATTCCGTAGAGTTTGGTAGAAAAGTAAATACTGGCAGCTGCACAAGACAATGGATTCCTACCGTCCATGACTTGCAGTTCGGCCAGTTTGTTTGTAATGAATGTCGAGTATTTGACTATATCTTTAGAGAGCCCGAGATTGTTACAGAATCTACTAACAAAATCGTCGGTGGTAAGTGATTTCGTTGTCATTTCATCCGATGGCAGTCTGGATTTCATTATCTTCATACATCTCGAGATATCTTTCTTTGAGACTCTGATGACGTTGATGATCTCTGCAATGGTTCTTGTCATTCCTTGCTGTCGACTGGCATAGTAGAATGCAGCTGCTATATATCCATTTGGACTTCGTCCTTTGTTGGTTGTTAGCTGGTCGTCGATCAATCTAAACAGCTCGTTGGCTCGTGTCGCGACAGTTGCCGGCATACCAAAGTGGTCTGCGATTCTTTCGATCTCTGAGAAGCCAGAGATTAGATTCTTGTTGGATTGTGATGTATTTATTTTCGATTGTTGGCGAGCTAGATTGCTGCCCGTAGTTGAGGAAGAGCTTGTAGAGGGTTGATAGGAGATTGTAGTTGTGAGGTCGGCAACTCTCAGCAGAGGGTCAGCAGTGTAACCAACTCTACTATTGTCATCGAGAGAGTCTGCAAAGTTACGAAAGTCGGCACCTTCATCGATGATCCTATCGGAGACAACATAGCCACAATCTCTACAGATAAGGTCACCTCGTGCATAATCTTCGACGATATCAGGTGTTTCAGATTTACAATTATCACAAAAATATAAAGAAATTTCAGTATTCAAATTAGCAAATGATGTTGGAAATGCAAGAAAAGTTGTGTCAACCATTTTTTATTAATATAATTTATTAGATTAAATAAAATAAACAAAAAAAAAAAAAAAAAAAAAAGAAAAAGAAAAAGAAAAAGAAAAAATTAACTTTTATTTTAAATTATATATATATCTTTTTATATATATAATAAATTATTATAGGTATCGATATAGAAGAACTTATAATATTATATATTTATATTGTTCTTCTTATAATAATATTTTACTTTTTACGAGAATAAATCTATAGATTATAATTAATTGATTCTTTAAGCAAAAAGAAATGTGCACTTTTCTAGAAAGGATAGAATAAAAGCCGATACAAATACAAATACAGATAAATATAGATTTATTTGGTTTTTGGAGTTTTTTAAAATGAATTGATCAGCGTTGCAACACTTCTATTTAAAGCTTTAAAAAACCTTTCTTTCAAATTTCACAAATTTTTTAAAAAATTTAAAATTTTTTTTTTTGATTTCTTTAATTTTGGGAACAAAATTATATAATTCAAATACTTTAGTATGAATGATGTCATTTTTAATTTTTTTTCATTGCAAGATTTATTTTTGATTAATTTGATTTCTGATTCATTCATTTATTTCAAAATATTATCTCTTAACAAACAACATTCAGATAGAAAATGAGTGATTTGCGTAACTTTTTCAATGAATTGTTTCAATTCAATATTCCTTTCGATGAATATCAAACAAAAGATGAATATATTTTAGTTGGTGGTATGAATTCATTCATTTTGATCTTTTATAAAAAAAATGCGATTACTCTTTGATACAGTAATTAACTATTTATATTATCATAATCATATATATAGATGTTGCAGGTGTTTCTAAAGAAAACTGGAATGTCAATTATCACAATGGTATAGTCAAGATATCAGGTTCGAGAGAGTGTCAAAAGAATATCAATATGTTCACCGAGAGATGGTGTGGAACATTCACAAGAGACTTTGTATTCCCAGGCGCTACTACCGATAAAATCACCGCTCAACTAAAAGATGGTGTTCTCGAAGTGAAAGTACCAAAATCAGAACCAAAGAAACCTGCTGGTACTGATATTCATATTCAATAAACAAAACAAAACAAACAAATAAACAATCTTCTTTTGTACATACATATCGATATCGATATCGATATCTTTATCTTTATTCAATCTATTTTATTTTCTTACTATATTTTGCAAAGAATGGAAAGTGTGATAAGAAATTACCTTGATGTGATTCTAGGATATCGTTATATTCTATTGTTAGTTGTGTTGGTGATTTCAGTGAGATTGATGCTGAACAAAACGTTTCTTTCCACTTTGGACTGAACCAGTTGCCGCTGATCATTATATTGGTATGATAGTGATCGGCGTTCGATACCAGATGTTGTTGTATATCGTTCACTATGAATGTTTTTATAATCTTTTCGATACCACGATAGTTTTCATTCTTGTAGAGTCTATCCATCAAGTCTGCCAACAGCTGCTGAATCGCTTTGATATCGTGTAGATGCAAACTCTTCAAGCCGAGCGGTTGCAACTCCAAACAATACGATTCCTTCAACTTATCAAACAATGCAGTTTCCACTTCCGATCTAGTCAGTGTCTTAAAAGGTGCAATATCCGTTACTAAATTCATTATCTTTGTATCTCTATAGATTGTCTTTGAAAAACTAATAGAATAAAAACAATGTCAATATCAATATCAATCTATTCTAACAACGTAACAACAACAACAACAAACATACCTATTAACTAATTCAATGATTTCTTCATATGATCGCTGACTGGTTACACCTTCTTTCTCAAAGTCAGAGGTAAGTATGTAGATGGCTCGGTTTGTGACTGTCTTGTTGATAGGCAAACCTTCAAAGAATGGTTCCAGTACACTGAGAACATGAGGGTGTATCTTTTGAATTTCATCGATTAGTATGACAGACTCTGGACAACCTAGGAGTTGGTCAGAGATTTTCTTTGATAGCTCCAGTCGCGCCGCTGTGATTCCTCTGTCATCGTTTGCTTTGATTCGTTTGTAGTTCTCACCGTGCACCAAGAGTAGTCCATCACCCTCAAACTCGTTACGCGACGAAACAAACATTGCCTTGGAGAGCAGCCTGGCCGACGACGTCTTTCCAAGTCCATGATCGCCCGTAGACAGAATAACGACTCGCTCGTTGGGTTGAGCGATCTTTCTCACCAGTGCCTTCCTGATGGTAGTGATTGCATAGTCTTGAACTTTATACGATTGGAGTAGCCTATCGAATGACTTTAATCTCTCCTCTTTAAGATAGCAATAGAAATGATAGTATTGATATTCGTTTTTTTGATTATATAATGTACATGTTTTGGTTTCATTCAATTCCACCTGTGGAAAAGCATAACTGAATCCATTGATTTGACAAATTACAAGATAGTATATAAAAAATGATAACAAAGTTATAACATTATTTAATTTTACCATTTTTTTAAAATTATTTTTTGATTGAAGAACAGCATTTTTTTTTTTGATAATTTTATTAAATCTTTATTGATCAGTTTTGATCATCATCATTATCATAAACATTAATTGAGAATTAAAAATTTATAAGTTTTTAAAAGTATACTTTTTTTTTTTAATATTACTATATTTTATTTTTATTCAAGTCATGGTTAAATACAATCAATCGTCAAACAAACAATCAATCAATCAAGGTCTGGTGTAATATAAAAATAACTTATTATAGTAAGTAATTATAATGATTGAAAGATAGATTCATGTTTTTGGTGTGTGTGTGTGGTGTGTATGTATAGATAAGTGGTAATATTTTAACGAGAATGTCATCAATGTTGATTTTATTCAATTGATTGAAAACAAATTATTATTATCGATATTTTAGAACAACAGATATAGATTTGTAGAATGTAATTACAAAAAATTAATTCATTTATTATCTATTTTTTGGAATTGAAATTGTTAAAGTGATCACTATCTAAACATGATACTACTACACTACACCAAATTCAATAGAATCAATCCACCACCTACAAATAATAATGACTATAAACATCTTGTAAATAATCATAATAACCTATAAAATTTAAAAAACTATAATAATAATAATACTATAAATACTGTAATTTTAAAAAATAAATAAATATCGAAAAAGAAAACAAATAAAAAATAAATAAATAATATCTAAAATAAATAAATAAATTCGATTTTTAGATTGAATATGATTAAATAATAGAATAATAATTAAATATAAGATGGAATATAAAAAATATATTAATTTAATATTCATTTTAATTTCAATTTATGTTGTTAATTCAGTTTCGTTGACAAATATATACCAATCATATGGATACATACAGATTTTTGGTGATTTGGATTCAACCACTAGAGTCGAAATAGGTGATACGATCACTAATCACACTCAACCATGTATCAATATCTTTAAATTCAATAGCTCACATATATCATGTGAATTTTATAATTCCACCTACATTGATTACACCACATTAAATATCACCGTGTATTTCAATGCTACTACACCAGGAACCAGAGTTAGTTCAGAGATTGCTATTCCTTCTCAGTTTGGATATCAATTCGATGGATGCAAACCAACTTATTTCTTTGATACAATCAACAAAATTTGTAAAAAAGCAAGTCCAAGTAATTTATATTCTTATATTGTAAGTTTTTAATAATAATAATAATGGATAGTTAGTTTATATTTAAAATATTAATTAATTTACAAAAAATTTGTTATTATTTAAAAGTGTAAACAAGGAGCAATGAAAATTACCAGGATTTCAACAAATGGCAATTTAGGTTCGACGATTTGTTCGGATTTGAAATTCGGAGGACATTTAGATTCTATGAACATTGTAGATATGATTCATTATCGATATATCCAGTATCAACGTTGTTGGAACATTGGAAATTTGACATCGTACATGGTGTTGGAAGCGGATTTACCAAACTTTAATTTTACCAATCCCGCCTCATTCATAAAGCAGATGACCAAACAACTTTGTTCTTCAGTGTTTTCCACACCGGATATAATAGATCTCGCAAAATCCAATGATCTCTACCGATATACTTGTATCAATTCATTGAATATTCCAGAGGACAGAATAGTAAACAGTGTTCCAGGTCCTCGTATTTGCGACGGAAGACCCGCCGATTCAATGGAGCGTATCATCACCAATTGGTTGACTGATATACAGTGTTTGAATGGCGATTGGAACAGCGATGGACAGTGCGTTTGCCGAGAGAATTGGAGTGGTCCGTCGTGCACCAATTTCATATGTAAGAATGGCTTCAGCTTGAATACTTTAAGCAACTCTTGCTTTTGCAATAAAACCTGTAAGGAAGATGAGATGTTGGAACCAGTTCTATGTCAGTGTATGTGTTCTCCAAATAATCCAATACGATGTAGCGATGGCAGTTGTGTCGACGCAGTCTCTGCTTGTGATTCCAAGTTGACTTGCCCGCCCGAGAGTCCATTCAAATGTTTCAATGGATCCTGTAGTGATTCTCCATGGAAATGCCGAGCACTCTCACCGAGATGTAGACATCCCGATGATTGTTGTTGGGACGGTAGTCCTGTAAAGGATGTACTTTCATGTTTGCCACTGCCAGCTTGTTTGCCACCATTCAATCATCGATGTCAGGATGGCACCTGTAAAGCTGGGGCGGATTCTTGTATCGATTTTAAAAATCCATTCTGTGAGTTATCGGTTTGTCCAGACGGTGTAAACTGTCCGCCCTGTCCACAGTACGATGGTTGTCCCATATCTGTGCCATTCCAATGTACCAGTGGAGCGTGCGGTGCCAACAACACCGATTGTAATCCTTTGAACATGCTGAGATCAGATATTCTAAATGGCGTTGCACATCTACCGATATTTGACAAACCAGAGTCAACGCAAGTCACCATCCAATTGGGCAAACCAACTAATATCAGCGTAGTCTCTGAGAACGATATTCTAATTGGACAGATCGACATCCTCATTCCACCGGTAGAAGCGACTAACTTTACGGTGGTCAGTGTCACACCATTGAGTGACTCTTATCTTAGACAGGTGACATTTAACAACTCAAAGTATAGTTTCGATAACTCTATATTCAGTCCGGTGTTAAATATAACCTTTTCCCATTTAATAAGAGATGAAAATTATCATAAAGATAGTAAGTAAAATATAAGTAAAAATTGATGAATCATATAGGCTTACATACTACTTGTACTTTTATAATAATATAGGATGGTTTGATTTCTATGTAAGCATCAAGTTTAATGTTAATATGTCGATATTATCAGAGAATATTATTGGAAATCGATTATGGGAATCAGTGGAGATGCCCTATGACGATATTCTATTAAACTATTGTCTAGGATACATTAATGAAACACTGAATCAATGGACTTGTGTACATTCAAACAATTCAAAAAAGGATCTTCTTCATTTCGATAAGGATTCGGAAATGGTTGTTGGTTGGACGAATCATTTTACCTCTTTTGCACTCTTACTACGTACTGATCCAGTGCCCAACTCTCAAAAACCAGAAAAAAGCTTTAATGATAAACTAATCATGATCATCACTGTTGTATCAATTGTATCATTTGTATTTATAGGTTGTTTGGTCGCATTGGTTTATTATTCTTTCAAGAAATATGGAAGTTTTTCGACTATGAGAAGAGCTTGGAAAGAGAAATTAAGAGCAAGATTACATAAATAAATAATAAAATATTTAAATGAAGTTATGATTAATAATTTTGGTTTACGTCCTTTTTTTTTTAAATGTCTTTTCCTTTAAGGTTTTTATAATTGTTATCAATGATTATATTAAAGGTTTTTTGTTTATGGATTGTGACGATGGTGCGGTACGGCATACGGATTGACCAGATACCTTATGCCATACCGCACCATCGTCAAATGGATAACATCATCAGCTCCCTTTTGGTCTAGTGGTGAGGATTTTCGCCTGTCACGCGAAAGGCCCGGGTTCAATTCCCGGAAGGGGAGAAACAACTTTATAACGAATGCATATTCCGCATGCGGTAAGTATTAAAATTTAAAAATTCTGGATGTTTGGATTGCCACCATTTCTATGACTCTGCATGATGAAAGAGACGTCTAAGTGGCTTAAATACTCTGTCTGCCAAACCATATCAATGGGAACATCATCCCTTACTCAAAATGATGGCCATCTCAGCCGGCCTGTGGCTGAACTGCTCCAAAAATAAATAAACACGAACTGTAGGGTAATATCAAGCTCTACACCTTGACTATCAGTAATGGTAGTATAAGGATTGTTGACTGATCATGAGTCAACAAATTTTTTTTGCAAAAAAAAAAAAAAAAAAAAAGTATAAGGATAATTAAGCAAAAAAAAAAAAAAAAAAAAAAAAAAAGAAAGAGATATTTTCGCTGAGTAATGAAGTTTTACATCAGATCTTTAAATTTTATTCAAAAATACTTATAATTCTTAGATTTCCACCTTAATAAATGGTTAGAATTTGCTACATTAAGATTGAGAGTCAAAAGCTCATTTTATCTGTTTTAACATCAATACCGAATACAAATAATAGATGTAAAGTGAAATTTTTAGTAATCTAACCTGATTCTAACTAGTTCGAGTGAAGAATCCTAACAAAAAAAAATCGATATATACGAATATTACTATGTTTTTGCCATTTAGTACTAAATTTAAATATTTGTATATTTCTTTTATATTTTTAATGTATTAAAATTTAATAAGGAAAAAGTACAAAGTAAACTGTATTAAAATATAATATTCTCAATTTATAGAAAATTAAATAAAAATAAAAAGAAATAAATTATAATTTGAAGAAGGCAATGATAATATAATTCAATCTTTATCATCATCATCAACATCAACATCAACAACAACATCACTCCGGGGACTCGTACGTCTAAAAAAATGATTTAAACCCCTATCTCACACATTGTTGGCATGTTTTTTATAAAAATAATTGAAAAAAAGCACCTATATTTGGAAAAACGTAGTAGGTACTTTTGAACCCCAAGCAAGATTCTCATCCTCACTGAAAAACAAAAAAAATTTGGCAGTTGTGTGGTCACCCACAATTTTTTTTTTAATTTTTTTTTTTAATTTTTTTTAATTTTTTTTTTTTTTTTTAATTGTTACCTGTATACAGAATATATTATATTATTCTAGTTATGATTTTTTTTTAAAAGATGGAAAACTATATGTTTAAGTTTAAGTTGGAGCAACCAGAGTCTACCAAAGAAAATGATAACAAGAAGTGTGTATTCAATGATGAGGAAATTGAATCGGTTGATTATGGCTTAAATATTTTGTTCGAAGTGATTGAAAATGAAAATAATTATATTAGTAGTATTAGTAGTAGTAGTAGTGGTAGTAGTATTAAATAGTAATAGTTCAGTTTCTAAAATAAATACATACCACGTTAATAGTGTTGAATTCAAGTGTGAGCATTGTTTATATTCTTATGGTGAATTGACCAAACTCAATAGGCACAAGAGAGAAAAGCACCCCAATGAAATGAAAAAGTCACATTGGGAGCAACCACTCCAAGTGAATGCAGATATAAATTCGAAGCAGTGTTGTCATAACAACTGTCAAGTAAAAGTGACTCTATCAAACTATGCAAGCATCTGAAAACCAAACATCCTTGTTGGGAAACGAATAATAAACTGGAATTAGACGAAATCACATGTTAAGGGTGCAAAAACAATTGGATAATCAGATCAAAAGAGAGAGAAATAACCTTGCTGTGTCTACTCCTGTTTGACATCTTAATAGATTTATTGTCTTCAGTGTGTTTACCTATTTATTTATTTACAAAAAAAAAAAAAAGTTAGAATTAATATACTAGTTATATAAGTTTTCAAAGTATTTGAAGGTATTGGTGGATTGACATTTAATCAAATTGACATGTGTTTGGATCGATATTTAGAACAAAAGAATCTATTTGTAGAAGTAAGAAGTTACTAAGAACTCTTGACTGTAATACTACAGAAAGAGATGATGAATATTTGGATAAGGTATTCGAATTGGAGTTGTGCTTTGATGGTGATATATGTAGTCGAAATATCAATCGCCAAATGGAAATCAACAAACATCAGATTGGAAATCAACAACATTAAGAATATACTAGATGATATTATGAACCAAAAATGTGATGATATTAAGAACATAACATTCAACGATAATTTAATCGCTTTTTTGGAAATACATTCACAAAACAAATTAACACATCCAGTCATATTTCAGAAAGTAGTTGAAGAAGACTATGAGATTTAAAAGAGAAGAAGAGAGAATTAAACAAAAGAAAAGGAAGATACAGCAAGATAGGAAACAGGATAAGCAACAAGACAAGAAACAAGATAAACAGCAAGATAAGAAACAAGATAAGAAGATACAATATAAGAAGCAAAACAAGAAACAAGATAAACAACAAAACAAGAAACAAGATAAGAAACAAGACAAGAAACAAGATAAGAAGATACAATATAAGAAGCAAAACAAGAAACAAAAAAATAAAACAAAATATTTAGTTATTTTTTAATATTATTCTTACTTTTTTAAAGTTCTTTTATTGTGAACTCTGTTCATCTTTTAATCTATCCATATTTGCTGAACTTGTTGTTCCTGATATGCTTTAAATTTTTAATATTTGATATTATCGTATAATCGATCAAAATAGATGTTAATGTGATGTAATTTTTTTTTCAAATTTTTTTTCAAATTTTTTTTCAAATTTTTTTTCATTTTTTATTATCCAAATTTGTAAAAACTGAAATAAGTGGGGTACGACTTTCTGAAGTGTAGTAAATAGTATTAAATATCTATTCATTGTCGATACAAAGAGAATATCAAGATTAAAACATATACATCAAGTTTTATTTAATAATAATAGTGATTGTATTAGTAGTGATTATGATGATCAATTAATAACTACAAACATATATAGATTGAATACTACAAATATTCAATATTCAATCTATATTTGTTTGTGATCATCATCCTGTTGAAGATATTAAAGATGATATACAGTGTTCGAGTAATACTCTGGTAGAGACTACTATTTCAGGTTCAAATCATGCTTTGATGATTGAAATGATTAGGAATCTAAAGAGATTAGTCTATCGGATATAGAGGCAACAATAATATCATTGGGAATCTATGAAGATACAGATAGATTCACATATGACGGTACAACACAATTAGAATTCAACTCAATGTATTACCTAACAATATTTAATATACACCGAATTATTATATACACTGTACATTTAATTTAATTAACCGAATTAATATTCAAATATAAATATTAAAAATAAAGACAAAAAAGGATCAATATCATTATCATTATTATTCCTAAACACTAAACTGTTACTATTATTATTTTAACTATCTAATTATTAAAGACCAACCTCTTCCGTTGTTAATTTTCCTACAACCGATTCTAACATCTTCTACTATAGTAAAGGTTTTCTTGCAATTATTTTTTTGAATGCATCAAAAACTGTCTATTTTTAAATAATTCTCACCATTTTAAAAAATAGGGTTCGAATAAATTGATAAATATTAAAGACATTATATTTAAATAGAATGTATATAACTTAAGACCAATAATATTAAAACAAAATGGTTGAATCTCGATTACAATTAAAAAACCAATGGCAAACCCTTTTTGAAAGAAATAAAAAAATATATCAGTATATTCTAAATATTCAGAATAGAGATCAATTCATGTAATTTTTATTAAGAATGATAAAGATTTGATTTTTAATTAATATTTAAATATTAAGCTGAAATAATTACACTGAATTATAAATTGAAATTCTTCAAGAGTATATAAAGATTGTCTATTCATCAATGAATTCAATTCCTCCAAAATAAGACTTATTTGTATATCCGACATTTGGTTTACGATTAAGTCGAATTATCATGTTTTTGAAGTTTGGAACAATAAATACTTGGGATTCATTGTAACCTTCATTTTCTCCTTCCAAGTACTGGTAGAGTAAAGCTTTGGTAGAAGGTGTTGTCCATTCCATCAGTTGTTCTCCTTGACCACCATTTGAATTGATTAATGAAAAGCTTGCTTTACCTTTAATCATATGGTATACTCTAATTTTGAACCTTCTTGAATGGTTTGTTTTACAATTTAGTTTAAAGGAAATTGAGATATCTATTATATTAAGATTACATGTTAAACCCCAAACTCCTGATCTCAGAGATCTATTAGCATTGTAGACTGATCCGTATCTATATTGATCAGGAAATCCTCCAAACTTGTAAACACCTTTTGCATCTGGGAACTCAATTTCATGATTAGAATTTGGATGTAAGACAGTTACACCATTTGGATAAAGAACAAGATCTCCATTAATAAATCCCATTGCTGTATCGAAATATCTATGAAATAAGGTTGATTAATACTCAATTAATGTTCATCTTTAAAAGAAGTAATAGAATACATACGGTGGAAAATTAAAAAGTCCTCCCCAACCCATCAATACTTGAAATGGATAAACACCTTTATGAGAAATTGCCATCATTTGTTCAATTTTCTCATGCAAAAGGACCTTTAATGATTTGGTATTGGGAGTACCATCAATATAGCTCGGATCAAAACCCATTTCTTTTCCTTTAAAGATAACATCTCTTTGAAGTGAAATGTAGAGTCCACCAGTTAGGTAGTAAAACGGAATTGTATATGCCTGTTTATTAATTAAATTAATATAATTGTTTTGAAACAAATTACAAAAATCAAAATAATTTGAACTTACAAGATAATCATCTCCACCAAAGAAGACTAGAGCTGTTTCAAGATCCCTTAAATAATCAAAATATACAATTTCAAGAGCACTTAATGGCATATTGAATCCATCATCTTCAAAAATTACTTTCTTTGATTGATCGAGAGTTGTTTGAACAGAGTTATTATCATACCATTGTTGTGATAATCTAAAGTATCTATCACCAGTGGTTTGTAATGCTTGGAATCTTAATAAAGATTGATTTCTAGCAAATTCACCAATCCTTTGATCAACATACTTTTCCAATTTCTCCATTATTTCTTTCATTCTTAAATGTATAAAATTTATTGAAATCTATTAATATTTTTTAAAATTCAATTTATATCTTTTAAATACTTACATATCTTCACCTTTGCTGAATAAACCTAAAGCGCTAAATAGAATGTTGAAAGCAGCAGTGAATGGACCTCCAGCTGGATGAAATGAAAATACATTTGCAAGGATTAATGCCATTTCAATGAGTGGCCAATCATCTATAGATTTAATTTCTGGATTATCATATGATTTCTTGAATGAATCCTCCAACATTTTGGTTTCTTCCTCTGCAAAACCTTTAAAATCTGGGAACAATTGTTTAAGTTGTTCACTTTGCTTTGCAATAAATTGCTTTAATTTTGATTTATACTCGGAGCATTCCGAATTATTTGTATTTGTATCTCTATCCATTAAAAATAATTAGAACAAAATAATTTTATATTTTAAATTTAAAAAAAGTGTCTCATATGTTCAATTTTCAAAACTATTTTAATATAAAATAAAATCAATGATTTTTGTAAATTGTCCAAAAGGAAAGTTGAAATTAATTTTCTTCTGTAAGAGTTTAACTTCAAAACATCAGTTGTTTATTGCCCATTATGGATGAAGCAAACAAAATTAACTAATTTTGATGTAATTAAATATATCAACAAAACATTTATTTTTTTGTAGTTATTAGTGTAGATTTGTAATGGATCTATTTTTGGGTATTGTGTGAATATGTGTTTGTTTGGAGGTTTTTTTTGTAATCTAACCATTTCTATTAATGAATTTTTTTAAGTTATTTAAAGTTGATATCTCCCTCAAAGAAGATATATCAAAAACAATTTTGATTGTATTGCGATGAGTTCATTTGAATATCAGGTGAAGTTAAATTTGTAAATTGATTGAGGTAATGAATTTATGTGTGCAGATTTTTTTGGTTTTTTTTGTAAATTGACCACTTTAAATTTATTCCCAATTAAGGTTGGTATTTTAAAACCATTTAAAATAACTCTAATAACCACACCCCAATAACATGTTAAGATATTTGATTGGTTTAAAAAAAAAAAAGATATAAAACTAAAAATAGAATAATCAACACCTTCCACTGTCAGGATATACTAAACAAAAACCAAAATATTCATTATTTTTCAAAAAATTTGTACTATACTATTTAGGTTTTAGTATGCTCTAAAAAAACAGGACCTGTGGATGTATTGATTTTATTTGGGTTGGGCTGATGGGAATTTAGTGTTTCGGAAAATTACTGCACATCATCATATTGATATTCAAATATTATTTATTTATTTATAAAATCTCAAGTGTGATGCAAGCTGAAAATAGTGTTTGGTGAAATCACAAACTTGTACATGTATGGTGCTATTTAGATATTTTAAATTATTACTGCAAGAGCACTTTTGATAATAATTAAAGTTAAATTTTTAATGTTTAATGTTGTACATCTAAATTAATTTAAAATGTATACTCAGAATTAAATTATAATTTTAATATCCATATTGTAGTGGTACTTAGAGATGCAGTTCAAGCCAAATGCCCTAATAGATTGGACTTGTTAGAGTATATTTGTGGTGGTAATGATGGTGGATCAAATGCAATCAAAATTGAAAAGAAAGTATATGAAGCATTTATATCCCGTTTTTATAGTAGTTATTGTCAATCTTCACTCGAACCAGTTAATATCTGGTTTTATTACTAAAAAATCTCTTAACATCAACTATTTCTATTAGTTAATGATCTTAAAACTGAAAAGAATGAGCAATTGACTTTAATTTTTTTTTTTTTTTTTTTTTTTTTTGCAAAAAAAGATTTGATGACTCATGATCAGTCAACAAATTGCAGGTGTTGATATTAACCTGCTAGTTCGTGTTTTATATTATATTTACATTCTCACACAGGCCGTGAGAAATATAGCCAATAAATATTATTATTATTATTATTATTATTATTATTATTATTATTGTTATTATTATTATTGTTATACAGTTTTGCTGTAGTTATTATTAATTAATAAGTTGAGTAGTATTAGGATAGAATAGATCTAACAGTAGTTGCGTGTTGATGAACAACAGTATAAAGTGGTGGCACGTAGTTGGAAGGATTTAGATTCCAATCAGATTTAAATTTACGCGTTAATGCAGAGCAATCGACAGTGACTCCTTGGGAGATAGAATTAGATGCACTAAACAAGTTCAACGATCTAGTCGCTGAAGAAAAGCTCTTTCATAGCATTCTCTTTAATTTTAAGGTACAAATGCTGAATATTAATTACGTTTACAATCATAGAATTTCAAGTATTTTTGTATAATTTTTTATACAGCAAAAATCTATGAACCCGGACAGAGGTGTCAAAATATCAAACAGTAATACATTTATTTGTTATAGAAACTAATAAATATATTCTAAGATAGATCTTTGTAAATGATTAATAATTAAAAAGAAATTGAATCTTTTATCATTTTAAAAAAAAATAAAAAAAATAAAAGATAAAATTAATTTGTGCAATATTTCTGAAGTAATAAAATATTTTTTATTATAGTACTTTTAAATTTATTTTGAAATATTTAATTATATTATATATAAGAATGATACAAAGTAAAATGTTAACAGAAAGATAAAAGATTTGTGGAATACTTGATTTGGATTACTGAACAGCACAAGAGGTTATTGGTTCAAAATACAATTCTAATTTTATACAGTTTCAAGACTAAAGAAAAACTAAGCAAAAACAAACTCAGCACTGAACACAAATACTATATGTATAAAAAAGAGTATATATTTAAAAGATTACAATTATATTTAAAATAAAATTTAAAAATTTTTTTTAAAAAAATAAAAATAATTAAAAAAAAAAAGGATAACAATACATTTTTAATATGATAAATCAATAACAATATTAGAAGAATAATAAAGGATTAAGGAATTTCTTTCAGAAATAATACAAAAAAAAACCTTTTAGACTCTTCTTCATATTCAAAATGTAAAGGTTTTTAACTGATTTTACAAAAACAAGGATATTGTTTTTTTAGAAAAGTAATTTAACAGATGAAACGAAAATAAAACAAGGAGAGAATAGTATAAAGAAAGGTTGTTCTTTAAAGGAGTTCCCGATATTAGAACAACTAATATTCTATCATTAAGTTGAAAGTGGTAGATTCAAAATTCAATCTTTTCTCTCATTAATTTAATATGGAACTGGATACTTACATTTTATTTATTTCGATTTTTCACTGACAAACTAACTTCCAAATATAGAATAATTTGTTTTTACATGACTTTCACCCACTTTCACCCACAATATATAAGGAATGTAAATGCAAATGATATATTAGAGGGCAATACTCCTAAATATGACAAATTCTCTCAAATATAAATAATAAATTTTAAAATATTTAATTTAAAAATATTTAATATTTAATTAATATTTACAAACAAATATAATAAATAAAACATTTATCAAATAAATAATAAAGAAAATTCAATAATAAATAAAATGTTTAAACACAGTTATAAAGAATAATTGTTAAATAATCTAAATTTATTTATTTTAATGTTTATTTTCAGTGGCAGTGCATGCACATCTGTGGTGTTGTCAATATACTCAAAGGTTTATATTTGGGTATTGTTGGCAACATGCTAAATATGGAAAAAAGAAAAACAGAAAATAGATTCGAATTAGCTTAAATATTTATTAAAAAAAGAATTAACATACCATTAATATGAGAGGTTGCACAATGTCCAACCTTTTTGTTTGATAATGAAATTGTGAAACATTCACATAAATTACATTCGAATCTGCTGGTGAGACGCGAAAAAGTAAAATATTTTATTAATGTTGAAAATTTATTTTTTTTATTTTCTAATATTTTGTTGAAAATATAATCTTCCAAATCAGTGATATAAATCATAAGATTCCTCTTTAAATTAAGTTGGAATTGATTTATATGGATGATGTTGTTGTTTATGTTGTTGTTATTGCTGTTGTTATTGCTGTTGTTATTGATTTCATATGTGAGATCAATGATTTCTTCTGTATACTTGTTTTCCTTTGTTAAATCAATTATAATCTTCATTCTTAATATAAATTGTTTTTTCTATACAAAAATGAAAATATGATTTGCTATTTATATTAAATTCTATACTATCAAAGTAATGAATGAGTTTACAGTAAAAAATAATATTTTACAATATTATATAAAAAGTTAAAAAAGTTAAAAAGATTACAAAATATATTATTCAAAAAATAAAGTTTTACAACAAAAGATAATTAAAATGATCAGAAAATAGTTATTTTTGAAAATTCTGTAAGTTAACATGAGATAGAGTTCTAAATAGTTTTGTAAACAAGTATATATCCACATTAAATTGTGAACAAATACTCAAGCAAATCATATAAAATAAACAAGAAGTGTGAGTAATGTTTATAAACACTGAGAAAAAAAAATTGAAAAGAAGAGA